AACCCCAACCCCAACCCCAACCCCAACCCCAACCCCAACCCCAACCCCAACCCCAACCCCAACCCCAACCCCAACCCCAACCCCAACCCCAACCCCAACCCCAACCCCAACCCCAACCCCAACCCCAACCCCAACCCCAACCCCAACCCCAACCCCAACCCCAACCCCAACCCCAACCCCAACCCCAACCCCAACCCCAACCCCAACCCCAACCCCAACCCCAACCCCAACCCCAACCCCAACCCCAACCCCAACCCCAACCCCAACCCCAACCCCAACCCCAACCCCAACCCCAACCCCAACCCGATATGTTTAATAATTAATGAATTTAAAAAAAACCAATATCCTAAAAATAAATAATATTAACATTTTTATTTATCATTCTTTGATAATTAATATTAAATAAATTCGCTAAAATGATGATTAAATATCTTTTTCCATTCATAATTATGTTTATTAAAATCTATCAAAAATCAAATAAAAACAATTTATTTTATAATAACATAAACAAAACAGATAAACTTAATTTCATTTGATTTAATTTCAACATGTAGTTTATTAATGATTTTCAATATTAGTAAGCTTATCAACTCTTGTAGCATGGAATTTACCAGGACCTACCTCTAAATTATTAGTAAGGAAAGGTAGAACAAATTGTAATCCTGCTTTTTTACCAGTATGATCTGTTCCAATAATCATAATGTTAGCATTGTTATGCATTCTTGTCATAACTGCTAAGTAATAAGTTGAAACTAAACCTGCTCTAATTCCTTTATATTTATTCAAAGCGATAGAAGCTTCTAATCCTGATCCGCATACAATAATACCAAGATTTTTGTTTAGATCTGCACTAGTTTGCTTTGCTAATTCTTCATAGACTTTCATTTTTTGTAAAACAGTATTTTTTTCTTCAGGATTAGGTCTCAATACAACTATTTCAAATTAGTTATCTAATTCTTTTTAAATTGAAGCAACCCATTCTTCATAATCTTAACTTTCAATAGCTAATATAAGCTTATGTTGGTTTTGTTTATTATCCATTTTATTTAATAAATAACCTAATTTATTTTTTAGATTTAATATATTTTTATTATTTTTAATCTCAGAAAATCTTAATACTTGCTTAGTTAGATTTTTATAAATAATTACTTGTTTTTCTTAAACATATTAAATATCATGTTATGTTAAATTTAATGAATTTTATATGGTAAATTTAAGTAAAAAGCAACATAATACGAGTAATGAATGATATAATCACCTTTTAAATCATCAAATAATTTACTAAAATTATGCTTTTACCTATTTTACTAAAATCTTAAAACTACAAACAAACAGCAAAAAATATTTTAGAAAATTCAACAAATCTTAAATTTTAAAATGTGAATAATTAAAAACAAATATTGCAACTCAATTAACCAAATAAATAAAATGAAATTTTAAACTTAACTTTTTGTTAATAATATATGTTTAAAACATTAAGTTAGAAAAAATAATAAATTCTGTTAATGTGATTTAAAAATATTAATTGATTGAGGAGAGAATTCTAAATATATTTATAATAAAAATGATGACGATATAATTTTAGTTTAATAATATAAGTAATAAAGTAAAGTAAGATTTTATTCATAATTTTCCTTTCATTTTATTTTAAAGTAAAGTTTTGACTAAATCTGTTTGCCTAGTTGCAGGTGCTGCACTCTTATTTCTAATTGTTTTTGAACTAAATTTAATATCTGAACAGGCTTTACAATTTGTTTCGATTTAATGATTGCACTATTGTACATTTTTAAAATTAATTTAGTATTTTAAAGAATAAAATATGTTCGTTCAATAAATAAATAATTCATTTTAGTTTAAATTTTTAGATAATTAATTTAAAGATTTTTAGATAGATTTTAACAAATAATATCTGATTATTTATTTATTTATTTTTTAACAGCCTATTAGTTTCAATAATTAATGATTTTTAAGAGTGTATAATGGTTTAAATATTACTTTATTAAATGTTTCAAACATAACGATGTAATTTGGCTTCTATGATTTCTTTTTAGTGATCTTTACTTCTTTTCTTTTCTATTAAACTCTATTTTATTTTAGAAATAATTTTAACTTTTTGTAATAATCTAAAATAATTATGTACTATTTTAAATATTTTTATTGTTTTTCTTATTCAATTAAGGCATTATTTTTAATCATAAGCTCTAACAATTCACTATAACTCTATTAGGGAACTTATTTTTCTTCCTGAGGTGGCAGGTATTTCTGTATTAAATTTTTATCATACAATTTTTCAGAATCCTAAGATATTGTGAATAATGTAAATAAATATTATGAATTAAAGTCAAACTAAACTAAAAGCATTACATAATCAACTTTAGTTATATTTTCTCTATAAAGAGTGGGTTAAAGACAGGAGTAATTTCTATGATTTCTTTATCCATAAATCTTATCATAATTATCAAATTATCTTATGAATGGCTTTTTGTTTTGCTTTATGTCAATCATATCTAGTAGAACAATAGGTATGTATTTTAATGTATTCTATTCAGTTTAATATTTCAAATATTATTTGAATTAATAAAACAAAAAGTCAAAAACTATTTATTTGATGAAAAAGAAAGAAATTTTTTATCACAAATAAATAAAATCATTAAGTTATTTAACTTTAAAATTATTATTCATCAAAATAATCTTTAAAAATAAAAATATAAGGGGGGGGGGGGGGGGGTCACAGCAGGGACCCATTCATTTTTGAATAGAAATTTTTCATTCAAAAATAAATGAGATTTTTTGTTTTATATTTTTTCATTCATTTTTGAATGAAAAAATTCCATTCAAAAATGAATGGGTACCTGCTGTGACCCCCCCCAAATATAATAAAGTATTATTTTATTTTTTATCTTAAATTACATTTTTTACTAAAATCTAGATATAAATGTATAAGATCTTAAGAGGGTTATTCAGTTTAAGAACAAGACTAGCAGAAACTCTATAAAGTGGCTTTTAATTACTATTTTTTTATTAGCCTTATGTGAAATTTTAGAAATATTTACACCTTATAAATATGTCTGTTCATATCTGAACAAAAAAACATTATTTAAAATATAGCATAGAATTAAAAAAAATAAGAATCATAACAACTACAAAATATGTATGATTGATTATATAAAGCTTAGAATAATATGAAAGATATAAATAAAAAATTAATAAATTAAGAATAAAAATATACTGCATTACATTACATTAATTCATTTATTTATTTTGGAATTAATCAATGCAGTGTTTATATTAAGTAAATATATTTAATTATATTGAATCTTGAAATGGCTTTAATTATTATTTGATATTTAATGATATTTCTTTTATACTTTTTTCTAAAAAAGCATATTTAATTAACTTGATGATTATATTCCTAAAATAATCTATCTATATACTTAGCAATAAATCTTGAAATTTTTTGATTAAAAAATTATAAGATTACATTGATTAAGTTATTAAATATTTTAATGGCTTAATTTCTATATTTTATACTCTTTACTATAAAAAATCTATAAATTCCTATATTTTTTACTGTTCTTAGATCATTTTAAAGTTCTTTTAAGCTCCTTTATAGATATTAGAGACTAAGAAGTTAACCCTAGTTATAAAATAAATCTATTACAAGTTTATTTAAATAATAAAAACTAATATATTTTTTTTTAGTCTTATAATAATTGGTTCATTTTAAAATTTAATTTTATATTTAAAAATTAAATTATTATTGGAAATTTAGCATAAAAAAGATATATTCAAGCATTCTTAATAAAAAAGGTGCTTTGATACATTAGAATATAAGTAAGCTTCATAGAGCTTATACTTTTATTCTTCAATTCAAAAAATTTACAGAAATCAATTAGCAGATTTTATAAATAGTTCAAAAGATAAGAAATAACTTTCTGAGATAATTCCAAATAATTAATTTGAAACATTTCAAATAAGAATTAGTGAGCGATTGAGTTAATGAGTGAGTGATTAAATTCAATAAAATTAGTTAAAAATATAAATTCATTATTGTTAAATAATTTGATAATAAAAGATATACGTTAAGGTTTATTACAGAAGAATGGTGTAAAAATCATAAAAATTAATTGATTAGTCTGATTAAAAAATACAGAATTCATGATAATTAATATAACATTATTTTATTTTGTTTAATCTAATTTACAAATTCTGATTGATAAATAAATATTTTTGATGAAATTAGTTAAATTACTAAAGGTGGGTAATGATAAAATATAACATCTAACAATTTCTTTTACTGGATATATTGTTTTTTATAAAATCTAAACCTCCTAATTAGTTTTCAAACAATACCTGTGGATCCGATCAAGCATCAGATTGTAGAATATTGTAAAAAAATTTTTAAGCAAAATAATGCAATTAAAATAATATCATCAAAAATTTAAAGAATTTTAATCAGAGAAGTAAAAAAAAATTTGCGTTAAAGCTCAATTAATTTAAAAAATGTAAATGTATTTAACTTAAAAAACAACTAGTAAAGCTCTCTATAGTTTCCATAAATCAATCAATCAATTTTTTTATTTATGATATCAAACACATATTTAATATTTTTAATCTTTACACAATTACTTGGTTTGTTTTTTTTTTTTTTGGGAGAATCGATATATTACAATTAAGAGCCTTGAATTTTATATTTAAATTAATAACCCTTTTTGTGATAATCAATCAGTTGAATCGATCTGGTATTTAAATAAGCTATTGTTATTCACTAATAGGTCTAGATTAAAAATACTATTTGAAAAATTTACGAGCTCAAAAAGGCAAGCACTGTAAACTAAATAAATTTCAATTCTAAATAAAGTAAAGGTTATAAAATATTTGCTTAAATGCATTTAGTTGTTTTAGTTGAGTAAAGATAAAGCAATATTAGATAAATGTAATCAAATATGAAGAATTTTGTTTATGGAGGAGGAATAAATTTATCAAGGATTAAATAGTATAAAAAGATTGTTAATAAAGTTTATCAATAGAAAATTTTTATCTTACATTAAAATTTCACCAAAATGAAAATGGGGCGCAAATTGAAGAATTTAATAAGAAAAAAATAAATAAATGTTAACAAAATTAAATGAATGTAATCAAGATGATTAATTAATTAAAAATTTTAGAGAATGGCATAAGATTAGCTAATGATATATTAATCATTACTAATATCATATGGGTGGGTTTCTAGTAATTGAGGGTGCTTACATGAGATAAAAAAAAATTGTAAACAGATGAGATGGGTATAATAGGAATTAATTAAATCAATCCCTGACTCATAGTAATATCTATATATATATCATAGCAAATCTTAAATATAAGTAAATGTTTCATTCACAATAGATAAAACGCAACAAAGTAATTAAATAAATTAATAAAATTAGATTTTGCAATACTAAATTTTTTATAACATTATTAAATAAATTAATGAAGTTTTTACTTCATAAAAATTTTTGATTTCAAAAAAATTAATTAACAAGAATAAGACGAAAAACAAAGAAAAAAATTCATTTGTTTGTTCTCTAGTGTAAAGAAAAAGAAAATAAATAAATTTGTTTTTTCAAACAGCTTTCCTCTTCATTAAATTACATCGCTCTTAATTACATCTGAAATATTTATTAATGGGAAATTGTACTAATAAGTAGGATTCTCCCAAAAGTTTATCTTTAAATGGTATGCATAATTAAGCCTTTTTTGGGAAAGAATTTTTAAAAAATCAAAATGGAATATCAAAAGAGTCTTAACACAAACAAAGTATTATTAGTACAACTGATAACAATACTAATTCTATTGTAACGTCTTCTTCATTCATCAATATGCAGTAACACGAAGGAGCAATAAATGGGAAAAACATGATTAAATCAATATAACAATATAATAATTTAGAAGAAATCGAAGAGCTAGAATCTTCAAATTACTTTTAAAGCGAAATAAGAACTCTCTAAGAAGAAAATATTGGGTTTAGTAATCGTCTTATAAGCACTATTAATATACCTTCACCTGAAAAAAAATATCACGATTAACATATCTTAAAATAAAACTTTGCACACAATAACAGTCCATAATAAGATACTAAGAGTGCTGGTGTATATAACAGTAGTTAATTGTAAAGTAATAATACTAGCTTTACTTAAGAAAACTCTCCTACTAGGACAAATAGAAGCAATTTGTCTCCTAGATCAAGAGAAAAGAAAAAAACAACTTCAGAAATAAGAAATATTATTAAAATGCAAACTGAATCTTACTATCAAAGCTTGACATCTGAGGAATTAAATAGTATTTTACAGCAAGGCGAGAAAATGAACAGAGTTTTGCAACACTTTGAATTTTCAAATAATGATTAAGTCTTAGATTTAGTAAGAGATATTTACAACTCAATTATTAACAAAAAAAATAAATTATCGGAAATAGTTTTACCTGAGCATCGTGAAATGGTAATGTAATTCATTCATCAATCATACTTACTTCTAGATAGAGGAATTTAATAGTTATTGAAAACATAGAAGAGACTTATTAATATCACAAGCAGTAATACAGGAGTTCCAGTTAGATAATCTAATATGGAACTCTCTGTTTATACTCTCGAAGTGCTAGTAGAAGCATACTAAATTATCCAATATTTTTAATTACATTAGAAAAGCCATTCGTACATTCCTATGAATAAATGGTGGGCAAAGCATTAGAATGAGAAAGACCTTTCTAGTTTTAACAATAAATTTATAAGGCTAAGCTAGTAACTTAATGCAGAGTTTCAAGATATTACTCCTGGTCTTCCAAATAAAAACAAAAATATTACATATAGTAAGTAGAATTCGCAAATGTCTTCAAATCTTTCTGAAGATGGAGACCAAAGCAGCAGAGTCGCTAGAGAAGATGAAACAAAGCGAGATTCTCTGTGCAAATCAAATAATGGTATTCTTAATGAAAACTCTTAAAATTTAAAAAAAAAGAATGAAGAGGGCAAGGAAGAATAAATCAAAATATCTTCTTTTGATAAAAAAAATCCTACAAATTATCTGCCACTGAAATAAAATCCAATAATGTGTGATATTTCTAATGAGAGAATAGAAGAACATTTAGAAAATGAAGACGAAGAGGAAGAAAAGCATCAAAACACAACAAGTTTTTACAATACTTAAAATGAGTAAGAAAATGTCGAATCACTGAACGAATCTGACTTCCCTTGCAAAACGAAGATCAATCATTAAATTAAATCGATCAAAAACAACAACAAAAACTATTTAATTTAGATGAATAAAAAATTAAATTGACTCTAATATATAAATAAATCAAATAAATATTCAATCAAAATGACATTACAATCTAAACTAATTAATTAATTAAAATATAATATAAATAAGTCAATAAATAAATAAATTAATAAATACTAATTTTAATTAATTTCCAAAAAAATAAAAAGATATTCTTTCTATTCTACTATTCAATTAATTAGAATCGAAGTAAACCAAAACCACATTGAGTATTAAAGTGTAAGCAAAGCTTTCAATAAAAGATGTATTTCAACTAAAATTAAAATTACAATAACAAACTAACGTGCAAACTACTAATAAATAATTAATATATACTTGATAAAACAATCATTTTTAAATTTGCTTAAATGGACCTTTACTCTTTAATTTACATTTAGATAGAAACATACTAAGAAAATGGGCAAGCATATTACACTAAAAATTTAGGCTATTTTATGATGTCTATTTTACAAAAAAAAAAGATATAAAATTAGTAATACAGACAGAAAATTAATTTAAGAGATCATCTTCATTTTAATTTAATAAATTCTATCCAAATAAAGTTCTTCTAATGATAAGCAAAAAATTTTTACTTAATTTTTAAACAAAATCTTAATAAATAAATAATTTAGTCCCTTCAAATTAATCATTTCAATTAATCCAATACAATACAATAAAATAAAATAAGAAATTTATATTTAAAATTTGTAAATCCTTGTATATTCATCCATCGATGCATTCATTCATTAACTCACTACTTTTACTATCTTTAATAAACTTTATCCTTAGAAATATTTACAATCAAACAAAGCAAACACACTTAATTAAGCACTATTTTCAAATTACATTTAATGTGCCAAATTTATTTATAATATGTTATCTTAATATGAGCTATTTAGCAAAAGTATTTTGTTACTATGACTTAATAAAAATACGTAAACTAACAAGATAGATTAGTTCTACAAACTTTTCAATTAATTGCAAACAATTTTCGCTCTTTTGAATAATTTTGTATATCTATTCCACAAATTAAATCTTTTATAAACTAATTATTTTGGCTTTTTAAATATCAACAAAAATAAATATTACTGTTTAAATTATTGCATTTAGGCTTATCTATACTAATCAGAAAGCTAAATTTATTTCAATTCTTAATTTATTTTTGAAATGTAAACAAAATTAAAAAATATTTGTAAATATTACAATAAAAATTAGTTAAAGTGTAACAAAAAGATCTTAGTAATAGGATAACTAATTGAATTTAATATTAAAATATTACTTCATGAAAGCTAATTTTACAAGTTTTTAATGAATTTAGAAGAAAATTTTTCAATTTAAAACCAATTTTAGATTGAATGAAATACTATTATTTTTATTTAAAGTAATTACTAAGCTAAAAATAATTTTGAATGTTTAATTTAGATTGATGTTTTTGAAATAGAAAAGTAAATAAATAATTTTACAAAACAAAACAAAAAAAAGATAACACACCTATTTACATATATCTGGCTATTTGCTTACGCGAATTAATTTGGTAATAAAGTTTTTAATTATTTTTTTTTTGTTATCAACAGATATTAAAAGTATGAAGGAAGGAAAAGTTTTTAAATAGTCTTCAAATACAAAATTAATTTTAGAGAATTTAGCTTAAAATGTATTTTTAGATAGTTAATAAAAGCTTTAGTTAGTTAGGCCTATGATTTATTTTATTTTATTTTAATATAGAGTTGATAATATAATATAATATTCATTTTATTCTTTATTTTTTATTAAATTTTATTTTTAAAAGCATTTTCAGTTTATTTTTTTATCCTTTTTATTCAACAGCAGCCTTTCTTTTAAACTTCATTATTACCTTCTTACTATTTAATCATAATATCTTTGCTAGTTATTTTGACATTATTTAACTATGAAAGTTTTTTTGGTATTTGAGGGTTAGTAATTAGACTCACTAAGTGCTCAACCATCTAATCAAAAAGCTCTTCTATATTTAAGTAATTTTTTGCACTTGTTTCTAAGAAATTTACTCCGTATTTATAACTTAAATCTTTTCCTTCTTTTTCGCTAATCTTCCTTTAATCTTCTAAATCTGATTTGTTGCCTATCAGATAAATTAAATCTGAATCTATCCCATGTTGGTTAATTGTTGTCTATAAATATTATTCTGCTGATGCTAAGCTCTTAGGATTAGTTATATCATAGACACAAATGCAAGAATGCGCTCCTTTATAATGTGAATTAGTCAAAGCTGCAAATCTTTCTTATCCAGCAGTATCCCAAATTTGTAGCTTCACTATTTTACCAGAACTTGTTTTAATTGTTTTTAATCTAAAATCTACACCTATTGTTGACATATAATGTTCTGCAAATTCTCTATCTACGTACTAATTTAAAATGGAAGATTTGCCTACATTTTGCTGTCCTATTAAAATTATTTTAAAAACTAAGTCAATCTTCGTGTGTGGGGAATTAAAAACTCCAGCTTAAAGCTAATTTGAATAAACCCCACTATTTTCTTTTTACATTTTACTCTCTACTAAATATTCTTTTCAAATAAAGGATAGGATCAATTAATAATAAATCTATTGGTTGACTAATTTTGATAAAAAATTCTGATTGATTTAGATACTTATCAATCTAATCATTCAGGTAAATTAATTTAAATTATGTTTCTGATAAATTTATTTGTGTTATGAGAAAACCTTTAGTTTATTATCTTTTTACTAAATCCTTTATCAAAACATGTAAGCTTTTATCTATAAAACATAAAGTCTAATTTCTATTACTTTTAAAAAAAAAACTATTTAGAATTAACAAATTATATAAATATTAAATTATATTTGGAATAGGCTGGATATCCACTAAATGAATGTCTAATTTATTTTTCATATTCCACACTCAACATTTTTTAAAATAAAAAATTTATATACAATATTCGGAAATTTATTTAGAGAAACACAAGCAAGAAATTCAGTCAAGTACATTTTAAAGTGATAATATTTTATTATATATATCTAAGAGATAGAATTTCAAAAACAATTTATTTTTTTAATTTAAAAAATTATTAATAAGTATAAAATCTCAATTGATTTACAAAATTGACTAAATTTTTTTAATTTAAAATAATTCATAAAACAAATAAAAAATTTACAGCTAAAATTAAATAAATAAATAAATAAATAAGTTAATAAATAAATAAGTTAAAACTTATAAATTGAATCTTTTAAAAATAAATTTGAAATAAGTATATATTTTTTTATTAATTTATTATTATTAAACTATCCTGTCACAAACAGTATTGAATATTTAATTAATGTAAATTTTCAATTTAATATAAACAAAATTAAATAAAATAACTAATTAATTAGATAAATGAAATTATATTTTAAGAAATGCTAAAATAAATAATACAGGAGTTGAGTGAGTGAGTCTCTTCTTGTATTTTAAATATCCTTTTTTCTAATAAAGTTTATTTAGGTTAGATAGATAGATTGCTTAAATTTTTAATTACAATAATTTAAAAGACTTAAAATATAATCTTTATTAATATGTTTTTCAATATAAATTAATATAATTTGAATGAACCCTAAAAGAATTTATGAATCTAGAAACTATTAAATTATTTAAATAAAAACTGTATAAATATTGTTAAAATAAATAAAATTTAATTTTAATAAAGTCATTTATTTCTATTAAAAAACAATTTTTGAAAAATTTAGATTAATAATTATTTTAAAATTCATTTACTTCCTTTATTTTTATGAGATTAATTTTAAAAATAAACATATATAATTGGATCTAAAGGTGAAATTTATGGTTATAATTTAATTACTTGTAGATAATTATGATCTAATATCAAATAGATTTAAAATAAAGTCTTATGATTTTATGATTTATGAACCTTAGATATTTAATTGCAGTAATTAAAAAAAACTTTAATGAAATTCTTTATTTTATAAATTCAATACCTCTCTAAAAATTGATCTAATTGATATTAATTTAATACTTTTGATGATTAATCTACTTATATTGTTATTTTATTTATTTGATAAAGCTTTTTCATGAATAATTAAAATAGAGTTTGAAAAAATACTTTTGATTATTAGCTTTTACTAAAAAATGAATAATTGTTTCGCAATATATTAATTAATAGCTTTAGTGCTTTTTTTTTGTTTTTTATTAAGATTGATTTTAAAAACTAATTAAAAGGGGTTGGTACAAAAATTAATTAGAATTTATAAATTGAATAAATAAATTCATATATCCTTATAGTACTTAAAAAAAATGAGCAGTAGATTTTTAAATCATAAATACATTTTTACATAAAATTATTACTTAGAGCTTAATTTAATAAACATTTTTTGTTTAGTTTATATCTTATTTTCAAATTCAGCTAAACTTTGAATTATTTTTTAATTGCTTTCATTATATTTATCATAAAAAATTTACTAAATAAATTAATTTGGTTTATTTTAACAAAAAGTAATATATATTTATTTACCTTTTAATTTATTGATTATTCAATATACAAAAATTTTATGATGTTTTTATACAAAAAAATTATAAACAATAAATTATTTAACAAATTTAAAAAAGAATAAAACAACTTTTTCATCAAATTGATTTAAATATCAATCAATTTCTTTTTTCAAATATTTAAACTCAACCAACATCCGAATATATAAATAATATTTAAATAAATAATAAATTTTCTGAAAAAAAACAAAACAATATTTGAAAAACAAAATTGCAAATAAAAAGATAACTAACTATCTATAAGAGCAAAATAATAAATGAATACCAGCAAATCTATTAGTTTGTGCTCAACAAACATAGAAATATAAAATTACTCAGCGTAAATTTATTTGTATATATTAAATTTTTTTTTTATTCATTCATTTGAATTAGAAATAGCTAAAAAGAAAGTTTTGAATATGTTCTATTATCCAATTCAATAGAATAAGTAAAATTTATTATGAATGCAAAATGTTTAATTAGATTTGTTATATAGATAGATGAATATTCAGTTAATTTTGAATATGACACAGAAAAGAATTTGAGTAGGCTAAATAATTTTAACAAGAATGCAGCTGGATAAGTATTTAAAATTTAGTATTTATTATCCATAAACTTACAAATAAATTTTATTTTGAAAAAAGATGTTTAATAATCGCTCATATATACAAAAATCACAATTCGATAGCTTACAAAAATAAATTAAAAGGTAAATTACAATTATAATATTTTTTTTATAAATTAAAATTTTGTAGATAATTGATTTATTAGATATTTTATTATTTTACTATAAGATTTAACAAGATTTTAATTATTCGCCAATTTAATTTTGATATTAAATACTTCTATTTCAAATTAGTATTTTGATAATATTTATTATTAATCAAAAATATTAAAAAAGAAAAGATAATCCGCAATTATTAGAATATAAAATCTTGTAGAAGTAATTTGACCAGATGAACTCATACTAAGAAATGATTCTATCAAATATTCCTTCAAATAACCAAGACTCATAAAGATAAGGGAAGTAAATGTGTCATTAATAACGCTAATAAAAAAACCAGGCAAGTAATAAACAGAACAAGAGCTTAACTTAGTTTTAAAGTTAAATAATAGGTCAAGATGATAATAGATAAATGAATTAAAAATATGTTTCTAAAAACTCTATAAATTTACCGAAGACAAACAACAGAGGATAGTATGGGAATTAGAATTCTTACACATAAATCTATGAATTAAAATCATTAGATCAAAAGAATTAATAACAAAAGATCATAAACTAACGCAAAAGAAATTCTTAAACTAAAAGTTCTACTTCTATAGAGTTAGAATCTAATCATCGAAAAAATCTGAAATCAAAAAAATCTATTGATGAAAGAGATTCTTCTGAAAATAATTAGAGAGATATTCTTATTGCTATTTTGAATGTACTAATAGATATGAAAAATAATTTTCATAATGATATGTAAGGTTTACAAAATAGTATTTTAAGAGTGGAAAATAGTATTTTAAGAGTGGAAAAAAGTATTTTAAGAGTGGAAAAAAGTATTTTAGGAGTGCAAGAAAGTATTAAATTGATGGCTAAAAGTTAAGATAAATGCCATGATTAAAATATGAATAAACTTAATCTTACTCTTTACTGCTTATAAGAATTAGTTCCAAAAGAAAATACTAATTTGAGAAGATAAATATATGCTGGCATAAATGAACATTATCGTAGACTATACTGATTAAAGAATTACATATACTATTTTTGAATTAAAACCAATAAATTTATATACAAATTACCTTGTAGCAAATTACTTAAAAATTGTTGAAAGAGAAAAATGTTTATTATGATATTATTAATCAATTTATTGTTTTTATTAAGATATATTTTACTTTTATATTTATTGGTATTTTGTTTGTTTATTTGTTGTCAATTTCTGATATTAAAATTTATAGAAAATAACAGATTCATAATATTTTTGTAGAATAAATAAACATTTTTTAAATAATATTTTATCTAAAGAAAAAAGAAATACAGAAAATTAAAAAATAAAATAAAATTCAATTAATTTTTCATAAAACTAAATAAATAATAAAATATTTTTAAATTTATTTAGATAGTTTTTAAAAAAAGAAATTATTTAAATTTTAATCTTGTATTTACTATACTAACAGGGTTTGTTTCATCATAGATTTATAAATAAAAAGATAAATGAATATTAAATAGATTTGTTTACTTACTGCAATAAAATTAACTTAAACCAACTAAAAGGATTATAATAATTGTAAATATACTAGAATAAATACTATCAAACATTAATTAATTTATACTTAATTTTAGAATTATGTTTAATATGAGTTAATTTATTAGGTGTATTTTTTTCAAGATTATTTAAATAAGAATTGGAGAACTTAGTTTATTATTTATTTAAGCAAATTCAATTCATATACAAATCTAAGAAAATGATTTAAGGATTACATATCATGTATTCTTTCTAAAATTTTTGAAAGATGATATATTAAGCTATCATTACATGTTTTTGAGTCTTATATTGCTTTATGGTTTGCAAGAAGATATGATCAATTTCTATTTCAATTTCATTCCAGCACGCACTTAATAAAAATTTTTCTATTTAATAAGTATTATTTTTATCATTATAGTCGTAATTACTTATTTTATGTGTTGAAAGCTTAAAGCAATTTGCTTAGAATGAATTTAAATAACTAGCTAAATCATACAACGATTCTTTAGACATTTTATTTTCAAATTAAATAATTAAATTTTCTAGTTGCTTTTTATTTGAAGAGAATTCTTAAATTTTTCTTATTTTTGAATATTGATCGATTGTAGGTATAAATGTTACGTTTAATGTTTCAAGCTATAATAAATTTGATGCAAGAGAAAAAATAACATGTGAATTGTTGTCTCTTAATTTTGTAATTATCAAGCTTTTAAGATTTGATTTAGAAATATGTTGCTTGTTGTTTTCATACTTTAAAAAATTTTTAGTTTCTAATTAGCTTAAATCAGTTTTAACATCAAATTGTAAAACATCAATTAGTAGAGTTTATAAATTTTAATGCTAAATTAGAGAATATATAATGTCCAAGATTACATCAGAATACACTGTATTTTCTATTGTAATATTGCAATGCTCAATACTAACCAACTAGCTAAATGCTTCTAAATACATTTCAAAATCATACTTATTTATTTTTACATTTTTGAAACTTATCAAAAGTTCAAGCTATTTTAAATTTTGTTTATTTGTTAAACATAAGGGTTAATATTTTAAAAAGTTAAAAGTAGGTAAATCAAGTAAATCATTGTTTAATCGCAAATCTAAATAGCTTAGCTATGTTAAATTTTTAATGTATTCTATTAGCTTTTCAAAATGTTACTGTTTTAGATACAAAAATTCAAATCGAACGCTTAGTTAATTCAGTTTATTTTTTTTACTAAATTGTTAAAAAATGGATAAAATGTTATCAATTGGGAATAAATCTTTTGTTTGTAATGTATTTTTGAAGCTTAAAGAAGTAATTTAGTTAGTCAAATTGCTGATTTTATCATGTAAGTAAGAAATGCATTACAAATCTGATGAATCAACATTAACTTTAATATCATTTTGAACGTTATCTAAATACTATATTAAAAATTATAAACCATAGCTTATATAAAAATACTAACTTTTTTCATTATTTGAATTTATATTCTAAACTTGGCTACTGGCATCAATCTTTTCTTCTTTAAAATTTTCTTATCCTTAACAATTCTTAGAATTAGATTTGGTGTTACCCATATTCTTAAAATTTACGCAAATAAGACAATTTATTTTATATAATCCAATTTAATAAATATATCAATCAATCAAGATTTTTATGTAAAATATAAAAGTAAATTAATTCATAAATAAATAAAAAATTTTCAAAATTTTGTTCTTCAGTAATTATAAATATTAATAAATAATAGGAAGGAGGGAGATGGATTTGCTAGTATAAATAAATAAATAACTATATTAATAAAACTAAAAGTTTTTTTATTTAAAGGAACACAATAGATTTAGAAGAGATGTAAAAGGAAAGAATCGAATTACGATATCAAAAGAATAGATTATTTAGATAGACTGACTCTAAATTGAGTATTTGAAAAGCATCAACGATAAACATAATTTTTATTTAAATTGTTAAGAATTAGTAAAAAAAGAGAAAAGGTTTTTAAATTTTCTTAAATTTATTCAGATTTCACCAAAATATTAAAAAATAAAAGCAATAAAATAAAATAAGTTTTTAAATGGCTGAACAAAAGCATAGGGTAGTAGTTAATTTGTATGATTTATCTGGAGGTATGGCTAGAGTTTTCTCTCCCATGTTCCTTTAGAAACAAATTGATGGAATTTGGCACACTGGTTGTGTTGTTTACGGTAAGGAATTTTATTTTGGTGGAGGCATCTGCTCTGGCTTACCAAAATAGACACCTTACGGAACACCAGTTTAGTAAATAGATGTTGGAGAGACTGAAGTTCCTGAAGAAGTCTTTACAGAGTTTTTGAGAGATATTTCAGATAGATTTACTATGGATAAATATGACTTATTTAAAAATAATTGCAACAACTTTACTGATGAATGTACTCATTTCCTAACAGGATAACATATTCCTGAGTATATAACAGGTTTACCTGATGAAGTATTAAATACTCCTATGGGTCAAATGATAAAACCTCTTGTTGATCAAATGCAATAATCCGTTGTAAATGCAAGTGGTTAATCAGCACTATTCCCAGCTTAGTTTGAAGGTGTTAATAATCCTCAATAAATGTTTGGAAATAATTAACAATAATAATAATAATAGCAATAGGCACCTATTTTCCCTAATGGTATAAATAATACAGATATCCTCAATAAATTTACTTAGTTGAATAATAACTAACCAGTTGATATGAAGAAAGTTGAAGAAGCAACTGATTTAATGGATTACTTTACTAAGGTAGAGGGACAAAAAGCAGTGATTATCGACTTTAACGCTGATTGGTGTGGACCTTGTTAAGTAATCAAGCCAATATTTGCTTAATATAGTGAAGAATACCCAAATATCAAATTTATTTCTGTAAATACAGAAAAAAACAAGGAGGTTGCCCAATAATTTGGCATTTAATCTCTCCCCACCTTCATCACCCTTCATGAAGGTGAAATATCTGCAACTTGGAAAGGAGCTAATCAAGTAAACTTAAAAAATAACCTTGATAAATTAGCAGAAAAGCTTAAATGAAAAATGATTAAAGTATTTGATTCAGTATATGAAAATGTTTTATAAAAATTTATGTTTTACATTTAAATGTATAATATTTATAATAAATAAAATATTAATTTTTAGATATATTAGTTTTTAAAAACAAATAAATTATTTCCAATCAAATTACTTTAATCAAAAAAGTTAAACTAAATATATTAATATCTTAGCTTAAAATTTAAAATACTCATTTTAATTTTGTTAAATTTATCAAATCAATCTTTTGAAATAGATGCAAATTAATTAAAAATTATTTTATTCAGAAGTATTTTTTGGTTTTATTAATTTTTAATAGCAAATAAATTATTTGCAATCAAATTATTTCAATTCAAAAAATTGTAAATATTTATTTTAGAATCTTAGTTTAAAATTTAAAATACTTATTTTAATTTTGTTAAATTTATCAAATTTTTTGAAATAAATGCAAATTAATTAAAAATTATTTTATTCAGGTTATCAGATAAAAAGAATAAGAAAATATAAAATATTTAGGATAGATAAAAGTTCAATATTTTAGATATAAAATAATACTTACTTACTTCTTTGAGTGAACCTATTCAAGTAAACTTAAAATTAATTTAGATAAGTTTGCAGAAAAGCTTAAATGAAGTTATTATTAATTTAATTTAATTAATCAACAATATTAAAAATTTTTATATTGTTTAAACATTTTTACAATAAATAAAAATATTATCATAGGTTTTACTTATTATCAAAAGCAAATGAATTAATTATTTCCAATCAAATTAGTTGATCCAAAAAATAGAAATTATTTAAATATATTAGAATCTAAATTAATATTTAAAAATACTCATTTTAATTTTGTTAAATTTATACAATTATTAGGAATAAATGCAAATAAATAAATAAAATATATGATTTTACCCATATTAATAAATAAAAAAATATAATAATTACAAGAAAATTCAAGATATTTAGGATGGATATAAGGGTTCCATATTTTAGAGATAAAATACTAACTTAATTAGTTTTATAAATTGAAAAATTAATTATTAAAATAGAGTTTTAAATACAGTTTATTAAGAGAGACATTTTAAATATGACTTATTCTGCTGTGAATAGCAATCGAATAAATCTTTAAATAGATATTCGGTTTTTTCCAAAATTTTTAAAAAATCAAGCAAAATCTATTTAAATTTATACATTTACTTAATTTAAAATAATTTAATTTATAGACTACTTGTTTGTTAAATATTCTTAGGTTATTTATTTTTAGGGAAGATTGATTAAAATTATTATTATCAGTTTTTTAAATTTATTGATGAATAGTTCATCAATTTAATTTTATCACAAATCCATAAGTACTAATTCTATATCATTTCTATTATTTGGGTTATTAATGTTATTGTTATTATTATTGTTGTTGTTGTTATTATTAATATTATTGTTATTGTTATTAGCATTATTATTGCTATTGTTGTTGTTATTGTTTAAGTTATTATTGTTATTTTAATTGTTTATTAATGGCTAGTTTATATTATTGTTGTTTGGCTGCTAATCTACATTATTTAACTAATATTCAATTCTCTAGAATACCTTTTTGTAAATAAAATATCCGAATAATGCACTAATTAAAATAATGATCCAATAAATAGTAAGTACATTCATCATCCTATCTGAAAACTCTCCACAACCACTATCATAAACAAAATTTAAGATTATCATATTGATACTTAGCATGAAAAACATAAAGACATCTTAAAAATCTAGCTTAATAATTAATTATACTTCAAATGATGCTTACTGGCTATAAACTATTAGGTATATATAGTATAATATAAACAAAACATTTATACCTGCAAAACAATAACAAATAGACATAATCGAAATTGCCATTTCTCTCATTCTCCCACATCTAGCTCTTAGCTTAGATTCTTGGGATGGATAGATATAAACAGAGAGGTATAAAAGAATTATGCACCTATTAATGCAGTATAATATTTCCTTTCCTATATTCATGTATCTAGTTAGCTGCTATTTGCTAAAATCAACTCTATTTATTTATTTTATTATTTTCTTGATTTATCGAAGACTTTTTTGAAAATTTATTAAAACTAATAATTTTTGATTATATCAAGTCTTTTTTTGCTCTTTTGTTGATCTATATCGATTCTAACTAAATTCAATCTTTTTATTTTATGTTTAAGTCATTGTTTTTCTGTCAAGTTAATTATGTAGATCTTTAAATATAAACAAAGTAGCACTTTTCTTTCTTTTTCATCAATCTATCTATATTAAAAAAAGATTTTTCTTTTAAAATCTTGATTTAATTACACAAATACTTATTATTATTTCTTTAATTTATGCAACAAAAAAAAATAATTTTCAAATAAACATAATTGGATGAATTAATATTTTGTTTTTATTCGAATAGTTATTTCATATAATCGATTCTTAAATAAAATATTAGTTTAGTTTAAATAATTTTTAAAATTTTTTTAGAAACTTAGCAAAATTTTTGAACTTTTTCTTTGATCAAATGATTAATAATCTCCCTCCTTTAAAAAACGTATTTTTATTTATTTATTTACTTATATTTATTATTCATTTACTATATTTTTGTAAATTCATAGATTTTTTTTACTAATATTAATTATGCATTTATTATATTTTCATGGCTTTTAAAAATCTTATCTTAATATATACCTACTTATACAAATCAATTTTTAATTTGAGTTTATAGGATTATTTTATACTTGTAATTAATTTTGAGATATCATGAATATTTTATATTTAATTTTTCCCTGCAATTCATCATTTAAATTATTTACGAGTTAATGGTTTCTGCAAGAAATAAAATTAGGTAAAAATTGAAAAAAGTGATACGTTTTTCTAAAAATATGAAATATTTATCTTAAGTTTTATTTAAAACAAAATTATTTATTGTTTTCTCAATATTTTATTTATTAACATAAATTAATTCTTGACAAATTTAGTGAATTATTGAATTATCAATATTCTATTTTTTAAGAATTAAAAAATTAAATAGTTTAAAAAATAAATTTTAATGGAAATTCCTATAGTTGACCAATATCAGTAAATATAAATTAAATTTAATGTTTTTGCTTTTGAAAGTCAAATAAAATTGTTAAATTTTAGTAAAAATAGAGTTTATCTATAAAATAAGCTATATTTAATTTTTTTAAAATTAAAATATTTAAAGTTCATTTATAGTAAATGTTGATTTTTGAATATTTAATTTTAAGTATGCTATGATTTTTGTTTTAAAAACAATGTTTTGATTTTGAACATATCTAATAATGAATGATTTATTTTTATTTTTTCTACTGGCCTAAAAACCGTAGACCAAGCGATCATAAAAATCTAATTAATTTTTTTATTATTAAAAAATTATGAAATTAATCAGAATAAATTATTAATCAAATTTTTTCTTTAGTCATCTTATTTAATAGCATCATAATATCATAAAATATTTGCTATCTAGTAAATTATTTTTAGATGATCAAATATTTGATTGGTTTTAAGTTTACTCATACCAAATTAGGTTCTTTTATATTAAAAATTTTCAATTAACATTAATCAATTTTTCTTTTCTTGATGAAATAAATTAGTTTAAACAAAATGAATTAATTCATTTAAGAGTTTAATAAAAAATGAATGGAGTATTCAAAAATTAAATATGAATTATAATAATTAAAGATAGGAGAGCAGCACAGTGTTTGTTACAAAGAATGAAGTAAAAAAGAAAACTACTGTGATTCATTCAATCAATCAATCAATCAATAAATTAATAAAAGTCAAATCGATTAAATCTTTTTATGAGAATCAGATCATAAAAAAATCAATCAATCAATCAATAAATCATTATGATTGTAATTGCAAAATAAATTATTGATGTTATTATAAATAAGATATTGTGAAAAAGTGATATTTATTAATCAAAATGGATGCATTTAGCATATTGATTATATATAAGCATATCAGCTAACCAATATATTAATTTTTGTATATTTTTTATTAATTTTGTTTGAAAAGTAGATTTGAAAAAGAAGAGAATACATAATAAACTAAGTATTAAATAAATAAATAAACAAACAAACAATACATATATAATAAATGAACTGGCCTTCAAGTTCAAATAAATCAGGTCTTAATAATAACAGCGGCGGTAATATTCTAAAGGGTTCTTAGTCAGGAGTTAAAAATCGCACTCCTCTGCCTCCTATTAGGTAGACTTCTAAGAAACCCTAAGATCCTAAAACTGCTTAAAACACACAAACACATTTATAGCTTGGTGGTTAGTCTGAAGGAATAATAAGAAGTTATAAAGAAGAAGGATAAATAGAAATGGCTGGAATAGATAATGATTCTAGCTCGCATGAAGAATAGAATGTAATCAATAGCAAATAGGGCTCATATATTTCAGCAAATAGCACAGAGAGAAGAGAATTGCGTTCTTAAAAACCAGATAGCTTCACCAAAATTCATAAAATTCTCTCTAAATGCATTTGTAGCGGAGCAGTTTTTTGGCTTTATATGATTTTCATATTTATATTTGGTATTATCACTATTTCCGTTTGCGGCTCTGCAAGCACTGAATTAAGCAAATTGAAAGATTCTGAGGCATATCTTTATTCACAGGAAACGCTTAATTTATGGCATAACAGATTTATTATGGATATAATACTGACTAAAGGTTAAACATGCCCGTAGAACTATGAATAAGCGTTAAATTATTAGTGGCCAGGCACTCTTTAGGGATGCGCATGTCCTTATACTGTTTAAAACATGTAATAAATATTTTTAGTAAAGGGAAAGTGTAATGCTGAATTACTTTCTTACAATTGCTACGATGTTGACCCTACTGCTCCATAGTTTATTAATACCTGGAAGAATGGGCAACTTATTTGTATTTAAAGAGATCCAAACAACTCGTTTTTCAACTCTCCAACATCATGCAACTCAAATAATCCTTAAAGTAATTTACGTGCCTGCGGTACTGGATAGACCGCAGTTTGTGTCTCTTCAACATAAAATTGTCCAGTAAGTTACGTACAATCATAAAACAATGATAATATAGTTGGAAATACTTAAGTATAGGTAACTAATTTATAAAGTTTACATATTTTCTTACAAATAAAAGCTTTTAATTGGCTTCTTAGAATAGAATTTACTTTCATTTACGAATAAAAAAATAGCACAGTATAGATACAAACATTTAATTTTTAAAATTTAAAGTACCTATTCTAAGGAAATATGAATACATTATTTGGTTTTTTCTATAAAGAACTTTAATTATTCAAAAAAGAGCCTATGCCAATTAAATTTTTCCATCATTAAGCAATCAATAGAAGAAAAGTGTTTATTATAAATATTAAATGCTAAATACCATACGTTCACAAAATAGAGCCGTGAAATCATAAATCAAAATCTCCCAACAAGATTTACTTATGAAACTCAATAAAAATTATTTTGATGTCTTTCATTTTCCTAACTATTACCAATTTAATATAAAAAAAGAAACTAAGACTACAAAAAGAAATTATGTTTTTTATCCAGTGCAAAATTCAGTTGTTAAACATTATAAAATAAGCAAACAAAGAAAGAAAAAAATTTTTAGGTTTTACTTGCAATATGCATAACTGAATAAATAATTTATATCAATCAATAAATCAATAACAGCATACCTATTTTTTTAGTTTATTAAAAAGTTTCTTTCAAAGGGATAATATAATATTTAATAAAATCCAAATATTGTGAAAATAACCAAATATTTTTTATTTAGATAGATTTTGTATTTTAATAAGTAGTTTATTTTTGCTACATCAAATAAAAATTTTAAACTCAAATTAGTATTTTATAAGAAATCAAGCATTCTTGACTCCAAAAAATCATAAACGTCATGCTTAAATTCCTAAGCTGAATTTAAAAAATATTGTCTTAATGGACTTAAAATTGAATTTTAATAAGAAGCAATTTTTAAATTTGTAAATAATATATAAAAAAAGAAGCATGTAAATATTATATTACAAATAAAAATTAATCTATAAGATTAACTATTAATTAGCAGATGTTAAAGTCTCTAAAAGGATTGGGTTTATTTATTTATAAACTTATTATATAGCAAAGTATTAGTGTAAAGTAAATAAGCTTATTTATTTAATATTAAAGAAGAGGATAAAAAAATTTCTTAACAAGATTTATAAATATTATTAAAATTAGAAATTTAATTTGAAGAACCAAACATTAAAAAATATCTATCTGCTTAACTAAAAATGAAAGAAGCTGGGAAAAATAATTAAAAAGAAAAATCGATTGATTTACTATTAATAATTAAGATTATTGCAAATATCAATCTCCCTTTAAATAATATTAAATAAAATAAATACCAATCAATATTACCTATTAAAAATAAGAAATTATAATCAATTTTTATGATCACACAAAAATTTATATCAATAAATTTCAGGTTGCAAATTAATTTGACAAAGATATTTATTTTTGCACTACTTTCAAATTGAAAATCACAATTAAAACAGAATTTAGTTAGGAAGTAAGTTAGCTTAAAATTTTACTCAAAGATGATAATTTAAAAATATCTTTTAAAAATAATTGGATTTTTTATTTTTTTACCTTTATAAAATTTCAAGCTTAGCATAACATTCTATCCAAATAAATTCAGGTCTATAATTTTTCTATGCTGAAAAATATCTTTTAATTAATAGATTTCACATTTATTTGATTGGTTTTTTCTTGAACGTGATTTTTATATATTTAAAGAATTCACCTCACATTTTAAGTTTTGAACAAAGTTTCGCTCCTCGAAATTAAAAACCATATTTAACAAAATATAAAAGCTAAATTACATACATAAATGCATATTCATTTTCTAACATTACAGCTATTTGATTTTGATATACCAGATAAAATTTTTCTTAGATAAAAATGATTTATTTATTTAATTTGAATTTTGTTCAATAAATATTAAAAATTAATTTATATCTGTAACAATTATTAGATCTTACAGATTGACAATACTGTTTCTTTATCTTTCGAGTTCTAGAGCAGTCACTATCCTATTTCATAATTCCGTATTGATGAATACAGCCATTGCTAACATATAACTGAATAACAGATATCTCCTACCAAGAGAGGTGATTACGTCCTCTTAAATAACAGGCGTTAGTACTGCAGCTAAAATGATACTCGTCCTATCTTTTTAGATTCTATTGGTGAAGAAGATCTCTTCCGTAACAATCCTTAGCTATGGTAGCTTGTAATGCAATCTTAACAACTGCCTGCCTACCCTCGTCCTAGTAATACCTTCTAGTGGGTCATGAGTAGTATGCCATATCCAACGTGGTCTATGAGTTGCCGTGACAGCTCTAAGTATTCTTTATCAGTTGCTCAAGAGAAGTTCGATATTGATAATGAAGATTATAATCAAATCCATCTCATAATCACAACTTCCATATCTTTGTTTATGGTTTCTCTTGTTTTGGTTATTATTGAAATTTGGAGAAAATTTGTTAGGTTGGGCGAAGTTCGCTTTTATAAGAGCTAGCGCTTTGAAGATTCTCGTTTCAAAAGTAACAGATTTGAACGTGTTCTCTATCCAAGAGAAAGGGGATGGGTGAGAAATACTTACATCATCACAGCCCTTCATTGGATTTTCCGCCTTCTGAATCTTCCTTCTATATTTATTGCATATTTATAAGTACAAGACAGTATTAATTGGTTTGACAATGCAGTAAGCTATCAGTGTGGAGACACTTTTTTCTAAACAAATATTGCTCATGACTACTCAAACTATCTTAAGTAGTTAAAACAATTTTATGCTGTTATGCTTAGCTTTTGGTGGGTTTTATTCATTATAGATATACTGTACTTTATATTCAACTTCTTCTATGAAATATTACCAGCTAAGGAAGAAGAATTATAAACTGATTTAATAGTAGTTGGAGGAGATAAACAAGAAATTATTCCTATAATGCAAAAAAATAATCCAGTCGCTGTTACTCAATAGCCCGTCTCTGTTCAGCATATTTAGTAGTAGCCAATTATACAAGAGGAAGTAGACGACGAACATTTATTCGACGATGAAAGAAAGAAGTGAGTAAACTATTTATTTAGCTTATAAATAAATACTTTACTTAGCAGCAAACAATAATCAAGTTACATACACAATTATACTAAAAACAAAATACATTTATTTTAAGTTGATATTACTCTATTATGGCATTTCTTTCTCCTTGATTCAATATTATAAATCATATAATCAAGTATACATCCAATTGATAAATACTTAAGTTTACTCCTTCTATATAAATCCATGAATATTTTTCGTAAACAAATAATGTTTATATTTTTTAATAGCGTTGCTATGTGAGATGAAAGTTAAACCATCTCAATAACAGGTTCTATAACTGAAAGAATTTTATTTACTTAATTTAAATAAATAAATAAAAATAATCTCAAAATTCTCTATTTGGATTTATGTTATATTAATTCATTCATTTTAGTTTGTATCTTAATTAACTCATTTATTTTTAATTTATTCTCTTATCATTTCATTTTTTAAAGTTTTTTTCACCAAATTCTATTAAATTTAGAGATAAAAGAATTTTTGCTCATATGCTAAAAAAATTTTAATTTATTAATGAAAAAGTAAATTTTATTTACTAAAAAAATAAACACTTTTATTTTTTATTTTTTTATCAATCTGTTTTTATTAAATTTTAAAAAAATTATTTTAGTACTTTTTACAGACAATAGCATTTTAAATATAATTTTTAAAAAAAGTAAATATAAAAAATTTATGTGAATTAAAATAAATTTTTTATTAAATAACCTTATTAAAGGCATAACAAATTTATTTTTGATTTTAAAAAGATTAGAATTTATTTTTGATATAGAAAGGATTAAATTTTGTTAAATTTTAGCAAGAATATTTTAATTTGACAAAAAAACATTTAATTTATATAAAATAAATCATAATCCATATTTAATAATTTCATCAGAAGTTTCAATTAATGTATGATAAGTTTATATATACTACATACCAAGATCTATTAAGCTCTAGGTGTTATCCATTATAAAGTATTAACCACTCATCCTAAGAGTTTCTTTGTATATTGGCAAACTTTATGCTTTTGCTACAAACTCCTCATGAGTGAGCTCTTTTGTATTTATTTATAATTGAGGCTATTTATCTTAATAGTATTCTTTTAAAACAGCTGCTATATCTTTTACCCACATCGATTGACTACAAGTAATGTATCTCTTTCCTCTTGTCACTTCAAATAAATTATCTTACATTGCTAAAATATGAGCTGCAGCAACATCTCTTACATCAACGATACCAAAGGTTATAGGTTAAGGAATTAATTTACCATTCAACAAACTAAATTTTAGATAATAATTAAATTAAATAAAGATACGATTAATTAAATATTATTATTTACTTTGTAATAACTCCTTAACTAGCTGAAAGGTATTTTGAGAGAGAAGGTCCTAAAATGAGAGTGGGATTAATTGTTGATAAGTTCAATTTATCTTTATTTTCTTCATAAATCTTCCAAGCTTCCTTTTCTGCAAAATATTTTGATTGACCTTTTTTATTTTTAAATCAACTTTAATTTGATGCAATTAAAATGTAAAATATTAATCAAATAATATAAGTATTATATTTTTTTTACCATAATATCCAGAATTTTCGTAGTTCTACCAAATAGATTCATCAAAATGAACTCTTTAGGTATTACCTTCGAATATTGCCTTTCCTGAGCTAGTTAAAACTACTTTCTTAATAGTTTGAGAGTGCTTTACACAAGCATTTAAGACATATCTTGTACCTAAAACAGCAGGGTTTATTATTTCTTCAGGAGTTTTGGCTTCATAATTGAAAGGAGAGGCTACATGAAGAACATATCTGCAATCTTTAACAGCTTCATCCCAACCTTCCTCTGATGAAAGATCAGCCTATGCAAATGACAAATTATTGTGAAATTGTTATGGTATGATTTCATAGAAATGAGAGTATTTTCTCTTATCTGCAAGATTTCTGACAGTTCCTCTTACTTTATAATTTAAGTGAAGTAGTTATTAAATAATATGACTACTTAAGAATCCGTTAGCTCCAGTAACTAAAACAGTATAATTGCTATTCAAAGCTAATTGTTATGCCTTTTTAATAAAGAAGTTTATTTAAAAAAGTAAATAATTTTATTGTTTTTTACATTTTAAGCAAGTCTCTTGATATTTAAATTGTTCATGTTTGCTTATTTTCTTTTATTTATTTATATTTTGGTTTAAGTTTTTATTTGTTTGGGAGATTAAATGTGTTGTTAATTTTATGATTTGAAATTAATTATAATTTTGTTGCTCAAATTGAAATGGCTGATTTAAAGATAAAGTAAAAAAATTAAAAAAAGTAAGTCTTTTTAAAAAATAAAAAAAAATATTCCAGAAGAAAAAAAGTTTTGATTGAAATTAATTAATTTGAAAGGATTACAAAATTTAATTTTATTAATTTTTAATTAAGAGTAAAACATCATAAGATAGATAGATATATTAAATTAAATATTTATCTATATCAATACAAATTTCTGATTATTTTTGATAAATAATTATTGCTTAAATGTGGTTCAAGGGATGATATTAATTACATAAATATTATCAGTATTAATCAAATTTTTTAAAGATAAATAATTAAGGCTTTACAAATTATTCTTTGTGTATTCCCAAAATTAAAAATTAAGGATAATTTTACTTTATTTATTAAATTATATTGAATGGTCAAATACTCTATTTTCTTTTTAACAAGGTATTCTAAAAAAATACACTTTAATTACAGATAAATTGATGTTTAGTCTTAAATTTATATTAAACACAAAATATAAGAAGTTTTAAACATAAAATAAATATTTAATATTTGGGTTACATAATATGGATTTTGTTTTAACTTTATGCAATTGATGATTTTTAATATAAAATTATTGTTATTAATAAACATAATATATATTCTTAAGCAAATATCCTTCATATGATTAATTTTTGCATCATTTTTAAAAAAATTTTATAAGTTATTTATTAACCAAATCAAAATCTAAAATTATTATTAACAAAAATAATTTTAATAACTAACTACTTATAATGATTAAAATATTTTTTATTTCAGATACTTTTTTGTATAAAAATTTTATCAATTTATTTTAAAGAAGTATTAAAATATTAAGCGTATAATAAAATATACTTCTCGCATGTCAATAAAAATGTTTGAAAACGAATTTTAATTTTAAAGAATATAAAATAACTAACAAATTTATTTATTTTTTAGAGGCAAAGACTGAATGAACTATTTATTTTTTAAATATTTTGTTTAGTATTTAAAAATACAGATTAAATTATAAAGTAAATTAAATATCTAATATAAATTTATTGGTAAAATCTGTAAAATATTAATCTATTAACCAAATACTAACTTCTCATTTATTAATAAAAACATATTTTAAAATAATGGTTTAATTGTAACGTAAATTTTTTTACTTTTTTTAGCACGCATGATCTTTTGAGAGTAAAATTTGCTATTTAAATAAATATCTCTCATTTAAATTAAAATAAAAATATTTGATAATTTGTATTGCTAAAATAGATCATAAAAATATTTAAATATATTCTCCATATCAAAAATACAAAAATAGTTCATAAATTAAATGAATTTTCAATAGTTATTATATAATTTGTATTAGAAGTATAATTAATTTTTATTTTCAAGCATTATTTTTTAATTAATTTATTAAAATACTTAAAGGTAATTTATTTACTTCTTGAAAAAAATTAAAAAGACAAAATAAAATAGTATTGAAATTAAATAAAACATAATTTTATTAAGTTTTTAATTAATTACCAATTTAATTTTTCAAATAAAAATATTTAATAATTTGTTTGTTTTGCAATAATAGATCATAAAATATTTAAATATTTTACTCATTACCAATAATAAAATAATACATAAATTTAATGAATTTTCAAATAATTATTAATTTGTATTAGATGTATAATTAATTTTTAATTTCAAGCATTACTTTTTAATTAATTTATTAAAATACTTTAAGGTTCTTTACTTCTTGAAAAAAACAAACAATTAAGCAAGACCAAATAAAATAGCTTTAAATTAAAACATATTTTAAACAGATCAGAAGAAAATATTAAATTAAAATAAATAAATAATTAATTTATTTGACAAGCTTTTTATAAAATATTAAAATAAATACAAATAAAATAAGAAAACTCTAATTAATTTATTGCTTCATAAACCTTTATTATAAGTAACATATTCTATTTTTTTGCCATTTTTATTAATAAGATTGTGGAAAGCTGGTTCTAATTTATTGACATGGCATTTAGTATTTTACTCGAATATTGAGAAACCAATAGTACCTCCTACCCATAAACCTAAAGCTGCCAAACCTTATTTGTTTTATTTTTAAAATTTATTTACTAAACAAACTCTCATTCAATAAAACTTACCAGAACTTACTAAATTTCCTGCTAAATTTCCTTTTGGGAAATATCCATATGACTTTAATAGCTTAATACCTCCGATTGGAATTAAGAATACTGGAATGGGTATAATAACTCTGCTTGCTGCAGTTTACCAGAAAGCCATTTTAGCTATTTTAAAAGAATTATTTACTTACATTTTTAGTTCTACTTTTTAATTATTTACCTGCAATAAAAGAATTTTGTATTTCAATTGGTTCTCCTGTTTCTAAATCTTTAATTTTTATTCCTTTACTATTATTTTAGGGAAAATTTCTTTTACTTTTTAAACCTAACAAAATGAAATTACGAAAAATCTTAGTATCTTGAGAATGCTAAATTGCATACATTAGCAACAGATACACCAATATAGGGAGATATGCTTAAAACAATGTTTGCTAATGTTTTATTGAATGCTAATTTCTTAGAGAGAGCAGCTGTACCTAAACTACCAACGATAGCAGCAGTCACTGCTCCTGAAAATGACACTGTTAATTTTAAAATAGTGGTAAAATTAAATTAATTGTCTTTCTTTATATTTATTTTCTTCAAAGAGTAGAAATTGAGTAATTCATACTTGCTAATTCAGAGCTACTGTAAACATTTGAAACATTTCTATTGAAGTAATTGAAACAGAAGTTGAATGTTTAGTTTATAGATTAGCTCATAACCTAGTTGAAGGGCTATATTTATATTTGATAGTTACTTAATATGCCATGATAAAAAAATTAATTTATTTTACTGTAGGAGGTAAGACTGCCAATCCAAAACTAATTGGAGTATTTGCTAAAACAAAAGCACTTGTTCTAAAGGGATAAGGGATAACTTCTTCAGTTTGAGGATGAACCTAATAAATAGATATTGTAGATGATCATTAAATATATGAATTTTGATTTGAAGACTTAAAACAGATTTAAATTTTAAATTTTTCATTTTTAAGTATTGCTTTTGTTTTTAATTGTATTTAGTCTACTATTATTCAAATTATAATATTGTTGTGGTTAATGGCTATTTACATTTGATAAGACTACGTATTTGATTCTCCATAATTCTTCATTAGTGTATTAGCTTTTTAATGCTGGGTCGGAATCAACTTTCTTTAGAATTTAAATGTATTCCTTAAGTGTCTTTTCTGTGTAGAAGAAATTCCTGTTATCATAAATAATTAATAATTTAAATAAATAAAAAAGAGAGATTTCTAAACTTGAAATAAAGAATTTTACATGGGATTCATCATATTTTTAAAGTGCTCAAGACGGCCAACTTAAGTTGATAAATCAAAAGCAGATTCAAGAGTAGAGTTGTATTGTTTCATTTAAATAAATTTTTTTTTTTGCTTATTTTTTTGAAAAGAAAGAGTAGGACAATTAATATCTTATTTTTATTATTAATCAATAATAAGCAAATAGAAAATTGTCGATTCTTTTTTTGTAACCCAATAGATAAAAACATACCTTCTAAAATTTACATCAATTTTCACTTTAAGTATACTTTTTTTTACTTAACTTTCATGACATCATTTTAGCCAGGAAATATTCATTTTCGAATGTTTTTTACAACTTATTGATCCCCTAAAATTTTTATTCATAAGTTCTAGAACACATGATAAAATTTACGTCATGTTTCTCAGTATCTTTAAAGATTAAACATATTATATTGAGATAAGAACAAAGATACTATTTATTTTTTAAATTAGAATTAGCAAAGTTAAACAATTCTACTATTCTTCTTTGAATTTAATAATTTATGTAAAATTTATTTAATTTTTAAACATCTAAGAAACAATAAAATAAAATAAAATCAAAACAAAATATATGATACATAGATATATACTTAATTTACTTATTTTTACTATAAAAGAATAAAATTTATAATTTTTCAATCATTAATGTTAATTAAGTGCTTAACTTGATAACAACTTAGAACCACATTTTAGAAAAATAGTAAATATCAAGCATTGATTCTAATACATTATATTAATTTTTTATTAATGTAATTCAAATACAATTTTCTTAATATTTTTTGAAAATTAAATAAAATTTACTGATAATGTTTAGGAAATAAATAATTTCATAATGATGAAAATTACAATTTTATTAAGATAGATTTTGTTTCTATGTTAAATTTTTAATATCTTATTTAAAATTAAAGCATCCTATTTTTATATTTGAATTTAATTTAAAAAACTATTTTTATGATTTCAAAAGATCCCAAATAGAAATTGTTTTATTTTTTACAAAAAAGTTATTATGAGAACATATCATTTTAATATAATTCCTTGAAATAAAAAAAATATTTTAGATTTTAAAATTAAACTTATTAAAAGTTGATATAAATACAGAATGTCTAATGTAAAATTAACTTAATGTAAATCATTTAAATTTCTTTCATAATTGTTAATAAAAAATTATGTTATAATTTAAAACATTTTAAAATTGCTATTTGGTGTAACATTTTGAAGCAAAAATATATTAATTTTAAAAGCTTTAATTGAAAAATATTTTTACATAGAGTTTATTTAGGATTTAACGATGTTTTCAGTATTTTATTGTTAGAATTTTGTTTCTATTTATTTATTTAATCAATTATTGCTGATTTTATTAATTTTCTTATTTCTTTCTAAAATTTTAATATTTTGGGTTTTTCATATTTATTTTTTACTTTTTATTTTGATAAAAGTAAATTTGTAAGATGAAAATTATTTTTTTATTAATTAGAGATCATTAGAGGTGAGTAGATTGATTATAATTAATTAAGCAAAGATTATTTATATTTAATGGATTTTTTATAGGAAAGAAAAGTGTTAGATTTCATTATTGCTATTGCCATAATATAACAAAATAGATAAAAAAGCATTTATTTTTCATTGATGATATACGAGTTAAGAAATTTTGAGTTGGTTTTGATTTTGCCAATACATTTAGGGTTTTTATGTATTTATGGATTTTAGACATGAGTCATTTTATGCAATAAAATAATTTGAGTATTTGTACAGGGATGTTAAAAACTTTTAGGAATATGCGTAAATATTTGCACCATGATTAATTACTTAAAAAACTTAATAATAATCAAATTATTTAATTGTTGTTTTTTTTTTTGTTTTTCTTAATTTTTGTTTGATTTTTTATCAATTATGAAAGTAATTGGTGTTTGTTTTTCCTTTTAAATAAATAAATATTTATTTATTAATTTTTTCAGTTAAATATTTTCTTATTAAAATTTATTTGAATTTAAAGATTTTTAATAAATAAATAAATAAATACTTTAGAAATAAATGATTGTAAAAAAGTTCAATAAAGCTGTTAGAAATTATATATTAATTAAACTAAAAAAAATTAATAACTAAGAAAAAAATAAAAGAAGTGACTATTCGTACTTCGTAAAACTAAAATAGTTTTTAAAAATAATTCATTTGCTTTAAATCCTCCTACGCTAGTTTTTAAGTATGGCAAATTAATTATTAAACATCCTTTAAGTATGCGAAAAAATAGTTTTACTAAGTTCAATCAAGAATAGCTTTGCTTCTTCTATTGTGCATAAATTATTCATAAATTATGATTTATTTATTGCAAATGGTTTGATCAAAATTAAAAAATAAATGAATGAAAAATATTTAAATCTTTATCAAATTCACAATAAGACTTAGCTGAGAAAAAGCTCATTTTCTTTTTCTAAAATAAAATTAAATTATTAAAATACTTTTTATTAAAATAAATAATGCTCTCTTGACTGACATATAGCCTCTGCAAATAAAATACTCTCTTTTTAAATAAAACATACAAAAAAGATATTAAGAATAAATAATATAAAAAACTAATAAAAAAAAGTAAACATAAATTTAAATGCGAAATAATAATTTTATTGTTTAAACACTAAACTGTAAAACAATAAAAAACCTGTTTAACCTATTTCTATTCTTAAAAAAATATAATAATTAAATAAATAAAATATTTTTAAAAGTAATTTTTTATCTTTAAAAAAAATATACTGCTAATTGCCAAATATTAACAATCATCCCTACTCCTTTTAATTTTTTGATGAAAAATAGAATTAACTTTAAAAAATATTATAAACTTTTTTATTAATTGTAAAATGTTTAAGGGTAGACAGTATATTAGAATTTATTTAAATTAAATATTTTTATTTTTTTGGTAAGCATTAAAAAAGCTTTTTAAAAATAAATTGAGTTATTTATTTTAGATACTAAATTAATTAAAAATATTATGAAGCAAGAAGTAAAATGTTTAAAAAAGAATAATTACATTTATAAAACTCAAGATTTATACTTAATAAATTGGATTATGTTTAACAATTTAATACTTATTTGATATAAAATCAAACATAAATGAATGAAAGAAGAAATAATTAAACAAAGAACAGATAAATTTATGTCAATGAATTTTAGATTAAAGGGAAAAAAATTTACCACATATTTTGTAAAAATTTAGAGGTCTATAATAATAAAAAAATTAGTGATAATAAAAGTTCAATTACAGTTTAATTTTATAAAAATTATATTCAATTTTTAAAGAGCTTTTTGCATATATTTAAGTCTAAAACAAGCATACTGTAAATATGTTAAGTTTTTTCTAGTCAAATAATAAAATTTGAAAGCAAGTTAAGTTAAGAACTATAACTATATTTTTTTTAGTTGTTGGTTCTAACTATAGTTCTATGTAAAAATTTAATATAATACGATTTTTTTAACAACAATCAATTGAAAAATATTAAAATTTTATAATTAGTTTGTTTTGTTTCAAGAAATAAATTATTTAATGGATTAATTTTTAAATAGAAAATTATTGGATTTTTAAGATATGAGTTAATAAGTAACTTGCAAAGGCTCAAGAAGCCTTTTTATTCTTTTATTTACTTTTGATAAAAATTTTGAAATTAAGGTTTCAAAAAATAATAATAATAAAATATATTTTGTTTCAATTTAACTTATCAGTTAAATTATTTTACCTAAAACTCATAAAATAGATTTTTAAATCATAAATCTGAGAAAATATTATTAAAATGTAACACTTTTTACATAAATAAATAAAAATAATAATTGTTAAGATCATAGGCAGGATTATTTTAAAGATTGTCATAGCAAATTGTAATAATAATAATATTCATCAAAAATATATGTTAAGTACTTTGTGTTTAGTTTGTAAACACATTAGTTTTTATAGTGTTTAAACAAGTAAGTATCTATAAAAGACTTATGTAAAATACTTGCCAAAATCAATTTACATTAAAAATGTTAGGTTTCAAGATTTTAGATTACTAATTTCTTGATGAAATTTATTATGTGTTTTGCTAAATTATGAAAAGGACTCCTAATTTGATTGATTTCTTTACAATTTATTGGATGAGGTTTTTTGTCTTTTTAAATATAAAGTTATTAAAAAATTTTTGATGAGTTATTTACATTTATTAAAAGTGCAAAAAACCTTTATTAGATAGATTCAATATAAAAAATTAATAATAAACAAAAAGACAAACATATTTAATTAAATAAGGATAAAGTATTATAAATTTATTTTGCTCCATCAATAAAATAACAAAACAGAAAGAATATTTTAGATTCGCTTCATAAAAGGAAAATCGTTTTCATAGTTGAAATTTAATTTATTAGTTAAAATAAATATACAAATGAGTTAGTATTTTAGAAACGCTGATATGTTTGGCGCAGAAGTTAAGATTTATTTTTAAAAGCTTTAGTATCATGGTACTTGTTGGGGTGTTTTATTTACTACCGTGATGTATTTGGTAATTACTTTTGCCACAGTTTACTATGGTGAAGATTTAGTGTATAGAAAATCGCCATAGACAACATATAGTTAAGAAAATGTTGTTCATCCAGAAAGATATTATCTTACACCAAAAACATTTACAGCTGCATTTGGTATAGAAGACTCTGTTACTTGGAATCAAATAGTAGATCCAACTATATACACAGTCACAGCTCTTAACAGAAAAAGATTTAAAAAGTATAATACTACTTCTTAACAATATTATTTTGAGGAGCACGTTCTAGATTTATAGCCTCGAATTTGTGATTAAAGCTAATTTTAAGTGCCAAACACTCAGTCTTATTTTGAATCCTTGGCAGGGGTATAAAATATGTATTGCTTTTCTTTTTCTAATACAACTGATAGTAGTCCAGATCAAGAAGACTTAAATTCTCTCTATATAGAAGGAGATTATACGGCTGACGCTTTCGCTTAAATAGAAATAGGATTTTATGGTTGCAAAAATAAAACTCTTATAGAAATATAATAGCTTCAAAGTTAGGGTCTTCCTGTTATTACCTGCAAGCCTTAATCAGAAATCGACTTACACTTGCAAAACGCTTATATCGGAATGTATTTAACGACATAAAATTTTGATCCAAATAACTTCGAATCACCTTTTTCAAACGCTGCTACAGACTTATTTTGGCCTGTATCAAATAGTCTCTCTAAGTACCTTACTGTAAGCTATAAGAACACTTACATAAATTCTAATTAAGGATTATTATTTGATGACGTCGTAATTGAGAAAGGATTCTAATTAGCTTCGGACAAAGAATAGCTAATACTTCCCGTAGATAACTAATTTGCCTATCTTAATATTCGTTTCTAAAAGGGATTATAAGATAGAATTTTTAGAACATATAAGAGCATAGGAGCAGTAATAGCTTAAATAGGTGGTATTGCTACATTTATGAGAATATTAGGATTTATAGTTGCTTTTCCAATTAGTAAGCTTTAGCTCAGAAAAAATATTATAAATGAGTTGTTTTCTTTCTCTGAAAATGCAAATGCATCTAATAAATAGCAAAATCCAATGAAGCTATATTAAGAATGCTATTAAATCTCAAAAAAAAATGAAAGTCAAGCTTATCCTAATTCTTAAACGTACCTTAAAAAGAAGACAAGTGGGACTTTTATTCAATAAAATTCTAAATATTAATTTGTGGAAACTGTCTAAGCTGCAGACGATTAACAATAGAAAAATATCCAATAGCCAGATTAGAATAATGTTTCTCGAAATAAATTTAAATTAGAAGAGCTACAGAAGACCAATTAAAAATACATAAGTGAAAATCTTAACTTGGAATAAAATAAAAAAGAAATTTAACTTGAAAATTTTTGTTAATAGCTTGTCGAAAATTAAATCCAAAATGACAAAACTGCTTTAAACTAATATAAATAAATTGATACGCCAGCTACTTCTGATAATTAAAAATCTCTGATAAACAAGAAATATAAAAGCTCCAATAATCATAGATAGAGCTAAAATAACCAAAGCGCTGAAATATTGAATTAAAAAATTGATGATAATATAAAAAATTCTTATTATAATAAAAGCAACTCTGGAAAGGACAATCATGAGAACTACGATTAATTATTTAATCATGATAAGAAGAAACAAATGGATTTATCATTTAGTGATTCAGTTCTTTATTATCTATTCCCTTGCCCCAAACGTATAAAAGTAAAAAAAAATAAAATTGATTTCTGTAATTAAATTATCTCTGAATAGTTTGATGGTGTTTACATTTTAAAAAAATTATTAGAACTAGAAAAATTAAAAGCGATATTATTAAGTGAGGAGTAATTAAAACTTTTTGAATACATTCCAAAGCCTGTTATTGACGATTAGTCAGTAGCAGATTACGCTTCACTCAAATTTTAAAAGAGTCAAAAGTAATTTTTAAACTCTAATAACTTAGAAGATACTAAAGGTGCTAAGGATATATCAAAAAATGTATCGCCATCTTAAACAATCTAAAATAATTTGAGTTCTTAAATTCAGTTTAATTAGAACACATTCAACATATTAAGAATATAACCTAAAACAGATCAAGAGAAATCTCTTGAAGCTCTGTAGGCATTAAAAAAAATATTCTAGAAAGATAATCTATCAAAAAAAGATGTTAAGATACTTCAAATGATAGATCCAAAATTCTAATAGCCTAATAAAATTTTTAACTCCTCAAATAACAACTCTGATTACGAAGATAAAAAATGTGATTTTTCCCCTATCGCAGCAATAACTAATTAAAGAATAAATAATCAAAATGAGCTAATTAATTTAAATGAAATTAAAAATAGTGCTGACGGAATACAAAATAGTGTGATATCAAACAATATTACAAATTAAATTAATAATTTTAAAATCAATAAATTTAATTAAGTGTAAAAGAGTATAGGAATTGTTCAGTATCCTGATGAAAGTGTATTTCCTCTTGAAATTAATAGTTAATAAAATAGTTATTCAGTCAATAATAATGATTAATACTCAGAACAAATCCAAGAAAATTTTCTTTAAAATAACAAAATTGATGCATCTGCAGCAAAACTCTATACCATGAATTTTTTGCTTCCTTTCTAGAGATTTTCTACTTTATCTCCCACTAAAAAACAGAATTCCTTAGTATAAATTAAAGAAAACTCCTCCTCAAACTGAAACATACCATATTTGAAATTTCATATTTATCATTTTAACCAACCAAACAGTCTCATATATTTACATTAGATTAAAATTATATTTTTTGATGTCAATTCATACATTAATGTTCTAAAATAAATTTAATAAAATTAATTCTTTAAGACTTGACCATTTTAATATAAATTTTCGATTTTCTATTTGCAAGAAGATCTTAATAAAAATGATTAATAAAATAATATAAAAAATATCTCATAATTCATCAAAAATCCAACAAAAAAATCTTAAAAATATCAAATAATTTATCATGCTACAAAAATGAAATATTGTTCAAGTTTTTTATTATTGCATAGCTTATACATTTACTATTTACTTAAGTATCATAAATTATATTTAATATTTTTAATCATGAAAAATAAGAAATCTAACTAAATATATTCTTTCATTAAACGAATCAGAGTTTATCTCAAAAATATTTTTATCCATCAGAAATCTTGACTATGTTTAAGTAAATTACATAGAAATAACAAAGTATTTTTTAAAGTTTTGAAATTAAAACACTATTTGAAATAATAATCTTAATTAAAAATCTGATATATACCTTTAATAAAAACTAAATTATTTCATTTTATGGTGATAAAAAAAAAACAAAACCATTTTAAATATTTTAACATTTATACTCAGTTTATTAATTTACCAAACTTAAACGATATATCTTCAAAAATATGATGTTTTATTAAATGCAATATCAACTTAAATTATTTGTTATTTTTAATTTTTAAAAATACATTTTAGATTTTAGGAGTTATTAATAAAAATATGAAATTGTAGTTTGTTTGATAAAAAATTAAATCCAGCAAGAATTATAAAGAAAAAATTATAGATTTCATAAAAATTTCCATGATATTTAGATTAAATTTAAAGGTAAATATTTAGAAATATATGCATTGAAACTACTAAAGTGAATCATATAATAGTATATAAAGGAATTAAGTTGTTAGTATGAAATAAAATTACTTTTAGCTAATCAATCAAATTGTCTTGTAATTTTAAACAATTATTAAGAATTATTTATTGGTAGCTCTAAATAAGATAACTTATCACTGATGACTAGTTAGTTATAAAGAAGGTTAAAAAATAGGTTAAAAGTACAAAGAAAATGGATGAGATTTGAACTGCTTTATTAAGAATGCTAGAGAATTATTTATTTTATAGAATAAACTAGAAAGATAAAATTTTTAATTTTTATATTTTTTTAAAATTATTATAGGATACTATTAATAATAATAGACTCTAATTTATTAATATTAGTTGGTATATTTCTTAAATTAGATAAAGAACAGTTTAAGTTAAAAAAATGACAAAAGCTTTATAAATCATTTATGAAAAATTTTTAGCATTTACCATATTTTTTAAACAGTTAATTTTTGACATAATATTTTTATTAAAAATTCTTCCGAATATGTTTTCTGTTTATGTATTAACCTATCATCTATATATTCTTTAAAATTGTTCAAAGAAAATATCTACTAAAAAGTAAGAGGAAGAGAAGCTTATTCCTTAGATATAACAAAGAAGATAAAGGCTCTCAGACAAAACTTTTGAAACTAGCTAGTTTTACTCTTTTTAGCACAAGAGTTTTTCCTTTAGGAAATAAAATTTTATTTAAAATTAAAAATAACATAAGAACTAACTTGGTATTTTAAGAACTCAGGTAAATCAGTAAAAATTTTTAAGAAACAGTAATGTAAAAAAATAAATTGCTTGCTTCAAATTTTGAATTAAAATTTTGTTATCAATATTTTTGGCATACTTATATCTCAAAATACATGTTTTTCATGTTAAAGAACAGAAATTAGAAAAAACAAATTCAAGAGATAGAATATAATCAACATTTAATAATTGCAAATATCTTAGTAGGATACAACTTTATTAATATGATTTTTTGAAAGTATTTTTTCTCTAAATTTTAAGGTATTTTTGTTTCATTAAAATTTTTATTTTCAAAATTATTGATTACATTTTTATAAAATATTTGATATATTAAAAATAAATGAAAAACACCTTCTAAATTATTAGTTAATTAAGTTAAAAAAACATCTAAATAATATTTCATAAATTTGAAAGGAATTTAATACTTTTAATTAATTTTTCTTTTGGCAATATCTTTAATTAATTATATTATTTGTATTTATCTTTCAAAATTAATTTTCATAATTCAAAATTTAATTTTTTATTTGTAATTTCTTCTTATTTTTTCCTTATAATCAAATATTAATTAAAACAAACTAATACAAAAGAAAAACTATAAAAAAAAAATATCTTTCAAATCCACAACAGAATATACTTATCTACTTAGAAATTTCAAGGCACGCAATCAGGAATGTATTCATCTGTTTAGAAATGTAGCAAGTTACTCAAAAAGTATGGAGGCTACATTTAACGAGCAAAGTTTTTAATACTACAAGCACTACATGGCAATAAATATACGATCCTTTGGTCACCTAATATTTGATAAATTAATTCATTATTATGGTGTATCAAATGCCAAAGTGCTTCCACTCGATATAATCTCAAATTTTTTAAACGAATCTATAATGCTCTCTAATAAGATGAATACCAATCAAAAGCCAAGAGATTTCTTTGTAGAGACTCATACTTCTAGTGGATTTTTTTTCTCTCATTAATATATAAAAAGTATTTTTTAAATTTAGGCAGGCAACCAATTTTAATGAATTTTAACATGGCAATTGAGGCAAAATAAATTTTAATATTAAATAAATAAATAAAAATAATAAATGAATAAATATAAAGATCAGATAAATAACCCGACTGATCTCAAACTAAAATCAAATAAAAATAAATAATAAAATATAAATAAATAAATCAGATAAAAAAAATAAAGCAAGCTAACAAACAGAGAAAAAAAACAAAGTAAATAAATAAACATTAAATAAATAAAACAAATAAATAAACACTTAAAAAATAAAAGCAAATAAAAAAAAAAAACAAACAAAATAAAAATACATAAATATGACTCTGATATAATGTGCATTACGCTAAGATAATTTTTTATATTTAAATTTTTTTATATGCTTTTTTTAATAATCAGAAAGAAAAAATAATTTGTTCAAAGAAAAATATTGTTTAGATTTAAATTTTAAGAGTAATAAACTAATTTTTAAACATTAAATATTTTTTATAATCAATTTACTAAACATTTTATTATTTACAAACAAACATTGGCAATATTTTATAATTTATTGCTATTGAAAAAGTATTAAATATTAATTTTTAATGAATGACATAAAAGATTTAATTAAAAGACAAACAGTTTTCATTTTTAAAAGTTTCAATCATTTTTCGTCTAGCTGTTGATCTGAGTCTTAAGAAATTATAATCTTTATTTCTTTTTCACCTATTTTTATTGTATTTCATTAATGAGCTAATCTAATTTTTTTAATTAATTTACTTTGCTCCTGCTTAATGTTAGATTTACTACTTGTTTCTTAGATATTAATAAATTTCCTTTTCTTCTTTAAGTTAGACAAGCAGTTTTAAGCTAATATTTAAAATGTTTGAAAATAGTTATTTTCTTAAATAATTAATTAATTACCTATTAACGAATGTTTTGATTTTAGTTAGTTAGTCTCCAAAGTATCTTAAGTTTATACACATTTTATATTTTAATCTACTATATCTAAAAACAAAATAAAATTATTATCATTTCTTAATTCGAATATTTTACTCGATAGTTAAAAAATTAAGTTTTTATTTTGCTAAGCACCACCAGTTATTTGGTTTAAAGATTTACTAATTTTTGTATAATATTGAGACTCATCTTAGAAGAACTTAGCATTTTCATTATCTTATTTTCTTTTCTTAAAATCAAGAAATTGCTTTCTGAGAAACTACCAAATTATCATCTTTTTTTGAGAGCTGCTTCTCAAAAATATTATCGAATAAATAGAAAAAACATTTTTTTATAAATATTATTTGAGTTATGGGTGATCATAATTTATTTTATTAGCCAATTTATTAAACAAATTATTGATAATTTTTTTAAGTAGAGACTATTATTAACAATTCAATAGATAGGATATTATAATTTCTCTTACTATTTTCAAAAGCAGGAATGCAAAAATAAAAGTTGAAAGCATAGTTACTATTTAAATTATAATCTGCTGCTCTAATTCATTTTGAATAGTATTTTAATAAGAAATTAGAAGCATTATTATAATCTCTATAAATGAACAAATTTAATCAGATTCCTAAAATTCATTCTATATGTAGGGTTTCTTTTTCGAAAGCTATTAAAGATATGCCATTAGAATAATTGAGATGTAAAATCCTTTTCTAAAGTTGTCATTTTAGAAGAAGCACAAAATTGTCACTATAAAAATTCTTATATAAATTTTAAAAATCTCCCAATGAGAATTTTATATTTTATAGTCGCAAGTCATAAATCCAACCTATTTCCATATAAAATATATTTTTACTTGGAAGCTAATCTAATAAAATATTTTACCTATCTTACAGAATTGGTGAAAGTTGGCTTTAAAATTTAGGAAATTTTTATTTTGTAGTAAAGCAAGAATGGGAATAAAATTGCCCAGATAAAGAGTAAAGGAAGAACAATAGCAAATGAATACGTATAGTATTATTATGTATAGCATTTTTCTGTCAAATAGCTAGATATATAATATTATTAACCTATTTACCTACAGGAAGTTACAGAAAAGAGACTGTATATAATGTTTTACTAGAATATAAAAGCAAAAGCTATCAAAAGTGATATTAAAGAGTTTTTTGAATTTAAGTAGAGTTGTAAAGATATTTTTTCCGAATCATTTTTTTTAGAAGCCAGAACCAAATAAGTAATTTTAAAAGCTAAATAAGTTATAAAAAGTAAAAACAGTATAAGAATATTGAAGTAGAGTAGCCTCATATAATGCAGAGGAAGAAAGTTAATAGATAGCTAATAAAGAATGCAGTCTAGAGTAGAGTTCATAAACATAAAGGGTGATAAAATAATTTAGAACCAATCTAAAAATTTTATATCAAATCTAAAGCTCTACATAGCAGTTAAGACCAAAATGTGATGTATAAACAGTTTAACCAATTAAGTCTTTTAAGATTTTTAAAATGCTGAGTTTCCTAACACTTGCATTCCTGAAATATGAATCAAATTCAGAATTAATTTGTTTACTTGAGAGCGATTAATTTCAAAAATAATTATAAACACAAAGACTATTATCGCCAGCACGCTAATAAAGAAATTTAAGTACTATTTTTTTATATCAGAACACCTTTAACAACTATCAATGTGGTTATTTACTAAATTAGACTTTCCATAACTCTCACCCCAAACTTTTCCTAAATTTAATAATTGGAATTTTATTAAAATAAAATTTAATTTTAGAAAAAAATAAAGTGCTTTTAAATATAAATTTAAATACCTTCATAATCGCATGTTTCACATAAAGGACCTATATATCCGATCGAGCAATAATGAGTAGATTCGTTTCCGTTGCAACTCTATGGAAAATTATTACAGTAATGAATTACATCTGTGCTCTCGTTTTCTCTCCAAAATCCTTGTCTTAGTTTGATTATATTTTTTTTACAATAAACTGATGTTTTATAATCACATTTCATGCAAGCAGTTGCTTATTCAGGATTTTCTAATGAATAAGTTCCTAATGGGCACTCTTAACAATTAATAGTGGAGCATGTAGGACATGATTTTAATGGGATTTCACCAATTTCGCAATTTCTAAAAGTTACATTTAAATAAATGTCATCTCCTTTTTAAAATTCATATGTTTGTGGATCAATAACATATAACGGATTAACTTCCAACTTTATGACAGTCTGGCTATTAGGTATGCCTTCGATGGAATACTAATCAAAAATAAATTTTCCATTAAAATAATCCTAAAAAACATCTCCATCTATTTAAATATTAGAATTTCCAAAATTATCAGTTACATTACTTTTAGAAAACTTTGTGTAATTTTATTATTAATTAGGTACTTTATTTAGTTTTGTTGTGAATTATTTTAGCTCCTAAACTAGAGATGGGCTCATAGATTAAATGTTGACGTTTGAGAAATCCACTTTTTAGTTAAACTCGTCTAATAGCTCAAATACTACCTATTTTTCATTCTATCCACTTCTAATATCTTTAAATAAATTTTTTTGAAATTCTTTTTACTCAATTAACTTTTCTTCATTTCCTTACTTTTCTACTTGCACAATTTAACTCACATATGAACCAATATTTTTACCAAATAATCTCCCTTAGTTGTCTGAGCAAAAGTTAGAAGAATATGTTCCACATGAATCTTGAGAATATATTTCTTAATTTTCTGTTTCCTGGATCAATCTACTAGTTGGATTTCTCATAAATGATGGCTGTAAATTTATATATCTGACTGCTCCACCTATTTCAGCTCTATTAGAGATAAAAGTATTTTCACTTAAATCTATATCAGAGTTATCCAAAACCAAGCATCCTCCACTACCCGAAGAAGAATTTTCTCTAAATTCAAATTTACGAATCTTTTTATATTAGCATTAAAAAATACTTACTAATGAATAATAGTAAAAAAATATTTTATATTACCCTACTATTTTTTAAGCCGTTTCTAATATACATAACACCACCATCTATTTGTAAATATATTAATAAAATTATTAGAAATTTTTCATAAAAAAGAAAAACTATTTTGCAAAATTTTATTCATAAAATTAGTTTAAATTAAAATTTTTGTAAAATAATTTTTAAATTAAAAGCAAATAGTTAGATTTATTTTATTGTGTATATAATTAATTAAAAATAAAGTTTTACCTGTAGCTTCATTTTTTATCGCTTTACAATTAGATATATTAATTTCAGATTTTTCAATTAAAGCAACTCCTCCGTTATAACCATTGTTAGAGATAAATTCAGAGTCTTCAATTTAAATGACAGAACTTGATATATATAAATTTGAATATAAGTCTGATTTGTTATTTTCAAATAGAGCATTTTGCAGTCCTCCCTTACTATTTAAAATGAATAAAACACCTGACTGTTACGACTTATTAGATATAACTTTAAAATTATTAAGTTAGAATTTGTTCGATATTATTTAAATAAAAAATGAATCATCAAATTCATTGATATTATCTTTTATAGTCATTTTGTCAATATAAAATTCGTCTTCAAAGATTGTTCTTGTTTCAAGTAAACTTTAATGTCTGCTTTCATAGTATGGCTGAGAAATTAAAAATAAAATTCCTGTATTATTTTGGTAATTAATTTATGACATAAACACAATACGGTTTATAAAAAGTTGCAAAATGGTAGATTTCATAAAGCTGCTCTATGAATTATTAGTAGCATTTACATTTTTTATTACAGATTCCTTTGTTTGTGTGGCAACAATGACTGCACTTCCATCAAAATAGGTGTTGTTGTAAAAAGTTAATCCATTTAGGTAAAATTCCTTAGACATATTGGATATATTTTAAGGTACATACTATATTTATAAGATTGTAGATTTGTAAATAGCTCTGCAGTGTTCAATTTTTAAATTAAGCACGTTGGCGCTATCAAAAGACTGTAAAAGGAAAATCAAACTTTTCTTAATTAACTGATTTTAAATCAAAATATCATGTAAGTTAATTTGCTTGATGTTTACAAAAACAAAATAGCGGATATTTACAGTATTGAATTAGGTCAATTCAACATCTTTCATAGTAAACAATGTTATATTTTCAAAACTTTATTCAAATTAAATTTTATTTAAATTTAAAAGCATATTTTTAATAGTGACAGAATTAAAGTTGCTCACACTTGATGCAAATTTAGGAGAAATCACTATACTATCTCTATTTTCTATTGATTGCTCAGGAAAAAATGAAGCAGGATCGAAGCTTCTATTTTCTGTGTCAATATAATCTGTATTATTTAAATAAGGTGGACTAGTTAGGGGTTCTTTTTAATTTTGTGATGAATCATTTTTTTTACTCTCTCCATCTTGTTACAATTTTACATCCTCTTAATTAAATTTAACCTGGTAAGTTAAATTAGTTTTTTAAGAAAACTCAAAAGAGGGAAATTCACTTATTTCACCCTTTGAGTGAAGATTAAAGACAAAATTAAAACTCTCTATCTCATATACCTCCTTGGATATAATGTTAAATTATTCTATATTTTTTATAGTTTTCTTAATACAATGCTAACTACAGTGAGGGTTGAATTCAACTAAACATTATTAGGAACCTTTTACAACTAGTAAAAATTCTACCATAGAATTACTATTTGCTATAGTCATCTTGATTGATAAGTTATCTTAACCGTAGAATATATTTTTATCAACATTAAAGCTAAATCTATCAAATTAATTCTTTTATTATGTAAATTTCTAAATTTGCTTGCTGCTTTCATTAGCCTCATTTACTTTTATCAAGAAAAAACTCTAACTAAACTGACTAAGAATATACTCATCAGATAAAATTATGAGATCTTTTATTTTTTATTACTTTTAAAAAATTTTTATAGAAATTAAAGTAATTTAGTTAAGAAAAAAAAAATTTTTTTAAATTATTTTTGAAAAGAATTAAAATAAATACTGCAAACACTATTAAATTTCTCAAGTTTGATTTGACTTATAAGGTTTTATATGAGATAATTATATAGTGAAAGCTAGAGGCTAAAACTATCATGTCATATTATTTGTCTGTTTTTATAGCTAAAGTATATCCATTCGTAGGAGATGGTAAGCATGTTAAAAATTCAAGATCTGGATATGAAAAGACTTTAACATTATTGAATGATTATGGTGTATACGCAATCAAATAGTCTTCAGCTAAATAAATATTACTTATTATACATTTACTATTGTCTTGTATTATTTCTGGAGTTACAGAAAAATTATTTAGAAAAGGAGATTACATATAATTAGGATCACATAGATATAGCTACTTATAAAGAGTAAATGATTCACCTTTTGAATTGAATTCATAAACATTTATAAGTCCATCCCAGCTATATGAAATTATTCTTCTTCTAGAACTCTCATCAGAATAATCTCCAAGAATATTGTTTATTATCTAAGAGTGATCTTACTTTTTATATATATATTTTTTTAGTTGATAATTATACACAACAATCGAAAAAGATTAAGATTAAGTAAAAAATAATAGGTTTGAAACAGGATCTATCTTTATTAGGTCTATATAGGATTTAATTTTTTCCTCAATAGTCATGTTGTCATTTCCTTCTTCATTGTCTGCGTCTTCCATGTTTAATTCTTCTATTTATTCTTTTAATGGAGGATTTATTTCCCATGATACCTTAAGCTCCACGTCATTTAGTAGCTCATAAGCTATAATTTTATATTCTTTCTGGCAAAATAAATATTATTGTCTCTTCTGTTTATTTTAAAACACTTTTTAAGTTTAGAAATTATGCACAGCTGAAATACAACCTTGATCAAAATAATTGATTAATTTCAAATCATCTACTCTAATATGATATATTCCTCTAAAATCCACAAATATTAAGGAATTTTAAGAAGGAACTTAGAATATATTAGTATATAAAGGAAATTCATTATTCTTAATTACACCAAGAATATCTTTGGTTCCATATTTACAATTCCATTTCATCATTTAAAGACTTGTGTCAATGTAAAAAATCTCTGAAGAGTTTCTTTCATTTCTTTGGGCATTAATAATACCAAGTTCTTTCCTTGATTCAAAAATAAAAGTGTCACGTAACAATCCTTCATAGTTCCAAATATTAAGTAAGCCCTCATATTCAAATGCAGTAAATAAAATATTTTATAGCCATTTTCCTACTGGCTTAGTTAAGCTATTTGTCTCTTATCTAAACTCTTATTTGAGAAATAGAGAAGGATATTCAAGTAGTAATAATCCTCCATTTACATCAGTAACGATAACAATGTTAGCAAATTCATCAAATACAATATTCCTGAGCTAATATTTACCAAAATAAGTGCTAATAGTTTTATGGTCATTTTTAACATAGTTTCTAATCTAAATTAATTTGTCATCTCCAACTGTAATAACATAGCCCTAGCTTACTACCAATTTGAGATCCCAAATTCTCCCATTATGAATTTACTCATATATAGTATGCTCGTATTAAAATCTATTCAAAGCTATTAAGAATCCATTTTACTTTTATATAAAATTTGTCATAAAACAAAAAGAAAAATACAAATAAATAAATTTACATCTATACTAACTATAATGTTTCTTTTAAAGTCAATCTCGCCATAAATACCTAATTTTGTAAGGAATATACTCATTTATTATAAAATTCAGCTAATTAAATTACCTAAAATTGTAGATATATTCTTCCATATACCTTAGAGTATAAGATTAATGTTAAAGAGATATCCATTCCATGATAGCTTATTATTATAAAAACAAAATTATATTAAAAAATACAATAAAAACTTAAAATTACTGAATAAATGTAAATTTCATCTTTTGATTCATTAATGATCATTTTATTAATTGCAAACTATTCTAAAGAAGTATTCTCTAATTTATAATTAAGTTTTTTCTCGATAGCATCAATAGCGTATAAATATATTTCGCCAGAATAGCACCCTATAAAAATGTAATTGACTTTATAAAGTGCAATTTAAGTAATTCCTTCACAACTCAAAGGTAAAGTCGTTGAGCTTATATATTCAAATATATCAGAATCATAAATAACTATTATTGAATCTTCCCCTGCACTAAATATTAATTTTAATTATGGTACATATTCGAATTGTTGAATATTTTTGTTATGATAACCAGAAACTGTTTGAATTTTCACCATTTAAATATAATCCCAAAAATATAATTTATCTCCATATCCAACAATTACATTTATGTCAGGATAAACAAAAATTCCATTTAAAATTTTGCTCTTTGTTGATGTCAGACGAAGAACATATTCATAATCATCATCTACAATGACAAGTTATTTTTAAGCTTAAACATTTGCTATCAACTATTAAGTTAAATCTGAATCTATATAATTCCTAGAATAAATAAAACTCGAACTAGAATGAATAAGAATATTATTAACTAAATCTAATTTCATCACAAGAATTTCTTAAGATTTCCATATTTTAACTATCTATTTCTATATATAACTGTATTTAACTATTCTACCTTCACTTCCTCCACTAATGAGCATTTTATTTACTGAATCAATTAAAACTGTATTGGGCTAATAACTGCTGTGAAGTTCTATCGTATTTACCAATTTGCCTTCTGGTAAATTAAATTACAATAGCACTCCATAAATATTAATAACAAATGCATAAATATCGTCAATCAAAGCAAATTTTAATCTTTAATGCTAAGTTGGAATATTTAAATATTTTTTGAATTGTTTATTATCATCTGAAATCCCTTCTATATATACTCTATCTTAGCAAATTACAGTTAAATAGTTTTCATTATTAACATTCAAGTAAGGGCTATTGCATTTTATTAAAATCTGAATAATCTCTCCTGTTTAAAAATCCATTTTCTATAAAACCTTTAAATTAAAGTAAAAATTAAAATATAATTCTGTGCTCTTCAAATTTATTAGTTATTTTTGGTTTCATTTCAACAATTAACTAAAATAAAATTAAAAATAACTATTAAAATGAATATTTATTTACATAAGGAAAGGATAGAGTAGAAGCCATTAGAAACAACTTTTAAGATCCATACAAAATTTAAGTGGTAGATTCTATTTTTTAAGTTAGTTAGCTTAGGAGTAAAGTTTAATTTAAATCTCTAATTGATTAAAATTTTATAACTTAATTGTCAGTTCTTAGGAGAAAGAATTGATCATCATCTTTGTTACATGTAAATTACTTAGTTTGTGTCAAAATGAGCTTTTAAATGACTTATTAAGACTATATGTTGATTACTATTAATGTTCCTGAATAGTCAACTAAAAGTAGATTCTTACTTTTTGGGTAATAGCAATTAAATATTACATAATCATTCAATTCAAATATTGTAGCAATTTAATCTCCTGTTAAGTAATCATAAAACTATACCTCTGAAAGCTACTAAGTACTCCAAATTATTATTAAATTTTAATCTGCTAAGACCAGCCATTAACTTCTAGATTGATTTGAAACAAATCTGAAATAAGGCTCACCAGTATCATATTTAGCAAAAAATCCACTTCCAAATAAATCTAATATAGTAAGTCTGTTTATGTCTAGATCTAAGTAAATATCAACAATCAATTCATCAAAAACTTAAAATCCCTATTTGTGATATTTGTGAGAAGAAAAAATATTTAAAAGTTTTTGAATTTACCTCAATGCAATAGTTATCAAATATGAGCTTCAATCTTTTAGTGTCATATACTTACCAATGATACTTGTAAAAATCTATTAAGATATTCTCTTAATATACATAGTTTTATTTTATTTCAGATATATATTTTTTTGTTATTTACTTGATAGCAATAAATTTGAAGTCAGGTAATGAAAATAAATAAATTGCTTAATAACTTATTAAAGCAATCTCAGACTATTCTTAATTGACTGCCAGTTTAATAAAATGTTAGTAGTCATATCTTGTAAATGAAGTATCTGTGCTAATTGAATCAGAAATATCAATTTAAAAATTTTCTGGCATTTCAAAGTTAAAAATCTCTCCATTTATGTAAAAGCTACCAGAGCCATAAGTAGTTAACCAAAGTTTGTGTATACTCGAATAATAAACTTAAAATTAAATGTTAACATTTTGAACTAATTCTATCTCAAAATTATTTAAGTTAATCATATGTAGATAATCTACTCTTTAAAAATCAGTTGATTTAACAGCTAATCTATTTCCATCAAAAAAAAACCAATCAAAAATTTAATATTCACTATTCATGTAATTCAGCTTAGTAAAATTTAAAAATGTTTTATTGGATTCATATAAACTAATTGCTAGTTCATTCTCAGTAATAACTAATTTAAAGGTATCTTCATCTTATTTAACTATGAACTGGCATCTAAAAATAAATATTGGCTCTAATTTATCATCTAACAAATGCTTCTTTTTTTTCAAGTAATCATAGACTACTAATTTCTATTTTTTTATTTTAAATAATAAATAATTTAATTTAGTTTAATATAATAATAGGTGGTTATTCTAAAAATATTTAATATTGAATGAGTAAATTTAAATTATAATGATATTTTTAAATATTTAGAAAATGGAAATCAATTAAGTAATAGTTTAATGTTGTGAAAAGAGGTAAAAAATTTTGTAAGGACTAAAATCGTGTGAACATTATTAAATGATAATGCGTTAAAGTATTATAATCTAAGTAATGAATCAATTAATATAATATTAGAATAATTAATTAAAAATTGTAAGTCGTTCTACTTCTTCTTTTGTTTTAGAGACAAAATAACCTAAATCAGCTGAAGCACACATTTGATTATCAAAAATAATTTATTCATCATCCAAATTAAGCACTTTTTAAAGAGCTGCATTGTTAACTGAAAAAAAATATATTTTATTTATAGCAAATACTACTATTTAACAATCATTTTAAGTTTAACTATTGAATATTTAAATCAAAATAAATGCAGGAATCTTTATATCCACTATCTTTGTATAATCAGAAAGCTAATACAAGTCTATTTATTTTTCGTAGACTAATACTAAAATATCCTCCTTTTTCATTGTAGCATCAGATTTAACAATAAATGTTTACATCAAGTCTTATCCAGTTGTTGCGCATTCTATTTTTTATTAAAAATTAAATTGATAAATTGATCCATCAGTTTTCCATATTAAAGATAAAAATTTAATGTTATTGATAATTTAGATATCAATCATCTAATAAGATGAAATTTCAGAAAAAGGTACCTAAATATGTTTATGTTGGACAGGAATTCGAAGAGTTCGTAATAATTAATAATTATGATAATAAAAATATGATTTTCAACTTTAAATTTTAAGTATTTAAGTATAAAAAACCAATCAAAGTTAATACTAAGAATATCATTTTTTTAATATTTTTTATGATGTTTCTATTGTTTAATTTATTTAATTTTTAGTTATTTAGGTGAACAAAAGAATCTATGGAAAAAAAATTTAATATCAAAATATTCATTATTTCGATGAATAACTAGAAGAAAAAAACAATATATTTCTATTAAATCTATGAATACACTTCTAATAAATTAATTGTCATTAAAAATAAATACATTAATGCGCTTACAGATCTGCAAAATTTTGTATTTTTTAATAAACAGCAAAATGCTTATCTATTTTGCTGAAAATAACCTGCTTGTAATTGAGTAAAATTTTATTTAAGTTGATAATATTATTAGTATTTAATTAAAAAATGAAGTATTTTTCTATTATTAAAACTATAAAAAAGTTTTATTAGTTCAAATAATAAATTTCCCAAATAATTTATCCCATATTTATGAGCTCATTTAATTTATAAAATCACATTTTTAAATAGTAATGACCAGATAAATTTCATATTTTTCTAAGTTTAAAATTGAAAATTGTACAACATAAACTTCTAAAATTTTTATCAAAAAATATTTTAATGAAAACTACTTTAAAAATATTGTTTGAAAAAAATAAAAAGTTAAAGTATTTAATGATTATTACAATAATAAAGACAAATTTAATTTATTTATAATAAAGACTTTTTGTTAATTAACATTTATTAAAAAGATATAACTCATAATTAACCTAATAACTATTTATTTTAAAGTAATAAGTTATTTAAATAGTAGTATATTAAATTTAACAAAAATAAGATCATATAATTATCAAAGTTGATGTGACAAATAGATATATAAATAAATAGATAAATATTATAGATTATTTCCACTTATAATAAATTTGAATACTTTCATAGATCATTTAATTAACTGTTCTTAGTTCTGTCTTTTTTATTATTTTTTTTAGCTTTAGAAAATCCTAAATCTGTATTAATGGAAGATTTCCTAGATTTTAAGTTTGCCTTTGATTATGTTGCTCTACGTCCATTATTTTACCTTTAAGTTTGCTTTAAAACTCTTTTTCTTTATCTTTTAAATTTATCAATCACAATATCGTAGTTGTAGTCTGTTTTGTAAGTTTTAAATTTAAACATTTTGTCAAACTCCTAGATAAATAGGTCTTAATCATCAATTATCGACTATTAATTATCATTTAAATTTAATTAATTTCTATTTTAATTTATATAATTTTCTGCATCGTTTGGTAAATTATTTAATTATTAAGTTTGAATTAAGTGGTTGCCAAAAGTGTCTTAGTTTTCTTTGATGGAATTGTAGTTTTATGGCTGTTTTAGTACCTAACTCTGTTATTTATTCTTTTGAATTTCATTCTTTATCATTTACTTAATTTCAGCAAGATAAGATTCTATCGTATTCTAGATGGATTGTTGTTAATTAATCACATTATTGCTTGTTGTAGTTTCTTAAACTAGCTAAGTTTACTTTTCAGAACTAACTACATTAATGCTTTTAGTTTAAGCATTTTATTGTAGCTTTTATTAGCTTGATTCTAATCTCACTTATGAACCAAAATATTACTTTGAGTATTTTTATTTTCTAACATTAATACCCTAAATATTACTGTATTTATTTTAATCATTCTAATTATGTTAGCTGGATTAGTTTCTAGCTATATTTATATCTTCTTATTTTTATTTCTAATCTTTATTATATTAATTTATAAGCTTGCCATCTTTTTGCTTATGGCCTTTGAACTATTAAGAGGATATTGTTTTGTTTTTTGAAAACCCATAAGTATCTTCATCTGATATTATAGCAACAAAATCTTGGCTATATCTTTTGTTTGAGATAGGAATATCATCTTAATATTCTTCTTATTCGCTATAGTAATGTTATTAATCAATATCCAGATTGTCTTAATTAGTTATAGAAAAGAAAGGATCTCCTTAATCTTACAATGACTAAACTTTTGGTGATGATACATCTTCAGTAAGAGTTCTAAACTTATGATTGTTCCTACGTACTTTCTTTGGTTTGATAGGTTATGAATCTTCATTCTCACTTTCATCATCTTTTTCTAAAATTGCTTGCTGAGAAGTTTAACTAATAAAAGAGCTTCTAGAAAAGCTAATTTCATCAAAGAGTAAATAATCACCAAAGTTTTAAGCTGCCCTTTTTGCAAAAGATTGAATGAGATAAATATTTCTTATACTATGTAATTCTCTTTTCTTTAATCTTTTGAAACTTTTGTTTCTTACTTGTATTTCATTTTAATTTTTGACAAAATCAATATTTTGTTACTTTTTATTTTTATTTATTTATTTATGAATAAATTTATTTTACATTTAAATTAATATTAATTACTCTCTAGCAAATATGAGGTATAATATTTGGACATTCAATTATTTAATGTTAGTAATTGTCTATTTTAGTATTCTTATTACAATATTCACAATTAAATTTGGGAAATCTCTTTCTGTACTGTCTGAATTCAAGTTCATCTTTGATCTCACAAAATATCTCCTGCATTATTTTAAAGATAAAATATGTTGTAATCCAAATTGAAATGGAGTAAGTATTTTGTTTAATAATTTAAATTAAAAAGATTTATTTTGTTAAATGAAATTAAGTTTTAAATAAAATTTTTGTTTTTTGGCAGGAATAATCATAAATGTTATCATTTTATTAGACAATTTTTTTAATGACATAATAAGGAGTTAAGCATAATTTTTTAAATTAATTATTAAGCTGAAATAAATAAAATTACATAATCATCTGGAAATTTTTTAATTGTTTCAATGAAATTTTTTCTTGAAATTTTATAGACAGTGGAAAAATCTACACTCTTTACAGAAAAAGGAATTTGTTCATTCAAAAAAATACTTGTTTCACCAAAATGTTAGTTTTTCACTAAATTTTTTAAGTAAATGTCTTTTTTTAGAGATTTAATAGGTATTCCAAGGTTTTTTTTCCTTTATTATTTTAGGGTATCTATTCCATACCCATTTTCTTATACTAATTATCTTTCAAAGACTGCATTTTCTGTTTTTCCTTCACTATAAGGAATATAACACTCTACAGTTCCTTCTTTGACAAAGTACAAACCTTAAGTGTTGAATTCATTATCTAAATCTTCTCCCATCTAATTTTTTAAAATTTACTTAAATATTTAAATGAACTAATGCTTATTTACACAATAAATTGGTTCTCTCTCAGGATAGTGATATTCTTCTATTTAGAATGCTAAATTCTTTATAAATTCTTCTGAAAAATACTTCATCCAATTAACTTTTTCAAAAATCTCAATATGAGATTAATAAATAAGCTCTTCTCTTAAATTAGGTGGTAATTTACTAATAATTACTTGCTCCATACCTTCATCTCTTGATTTTTATTTTTTATAGTAATACTAAATGTAAGCTCTAATCTTCAACTTGAGTTAAGTATTTACACTTTTATCTCTCATATATCTATTAATTGCATTCATTATTTCCCTTTATAATAATAAAAAATATGTAAATTAATTAAATATTGATTTTGCTTATGGGAGAAATTAAGCTTACATGTACTTAACTTCTTTTTTTTTTAGATCCTGTAAAATTTCCCAAATACTATTAATGCAATAAGCGAATATAACACAAGAAATAAGCATGCATATTATAGTAACCACAACTTCATTTGGTTCCTTTGGAGTAATATCTCCATATCCTACAGTCAAAATTGTCGTTACAGCCCAATATAAGGCCCATAAAAATTAAATAAAGAAAGGATATTTCAAATAAGGAGCAAGCCAAGATTAAGGTTTATCGTCATCAATTTAATCTTAAGAATATCCATTCAGTTAGTATTATCCAACTTTAAGATAAATACAGGCTGCAATATGACAAAGAAACATAATTCCACAAGTAAGTCTGATTAGCAAGTATCCTGCTTTCATTCTTCTCATCAGCTATATTAAATTGAGAAATTTTTTATCAAATCTGAATATCGTTGTTATTTTTAAGTAAAAAACTATAGCAAAAGAGGGAAAGCGAGTTTCTTAAATCAACATATCGAGAATAATTATTGTGAGGCAAATAACATCAATAAAAAACTGCCAGTTACGAATTCTTTTTTTAAAAATGACAGCTCTATTTTTAATTAGTTCACCATGAATATACATGCTTGTGTTCAATACTTAGAAAAAATTGATAGTCAAGAGACTTATTAATATTAGTTAAAATATTTGAGTTATTTAGTGGTTTCTAACTTGATCAGGGAAAAATATTTCTAGAGGAATCAAAAAAAAGTAAATGACACACTGTGAATATACTAATATTTCCCAAAATATTAAATAAGGGCTTTCACAATTAAACATAGGGTATGGTGAAGGATTTTAAATATCCTATGTCTTTTCTCCACTTATGTATCTTTTCATTCCTAATTAATTTATACAATATATAGATTTAAATAAAATTCTATTAAATCACTCAAAATTTTGGTTAAATATTTTAGAAAAAATAATCACAAATTAAACTTTTCAATTCATGCATGATTACTCATTTATTTTTATTCCTTTATATATTTATTTAGGTTATTCTTTTTATTCTAATTAATCTAAAATTAATAAGTGAAAAAAGTACTCTGTTTTCAATAGAAAAAATTAATGTTGTTTGATGAAATAGGCAAATAGATTAAATCTAAAAAGTTTATCAAAAATTGTTTTAAAAAAAAATGAATGTATATTACCTTTTTATTCAAATCCAATATTATCGTTAGACAAATCTTAAATTACTTAATTAAAGAAATTAGAGGGATTTTCATAATTTATGTTTTTCTCTTGAGATTGCGTGAAGAATCTAACTAATCGTTTTCTCCAACTCATTTTTTTACTACTTAATCTTCTTTCAATCACATAATCTGATCTCTAGTCCTAACTTTTTAAATTATTCTAATAAAGGCTTGAATTTTTGCTTGAATCACTAATATTTTTATTTTCACAAATAATAGAAATATTTTTTTGTTGGTCTTTCTTTTTTATCATGTAATCCATTTGCTCTGCCTCTAATGAACTTCCACTTAATTATACTAGTGGTTCATTAATACCTGTTTAGTTAAAATGCAATTATAATTTAAAAAAAGATTAAATAATAAATGATAATCTATAAAAATGAAGTAGAGTTAATAATTTTGCTACAATTAAATTTATTTTTACTAGCATATTTAGATTTCATAAATATGATAAAACAATAGATTCCCCTTTTAAATTAGATTATTCTATCAAATACTGTATTTTATAAATTAATTAATTGTCTTAAATCTTATTTTTTTATCAAATATTTAGTTCTAAATGTTTATACAAGAATTATGTATGTGTATTAAATGACATTCAAAAAGACAATTATACAAACAAACAAGTGAAATATATAAAAATTATCATTATATCTATTTACATTATAATCACAAAGTGTGGGTTTAAACACTCCATTCTTAAAAAGTAAATTTAAGATTATATTTGGGTGTAATTTATTTGTATATTGTGAGATAGCAAATTGAATAGCTTGCTTGCTTATTTTCTTCAATTTTTGACATTTTTTTAATTAATTGCAAATTTAATCAGTTTAGTAGTATGTAAGTAGTATTTTTATTATTTATTTATTTTAATTTTACAGTTTAAATTTTATTTTTTTATATTTCTAAACTTTATTTTATTTTTCATTTTCACTCCATAAACCACCTGTCTGAGAGAATCTTTTTTAGTTTATTAAAATTTATTTTATTAGATTATTATTTAAAAAAGTTATTTTTATTTACTTCTTTAGCAGTTGGTCTATCTTCGGGATTAAGCTTTAGTAATTTGTTTATTAATCTTGTTGCAGATTAACTTACATTTCCAGGTATTTTAAAATCTCCACTCTATATCTTTCTAAATAAGTCATTATCATCTTTGCCTTTTCATATTTTTTGAAAATAAATAAATTTTAATAAAACACCAAAATGCAAAAGTTTGTTTTTCTTTTTCATAAGAAAAATACTTTGGAATATAAGATTATATTTCAACAAATTACCTTTAAAAGGGAATCTCCCACAAACAAGAGCATATAAAACTACTCCTAAACTCCAAACGTCTGCTGGCTTACCAAAGTATTCTCTCTTTTTAGTGATCTCAGGAGACATATAGCTAGGAGTACCACAAAAAATATTTAGTTTTTTATCAGAAGGGATACGTATAGCGAATCCAAAATCAATTAATTTTATTTAATGATTATTACTGATATCTAGCATAACATTTTCTAATTTTATATCTCTATGAATTACTTCCCATTCATGGCAATATTGCACTGCACTTACTAATTATTTAAATATAAGTCTTGCATATCTTTCTTCAAGTTGTCTTCCTTCTTGTGCTTTCATGAATTATCTAATTTAATTATTGGTTTATTAAATTTTATGTCTTAATTAAAAATATTGAATTTACCTTAAAGATTAACTTGAAATATATTCCATAACAAGGTTAACAGAAGATCTTGTATCAATTGTTTAATAAAGTTTAATGATATTAGAATGATCAAGTTTATTTAAAATGGCAATTTCTCTTTTCACATTGTTGCGCTTTTAAGGGTCTATTAATTTATATTTATCATACATTTTTATAGCTACATTCTTATCAGTATGAGTATCTCTCGCAAGCTTTACTACAGCATATGATCCTTTTCCAATGCAGGCTTTTATTTCAAATCTTTCCATTAATTTGTTAGTGGTTTAATTATTGTTTGAGCTTGTATCACTAAATGAGCTTCCCTATTTAGTAAAAGCTGCTGTTGCAGGGCGAGAATTCTTGTTAACAGCTGCTTATTATTATTACTTTTTATCTTCATTATTATTGTTTGTGTTTGAGTTATTCAACTAATCTTCTTTCTTTTTCTGCTAATCATTTGTGAAAGACTATATCTTCATAGTTTGAGCTAGTGATCTTATGTTTTCTTTACCAGTTTTTTCTGACTTATCAATTTATTCAGAGTTTCTTTTTAGGGAATTTATTAAAAATCCATTTGAGTTTAATGCTACTTATGAAATAGCACCTGTAGCAGCAGCATTCATATTAATGATAGCTCCGCTTGTTGATAATCTTTTCGATTCTGGTCTTTATAGTATGGTATTTTAATTACCATTCGAAAAACTTCCACTGAATTTTTAAATATTCTTAGCAATTGTTGTTGTAACTTTAAGAGCTTCTTAAGTTAATTTTTCCTTAGTATCAGTTAGAGGTATTTTGGTACTACTTTCAACATATTTATTATTTTGCTTAGCTGAACTTTATGAACGAGGAAGAGAGTTACTTTTTTTATATATATTTGGAGTTTATTTTAGAATTTATTCCCCGAATATACCTTCTTGCTCTTGCAGCTCTTAAATTTAGCTGAGTTCGTTACCATTTTATTTTAAACTATCTTCCTTGTCTTTAGAATATTAGCGATGAGGATACTATCTTTAGCCTATTTGTTAACTAAATCCTTTAGAAATTTTAATATTTTTAGAAGAAAATAAAGGACTCTCTTCTGCTTCAGATATGTTTTCTTTAAGAGCTAATTTTTTTTTGAGGAGCTAGTTAGCTATTTTTTAGAGTGTTTAAATGTCATCATCATTACCATTTTGATTTTTTTCATCAAAAAGGTCCTCTGGTCCACCAAACAGGTTATTATTTGAAGGTATTCTCTTCACGCTTTAAGGACGAGTGATAGAATTTTATACCTTTAAAGAACTTTTTAAAGAAGAACCACGTCCTGATAAATTAGCTTTAGATACATCCTTATTTTGATAGGAAGAATTTTCTTTTTTTATTGAACTATATAACTAATTATCTCTTCTCTGTATTTTGTTTAGAATATTTTCACAATCTTTAATGATATTATCACAAATATTTTAATCCATTTTATTTGACTCACTTCTTAATAGTTTGTTATAGCCTGAGAATCCTTTTCCTAATTCATCTGTTTTTCTTCTTTATTAATTCGAACTTCTGACAGAGTCATCTTAAGATTAATCTTTTTATATTTCAATGCTCTTGTTACTTTTTTTTATTTTTTCTGAGAATTCATTAAGCTAATTTCTTGATTTAGAGTGTTCATTTTCTCCATCATCATCTGATTCAATTTCTACATTTGCATATTTTTTCAAGGCCATATTTTCATCAAATTCACTCATTAATTCTCCCTTCTGTTTTTTTGTAAATAATTCATGTCTTAACCAAGGCTTCATAGTAGTAGTCGCTGTCCTTTAAGGTTCAATATTATGAGATTATTCCTATTTTTCAGCTAAAATATTATTATTTTTGCCTATTGCTGCTGTTACTGGTCTAACACGAGAAAATCTACGAGCCTAATTTGTTTTATTATTACTAACTATTGTTCCCATAGCATAGCTAGGAGTACTTTAACCAGTAGTATTATTAGCATTAGATGGAGTAGAGTTGATTTTGCTACTTCTAATAGAAGTTGTATTATTAGTTGTATTATTATCTAAAATATTTGAGTTATCATATCCGCTCAATTTACCTGAAAGGTGGGCAGTAAAATTATTAATCCTATTATCCTCAAGTTTTTTACTGGATGTTAGCTAATTATCTTCTTTAGTATTACATGTACTAGTAGTATTTGTGTTCAAAAAATTATATTCTACATTATTAAGATTATTATAAATTTATTTAGTGCGCTTAATTTTATCTTCTACAAATGAAGGATTCGAAGATGAACCCATATTGCTTTAGCTTTCTGATTAACCTTCATAAATTTAATTAGTACCATTTTAGTTAACGCTTTGGATATTCCAATTTTTTACTACTTTTTCTGTAATTGAGTCTACTTTAAGCCCATCGCTGACACCATTATCTATATTTAATTTAAGGAGTTTTTAACTTCTTCTAACAGTAAAAATTTAGTAAAACTTATAAAAAATAACTTGATTTATTAATTATATTATCTAGTATCCCCTTTGAAAGCTTAAATTCTTTTAGGATTAGATTTTGATAATAAGATTGTTTATTAACAAGAAGCTTTTAAAATTATGTTGTTTGGATTTCTAAATTATATCTACAAATAATAGATGATAAAAAATATTCATTTTATTAATATTAATTTTAAATATAATACAAAAATCAAGTTTCTAAAGCTATATCTTAAACTTAATAAGTTTTTTTAAACTTCAAAAGCTGCATATAAATCTAAAAAGTATGTTTTAAAATGATAATAAACCTGTCTTTTTTGTTTTATGCATGCTTCAAAATTTTGATACAAATAAAGTAAATTATGTGTAATATAATACCATATGAAGGCACATAATTCTATGAAAGGAGTAGATTTTTACTGCTTGTACGAGTAAACCGAGACTCGTTTTAGAATTAAAATGTAGTAGCTGTCTTTGAAGTTAGTATTGGTGTCTATTGCTAATTATTAGTGAATAGGTAGTTATGTATCATCTCATCTAATTCATTATAATTTTCTAAAAGACCGTTCTTTAAACCTTTTTACTTTTGGTTCATTGAAAAATATTTCTCTGCTAAACTTTCATTCTTTAATCCCAATAAATTATTTAAACTCTTATCTTTAGATGTTGAGCTATTCCCTTTTTTATTTACTGCACTCTGAATTCTTTTTAAACTCCCTTTCTTCACATACATCTTTTACTGGCGATCTTCATATTAATTTAAATAAATAAGCTTTTAGTGAATTTGATTGTTAAAATTAGTGAGTTATTTCAATCACTTTAAATAATCTACTTGATTTTCTATTCTATGCATAGTCTAAATCTTGAAAAAAATTATTTAATATCATAATGCTAATTCTTAATAGATCTAAGATTTGCTCTCACTACCTTTATTTCTTCAAATCTATATATCTATCTATCTTCTCTAATTTAATTTTCTGTAGATTAAATTATTAATTGATTGAATAATTGAGTTAGTGATTGAATGATTGATTGATTAATTAATTAATTAATAAATTAGTAATCTTTGAAAAATGCTATGAAAAAAAATAGACTTATAAGATTTATAATAATTATTAACATTGTTTTAACAATTAATTTAAGAAACATAATAAATATATAGTCAAAATTTAAACGTAACAACAATCATCAGCTCTTCATTTCAATTTATTATTTTTCATTTGCAATTTTAAAATAAGTCTCAAAAGCATATCATTTTATATCATTTACTTTAAACAATTTGCTGATATGTTTAAAAAGTTATAATTATTGTTTCAAAAATGTTTCATGTATTAAATATAGTAAATATGATAGATAGTTTATATAACTTTCAAATTATTTTTTTTTTGTGTATTCAAAGTGGGTAGTTACCTCTCCAACCCCATTTTTCATATATGGATGGATAATTATTTTTAAATTTTCAAAAAATCGGCCATAGGTAAAAAAGTTTAAATTTATGAGATCTACATTATAAAATTATAATGGTACTATTAATATTTATTTTTAAATAAATATCTAAAAAATAAAATTTTGAATCTTTTAATTGAAATAGTATTTTTTTTTTAATTTTATTGTTAAATTTATTTTTTAAATTTCACTCAAGAATGCATTTTAGATAATCTATATAGAAATTAAACATTTTAAGAAAATAATTATTTTTTAAATTTATTTATTACTAAATTTTATTTAAACTAATTAAATTGGTTTATTATATATATATTTTTTAATTTATTTATTTATTTTCATTATTTATTTTTGCTTGGTTCTGTATTTGTTATTATATCAAAGTTTGTTTTTTAGAATTAAATAGCAGGTTTTGCTCTTTTAGGAATTTGACTGATATCTGGTATTATTTTTTCGTCTCTTTCTTAAGTCTTAAAGAAATGGCTTGTTCTTTCTTTTTTTTGTTTTTATTAAGCATAAATATGTATACAACATGATCCATTAGGGCAACCAACATGTGTACATTATTCATTTGCAGGTATTTCTTTTTTACTGTCTCTATGAATTGATACTCTACTATTTTAGCTTGTTCTTAGTCTCTCATCATTACCATTCTTATGTTATAAGTTTGCTGTGTAATATCTTTATCTTCCAGCCTCGTCATTAGGTAAGTATTTACTTGATTTAGAATTCACTGATTAAGTATCAAAATCTATTTCATTTAAAGTGGATGCTCTTTTTTCAGTTTCATACCTATTTGAACCTAAAAATAAATTATTATTTTAATGAGATTAATTAAATAAAAGTTACTTTTATTTCTACTTTTTGATCTTTTTTGTCTTTCAGAATTGTTTGAGTAGTTATCTGGAATTTCTTCATAATTATATTCTTCTTAATATGGTTATTTTGGAGACTATTATTAATAATGGATATTGTGTTTCTATCCATTGTCGTTTAAATTAGGATTTTATTACTAACTAAATTTTTAATCACTCCTTTTTGGTTTGCTTTAGTCAGGTATTCTTTATTATTCATTTAGTATATAATCTTAATTATTAGAATACTATTTCATTTTATCATTGAAATCGTTTTAACTATATTTAAATTTTGCACTTTCAATATTTTAATGCTAATTATTTATACCTTCATCATCAGGTATATCTTCTAGCTGTAAGTTATTTTTTTTATTTTACCCCTATTATTTAGTTTACTGTTTATATCCTGGTAAGTTAGGATTAGTCATTTACTAATTGTGCTTTATATTAACTCCAAAAGATTCTCTAGAGTGTAATAAATTATGTTATATGCCACTTCCATTAAGTTAATTATCATTTATTTTGTAGCTTTCTCTAATTTAAACTTACTCATTGTATTAATTAGTAATCTAATTCTGAAGAGATTCTCTAGGCATAAAAGAGAAAGTTTTTTAAATTTGATGCTTAGATACTGAATGATTTTGTAGCTAATTATTAGCCATATAATTACGATCCATTTAACTTATTTCATTTTATATATTTTCATTTTAATATGATGTTGATTATACTACTCTTTACTTTTAGTTTCCTGGAGAAGAGCTTTTACCATTACTTATACCAGCAGATTTAGGAACATAATGACTACCTCTAATTTATGCAAAATTTTAATTTATTTATTGTTAACTATCCCATTTTGATTGTGCCCCTCTTTCTGTTTGACATTAATTTGGGTCTCTCCCACTATTTAGATTGCTCTGTTATTTTGAACTATATAAGTAACCATTCACATCCTTTAATTATTATTATTATTGATAAAGAAGATTTTTTTGTTGCTAATTCATAGTTTTTAACTAATTTTGGTCTTCCTACTATTCTTAAGCGCTTTGTAAATTATGAGTTGAATTTGAATTTATTATTCCCATTTTTGAAAGCATTAAATTTGTACTTTATGAAAAGCCATTAGTTGAAATATTACTAGAATTTGTGTTTTGAAATATCTATCCCAAATGAGCTGCGCTACTTGCATGAGAAAGTGAAGGCTATTAGATTCCATTTCCATTGATGCTATTCATGTTTTTTAATGCTTGACCTTGGCTATTTGCATACAAGACACTGCTTTATATCACTAAAGGCTTAATTTTTTCTAAATTTTAAATTAAAACAATCAAGCTCTTATGAAAGAGTGTCTTATAATCTTTAGAGTCTTTTAATTTGTAGAAGTTATTTTCACTAACAAAAGAATCCCTAAATAAGTTAAGCTAATATCTATCTACATGAACATAATTTAAATACTATTGCATAAGCCTTTCTATTTCATTCTCTTGCTATTTTTTAAGCTGTTTGCTTTTTTTCCTTTTTTTGTCTCTCTTTCTTGGATCATCTTATTCTCTTTCAGAACTGCTATTACTAGTATTACTATTACTGCTATTGCTGCTACTGTAGCTGCTACTTCTGCTACTTTTGCTGCTATTTTTTCTATCTTTTTTATGCTATTTTTACTATGTATATTAACTTTATTTAAGCTTTTTTCCTTCATTCTATAACTCCATTTTTTAAAGCTTTTCCTTTTTTTTATAAATATAAATGCATAAATTTTAATTATATAAATCTATATTTCTATTTTAATCTATAAATTATAAATATAATATAGATAAACCTATTAATGAATATAGAATTTTTTTACTGTTAATATAGCTATTTCTGTTGTTAGTTAGCTAATATGACTCTTTAAATGCTCTTCTCCAGAGTTTTAGTTAGTACTCAGTTAGCTGGTCTGCATTAATTCTCTATCATATTTTGGTGATTTAATTATATTAACAGCGCTATTAATAATTGATCCTTAAGAAGTATTTTAAACTTTATTATAAGGACTTGCTATCAAATTTGAAGGCATGGCTGGGATAACATAATTTAAACTCCCATTTTATGTGGTTAAGTTCGTTCCTACACTAAGTTAAGATACACTTACCTAATTTATATTACCATTAATTTATTAAGACTAATAATTTTAGTTTATGTTAGATTAAATGCTTTGAGATTAAGCATTTGTAGAGGACTTTTCATTCAAGCTATATTGCTTCTATTCTTCTCTAATATTACTAATCGTGCTTTGATTTTATTAGTGGGCTAAAGGTGTATAATCTATGTTTTGAAGTTACTGCTATCTATTTACATTAATTGAATTAATTTTTTTACCATAAGATAAAAATTATTTACATATCACGAATGTTATTAATAGGAGATTACAAGTGTGAAGTTACACTGCTTTTTAACATTTATTATTACTGAATATGATTCATATTTTAAAAATTACTAGATTCTTTTAAGTTTTACCTCTATTTGATAAAATAAGTAATTAGATTATATTTGTTGACATTTTTTAAACTAAAGTCACTCCTTATTTTTGAAACTAAATTTATTTTAAATTAAAATTACTGGAACAGTAACGACCTATTTTTCATTTTTTAAGTGCTATATGAATTATTCTACTTTTGCAAGATCTTATTAGTCTTCTTCCTTTAGTTATTATTAGTTTTAGTTAAAGTTAATTGCTTAAAATATTAAATAAGTTCTCTCATAAAAGAAAAATGTTTATTTAGCTTCATTAAACTATATTAAAATTAATATTGTTACAGTTTTTAATCTAGAAGTTGAAGACTAGGATAATAAATTGACACTTGCTACCTTAGGATTCTAAAAACCTGCTTAGTATTAAGAATACATATTGTTGAAGCTAAAACACTAATTATTTAATTAAATTATACTTCAATAATTTTCAAGATATTAATTTATTATATAAAAATACGCTGATTTATTTGATTGTGCTGAATTAAAGATAATAAACAAAATAGGTGACTCATAGTAAATTAATTTAATTCAATTTATGTTTATTGAATTTACTCTAGATATTTTATTGATTATCTATATCAATTTAAGAAAGGTACTAAATTTAAATTTTTACTGAAATTTTACTTAAGTATTAACTATTTTTTTTACATTTGCTTCTTCAACATATTAACAGATTGAATGAATATTGATAAGTTAAAAATTAATCAAATTGTTTTAATTATTATTTATTTTTATCTGTTTTTAAAAAAATAATTCAATTCATTTTCTCTTACAAGAATGTTTTTAATTAATAATACATATTAGTAGTTAAAAATTAAGGTTATAAAACATCAATTTGAAATGTTGTTTAGATAGCTTAAAGTAGAATTAATCTTTTGAAGTTTTTTGCATTTTGTCAAATATAAAAATTAACATCAATAATTTTTTTAAAAGAAGCTTAATAATTTGTTCACAATTAGTAAATTAATTAGCAAATAAAAAACTTTCATACAAAAATAATAAAAATTAACTTATTTTCTAGCTGATATATACTAATTTAATTCAAGGTAATTTTAGTAATCTTGAAAAAATAAATCAATGGCTTTTATTTTGATTCTATATATATTGTTAATAACAATATATTCCCAGCCAATCATCCCAAGCTGCCCTCAATTTTATAACAAAATATGTAAAATTAACAATATTAGATCAAATTTATTTTGCGTTTTATAAATTATAGCAATTAGGCAAAATGAATAAATTTAATAAATAATTGCAGTTCCAAACACTAATATGCTTTTGATCGCTACTCAAAATGGACAATCTGGTTCTACTACATTCATATATTATAATTATGTAAGTAACTAATATACAAATCACTATACAGGTAATTTTTATATTTAATGGACTAAATGATTAATTTAGAAAATTAAAAATGATTTATAATTGTAATTAGTTCAGACAACGTTTATTTACATTGATTACAGCTCTGATTTAGATCAGTGGATAGCTCTTTCTAATTCATACCTAATGATTATGAATTTATATTAGTTTTAAATAGTTAATTCTTATCTTTACTCTTCATACATCAATTTTTTTTTAATTCCTGGAACATTTACTGTATTATTAACTATGAATTAATCTTAATCCTAGTAGGTAAATCTATTAAACGGAAACGCAATGAATTAATATTACACAGGTAAAATATATATATACAAACAAATAAATATTCTTATTTATTTTTATCTTAAAGTTAATTGGTAGGATTTAAGCAATGCAAATAATACTAATTCATTTGTATAGACAATTAAAGATGGAGTTAATTTATATCTACTACTTTAAACATCACAAGTCGAAGTTTGGGATTTTGATAATGTCTCTTATCTTTATACTTTAAATATACGTAAATTTTAAGTAAAATTTAATATTTGTTAACATAATATTATTAGTAAATCAAAACTAAACTCCTCTATCTCCTGGTATAGCTGGATTCGTAATTATCCCTAATACAAATTATGGTATTTAAGCAGGGGGTCAAATTAATACATTGAGATGCTGGTATCTAGGTTCAGTCGACTAATAAAGTATATTTCGACAAGTAAACGAAACAAATGGTAAAGAAATTTTTTAAATTATTATTTCAAAATAAATATTTTATATCTTATACAGTTGGTAAAAATCCTTTGTCATAAATGGGATATTTGAGCTGGAATAATCTTGATTATGTATATATAAGTGAAGTTTACTCTAATAACATTCAACCAAGCAATATTTATGTGTACTAAATTATCATTAACGAATAAGATAATATCTGTTAAATGAATTTCATAATCTAGCATACTTAGTATTTCTAATAAATATTGCTAATCTAAAACACCAAAAAATTAATGCTCTATACAAATAAAGACTTGCTTACAATTGAGGACATATTCAATAAGTCCAGTTATAATGATTTAATGAGTATCTTATTTTTAATTCAAAATGTTAATAAAAACTTCAATTATTCTAAACTATATTTTAAATAGATATATTGTGGACAGATAACGCTTAAATAGATGCATTATTTGATGTCAATCTAATAGTTGCTCCTTCACCTAACAACCAAAGCTTAATATTTTTAGATTATTCTTTTAGTATTAAAAAATAAATCCCTTTTTAAAAAGGAATAAATTATAATTAAAGTATTATGACCATTGATAATCTACCTGGTTGGATAGTAGCAAGCTCATATAGTAATCCAAATATTATTGACGCTTAAGAAAATGGTATTTACTTTTATAATTACATATCGGGAGAGGTAAAATTAATTAATATAATTAACAATTTTTTTTTCTCATAAATTATATATTTACTAACCATTTTTTAAGTCTTTTATAAATAATAAAAATAAATTTAAATTTAACAAAAAAAATAGACCTAGTATTTAAAGATGAATCTTGATTCTTACTATACAATATATTTTGATGCTGCCTTTTATATTAACAATAAAGTGAATGTTTGTATTAGAATATTGTATAAAAAAACATTTTTTACAATATCTTAGTAGCAGGCTAGTAACCTAAAAGATAAATACAAATATTATACTATTTAATGTTTAGTTTATTCATTAATAGACTAATAATCACACTTATATAATTTAGATCTATCTAGCCTGTATCCAAATGGGTATTATATAGACCCTTCATACTCATTTGTTTACTATACTAGAAATGAATATTGGACTCTCTATAATGATGGGAATATGTATACATGGGACTTAAATAGTTATTAATATAAAAATGCATTTTTTTGTAAATAATTACTTATTATAATACTTAATTAAATCTATTTGTATAAAAAGTAAATTGCTTAAATTCAGCATCTATGGAGCTATTTGAAACCTATAATCAATTAATAATCGATTGTTATAATACCTAAACTATTCGAGCAATTTATATATCTTAAAATTTTACACAATAAATTCTAGAAAAGCATAACACATGGATGTAATCTAGTTCTTTAGATAAAATTAATGGCTGGGCTTTTTTTTAAGGAGAAGATGATTAGATAATTAGAATATTTGATGTTAAAGGACCTCCTGGAAACAATCTTCTATTTAAATTTAAACTTTAATATTCATCTTACATTTCTTTTATTTTCTTTGATACTAATTAGAAAAAATTAATAATAGTTAGCTAAGAAATAAACTTGGTAATTGATATGAACACTTGTCTATAAAGAAATGTCCTTAATGATTATGATTCTAATATTTGTGAGATTTGTAAAAACGATTTTATATTCAACATAGTAGATTATTCAAATCCAATAATAAAACCTAAAAGTGTAAATTAAGGATAATATGGGTTTGGAACAGATACTTAACCTTTTACAAGCTATAGATAAACCTTAGAATAATAAATAAAGGCTAGTTTTCTTATTCACTCAATTGTTTCGATGAGTTTCCTCTAATCATATCTCAAAATTAATACTAATAATCAAAACTATTTAATCAATAATTCCTAGTTTTAAAATAGTGATTCAGTTAATGAAGAAAAATACTTCTAACCTCTTTCAGCAAATGATTCAATTATTTTAACTTATTAAAACAATTAAATAGCTACTTTTTCAAATTTTAAAAGCATCACATTTTAAGATGCAATTTTTAAATATGATTTTACATCTGTTCAGCAAGAAAGTCAAAATTCTTTTAAATGTGGATTAAATGTATAAAATGTCTAAAAATTAGATTTGATAAATTATAAGTTCTAAATTACTGGAATCAATAATTTAAATGATGTTTCTCTGTAATGTGGAAAAATTATAGCAATAAATTCTACATTACTTCTCCAAAATTCTACATTTTAATATTTATAAATTACAGAACCACTGATAGTTTCTAAAGACTCACCTAAAGTAATTTTTATAACTTCTAATTAAAAAATATTAGTTTTTTGAAAGTTTTATTTTAATAAGTAATTAATGATTATTTTAATTAAATTTTCAATATTTTTGAAATTATACAAAATTAATTCAATTTTTTAAATTAGATATTGCTTTCTTACATAAATATTAATTTATGCAGCATACAAAGTTAAAGTATTTTAAGCTTAGCATAAGGTTCAACAAATTTGATTATCGATAATCTTAATTTTTAAAACAATACTGGTAAATATTAAGATCCAAGTTCATCGGGATAATTATTTCAGTATACAACAGTTTAGGCTAATAATATATACATAGCTTTTAATAATTTATAAAATATATTTTTCTTCAATTCTATTATAAACCAATAATCTCAAGTTGATTTATCCCAAGAAAGTAGCACTTTTATATTTACTCAAGTATAATTTATCCAAAATTATATCTTATCAGCCCAATAAACTATTTTTGCATAAATGAAGTTCCCATCACTTTAAGATCCTAATTTTGCATTAATTTGTTAAGATATGGTTTTTTAAAACAATACAATAATCCAAATAGATCTATAAAATTTAATAAATAATTAGCCTTAAGTTAGTAATATATCTTAAAATTCTCTATTTAGTTCTTATAATCTTGCATCTTTTAAATTTAATAATCTAACATTGATAGATACAAAAAATATGGGAATTTTAAATGCTTTCCAAGCGATATCTTTTTAGGCAGATACTATTTAAGTATATAATAGCTAAATTCCGATAATTGAAAATATTAGACCTCCACCTCTACTATATTTTTACCAAATTTAGGATTTTTCTGTCTCAAATTCATCTTTCAAATATATTTACACAAAGGACTAATCAATAATCAATATATAAAACTCTGAAAATGGCTAAAGCTCAGTAAATATATATAATTCTACGTTTAAGGGAAATTATATTCATTCAACATAACCATATTATCCAGCAAATACTATTTAAATATAATCAAGTTCAGAATCTTAAATTTTATTTGATAAGGTTTCAATTATCAATTGTTTTCTCAATTCTACGCCTAATAATTATTTTCCTTCTACTAATTCATTTTGGATACAAAATATTTAAGGTGAAGTTAATCTAACGAATTCTGTATTTACTGATAACTTTTCGAATGGTCCTTACAATATAATGCAGATAGTTTCTAATTCGATAAATATAAATTAATGCAAGTTTTAAAATAGTTCTTATCCAGATAAAAATCTTTAATAATTTAATTAAACTATTGAAAAAAATATAAATTCTGATGGTGCTTTTATAAATATATAGTCACAATTTATATAGATTTCATAATCAATACTAGAAAATTCTTACTCAAAATAAAATCCTCTCATGTACCTGTCTTCATTTAGTGAAAATTTATAAATAATAATAGATGAATGCCAATTTTTTGATTCATACTCTATTTAAGGATCAGCAATATAAGTATATTCAAGCTCAAATTAAATTAATTTAACTATGACGAATTCTAAATTTTAAAATATATTCTTAAGAGGAGAGAGTCCATAGCTGATTAAATTAGGGTAATATAATTAATAATCGCTTTTATTTACTTTGAAATAATTTTACACTCATTTTCATTAAGTTGAAAATTTATTTATCTCATAAAAACAACTGATTATAATAATAAGCAGGAATATAATCTATTTAGTTTTCAATTAAAACTTATAAAAAAAGGGGGAGAAAAATCGATTATTTAATATATTTTATTTGGCTAAAATTTTTGAGTATTTAAATTAAAAATATTAATTCATTTCAAATATTTAAATGAATTACACAACTCATCACATAAATGAAAAATTTAAAATATTTTATTTTTTATTTTAAAATATTAGGTTAAATAAATAAAAATAAGTAAAAGATCAGATTTCTTTCAAGAATATAACAATTTCGAACATTTATGGAGATTAAGGCTGTTCATTTTTTTCTTAATACTCAGGCGATATTACTCTTGATCAAATCAAAATACTTTCTGATATAAGCTCCCTTTCCATTATTCCTTTCTTTTAAAGTATTTACTAAAATCAATTATTTTGCTCATAAATAGACTCATTGAACAATAAAATTAAGGTTAGCAACTATAATATTTCAAATATTTAATAAGCTTTTAAGATAATCTATTCGATTTAAAATTCAGAAATTTTTTAGAACTAGTTATTCATAAGCGATTAAAATTCTGATATTAAAATAGCTCAGCTGGCTATTAATTAGTGTTAGTTATTACCATAGTAAAGACTTATGGAATTCTCATCAACTATTTTTTATGGTGATACTTTACATATTAATTAAATTATGAACTTAGGTAGTTTAAATTAAACAATATCACAAGATTAATCTTACAACTAAGGAAATATGTATTTTGAAAACTCTTAAATTAAATTTTTTAAATTAAATACAAGTAATATATAATGCATTTATTGCAACGGAGGATCTATATAATTTAAAAATAGTACAGGAGAAATAGTCGACTCTTAATTTGAAAAAAACTTAGTAAACTATTTATTAAATAATATATTTAGATTCATATCAAATCTTTTTTATTAAATAGGCCAGTAATGGAGGTGCTATTTCATTAGAAATGCCTAATTAAAAATTAAATATTTTATCTTGCTAGTTTTCTAAAAATGTTGCTACTAATTTCGGAGGAGATTTGTATATGTATAACACTAATGACGTAGAATTTGAATTTAGAATTTAAAATAGCATATTTTAATTTTCTTCATCTAAATAATATGGAGGATCTGGATACTTTGAATAAAGTTTTTCTTCATCATTGAAAAATATAATATTCCTACAAAATATTTCATTTATTGAAACTCAATCTTAGATTGGAGGAGCAATTTTTTATTAGAATATTATACCTATTTAAAGCTAAATTAATTACATAAATACTTCTGCCTTAAAATATGGTAATAAAGACTATTCTTTTCCTAGAAAAGTGTAATTAATAAACCCAGCAAAAAATATTATTCCGATGGATGAAACATTTTCAAAGATTATTTCTTTTTAAAGTGGAGATTTTTTACCTCAGCTTTCTTTTCATTTTTTAGATTAACATAATGAAATTCTTAAGCTGTCTGATAAAAATTACATATAAGTAAAAAAAACTTATATATATATTGATATTTAAACACCTGATATTAATTCTTATTAATTAATTGGGGTATAAAACGGATAATATGACTTTAATACATTTATTATGACTATAACATAAAACAAATTTGTTGGAGTACCTGGAAGTACAGTTTATCTGTACATTTTGTTTGAGCACATATCCTAGATTTAAGATGGTTTAATAGTGTAAAATAACTTTTAATATAAATTAGAAGTTTAGTTTAGAGAGTGTTAAATAGGAGAAATTAAAAAAATTGCCACTATCAATTTAAATTAAAGTAAATATTCATAACATTAAATAATGAAATTTAAATTCTTTTATAAAAGTTTAATCTAACTTAACTGAATGCCAAATTTGTGGGAATTAAACTTACTCTTTCGATTTTTAATAATGCTATTAATGCCCTTCAGGTGCTTAATGTTTGGGAGGAGCTGAATTATTAATTTAGGAAGGAAATTGGAGAGAAGAGTAATACTCTGACGTAATATTAGATTGCTTTAATCAAAGAACTAATTGTAAAGGTGGATTGGGTTTTATGAACTCCTTATGTTACCAAGGACATATTGGTCCTCTTTGTGAAGAATGCGATGTAAATTAATTAAATTATTTTAATAACTTGATTCATTAAATAAATTTATTATTCAAATAATAGATTTTTGGAGAAGTATGGTAGGATAAATATAGTAAAACAAGTTCTTATTCATGTACAAACTGTAGAGAAATCAAGGCAAACATTTATTTGCTTATTATTAGCTATTTTGTACTTCAGATATCTTTATCTTTTGCTATTAAAAATGAAATTGCAATTAGAGAAAATAAGGTAATGTCAAATTTATTATGAAAAAACTACATTTTTTAACTACGATTCTTATTTTAATTTAGGTTATAAATTAATTTAAAGAAGGAAATTAAGCAGGTTAGGCATTATAAAATGAATAAAATTAGTAAGTCCAATAAAACAAGCCAAGTTTTAGATAAGATAAAATATCCACACAAGCAGCAATTATCGTAAAATTTATGGCACATTATTTCTTAATATTTAGCTCGCTATCAGGCTTTAACTTACAAATTCCAAAAGGAATAATAGAAACTCCTATGTAAATTGCTTCTCCGCTTAGAAGCTCTTTATCGAATTTGGAATGCTTTCTAAGCTAAATGAAATTAGAACTACCCTTTATTTACTTTAGGTTTTTATTCGTTACTATGCTTCCTATTGTTTATTTTACTGTCTTTTTAATTTAGATTAAAATCTGGTACTTTTTTTAAAAAAAACCTTTTGGTGGACATATACTATATTCATCTGGATTGTTCATTTTATTTTACACTCAACCTGATATTCTTTCATTTATAATTTAGTTACTAAGCTGTAGAATTATCAATAGAAAACCATATATTCTTGCTAATATTACATAAAGATGCTACACCCATCAATATTACTATTACAGTTTGATTTTAGTTTTTCCAGTTTTTCTTGTTTTTGTAGTAGGAATACCTGGTTTTTTCTTTTTAAAGCTTTATTCAAACAGATAAAATATTACTGATCCTCGAATTGTTATGAAATTCGGGTATTTACTACGTGAATATAAAAAAGATAGATACTATTGGGAGTTTGTACGCATGATTGAAAGAATGGGCTTGATTTTTGTTCTTAATTATTACTCTTAAGACTTTATAACTAAAGCATGTCTAATTTTAATTATTGTTGCAATTTACTGGAAATTGATAGAGAATAAATAACCTTATAATAATCCTGTTAATTAAAAAATAGATAATTATCTATGCATGACATGCTTTTTGACTGTTTTATTTTCTTTATTTTTATAAAACTAGCCATATAGTTATTTTATAATTATATCGCTCTCAATTATATTTTTAATAAATATAGCCTTTATCTTTTATATATTTAATAAGTTTATAGCCAACTTCTGGAAAAGAATACAGCTTATTGTATTTAACCTTCTTACAAGTAAATGCTTTAAAAAGTTTTTTAAAGTCAAGTTTAAATTTGTTGAGAAATAATAAAAAATGGAAGAATTAAGAAAATAAGTCAAAGCTAAACTTGCCTTTTCCATTTAAGAATTATGCAGAAGTAATTTAAATAAAATTTTTTATTTAACAACTTTTAAATAAATTATAAAAGTGTACAATAAATAATAAAGAATGAACAAATACATAATTATTGCAGGTAAATTTTATAAAATATTCTTAAATATGCTAATTAGTTATAATCATTATTTTATTAAAAGCTGAGTATTATAAAACAAATAAAAACAAAAAAGAAAACTAAAAAATGGTATAATAAAATTTTAGCTCAAGGTTTATTAGATATAAAAGGCAATCAATAGATAATACAAGTCTTCAATTTAGAACTAATGATAAAAGTTGTATATTTTTTATGAAATAAATAATTTATAATAAATAATATTTTATTTTTAAATAAATTAGATGAATAGATAGAAAAAGTATTTTCTCAACATGAAAATAAAAGAACATAAAACTTTTTAATAAAATAAAAAAGTAATAAAGAGGTAACAAATAATTGATTTTTTAAATTTATTTTTTTAAAAATTAATAAAAATAAAAGGAAAATTAAATTTAGTTAAGCTCAGTAAAACTAAGTTCATACCTTTATTCAAATTCTTATTAAAACTCTCCTAATAATCCTTTATCTAGAAATATCAATGAATTTTATAATGATATTAATTTAAATAACAATGACTGTATAGAGGAGAACACAACTAAAGAGAAAGGTCATGTATTTTAACTTTCAAACAATTCTTAAGAGATGCAAATAAATAGATAAATAAGCGATTTAAATGACGATGCCTCTCATTCTTCTAAGTATAGCATATAAGATGAATAATCTTCAGAATTAAAATAAAATAAAAATATACAATCAATTTAATAGAATACAAATAAATTAGAATAATAGATTAATAACAAATATAACTTCTAAGATTAGTTAATCAAAACAATTTAAACATTAAAAAACTAAAGCATATTAGTTGATTAAAAAAATGATTAAGATAAAAGCTGAAAATATGAAAATATATTATAAATAAAATTTTTTATGTTAAATGTTTTTGTAAAATAAATATTTAATTTCTCAAAATAATTATAAATAGGAAATAAATTATATCTATATCTTATAAATAAAATAAAAACAGGATATATATCACCATTTTTTTTTAATTAATTTTTTTTAACTTGCTTCATTTGTAATATTGATAAAAAAAATTAAAACCATAAATAAATATATTAGATTCTCAAATACTTAACTCAATCTCATTTTTCAAATTTAATTTTATCAAAAATTTCTATTATTTTGATAATAATTATTATAAAGTACAGCTTTTCTTTTTTACCTGTTAATTTTAAATACCTATTATATTTTTAAATTTAATTGCAAATAGTTTATTATTAACACATTTTTAAATTTGTAAAATATAAATGATTTTAATAAACATTGTAAAAAATTTTACTTTTAAAAGTAATTTGAATTAATATGTTAAATTTCATATTATCAATTATCTATAAACTTATATAAATCTCAAATATGCTTATGTTTAAATATTAATAAGTTTTTTGAAAATAAAATAGTCATTCTGTTATTTTTTTCTATAATTTAGCATAACTAAAAAAGTGTATTAAAAAGATTACTTTTATTTTCAGTAAGATGATGAAATTACATAATACTTTTTATTTGGTTACAATTATGGTAAGTTTAATTTAGCAAATATAATGCTTAGATAAAGAGTATATTCCTTAATGCCCTTAACTTTACAAATACTACAGTATTTAAATAGTAATTTAGATTTAAACTAATTTGTTTCTATTTTAAATATAGATGGCTTTGTGAATGATAAAATATTGAAAATTATTTCAATACCATAAACTAATTTAGGAATATTAATGGTATACAATGAATACAACTTTGATTTTGAGCTTATAGTGATAGATTTTAGTTAAAAAATATCGCTTTTACGCAAATCGAGTAAAATAATTAGATTTTTTAACATTTTTGAAATAACCTCTACTTATTTATTCATAGTCTATTCCTAATCTCTAGTTTCAATCTTTTATGAAGAATATTAAAACGCAGTAATTCTTTAGACAAGCTAAGAAATAATTTTTTTGGATTTATACACACTAAATTAAATTAAATCATTTTTATTTGATCCTTTTGATGGAGTGCTTTTCGATTAATAAAGCTAGTCTTTGTTTTTATACAATTCAATAAAAATAATACAAATTAATATCAAAGATGGATCTACATTAAACTAATTTTAATTAGGTAAAATAAAACAGATAACAAAATATTATTTAGATTTTTTTTATAAAAATAGGATAAGTAGGGATAAAATAAAGAATATCACAATGTTAAATTATTTCTATCAAGCAATAAATAAATAGTTATTTTCTAATATCATTAGACAAATTTGCTATTTTAGTTTAATAAAATAACAATTAACTCTTTTGGCCAATCAAATTAGGTAGAAATTTTACTTTATCAATCTAAAGTTTATATTTTTTTTAACTAATAAACAAATAGCCAGCGTTAGCTAAATGATCTCACAATAATTTAATATATATTAAACTAGAAATTTAAGTTAATTATTTGCAATTTCAGATTCTAGTTAGATAATTAAAATAGTGAATATTGATCCAAACGTGAATGAAATATTACAAATAATTTAATCATTCTAAAGTGGTAATTCTAATATTAAAATATAATAAAAATTAATTAATAATTAATTACATTAGAATTAAAAGAATTTATGGTGATAAAGATGCTAATCCAAGATAATTGTAAAAGCTGCTTTTATCTAATTGTTAGTTGTTTCACAAATAAAAATGATACTTTAGCTAATTCTCTTCTAACTCTTATTTATAATGAAATTGATGAAACATTAATTGCTTTTTAAAGAATAAATTAATTTTTTACTGATGTATTTACAATTTACTAAAAAGATTGGGTTATATTTTTAAATAATAATATAACAAGTTAATTGTTTGAAATTAAAAACATCAAAAATCAAGATGCTGTATTGTATAGTGGTACATAATTTTTATCTATTAAATTTTATATTGATTTTTTCTTTATATTAGGCAACATAAAACCACAATTGTTTAATGTCATAGATTCTAATGACCCAAATAGATATATCCTTTTTGATTAAATTAGCCAAATTTTATATATTATGGATTTTAGTTTTAATATATTACATAAATTTTATCCACCTTATGGAATATCATAATATGACAGATCTTTTAAACAAATAAAGAATTTATAAGGCTATTATGCTATTATAAGCCATTATGATCCTATCTAAGATCCTTATGGAGTTCACGGAATTTATTTGTATAACGAATATACAAACAAAGTAAAATAATATAAATAAATTTAAATTTTAAATTATCAATGAAAATATATAGGTAATTTATAATCCTCTTGATCATCCAAATTAGATTAGAATAGAAATAGTGGAATCTTTTGAATTAAATTCTAATATTTATATATGCTTTCTTTTTAATACATAATATATATTGAATCCTGCAGGAATATAAGATATAATATAAAAATACAAATATCATCGATATGAATGCAATTAATATACTTTAGATTTTGTTTTTATCTAAAAAAATATACTAGATGATAGATAGTTGTATACAGATGGTTTAAATCAACCACCACGAAGATGTGGATATCATACAATAAATAAATATTTGGTATGCATAGAATACAATGGTCTAATTCATAAGTGGTCTGTACCTAATTTTGAAATAATTTAGCATTCTTAAAGTAAAATTATATAATTAAATTTAACATAAGTTAGTAAACTTAATAAATTATAAAGATTTTTTAACAATAATGTGGAATATTTAAGATAGAAAAATGAATTTACTTATTGTTTTACTTAAAAAATAAGTTTTAAGATTTAAATAATATTTAAAAATTTAAAAAAATATTTGAAAAATGATTGAATTATTTGAATTTTTATATTTATAAATTAATAAATTATTATGACTATTTTTAAAAGTTTAATTTGTTAATTTTTTTATGTTTGGCATTTATTTTAATAACATTAAAAATAATTAATAAAGGTAACTGTTTAGATACTTTTATGTTCTTATTTTATCAAGAAATGAATATTGTTATTATTGATTGTTCTCAATATGACACAGTTGTTTATCTAGATTTAGATTCCTTAACAATCTAGAAGTTGAGAGAAAATTTCACATGGATGACATCTGGCTATATTAATAAAAACTTTAATTTAGCAGTATTTAGTGGAAACTAAGATAATACTTTATACTTTTATGATCTAAATTAACCCATATTAAATTCATTTTAATTATCTTGGCTTATAAATACTGATCAATTAACTGTTTCTTCCTTTTAAATTAGTTAAGATCTATCAAAAATAATATTATTCTCTACTGATTTTTTTGGAGTATTAGAAGCTAGTGATTGTTTAAAAAATATATCAATGTGCTAATAAAAATGTTAATTTAATTAATATTTCGACTTGTCATTAGAAAGATAATAATTATCTTAAGATTTTGGGTAAGGAACTTTAGCAAATCCGTTTTTATCGATAAGGTGTATCAAGTATTTATTTTTTTTAAGTAATGAGATTTAATAAGAATTGAATATTTCTTAATACGTTTTGGTAAATGTTTTTATTGACGATTCTTCATCGTAAATAGAAATATCTTATAATTTTTAAAATAATGAAATGCTAACTACAGCATTTATTTTAACAAATCTTAAGATACAACCATTAGATCAAAGAAAGTTAATTAGAGTTAATTGCTAAGAAAGTTTATCAATTTAGGATGCTTATGGGTTAGAAATACTTAATTATATTATTAATTTTAATAACCTAGCTTTACAAAATAAATAATTACAAAATATTTCTAATTTATGTCATCTTTAATTTACATCTATACAGATAATAAATATTACTGATTCTAGATATATAATTAATCAAAGTTAAAGTCATTCAAACTATCCCTTAAACTAATGTGGATAAATGTAATTATAAGATATAAAATTAGTGTCCATAAGGAATTTATAGTTCAACTAAACAAGCATTATTAAACCTTTTATCACTTTAAATAATGTCTAAAATGTAAATAATTTTTATTAGAACTTTTAAAAATATTTTATTTTATAGTTAAACATAATAGGATTGGTCCTTTCAAAGTGCTCTATTTAAACTTAAGGAGTAATATAAATTATTTAAGGTTCTACATAATTGAGTTTATCAAATTTACTGCTAAAAGAAAATAATTTTAACTACACTAATGATTAACAATAAAATTATTTTTTTGATTGCACAACATGCTCTTTAAATAATTCCTTAATATAAACTAATTTTTTTTATGATATACAATTTTTTAGAAGATTTGGATAAATTAGCTAGTTAGATACCAAAAGTAATTCAGTAAATCCTCTCTTTTATTTTAGGAATATATCGATATAGGATAACTTTTTTAAGGTGAGTAATTCTAAAACAATTTTTATTAGCGCAGTGTTTCCAGAATTAAATTCACCTGATTACTAAATAATAATTTAATAATTTAACTTTTAAAATAATTAAATTACGTTAGATAAAATGAATTCTAATTAAATTTAATAGGAATAGAAAGTATCTATTTTTTCCTCTTTAAATATAAATCATATACTAATTTATGATATTTATTTAAATAATTTAATGTTCTTAAATTTTTTCACTAGCTAAAATGGATAAGATTTTTAGATTAAAAATCTCTAATTACAAAATAACTTTGGTTTGTTCACTCATAATTATCCATTAAAATAATAGAATAATTATTACTACTCTTTACTATAGATATAAGACTTTTGTAGTTTATTGATAGAAAACGCTTTATTTTAAAATTGTACAATAATAAATAACTCGTTTATTTATTTTAGTAATATCATCTAAGACTAAGAGTAAGGCTCGATCAATCTTTAAAACATAACATTTAACAAAACAAAGTTATTTAGTTCATAGATTTTCACATAATCTAATCCCATAGAAATCAACTATAATTAGCCAATATAAATAAAAATAATAGAATGTTAATTTATAGGTGGAATTTTAAATGCTCCATTAACAAATTTTAAAAAATCAACAACAGGAATTAGTATCTCTGCAGCTTAAGGAAATTTAGATATTTAAAATTCATAGTTTTATGAAAATCAATCAACAGGATTTTACAATTCATTATTTATTTAGGTTGATACTTTATCTATTAGCTAGTGCTTATTCAAAAATAATACTTCTTAAATTTAATTATATGAAATAATAAATTAAAATATTTTTAATTCATTTATTTAATTAATAGCATCACAAATTTACTTTAATAACATCACTTTTAGTTATGGAATTTCTAATTATTAGCCTATTTTAAAAGCACAATCTTTAAATTAAAATTTTAATTTGACAATAGAGAATTGTTCATTTGAAAATTCAATATCTCTCAAAGGATCTTTGATTTATATTGACTTCTAATAGAGTGTTTCTTTTGTGAAATTAAAAAAAAATATATTTTATAATATCAAAATACAGGAGTACGGTAGTTAGTTAATTAGCTTCAAGTAAATTTATTATATTTATAATTAATAAATAATATTTTGATTTTTATATAAAAATAGTAATTTCAATAGATAAGAAAACATATAATTTAACCAGCTAACTATGGAAAACAATAATTTAACAAATATATATTCATCTGCAGCTGACTGCTAACTACTTAATTTTGAGAATGGATTTATTTAAATTGAGGATGTGTTATTTTCATTGACAGCTATTTAATAACCTTTTTAGTAATATATGAATATACTAAAATACGATATTTTTCCTTGCTTACAGATATTTATTTAAAATAGTAAGGCTATTATTAATGATTATAGTTTAACTGGATATTATTCACAATAGTATTTATCAAGCGTACTTTAAAACAATTTAATATTAAATTAGATAAACTGTAATACACTAATTAAAAATATCACAATTAAGAATCTTTAATTGTAGTAATATTAATCTTTAATATCTTCATAATATGGATTTTTAAATATTACTCAATCAAAATTTAAAAATATCTTCAAAGATTATTAAAAGAACAAAGATTATATTTAATAATAGAGCTAGTCTTATATTTCAACTCTGAACACAATATTTTAAATTACTTAAACCTAATTTAAAAATATATTTTGTTCATAATGCAAGGGAGGTATCTTTTTTTTTGAAAAATCTAATGGCTAGATCAACAATTGTACATTCTCAAATAATACAGTAAATTTTTATTAAAATATTCCTTATTAATTATTAATAAAATTCTTTTAGAGTATTACTGGAGGCTCAATTTATTTCTAAAACTTAATAGAATAAACAACAATTATTAGCTGCATTTTTGAATAAAATGAATCTTTAGATGGAAATGGAGGTGCTATATCTATATATTATAATCAATAACCAAGATTCATTTTAAATATACTACATAGTAATTTTAGTGGATGCTCTTCTTAAAACTAAGGAGGAGCAATAGCAATAATATAATAAGAATAATAAAATTATAACTTGGTTAAATTATAAAATTTATTTTTTACTGATAATATTGCAAAGATTGCTGGTGCTCTATATTATTAAAATATAATTCCAGTTTAAGAAAATATATTTTATCACAATAATAATGCTTAGCTTTTTGGAACTAATTTTTACTCAGGTTTTCCGACATCTCTAAAAATCATAAGTAATTATTTAAAATGAAGTTTTTTTATTATTTAATATTTTCTAATACTTTTCATAAAAAAGATAACAAACAAATTATTAGCTTAGATCATCAAAGCTCATTTATAACAAATTTTAGAAGCGGTGATACCTTACAAGAAATATAAATATAGTTTTATGATTAAAATGATCAACCTATTATTATTTAAGAGCAGGATTTTAAAAATACATGGATATAAATTGATAATAATTCAAATGAAGTAGACTGTAATTTACAAGGTGTATAAGTTGCATAATATTTATAAGATAAGTCTTATATAAAAATACCTGAAAATATTTTAACAGGAATACCTTAATAATAAATAACCTTAAATATTTATTCAGATTAGATATATAAGATATATAACAATTAAATTGTGAAGTAAAATCTAATTCATTAAATTAAAATAAACTTTAGAGAGTGTTTATTAGGAGAAATAAAACTTGAGTCAATTTAAGGTACGATTAATTATATAATCTTATTAAATTAACATATTTTTTCATTAGATTAATATCTCAACAGAACCTTAATATAGTGTATTAGATGTAATACTGGAACATATTCTTTTGATTTTTAAAAATGTAGTGCATGTCCATAAGGAGCAAAATGTTATGGCGGTTCTAATGTTAGTGTAAGCCAAGGATATTGGAGAAGTAATATTTTATCTACAAATATTATTTAATGCATAAATTAAGATGATACTTCATGTGTTGGAGGTTATGGAGCTGGAGATTAATTATGTAAAAAGGGATATATTGGCAGTTTATGCTTAGAGTGTGATGTATAATTAAAAATTATTAAATTTTAGTAATTATTAAAAAAATTTAATTATCTTTTTTAGGAGAAAGGTATTGTTTGGGGAAGTAAATATATTAAAAGAGGTTTTCAATGTTATTAATGCTATAAAACAATATTTAATGCAATTCTTATTTCATTAAGTTTGTCTATTATAAATTTATCAATTTATCTTTCAATTAGGAATGAAACTTCCTATACAACCTAAGAAGAAGAATAGGTAAATAAATAAATTACTTCAAGCAACATAAATAATATAATTATCAACATTTTACTAAACTTCAAATATAATTTCATTCAATTTTTAATAAAATTTATTATAAGAAAATAAAATGATTAAATAGAATTAAATAAATTTTTAAAAATTAATTAATTCAATTTATTATCTTAATGGTTTCTTTCTTTAAAAATGTTCATAATTTAAAATTAAAAACCTTTTCTTTTAGTTTTTTTTTGGGGATTTAATGCACCCAAACACAAATATTTAAATTTATTCATAAATTTAAAAAAAAGAGGAAGTCTGGAATATTGCAATCCCTATAAATAAAAAAAAGTATTTCTTTTAATAGCAAGATATAATATTTTAAGATCTAAAAATCTAGCTAATCAGCAATTATAATCAAATTTTTTACCCATTATCTAAAAATAATAACTTAAGTTTAGGACTTAAATATAAAATTAACAAAAAACTTGTTTAATTTACCAGGTGTATTAGAATTAATGAATCCTATTTCTTCTTAGATAAATGCTTTATAGTGTTTCTTAGACTTTAAAATCTTCCAAATACCTTTAATTTACTCGAAGTTTTTACTTTAGTGCTTTTTACCTTTGATTTATTTTTTGTCATTTCTTTTGCTAATTAGGTTAGTTTACTTATTAAAAGGCAAAAAGTTCAACTTTTAGATAGTTATTGCAGTATTCTTCTTTATTTTCTTTTACTTTTAAATTGATATATTTTAGGCTTTTATTTTACTTGTAAGCTGTATATAGATTGAAAATAAAAGCTACATTTTGCAAAACATAACTTACGAATGCTATACTGACTAAAGCAAGTTTTATTTGCTCGCAATAGTGACTCCTATTATGATTATTTATGTCTTTATAATACCTATATTAATTTTTATATTACTTTACAAAAATAAGTAATAATTAGAATTTTCTGAGCTTTAAAGTAAATTTGGATATCTTTTAAGGGAATATAGAGTTGATAAGTATTATTGGGAATTTGTGAGAATGATTGAGAGAATGATAATTGTCATTATCCTTGGAATATATTCTTAAGATAGTTTAACAAAATCAGTTTTAATCTTTTTAACAATTATAACATATTTCTTCTTTTTACAAAAGCTAAAACCTTACTAAAAACCAATTAATTATAACATTGATTGTTATATGTCAATTACTTTTTTGATTACTTTTCTGCTTTAGATTTTTTCAATAGAATAAAACTATATATACTTTGAGTTTATAAAATATATAGTTTTATTTGGAACTAATTTATTATTCATAGTTTACCTTTTCAGACACATATTAAAATTTTTACAATTGAAAATTAGACTATTATGCAAAAGAATTTAGAATTCATAAATTGGATAAATGCTCAAAATAAATAACAATTCAGAGAATAAGTAGTAAAAGTTTTAAGAAAAGAAATAAAAATTGAAAGATAGTATTATAAAAGGTGTATAAAATATTCTATTAAGTAATTTTGCTATTATTAATCATATCTTTTATTAATAAATATTTATTTCTTATAGATTTAAATAAGGAATAAAGATAGAACTACTACTATTTTTTAAAATGTAACTTAAATTTACTTTAATTCTCTCCAATTTATAAATTAAAAAAAAACTATTTAAATTTAAATTTTCTTTTTTTATTATCATCATCATTAGATACGTTTAGAAAGAAAGAAAATAAGTCAGAAAAAAATGAAATTATGGAAAGAAATAGAGGAATAAAAACTATAACTGACTTTTAGAAAACTGATTCTTATTATAATTGTACTATATTAATTCATAATAAAATTAATTTACCACTTATATTTAAGATCCATTCATTAGTATAATAATTTTTTTTTAATTAGAATAAAGCGGTATTCAGTTTGATTAAGCTTTTTTAAGTAGAAAAGTAATACTAAAAATTAAAAATGTTTTTCTTTCATTTAAAAATGCATTATTTAAAAAAAATAATAGATGATAAAGAATAATGATTCTTAAGATAATGATTATAATAGTTCTAAATATCAGGAGTAAGATTATGTAATAAACTAAATTTCTAATACTAAAATATCTATGCTTAACTCTAGTATTATTTCTCCATTTTAAATACATAAATAGAATTCAAAGAAATCTACTTTATTACTAAATAAAAGAAAATCTATTTTTAATGCAAAGTCACTTTATAATATTCCTCATATAACATAATAAAAAATGGAAAACAACTCTAATTTAGAATCGAATGTCTAATATATGTCTACAGAGAAAAATGATAAAAATACGAATAATTTGATGCTTAGTTCTATTACAGCAAATCCAACAATTTTAACCAATAAAAATTCAAAAAAATCAACTATTATATAAAATAAAAGATAATCAATTTTTAAAGTAGAATCCTTACATAATATCCCTCAAATAAATTAATAAAAGCTTGAAGATAACTCGTCATTTGATATAAGTATTTAAAGTTAAATTATAGAAGAATAAAATTTTAATTACATTCTGACTAACAACTTCCGCTTTATAAAAAATAATAACAATTTAACTAAATAAAAAGAAAATGATAAAATTTGAAAATAGAAAATTATATAATTAAATTTTATATGTTTTTTATTGTGGTTTAAAAAAAATTTTTTATTTATATTTATTTACAGAATATTTATTTTTGAAAATAGCCAAATTTATTTGTAAACAATATTTTAAAAACTTTTATATTTTCTATATTTTTTAATAATTAAAAACTATATTTTTATTCATATAAATTTTTAGATTTATTTTATTTTTAATTTATTTATACATACTTTTTATAAATATTTTATAATTTTTTTTTTTTTTTAATAAAATCTTTAATAATTTTTAGTTTTATAACTTCAAATGAAAACAAATAATAATTTTAAAAATGATAATAATGTTTAAATAATATAAGCTCATGGTTAAAAAAAAATTGTTTTACTGCGATTAATAAAATATAAATAGTTAAAAAATAGTAAATTAAAAAATTTATTCATCAGTTAAAAAAAATTATATTTTTATACCATAAAAATTAGTTTGTTATAGTTACTAAATTACTCAATAAAATTTTGTAAACATTGATTTCTTTTAGAAAGTAAATGATATTACAACTCTTATCTTACAAAAATATAAATCGCTCATATAAACTGTAATACACTTTAAAAAAGACAATTATATATATTTTTCATTTAAAGTCCTATATAAAAGATATAAACATAACTTATTATTTATTATTCTATGGCACAATAATTTTTATAATAGAATTTAAATTTACTTGGTATAGCACTAACAAATATTAGTCTATGAGATTTTAATTGTTGATTAGCTATATATAAATAATAGGTAATATTTTGTGTTAATATATTATTAAATTAAATGTTTTTGATAATAAGATTGTTTATTACAAGAGCTAGTAAGTGGATTTTGCTTTAAAATATATCCAAAAAATTTATAAAAATTAATAAACCAAAAAATTATATAAAATAAGTTTTTGATAGAATATAAGTATTTCATAAAATTCTAAACACAACCTAGCTGTTTTTAAGATAAAATTATTTTGTAAGAGCTGTTTGAAAAATAGGAATGGAAACAAAAAAAAGAGTAGCTTATTTTTACAATAACGAAATAGGTAACTACAACTATGGAAAGTTGCATTTAATGAACCCAAAAAGAATTTCAATGACTCATTCCTTGATTGTAGGTTATGGTGTCTATAAAGATCTTGACGTATACACAACAAGAGAAGCCACCAAAGAAGAGATAATGCAGTTTCATGATTAGGATTATGTTGAGTACCTTTCTAACTATGTATCGAGTACTAAAATAGATTTTCTAAGAAAGAATGGATGCACTGCTCCTATCATAGATGAGGAAGCTAAAAATGATGTAGAAAAAAAGAGATAATATGGCATAGATGTTCAAGCTGATTGTCCTGGCTTTGATGGTGTCTATACCTTTAGCCAACTTTCAACAGGTAATAAATTATATTTCCATTTTGAACAAGAATTTGAGTTAGTTGGATTTACAGTTTTCAAAATATATACTAGAAAAAATTTACTTGCTTAAATCTTCTCCTTCTATTTAAAGAATTTGAGTAGAAGAAAGTAATAAATATTCAATAAATAATTAATTATTATCCTAGAAAATGGTGAAAAATAATAGTTAAACACAATTTCAAAAAAAATTATTTTTAACCCAAATTTATATTTTAAAATATTTAAAAAATATTCATTTTAGTAAAAATAAAATTTAAATTTAATATCTTAATATTTTTTTTCTTTAAACCATAATTAGGTGGTTCGATTGATGCAGCTCACTTAATTATAAATAATGCTGCAGATGTAGCTATTAACTGGGGTGGTGGATTGCATCATGCTAAGAAGGGAGAAGCTTATGGCTTCTGTTATGTTAATGATATAGTAATATGCATTTTGGAGCTTTTAAAAGTATTTCCTCGTGTGCTTTACATAGATATAGATGTACACCATGGAGATGGCGTAGAAGAGGCTTTCTTTACTACAAATAGAGTAATGACAGTTAGTTTTCATGAATTTGGAGAAGATTTCTTTCCTGGAACAGGTGGCCTCAACAGTAGTGGAGAAGGATTGGGCAAAAATTATGCTGTGAATGTACCACTTAGACCTGGTATGGATGATGAAAGTTATAAATAACTATTTAAAAATGTAATGAATAAAGTAATGGAAGTGTTTAGACCTGACGTAGTTGTATTCTAAACTGGAGCTGATAGTTTAGCTAATGACAAAATTGGGCATTTTAATTTATCTATTAGAGGACATGGCGAATGCTTGACTTACATGCTAAGGTTTAATGTTCCTGTAGTAGTTTTAGGAGGAGGTGGATATACTATTTAAAATGTAAGTCGTTGCTGGGCATATGAAACAGGATTACTTGTTAAAAAAAATTTAAATGGACCTATACCTGTTGATGATCCCTTTTTCCATTTATATGAAAAATAGAATATGCTTCACGTTCCAATTTAGCAAGTAGAAAATAAGAATAGTAAAGAAGATTTAAATAAAATATAAGAAGAGGTCTTTAAGCAACTAAAAGAAGTAGATGCTGCCCCATCAATACCTTTTCATAATGTTCCCAAAGCATTCTAGTATGATGACGATGAATATTTCGAGGAAAATGAATAAGATTAACATCATGATTTTTCTGGAAATACTTATAATTTCAATAAGCTTAATGACTATATAAACGGATATTAAACAATGGAGGTCGAATAAAATGAAGAAGTTGGAGTATATAGAAAACAACCTCTATTAATAGAAAAGAATAGTAGTAGATTTAATCATATTTGAAATTTTTGTGAATATTATATTTTTAGTTCAATAGTATTATTATAATTAAAGAGCAAATTGTATTAATATTTTATTAATTTGCTCTTCAAATATTTACTTTTATTATATTTAAAATTAATTTATCCAAATACTATTCTTTACCTATTCTGAAATTTTCACAAATATACCTATCACTAGTTATATTTTAAAAAAATTAAAATCAAAAGATAATTATGATGTTTGTTTCTATCTAAATTTCTATCTTTATAGTGCATTTAAACATGGTTAGCTTTGATATCAATCAAGCTAAGTAAGAATGCGATATCAAGATAATTCTTAAAAAAGAGATTTTATATTTGAAATATAAAAGTAAAAAAAGTTTTGAAAAAGAGAGGGAAAATAAATTATAATATAACCTAAAAATAATTATTTATTTAAGCAAAAAAAGTAAGCTATTCTAAATAATATGGAGACTAAAAAAAAAGTAGCATATTTTTACAATAATGAAATTGGAAATTATAACTATGGTAAGCTGCATTTGATGAATCCTAAGAGAATTTCTATGACTCACTCTTTGATTGTTGGATACGGAGTTTACAAAGATCTTGATGTTTATACCACAAGAGAAGCAACAAAAGAAGAAATTATGCAATTTCATGATTAAGATTATGTTGAATACCTCTCTAACTATGTTTCAAGCTCTAAGATAGATTTTCTGAAGAAAAATGGATGCAGTATACCTTTAATAGATGAAGATGCAAAAAATGATAGTGATAAAAAGAAGTAATATGGTATTGATGTATAAGCGGACTGCCCAGGTTTTGATGGACTCTATACTTTTAGTCAGCTCTCAACAGGTGGTTACTCAATAATTTATTTTTAATTTTTTTTATTAAATACTCTAGGAAATAAAATGTATTATTAAATAATATTCACAATATTTTGGATCATCAAGCTATTTAAGCTTTTTTTTCTCTACTTTTTCTTTGATTGTTTAGAAGAATATAAGCAGCCTACTTTAATAATAATTTAGTTATATATTAATATTAATAGAGATTGGTTTTAAATCATAGATATATATACTAAATTATGATGATTAATTTTTTTAAGTATTTAAGTTAAAGTTATATATTTAAAATAAGGTGGCTCTATCGATGCGGCTCATTTGATCATAAATAATGCAGCTGATATTGCTATTAACTGGGGAGGAGGTTTGCATCATGCGAAAAAAGGAGAAGCATATGGATTTTGCTATGTAAACGATATAGTTATATGTATTCTTGAACTTTTAAAAGTCTTTCCACGTGTTTTATATATTGATATCGATGTTCACCATGGTGATGGTGTTGAAGAAGCTTTCTATACAACTAACCGTGTAATGACTGTAAGTTTTCATGAGTTTGGTGAGGATTTCTTCCCAGGGACAGGAGGATTAAATAGCAATGGAGAAGGTTTAGGTAAAAACTATGCAGTGAATGTACCTTTGAGACCTGGTATGGATGACGAAAGTTATGTTTAATTATTTAAAAATGTCATGAACAAAGTTATGGAAGTATATAGACCTGATGTTGTAGTATTTTAAACAGGAGCTGATAGCTTAGCAAATGATAAAATAGGTCATTTTAACCTTTCTATAAAAGGTCATGGATAGTGCTTAACATATATGATGGGCTTTAATGTACCTCTTGTAGTATTAGGAGGAGGTGGATACACTATTTAAAATGTTAGTCGTTGTTGGGCATTTGAAACAGGACTGTTAGTTAAAAAAAGTCTTAATGGTCCCATACCTGTTGATGACCCTTTCTTCCATTTATACGAAAAATAGAATGTGTTGCATGTCCCTATATAGTAAGTAGAAAATAAAAATAGTAAAGAAGACTTAAATAAAATTTAAGAAGAAATATTCAAACAGCTTAAAGATGTTGAAGCTGCTCCTGGAGTTCCCTTCCACACAGTTCCTCGCACATTTTTGTATGATGATGAGGAATACTTTGATGAGCATGAAATGGATAAAAATCATGATTATGATGGAAATAACTATGATTAAGATAAGCTCAACGATTATATTAATGGCTACCACTAAATGGATATTGAGTAAAATGATTAGAATGAAATAATTAGAAAGTCACCACTGCTCATTGAAAAAAGAAATAAATTTAATCATATTTGAATTGATAAAAATATTAATAAACTTATCAAATGTTAAGTTATTGTATATATTAAAATTTTTTAATCGTTATTTTGTAATAAATGTAATATGCTTAAAATTTCTGCATTTTTTTCTTAAAATAAATTAATTATAGTCAAAAATTTTGAATAAAATAAAAGTTTAGTCAATAAAATATTAAATGTACAATTACAGATAAAAAGTAAACATAAAAGCATAATTAAATAATATCAATCAATCATCTTCTTCTTGCTTATTATGTCCCTAATGATGAGTACCATGGAAATTTTTATGATGACCTTCATGACCTCCATGTTGTTAATGTCCTTTGTGACTATCATGGCCATGTCCATGCTTAGAGTATTCTTGGTTTTCATCTTGATTATCATTTTTGTAATGGTGTTTTCCTTTTTTTTCGTATTGATTTTATTCTTCTGAGTCATCTCTATCCTACTTCTTAAACTTCTTTTTCTATTCAAACTGCTGTCTTTCTGCATTTTTCTTTTCCATGTCTACAGTTAAATTTGTAATTTTATCAGGTAAAGTTGCATCTAAATGATTAAATGGAATTATGTGCACATTAGCTTTTTCTATGATCTAGTGGTGAACAAGTTTGTTAAAAACAGGAATGTTAATAGAAGAATTCAAGTCATATTCAAAAATGAAATCTTATGATCTTATATTTCTGTTCTTATCATATTCATTTTTTGACTTTTCAAGAGCCTTTTCACCTTCTTGGTAAGCTTATTCTAAGACATTCACATCAATAAAAGGTAGCTTTATAATTTACATATGCTCCATAGTAGCTCCATACTTATCAATATCTAAAATTTAAGGGCAAAAAGGTTGTAGATATTTTTTAAATAAACCTTTGAATTCGGCAGGTAAGAGGGCTTCATTGTCTGGATGAAGAATAGCTAAAAGTTGCTTGTAAGGTTAGAATGGCTGAGTTTTGACAAATTTAACTTCAAATTTAGGATTTCTTTCTAAGAATTCAACAACATCTTGAGTTAAAGGAGCATAATAGTGAGGGTAAAAGTAATTCCATGAAGCTTTCTCAATACCACGGAAATAGTAAAGAAGGGTGAATTCAAAACCTTCAAGATATTTCATGATAATTAAATCATATTCTTACTAATTCGTCACTTTTAGTTTTTCTTTCAAATAAATTTCTTTACCATTCATTTCATCACTCAATATTTTCTGAATTTCATCTTCTTCATCATCTTCTTGATTCTACTTTTACTTTTTCTATTCATCTTCAGTTCCACTTGCTAATTAATTATCCTTATCATGTTGATTGTGATGCTTTTTCTATTCCTTTTTATTTTTTTTGTGATATTCTTTATCATGGCTTTATTTTTATTCCTCCTAATCTTCATCGCTATCAGAAATAGGAATAATATCCTTAGGGATTTCTGTTTCTTCATTTACAGAGCTGGTCTATTATAATTTAAGGTCTTCTTCTTTGAAATCGTAATCAATCAAATCCTAATCCTTAATATCTTCAACGTTATTGATTTACTTCTAACTCATAATTTTGACGTAATCAAAGACCGATTTCTCTTCTTTTTAAGGAGCTTCGAAAATTCTATTATTCTTGAATTTAGGCTCAATAGTGGCTACTTGCTTAAAAAATTCTATGATTTAATTGTATTTAATAAAACCTCTATCACTAAGATAACTTGTAGCAGTCTCAAGATAGCTATCATATTTTTCGATAAGCTTGTCTAAAATGTTAGGTTTATGTCCTTTTTCTGATTTAATTTGCATGTAATTCTAACGAGGAAGGAAGTCATTACCAGCGAATAAACTTAAAAAGACAAAATCATCCATAAGAGACATAGGATTATATTTTAGATTCTATACTTGTTTATTGTCAAACATTTTCTTATACTTATCAAGAATTACTCTCTTCAATCCATTAATGTCAACTAAATCGTACTCTCTTTCTTTGTGCAAGTCTAATTGTGGATGACTAAGTTCTTCCTTAAGCTTCTATAATTCTTTTTCGAGATCTGTCTGTTTTAATTAATTTTTTTAATTAATAAAATTAATAATTAAAGAGTCTATTAAATAAATAAATACCTTATCTCCTTTAAATTTTGAGTTTTCTCTTAAAATCAAAATACGCTTGCCAATTGTTGCAAGAGAAAGGAGGAGTAAATCTGCATCAGCTCCAACAATACAATGTGTGAGCTACAAATTAGTATGTTTTCTGATTACTTCAAGGATTTTATGTTCACCTTCGCCAGGAGCATTACTATCACTCAAGATAAATTAGAGCTTCTTGTAACTTACCTAATGCTCTTTATGATCTGCTTCTCCATCAGTCATAGCTTTGTTAGATAAAGCAATACGAGTTTCAATATATCTCCTTAACTACTCATTTAGTTCATACATAAAAGGAGTTCCTGGAGCAATTGAATTATTTGGTACGGTTTCTTCCTTCACATCAAATCCATGCTTTTTGAGCTCATCCTTCAATGTTAAATGATGCATTTCAGCATGGAATCTTCTTTGTCTTTGCTAGTTCATCTTTGCTCTTGGGCATGGACCATCTTTTTTAAGAATAATTTTTTAAATATAAAAGATGGCGAAAAGTTTTAATTAAAATTAATTTTTTTTGAATCTCATCATGCAAAAATAGCTTTCAAAACCACTCAAATTTGGTTAGAATGGATTTGCTAAGCTAAATATTAAAAAAAATTGTTTTGAATAACATGAAGACCCAAGTATTCTTCTGATTTCATATTTGAAAACCTCAGGTATAAGAATTACCGTTTCAATTGGATCAGTAAAGAAAATACAAAAAAAATGTTAAATTAATAGCGTTTAAAATAATATAAGTGTTAGAAAATTTTACCTAACATAAGATAAACTTAGAGCTAAGGCTCTACTAGTTCGATAATTGAGTCGATGTGATCAATGACTTGCTTAAATATAGTTTCAAGAGATTTAGGTTTGAGTAAATAGTTATATTGGTGCTCATCTCTAGCGTATTAGTAGCAAATACCGTTTACATCTATGTAAAGGCAGTCGATGTGTTTCTTTCTTCCGTTGCGTCTAACTTTTCTGACTTGATAAGGATACTTTCTGTGAATCCAACTAAAATAGCCTGGTACACCCATCTTTAAATTTATATTTCCTTTTATTTAATTAAAGTAATATTTTATTAGTTCTCTTCTGATAATTATTACGTATGAAAACTTATTTTTTTTATCTACTTTATCGTATTTAATTTAATTATTATTAATTAGATAAATTTATGAGAAATTCTTTAGCGTTTTAAAAGAAAAATTTCTTATTAATTCAAAGCTTGATAAAAATCTAAGAAGATCTATTCCACTTACGATAACTCTTTCTTTTATATAGAACAAAAAAATTACGATTTATATAAATCAAATACTTAAATATGATGCTTCAATCTGGATTATTTAAAATTGAAATATGTTAGTCATAAATTTAATGTATTTGTATTCTTAAGAGATAAAAATACATAAAAGTGTAAATTAAATTCTTCTTTTATCAAATCAAAAGTCAATTGAAAGAAACCAAGAGAAAAAAAAACATCTTAAATTATAAAGAAATTATTTGCTTATGGCTCTCAATCTTGATCAGAAATCATATATAACTATCGCTGGATCTATAATAGTACACTTAGTCCTAGGTACTATTTATTTATGGGGTGTTATAACTGTTTACATTACATCATACTTCAGAACTAAAGATAATCCAGACTTAACATTAAAATAAGCAGGAGTGGTCTTCCCTATCATGATGTTTTCAGTGGCTACAGGGATCCCATTAGGTATGAAACTTATCAAAAAAACTGCTAGGACAAGGATAGTTTGTTTTATACTTACCACATTGGCAAGCGCTTGTATTTTTATTGCAAGCTGGTAAACATAATTTGGAGTATTTGTTATATTTTATTCCCTCTTTTTTGGTGTTCTTGATGGAGCTTCTATGTCTATAACTCTTTATATTGGATTGCTTTATTATCCTAAAAAGAGAGGTTTAATTTCAGGACTCATTCTAGTTGGTTATGGGCTTGCATCTCTTATTTATAGCTAGGTGTTTTTCTAGATCGTAAATAAATAGAACTTACAACCTATTAAAGCAGGGAACGGAGAAAGCTATTTTATGGGGGATGCTGAATCAGTTGCTTAAAAAGTTCCTGAAGCTTTGAGATGGCTAAGCTTAGCTTATTTACTTCAAATGTGGTTAGGTTCTATGTTGTTGATAGATCATCCAAGTTAAACTGAAATGCTTTTAAAGTAATAAAATGCTAAGAAGGAAGAGATGTAAAAGGGATAGGAATAGAAACAATCATAACTGAAGTTAAACACTCTTGTAGTAAAAGTTCCATAAAATAATGATGATGAAAATAAAATTGGATAATTGAGCAAATAAATTTAAAATAGTGAATAGAATGCTAATTAATTAGTAGAAAATTAACAAACTGAAACAAATTAAAATGAAAATATAAATCTATTGCAAATTAAATCTAATTAGGAAATAAATTATAAATCTGATAATAAAATAGAAGAAAATAAAGGTACTGTTATTTGCATAACAGAATCAACTAATAAAATACCAAGAGATGTTTAAATTTAAATATAAGATGAATCAAAAATAATTGAAGACGAAATAGAATATTATAAAAAACTTGGCTGCCCAAACTTTTCAACAGCAATTAAAACTAAATATTTTTACTTCGTCGTACTTACTTCATTTTTGACTGGATCAATTGGTTTATGCATTTCTGGAAATTATAAAACTTACGGAAAGGAGTATATTTCAGATGATGCATTCCTAACTTTGATCGGATCTCTTTCTGGAATAACTAATGGTTTAACAAGACCATTTTGGTCAGCTCTTTTAGATAAATATAAATTCAAGGATTGCTATGCTGCCGTATGTATTGTATAAATAATACTTTGTGTTACTTTTTAATTTGCTGTAAAGCATGATGCTTTTTATTTGTTTTGGGTAGTCATAACTATGGGCACTTTTGGTGGTACTTTTGGAATGCTTCTCGCTCTATGTGCGTAATTTTTTGGTACTACAGTTGGTTCTGAAGTTTATGGGATAGTTTGGTATGGTTATGCAGGAGCTAATTTCCTACAATTCGCTCTTGTAGCTTTAGTCAAAGATAGTATTGGATTTCCTGGTATATTTTACATTTTTGCTGGAATGAATGGCCTTTCTTTAATATGGTTACGCTTAATGAATTATTAACCTAACTGGAAACCTTATTATGAAAAAATAAAAGAGATGGAACATGCCAAAAAGTAAAAGTAGATAGAAATTTCAAACAGTCATTAAAAAAATACTTGAAATTTCTTTTAATCTTTGATAAAAAAGAAACATATAAAAATTTTTTCACTAAGTATTGGTAGAATATTATACAAAACATTTTCTTTTGTTTAGCGGTTTTTGGTTACTAAAATCTTTAAAAAATATATCAAAATCCTTTTAAATAAGTTTTACTCTCAAAAATAAATATTTTTTTAGTATAATTAAATTTTATATTTTACATATATAAATTGTAAGTGCTTTAAATAAGGTAATGAATTTTAATTAATTAATTTACTTACAATCTTTTAATTATTTTTTTTCTGCAAATAAAAAAATTATATCTAATCAAAAATATTATCTATTTCAATGCAAAATTATTGAATAAACCTTAAAATAATAAAATTTATGGTTTTTTAAAATTATATTTGCTTGAATAATTCATTCAAATAATAAAAAATATAATTTATTTATTTATCATTTAATGTTTTAAAATATTTATTTACTTTTATATATAATTATTTAATAAAGTTAACATAAAGCATTTTTAATGATTCATTTTAAAATTTTCACTGTTGTTCTTAAGCAGGAAGATTATGTTGTATTTTGATTGTTGAAGGATTAATAATTGTAACTTTTCCATTGCATTAAGATTTACCATAATCATCATACCAAGCTGGCTGAATTGTTTAACCGTTTGATAGAACTACCTTCATATTTGTGAATTCTAAATAGTCAGTAGGGAAATCAGTGCATGCAGAAATATTAAAAACTTCCAAAGTAGCATCAATCCAATTAAAGTTTCTGCTATTTTAAGCAACTGATAAAATAGAAGATTGACCAGCTTTATTTGTTGAGGTGATAGTAGCAACATTATTTTAAACAGTGACTGAGCCATAAATTGTATCGTATGGATTGATTCCTGAAACAGCACTTGCATTTATAGCTTAACCTTGAGGACAACAGTTCCAAGATTAGAAATACCAACCACGATAGTAGCCCAAAACAGGTTAGATGATACTGATGCCAGGACCACTTCCGCCATTATTTTAAGATCCAATAAAGTAAAACAATTATTAGTAGTTGGTAGTTTAAGGATTGTTAGGGACTCTGTAGTTTCCTTCAAATGATCTTAAAGTCAAGCCATTAGGGAGCCAATATCCACCAGCATCTATCCATTAATTGAGATTTTTGGTAGGATTTCTTTGGGAGCATCTATCGTTTTTAAAAATTTTTTTTGTAAAGTTTTATTCATCGTTTGTAAGATGTATAGATCCGTCCTCTAATTCTTCAACAAAAGTACCTGATGGAACATTTTAAATGCATTCTTTTAGCATCAATCCAAAGGGAGTTTAGATATATTCTTCTCCTTCAATGATCTCAACATAATGTTAATAAGTAAATTCACTTTCAGCTCTAAAAGAAACTAGAACAAGCAAAAGGCATAGTACCAGCGAAAGTTTATTCATTTTTTTTATATTTTAAATTTATTTTTAGTAATTTATTAATTATTAGAATTTATGATTAAAAAGTATTAATCATTTAAAGGCCTTAAATGATATTGCTAAAAGTAAAATATTAAACTTTAATATCTCTATTTCTATTTTTGTAAAGTATTATAGCTTTTAAAATACCATAAATGAACTTGAATTTTATAAAAGAAATAAATCTTATTATTATACATCATATTTTTAATGAATGGATTTAAAAAGATTATTCCATGAAATCATAAAATTGTAACAACGTTCCTTACTAAGATACTATTGTATTATTAAGAGCTTAATTTTATTGAACTTAACATGAAAATTGAATTAAAACATTTTTATAAAATAAAATAAATAATTTATTAAAAAGCCTTTGTTTTAATATGAAAATATATTAGTTTTATAAAGCATTTAAATATATTCTAGATTATAAAATTTAATTGTTAGATATTTTGTATCCAAAAATTAAAATGTAATATAAAGTTGGATTTTTTAGTATTGTAAATTAATAATTGCATATTCATCTTATTTATTATTATTATTATTGTAAGAGAAGTGTTAAGAGTGGTAATTTAATAGTTTCTTCCTCCTTATGTTAGTATAGAAAAATACCTTTATAATTAATTTACATTGCTTTATAAGTTATTTTATTTTATTTTATATAAAAAATAAATTATTTTTTAATAGGAGGTAAACCGTTATTTGTAATTGACTTTATTATAATTTTTTTAAAAGTTTTTTTCATATAAAATAGTGTAAATTTGGAAAACATATTTCTTTCTAAATATAATTACTCAAATTCTGTAAATATCTTTTTTTATTATAAAATAGAGCATAAAATATCTAGATTTAATTTTTAATAATTATAATATTAAAGCAATATAGTAACAAAGTTTGAAACTATTAAAAATTTTATTATTTCATTATAATATTTTAGAAATTTATTCATTTTTATAATGGTTAATCAAATTCAAAATAACTTTTTCAAAGAAATAGTATTTTTTATTTTCCTTTTTTAAATAACTTAATAATGAAAAATATATTTTAGCTTTATATTTAATTGCCTTTATTTGCAAAATATATCCTAAAAAACATAAATAGAATATTATAGATTTGTCAATAAAATATCTATTACTAGTTCAATTCTAAAATACAAATTAATTTATAAATTAAATTAAAATATAATTTTGATTAAAAAAAAAAATATTTAAATTTTATACTAAAGTTAAAATAAACATTTTGTTTAATTTTTATCAAACATATTAAAATCTTAAAATAATCAGCACTTTTATGAAATCCTAATTTACAAAAAATAATTTTAATTTAAATTAAATTAACATATTTTTACTTAATTAAATTAGAACCACAGAATAAATTCTAAATATAATTATTAAAAAAATTAAATCAAATTTTAATTATAATTTGTCTATCTTAATCAAAAATTATTTTTTTGTTTTTATATTTATTTTCAAGATAGGTTTAAAATATTCAATTAACTTTTTAGATGAAATTTATAAAACAAAGTAAAAAAAATACTTGAAATTTGTTTTAATCTTTTATAAAAAAGATACCTCTTAAAATTTTTTAATTAAGTATTGGTAGAATATTATACAAAATATTTATTTTTCATTAGAGGTTTTTGGTTACTAAAATCTTAAAAAAATATATCAAAATCCATTAAATAAATTTTACTCTCAATAATAAATAATTTTTTAGTATAATTAAATTGTGTATTTTACATATATAAACTGTAAATGTTTTAAATAAAGTAGTGGTTTTTAATTAATTAATTTACTTACATATTATTAATTTTTTTTCTTCTGCATATTAAAAATTTTACCAAATCAAAAATATTGTTTATTTCATTACATGATTATTGAATAAACCTTTAAAATAAAAATTCATAGCTGTTTTAATAAATTATATTTGCTAGAATAATTCAAATAATGAAAAATATTATTTATTTATTAATCATTTAATGCTTTAAAAATATTTATTTACTTTTATAGATAGTTATTTAATAAAGTTAACATAAAGCATTTATAATTATATACTGATTTTTAAATTTTCACTGCTGTTCTTAAGCAGAAACATAATGTTGTATTTTGATTGTTGAAGGATTAATAATTTGAATACTTCCATTGCATTCTGAGATACCATACTTATCATACCAAGCTGGTTGAATTGTTTCACCGTCTGATATAACTACCTTCATATCTGTGTATTCTAAATAGCCATTAGGGAAGTCAGTACATGCAGAAATATAATAAACTTCCAAAGTAGCATCAATCCAATTAAAGTTTCTACCACTTTAAGCAACTGATAAAACAGATGAATTGCCAGCTTTATTTGTTGAGGTGATATTAACAACATTATTTTAAACTGTGATTGAGCCATGAATTGAATCCTATGGATTGATTCCTGAAACAGGACTTGCATTTATAGCTTAACCTTGAGGGCAACAGTTCCAAGATTAGAATATCCAATTACCATTGTAGGTCAAAACAGGTTAGACGATAGTTGTACCAGGACCACTTCCGTCATTATTTTAAGATCCAATAAAGTAATACAATACTTAGCCATGGTTAGTTTAAGGTTTGTTAGGGACAGTGTAGTTTCCTTCAAATGATTTTAAAGTAAAGCCAACAGGGAGATAATATCCACTACTATCAATCCAATCTTTGAGATTCTTGGTAGGATTTCTTTGGGAACATCTATCGTTTTTAAAAATCTTTTTTGCAAAGTTTTATTAGTCGTTTGTAAGATGTATAGATCCGTCCTCTAATTCTTCAACAAAAGTACCTGATGGAACATTTTGAACACATTCTTTTAACATCAAGCCATAGGGAGTTTAGATATATTATTCTCCTTCAATGATCTCAACAGTGTGTTCAAAATTAAATTCACTTTCTGCTCTAAAAGAAACCAGGATTATCGAAAGGCATAGTATTAGAGAAAGTTTATTCATTTTTTCAATATTTTATATTTATTTTAGTAATTTATTAATTTTAGAATTAATGATTAAAAGGTATTGATTATTTAAAGACATCAACTGATATTGTTAAAAGATAAATTTTAAACTTTAATTTATAAAAGATTTTAAAACACCATAAATTTACTTGAAATTTTGTAAAAGAAATGAATCTTATTATTATACGTTCTATTTTATAATGAATGGATTTCAAATGATTATTCGATTAAATCATAAAATTGTAACAACATTCCTTATGAAATTACTATTGTTTTATTTATAGCATAATTTTAGTGAATTTTACATGAAAATTGAGTTAAAACGTTTTTATAAATATAAAATAATTGATTTATTATACGGTTTAATATGCAAATATAATAGTTTTATTAAACGTTTGCATATATTTTCGATTAAGAAAGTTAATTGCTAAACATCTAATATTCAAAAATTAAAATTTAATATAAGATAATGTTAAATTTTTTAGTAGTGGTAAATAAATACTTACATAACTCATCATATTTATTGCTATTGTTGTAAAAGAAATATTAAGTGATAGTAGTGATTTAATAGTTTCTTTCTACTTAACTGTATGTAAGTATTGAAAAATAGCTTTATAATTACCTTCTATTATTTATATAAGTTATTTTATTTAAATTTAAATAAATAAAAAATGATTTTTTAATAGGAGATTCAAAAAGGTAAACTGTTATTTGTCATTATTTTTACTTTTTATAGAATTTATATTTTTGAATTTGATGCTTTTACTTTGTTTTAATTTTTTAAGGTTTTTAGTGTAAATTAGGATATCAAGTTTTTTGCTAATTATAATTACTCACTTACAGTAAGTATCTTTTTTTTTTAGATAATAGAACATAAAATATCTTGATTTAATTTTTAATAATAATAATATAAAGTAATATAGTAACAGAGTTTGAAACTATTAAAAATTATAACATTTAAATTTAATATTTTAGAAATCTAATCATTTTTATAATGGTTAATCAAATTCAAAATAATTTTTTCAAGGAAATAGTTTTTATTTTAATTTTTTTTAAATGGCTAGATAAACTAAAATACATTTTTAGATATATATTTAATTACCTTTATTTGCAAAATATATCCTAAAAACATAAATAGAATATTATATATTTAGGAATAAATATCTTTTATTAATTAAATTTTAAAATACAAATAAATTGTAAAAGAATACTTATAAATTAAATTAAAATGTAATTTTGATAAAAAAAAAAATTATTTAAATTTGATACTGAAGTTAAAATAAACACTTTGTTTTATTTATATCAAATATAATATTAAAATCTTAAAATAATTAGTCAACATTTTTATGAAATCCTAATTAATAAAAAAAATCATTTTAATTTAAATTAGATTGACATATTTTTGCATAATTAATTTAGGACCGCAGAATATATTCTAATTATAATTGCTAAAAAAATTTTAATTATAATTTTTCTAACTTAATCAAAAATCATTTTTTTATTTTTACATTTATTTTCAAGATAGATTTAAAATATTCTATTTTTTGATGAAATTTATAAAGCAAAATTTCCTTTTTTATTATTTTCATGAATTAAATATTATTTTTTAAACATTTTTAATTTTGTAAACATTTTTTAAAATATATTTTTGTTAGATTATTATAAACTAAAAATTAAAATTATTAGATTTAATAGTCATTAAAAAATTCTTGAAGTTTGTTTTAATCTTTGATATAAAAGATACTTCTTAAAATTTTTTTATTAAGTATTGGTAGAATATTATAAAAAATATTTTATTTTTCTTTAGCGGCTTTTGGTTACTAAAATCTTAAAAAAATATATCATAATCATTTAAATAAATTTTACTCTCAATAATAAATAATATTTTAGTATAATTAAATTGTGTATTTTACATATATAAACTGTAAATGTTTTAAATAAAGCAGTGGCTTTTAATTAATTAATTTACTTACATTCTATTAATTATTTTTTTTCTTCAGATAAAAAATTGTACCTAACCAAAAATATTGTCTATTTCACTACATAATTATTGAATAAACCTTAAAATAAAAATGGATAGCTGTTAAAAAATTAAATTTGTTACAATAATTCATTCAAATAATGAAAAATATTATCTATTTATTTATCATTTTATACTTTAAAAATATTTATTTACTTTTATATATAATTATTTAATAAAGTTAACATAAAGCATTTTTAATGATTCATTTTAAAATTTTCACTGTTGTTCTTAAGCAGGAAGATTATGTTGTATTTTGATTGTTGAAGGATTAATAATTGTAATACTTCCATTGCATTAAGATTTACCATACTCATCATACCAAGCTGGTTGAATTGTTTAACCGTTTGATAGAACTACCTTCATATTTGTGTATTCTAAATAGTCAGTAGGGAAGTCAGTGCATGCAGAAATCTAATAAACCTCCAAAGTAGCATCAATCCAATTAAAGTTTCTGTTACTTTAGGCAACTTATAAAACTGATGATTGACCAGCTTTATTTGTTGAGGTGATAGTAGCAACATTATTTTAAACAGTAACTGAACCATAAATTGTATCATAGGGATTGACTCCATAAACAGGATTAGCATTTATAGCTTAACCTTGAGGGCAACAGTTCCAAGATTAGAAATACCAACCATGATAGTAGGACAAAACAGGTTAGATGATACTTAAGCCAGGACCACTTCCATCATTATTTTAAGATCCAATAAAGTAATACAATACTTAGTTGTTGGTAGTTTAAGGGTTATTAGGGACTCTGTAGTTTCCTTCAAATGAACTTAAAGTCAAGCCATTAGGGAGCCAATATCCACCATTATCAATCCATTAATTGAGATTGTTGGTAGGATTTCTTTGGGAGCATCTATCGCTTTTTAAAATCTTTTTAGCAAAGTTTTATTCATCATTTGTAAGATGTATTGATCCGTCCTCTAATTCTTCAACAAAAGTACCTGATGGAACATTTTGAATACATTCTTTTAACATCAAACCAAAGGGAGTTTAGATATATTCTTCCCCTTCAATAATCTCAACATGGTGTTCAAAATTAAGTTCACTTTCAGCTCTAAGGGAAACCAGAACAAGCGAAAGGTATAGTACCAGTGAAAGTTTATTCATTTTTTCAATATTTTATATTTATATTAGTAATTTATTAATTATTAGAATTTATGATTAAAAGGTATTAATTATTTAAATACCTCAACTAATATTGTTGTTAAATGATAAATATTAAACTTTAATATATCAACTTTTGTAAACTATTAATGCTTTTAAAACACCATAAATTTACTTGAAATTTTGTAAAAGAAATAAATCTTATTATTATACGCTATATTTTATAATGAATGGATTTAAAAAGATTATTCGATTAAATCATAAAATTGTAACAACATTCCTTATGTAATTACTATTGCTTTATTTATAGCATAATTTAATGAATTTTAAGTGAAAATTGAGTTAAATAAAACATTTTTATAAAAATAAAATAAATAAATGATTTATTTCAATTCCAAATATATTAGTTTTATTAAACATTTAAATATATTTTCGATTAAAAAAATTAATTGCTAAATATCTAATATTAAAAAATTAAAATTTAATATAATTTCAGAATTTTTAATAGTTGTAAATAAATACTTACATAACTCATCATATTCCTTATTACTGCTGTAAAAGAAGTATTAAGAGTAGTGATTTAATAGTATCTTCCTACTTAACTGTATGTAAACATAGAAAAATAGCTTTATAATTTCCTTATATTATTTTTATAAGTATTTGATTTAATTTTATATAAAAAATAAATTATTTTTTAATAGGAGATTCAAAAAGGTAAACTGCTATTAGTCATTATATTTTTTACTCTTTATAGAATTTATATTTTTGAGTTTGGTGATTTTAATTTTTTTTAATTTTTGTAAGGTTTTTAATGTAAATTTGGAAAATACATTTCTTGATAAATATAATTACTCACTTTCTGTAAATATCTTTTTTTTCTTTGGAAATAGAGTATAAAATATCTAGATTTAATTTTTAATAATAATAATATAAAGTAATATAGTAACAGAGTTTGAAACTATTAAAAATTGTAATATTTAATTTTAATATTTTATAAATCTAATCATTTTTATAATGGTTAATCAAATTCAAAATAATTTTTTAAAGGAAATAGTTTTTATATTTTTCAAATAACTATATAAACAACATTTTTAGATTTATATTTAATGGCCTTTATTTGCAAAACATATCCTAAAAAAATAAATAGAATATTATATATTTGTGAATAAATATCTATTTTTCATTCAATTAGAAAATACAAATAATTTGTAAAAGAATATTTATAAATTACTAAAAAATAATTTTTATAAAAATTGTTTATTAAATAACTAAATTAAAGAAATAATATAATTTTGTATACCTTCATATTAACATTCTTTATATAATATCAAATTAGATAAATTAACATTAGTTAATAAAAAAAAATGACAAACGATATGTGTTAAATTCTAATGAAAGTCTTGCATTAGATCACCATAAAATCAATGAAATGCTAAATTGAAAAAAAATATTAAAAATAAATAAATCTTCAAATAAAAAAGATGAACAAATAAATAAAATAAAAATTATTTCAAAATGAAAAAGATTTGCCAAAAAGTAAAAGTAGACAGAAATTTCAAACAGTCATTAAAAAAATACTTGTAGTTTGTTTTAATCTATTATAAAAAAGATGTATCTTGATATTTTTTCACTAAGTATTGGTAGAATATAATACAAAACATTTTGTTTTTCTTTATCTGCGTTTTACTAAAATCTTAAAAAATATATCCAAATCCTTTTAAATAAACTTTAATCTCAAAAATAAATAATTTTTTAATGTTATTAAATTATTTTACATATATTAATTGTAAGTGATTTAAATAAGGTAATGAATTTTAATTAATCAAAATATTTACAATTTCTTAATTATTTTTTTTTCTCAAAAAATAATTATATCTAAATCAAAAATATTGTTTATTTCAATACATAATTATTGAATAAACCTTAAAATAATATAATTTATAGATTTTAAAAAATTATATTTACTAGAATAAATCATTCAAATAATGAAAAATATTATTTATTTATCATTTAATGCTTTAAAAATATTTATTTACTTTTTTATATATAATTATTTAATAAAGTTGACATAAAGCATTTTTAATGAATGATTCATTTAAAAATTTTCACTGTTGTTCTTAAGCAGGAAGATTATGTTGTATTTTGATTGTTGAAGGATCAATAATAGTAAGTTTTCCATTGCATTGAGATGCACCATAGCTATTACTCCAAGATGGCTGAACTGTTTAACCATTTGATAGAACTACCTTCATATTTGTGTATTCTAAATAGTCAGTAGGGAAGTCAGTGCATCCAGAAATCTAATAAACCTCCAAAGTAGCATCAATCCAATTAAAGTTTCTGCCATTTTATGCAACTGATAAAACAGATGATTGGCCAGCGTTATTTGTTGAGGTGATAGTAGCAAGGTTATTTTAAACAGTAACTGAACCATAAATTGTATCGTAGGGATTGATTCCTAAAACAGGAGTTGCACTTACAGCTTAACCTTGAGGGCAACAGTTCCAAGATTAGAAGAACCAACCATAATAGTAGGTCAAAACAGGTTAGATGATACTTAAGCCAGGACCACTTCCATCATTATTTTAAGATCCAATAAAGTAATACAATACTTAGTTGTTGGAAGATTAAGGATTGTTAGGGACTCTGTAGTTTCCTTCAAATGATGTTAAAGTCAAGCCATTAGGGAGCCAATAACCGCCATTGTCAATCCATTAATTGAGATTCGTGGTAGGATTTTTTTTGGAACATCTATCACTTTTTAAAATCTTTTTTGCAAAATTTTATTAATCATTTGTAAGATGTATAGATCCATCCTCTAATTCTTCAACAAAAGTACCTGAAGGAACATTTTGAATACATTCTTTTAACATCAATCCAAAGGGAGTTTAGATATATTCTTCCCCTTCTATGATCTCAACATGGTGTTTAAAATTAAGTTCACTTTCTGCTCTAAGTGACACCAGAACAAGCGAAAAGCATAGAACAAGCAAAAGTTTATTCATTTTTTTAAATTTTTTATATTTATTTTAGTAATTTATTAATTATTAAAATTTATGACAAATAAGTATTCATAGTTTAAAGGCCTCAAATGATATTATTAAAATATATCTATTGAGCTTTAACACCTTAATTTTTTAAAAATTTTACTCATTAGATATTTAGCTTTTAAAACAGCATAAATTTACTTGTAATTTTGTGAAATAAATAAATCCTATTAATATATATCGTTTCTTGTAATCAATGGATTTAATAAGATTGCATTAAATCATTAAAAATTGTGTAACAATATTTCTTTTGAAATTATTCTTGTAGTATTTATATTAAGAACATAATTTTTACTAAAATTTTACAAGAAAATTAAATTAAAATATTTTTTATTAAAATAAAATAAATAATTCAGTAAAATAAATACCCTTGGTTTAATATATAAATAAATATATTAATTTTGTTAAATATTTTAAGAAATATTGGATTAAGAGTGTAAAATTTTAGATATTGAATATCCAAAAATAAAATATAATATAAAATTGGATTTACTAGTTGTGGCTAATAAATACTTGAATTACCTAAACATATTATTTAATCCATATTATTTATAATCATGTAAGAGAAGTATTATGAGTAATTATTTAATATTATCTTCTAACATATTTTTTTATAAGTATTTAAAATAGTTTTATTATTCTTTTATAAATTATTCTGTTTAATTTTATATAAAAAATAAATTATTATTTAATAGGATATTCAAAAAGATAAAACTGTTGTTATTATTTAATATATAGACAAAAGAAAAATTTTCTTTGTAGAATTCATATTCTTGAATTTGATGATTTTACTTGAATTTTAATTTTTTGTTGGGTTTTTAAGGTAAAAAATAGTGTAAATTTAGAAATCTCATCATATTGAACTTTCTGTAAACATCTTTTTTTCTAACGTAAATAGAAAATAAAATATCTAGATTCAATTTATTTAATAGTTCTAAAACTAAAAAAATATTACAACAAAGTTAGAAGCTATAAAAATTATAAAAATTGTAATATTTAATTTTAAAATTTTATAAATTTTATAAATTTTATTATTTTTATAATAGTTAATCATACTCAAAAAAATTTTTTCAAGGAAATTATTTTTGTTCTTATTTTATCTTTTTAAATAACTGAGTAAACTAAAAGATATGTTAAATTTTATATTTATTTACCTTTATTTATTAAATATATCCTAAAAACATAAATAGAATATTATAGATTTGTGGATAAAAATATAATATTTATTCAATTCTAAAAAATAATTAAATTGTAAAACACGAAAATAAAATTTAAATTTTATTTTTATGAAAAAAATACAATTTAAATTTGATACTGAAGTTAAAATAAACATTTTGTTTTATTTATATCAAAATTAAGATTTGCAAAAAATCGACATTTTTATGAAGTACTAATAAGCAAAAAAAAATAATTTAAATTAGATTAACATATTTTTACATAATTAAATTAGGCCATAGAATAAATTCTAATTAAACTAGTTTTATAAAACTAATTAAATTATAATCTTTCTATCTAAATAAAAATGATTTTTTTTTTTTTTGATATTGATTTTAAAGACAAGTTTAAAATATTCTATTTCTTTGGATGAAGTTTATAAAGCAAAGTTTCTCTTTATTATATTTTCATGAATAGAATAATATTTTTTAAACATTTTTAATTTTTTCAACATTTTAAAAAATATATTATTGTTAGATTATTAAAAACAAAAATTTAATTTATTGATAGATTTAAAAATTTTAAATATTAATTAATTAGAAAGAAAAGCATAAATAAAATAATAGCCCCATAACTATCAAAAATGATTAACACGAGCTCAGTTACTCCTCAATATGAGAAGCCAAGAAGAAGGAGATAGTTTAAAGAAATGAAATTATTTGAATTCGATTAAAAATAAGAAGAAAATTTAAAATTACTTGAAGAAGTTAGAAATCATAGTGCTAAATAATTTAATTATATAATGGATGTAGGGAATGAAATATCAAAGCATGCGAAAAATGAAGATTTAGAAGCTTTGTAAGAAGTAGCTAATAGGAATATAGACATTCTGCATCTCTTACGTATGCATATTGAGGAAACTTTTGAATAAGTTTTACAATTTCGCTTTGATGATATTCTTGAATATTTTCTTGAAAATGGATTTAATATTAAAGATATAAATATGACCAGGGGTGTTAATAAATAAGATTTTGAATATGAGTATGAATAATTCAATAAATATTTTAAAGGAGATAATTTCCTACAATTTGCTCTTATAGCTTTACTCAAAGATATTATCAGATTTCCTGGTATATTTTACATTTTTGTGGGAATTAATGGCCTTTCTTTAATATTGTTAGCTTAATCAGTTATTAACCTAACTGGAAACATTATTATGAAAAAATATAAGAGAGTAAAGATGCCAAAAAGTTGAAGTAGACAGAAATTTCAAATAGTCATTAAAAAATTCTTGAAGTTTGTTTTAATCTTTGATATAAAAGATACTTCTTAAAATTTTTTCATTAAGTATTGGTAGAATATTATACAAAATATTTTATTTTTCTTTAGCGGCTTTTGGTTACTAAAATCTTAAAAAAATATATCATAATCCTTTAAATAAATTTTACTCTCAATAATAAATAATATTTTAGTATAATTAAATTGTGTATTTTACATATATAAACTGTAAATGTTTTATTAAAATAAAGCAGTGGCTTTTAATTAATTAATTTACTTACATTCTATTAATTATTTTTTTTTTCTTCAGATAAAAAATTGTACCTAACCAAAAATATTTTCTACTTCACTACATAATTATTGAATAAACCTTAAAATAAAAATTGATAGCTGTTAAAAAATTAAATTTGCTACAATAATTCATTCAAATAATAAAAAATATTATCTATTTATTTATCATTTAACGCTTTAAAAATATTTATTTACTTTTATATATAATTATTTAATAAAGTTAACATAAAGCATTTATAATGATTGATTTTAAAATTTTCACTGTTGTTCTTAAGCATGAAGATTATGTTGTATTTTGATTGTTGAAGGATCGATAATAGTAAGTTTTCCATTGCATTGAGATTTACCATAATCATCATTCCAAGCTGGCTGAATGGTTTAACCGTTTGATAGAACTACCTTCATATTTGTGTATTCTAAATAGTCAGTAGGGAAGTCAGTGCATGCAGTAATCTAATAAACTTCCAAAGTAGCATCAATCCAATTAAAGTTTCTGCCATTTTAAGCAACTGATAAAACAGATGATTTGCCAGCTTTATTTGTTGAGGTGATATTAGCAACATTATTTTAAACTGTGACTGAGCCATAAATTGTATCGTAGGGTTTGATTCCAGTAACAGCATCAGCTTTTATAGCTTAACCTTGAGGGCAACAGTTCCAAGATTAGAAATACCAACCATGATAATAGGACAAAACAGGTTAGATGATACTTAAGCCAGGACCACTTCCGTCATTATTTTAAGATCCAATAAAGTAATACAATACTTAGTTGTTGGTAGTTAAAGGGTTATTAGGGACTCTGTAGTTTCCTTCAAATGATCTTAAAGTCAAGCCATTAGGGAGCCAATATCCACCATTATCAATCCATTAATTGAGATTCATGGTAGGATTTCTTTGGGAGCATCTATCGCTTTTTAAAATCTTTTTTGCAAAGTTTTATTCATCATTTGTAAGATGTATTGATCCGTCCTCTAATTCTTCAACAAAAGTACCTGATGGAACATTTTGAATACATTCTTTTAACATCAAACCAAAGGGAGTTTAGATATATTCTTCCCCTTCAATGATCTCAACATGGTGTTCAAAATTAAGTTCGCTTTCTGCTCTAAGGGAAACCAGAACAAGCGAAAGGTATAGTACCAGTGAAAGTTTATTCATTTTTTCAATATTTTATATTTATATTAGTAATTTATTAATTATTAGAATTTATGATTAAAAGGTATTAATTATTTAAATACCTCAACTAATATTGTTGTTAAAAGATAAATATTAAACTTTAATATATCAATTTTTGTTAACTATTAATGCTTTTAAAACACCATAAATTTACTTGAAATTTTGTAAAAGAAATAAATCTTATTATTATACGTCATATTTTATAATGAATGGATTTAAAAAGATTGTTCGATTAAATCATAAAATTGTAACAACATTCCTTATGTAATTACTATTGCTTTATTTATAGCATAATTTAATGAATTTTACGTGAAAATTGAGTTAAATAAAACATTTTTATAAAAATAAAATAAATAAATGATTTATTAAAATTCAAAATATATTAGTTTTATTAAAAATTTAAATATATTTACGATTAAGAAAGTTAATTGCTAAATATCTAATATTCAAAAATTAAATTTAATATAATTTCAGAATTTTTAATAGTGGTAAATAAATACTTACATAACTCATCATATTTATTATTACTGTTGTAAAAGAAGTATTAAGAGTTGTGATTTAATAGTATCTTCCTACTTAACTGTATGTAAGCATAGAAAAATTTATAATTTCCTTATATTATTTTTATAAGTATTTGATTTAATTTTATATAAAAAATAAATTATTTTTTAATAGGAGATTCAAAAAGGTTAACCGCTATTAGTCATTATATTTTTTACTCTTTATAGAATTTATATATGGAATTTGGTGATTTTAATTTGTTTTAATTTTTGTAAGGTTTTTAGTGTAAATTTGGAAAATACATTTCTTGATAAATATAATTACTCACTTTCTGTAAATATCTTTTTTTTCTATGGAAATAGAGTATTAAATATCTAGATTAAATTTTTAATAATAATAATATAAAGCAATATAGTAACAGAGTTTGAAACTATTAAAAATTGTAATATTTAATTTTAATATTTTAGAAATCTAATCATTTTTATAATGGTTAATCAAATTCAAAATAATTTTTTTAAGGAAATAGTTTTTATATTTTTCAAATAACTATATAAACTACATTTTTAGATTTATATTTAATGGCCTTTATTTGCAAAACATATCCTAAAAAAATAAATAGAATATTATATATTTGTGAATAAATATCTATTTTTCATTCAATTAGAAAATACAAATAATTTATAAAAGAATATTTATAAATTACTAAAAAATAATTTTTATGAAAAAAAAGATTATTTAAATTTGATACTGAAAAATAAACACTTTTTTTTATTTATATTAAATATAACATTAAAATCTTAAAATAATCAACATTTTTATGAAATCCTAATTAGTAAAAAAAATCATGTTGATTTAAATTAGATTGACATATTTTTGCATAATTAATTTAGTACCACAAAATATATTCTAATTATAATTGTTAAAAAAATTAAATCAAATTTAATTATAATTTGACTATCTTAATCAAAAATAATTTTTTTGTTTTTATATTTATTTTCATGAAAGGTTTAAAATATTCTATTTTTTAGATGTAATTTATCCTTTTTTATTATTTTCATGAATTGAATATTATTTTTTAACATTTTATTTTTATACAATTTTTTACTAATCATATTCTATTTCTAAAATAAAATATTTACATTAGATAATTAGTCTAAATATATCTTCATGAGTTGGTGCACTTAAATTCCTATTTTTGGTGTTTTTGTAGATTGTTAATTAATAGAACTTACTGCCTATTAAAGCAGGTAATGGAGAAAGTTATTTTAAGGGTGATACTGTATTAGTTGCTTAAAAATCTTCTGAAGCTTTGAGATCACTAAGCTTAGCTTATTTAAACCTTAAAATAATAAAATTTATATTTTTTAAAAAGTTATATTTGCTAGAATTATTCATTCAAATAATGAAAAATATAATTTATTTATTTATCATTTAACGCTTTAAAAATATTTATTTACTTTTATATAAAATTATTTAATAAAGTTAACATAAAGCATTTATAATTATATATTGATTTTTAAATTTTCACTGTTATTCTTAAGCAGGAAGATTATGTTGTATTTTGATTGTTGAAGGATTAATAATTGTAGTTTTTCCATTGCATTAAGATTTTCCATATTCATCATACCAATTTGGCTGAATTATTTAGCCGTTTGATAGAACTACCTTCATATTTGTGTATTCTAAATAGTCAGTAGGAAAGTCAGTGCATGCCGAAATATAATACACTTCCAAAGTTGCATCAATCCAATTAAAGTTTCTATTATTTTAAGCAACTTATAAAATTGATGATTGACCAGCTTTATTTGTTGAGGTGATGGTAGCAACATTATTTTAAACTGTTACTGAGCCATAAATTGTATCGTAGGGATTGATTCCTGAAACAGCACTAGCATTTATAGCTTAACCTTGAGGGCAACAATTCCAAGATTAGAAGTACCAACCCTAATGGTAGGCCAAAACAGGTTAGATGATAGTTACACCAGGACCACTTCCGTCATTATTTTAAGATCCAATAAAGTAATATAAGAACTAGTTGTTGGCAGTTTAAGGGTTGTTAGGGACTCTGTAGTTTCCTTCAAATGATCTTAAAGTCAAGCCATTAGGAAGCCAATATCCACCATTATCAATCCATTAATTTAGATTGTTGGTAGGATTTCTTTGGGAGCATCTATCGTTTTTAAAAATTTTTTTTGCAAAGTTTTATTCGTCGTTTGTAAGATGTATAGATCCATCCTCTAATTCTTCAACAAAAGTGCCTGATGGAACATTTTGAATACATTCTTTTAACATCAAACCAAAGGGAGTTTAGATATATTCTTCTCCTTCAATGATCTCAACAGTGTGTTAAAAAGTAAATTCACTTTCTGCTCTAAAAGAAACCAGAACTACCGAAAGGCATAGTACTAGTGAAAGTTTATTCATTTTTTCAATCTTTTATAATTAATTTTAGTAATTTATTAATTATTAGAGTTTATGATTAAGAAGTATTAATCATTTAAAGACCTCAACTGATATTCTTAAAAGATAAATATTAAACTTTAAAATATCAATTTTTGTAAAATATTAAAGCATTTATAACACCACAAATTTATTTGAAATTCTGTAAATGAAATAAATCTTATTATTATACATCATATTTTATAATTAATGTATTTTAAGAGATTATTGAATTAAATCATAAAATTTTAACAAAATACCTTATGAAATTATTATTGGATTATTTATAACATAATCTTATTGAATTTTACATCAAAATTTAGTTAAAACAATTTTATAAAAATAAAATAAATGATTTATAAAGAAAGTTAATTGTTAGTTATCTAATATTCAAAAATTAAAATTTAATATAAAATTAGATTTTTTAGTAGTGATAAATAGATACTAACATATTCACCTTATTTATTATTAATATCTTAAGATAAATATTTAGAGTAATTATTTAGTAGTATCTTCTTACTTAACTTTATGTAAATATTGAAAAATAGCATTATAATTACTTTTTTTACTTTATAAGTTATTTTATTTAATTTTATATAAAAAATAAATTATCTTTAATAAGAGATTGAAAAAGATCAACCGTTATTTGCCTTTAAATTTTTACACTTTGTCAAATTTATATTTTTGAATTTGGTGATTTTACTTTGTTTTAATTTTTTGTAAGGTTTTTATCATAAAAAATAGTGTAAATTTGGAAAAATGATTGGTATTGCTAAATATAATTACTTGCTTTCTGTAAATATCTAATTTTTCTAAAGTAAATAAAGCATAAAATATCTAGATTTAATTTATCTAATAAAAAATTGTAATATTTCATTTTAATATTTAAAAAATTTAATCATTTTTATAATGATTAATCAAATTCAAAATAACTTTTTCAAGGAAATAGATTTATTTCTTTTAAATAACTAAAATAAACTACAACATATTTTTAGCTTTACATTTAATTGCCTTTATATTGATATATGTCCTAAAAACATGAATAGAATAATATAGATTTGTGAATAAAATCTATTATACTATACATTCAATTCTAAAAAAGAAATAAATTCTAAAAGGAAATTTATAAATTAAATTAAAATATAATTTTTATGAAAAAAAATACAATGTAAATTTGATACTGAAGTTAAAATAAACATTTTTTTTATTTATATCAAATATATTATTAAAATATTAAAATAATCAACATTTTTTGAAATAGTAATAAAAAAAAATATTTAAATTTAAATTAGATTGACATGATTTTACATAATTAAATTAGGACTACAGAATATAATTGCTAAAAAAATTAAATCAAATTTTAATTATAATTTGTTTATCTTAATCAAAAATAATTTTTTTGCTTTTATATTTATTTTCAAGAAAGGTTTAAAATAATTTATTTTTTTGGATTAAATTTTTAATGTAAAACATTTTAATGAATTGAAACTTTTTGTTTAAGCATTTTTAATTTTATCAACATTTTTTAGAATATATTTTTGTTAGATTATTAACTAAAAATTTAAATTATTGATTGATTTAAAAATATTAAATATTAATTAATTACTCTCAAAAATAAATAATTTTTTAGTATAATTAAATTGTTTTACATAAATATACTGTAAGTGACTTAAATAAGGTAATGAATTTTAATTAATTAAAATATTTACAATTTATTAATTATTTTTTTTTTTTGATATAAAAATTTTTCCTAATCAAAAATATTGTCTATTTCAATACATAATTATTGAATAAACCTTAAAATAATAAAATTTATGGTTTTTAAAAAATCATATTTGCTTGAATAATTCATTCAAATAATAAAAAATATAACTTATTTATCATTTAATGCTTTAAAGATATTTATTTACTTTTATATATAATTATTTAATAAAATTAACATAAAGCATTTATAATGATTCATTTTAAAATTTTCACTATTGTTCTTAAGCAGGAAGATTATGTTGTATTTTGATTGTTGAAGGATCAATAATAGTAAGTTTTCCATTGCATTGAGATTTACCATAACTATCACTCCAAGATGGCTAAACTGTTTAACCATTTGATAGAACTACCTTCATATTTGTGTATTCTAAATAGTCAGTAGGGAAGTCAGTGCAAGCAGAAATCTAATAAACCTCCAAAGTAGCATCAATCCAATTAAAGTTTCTGTTACTTTAGGCAACTTATAAAACTGATGATTGACCAGCTTTATTTTTTGAGATGATAGTAGCAAGGTTATTTTAAACAGTAACTGAACCATAAATTGTATCGTAGGGATTGATTCCTGAAACAGGACTTGCATTTATAGCTTAACCTTGAGGGCAACAGTTCCAAGATTAGAAGTACCAACCATGATAGTAGGTCAAAACAGGTTAGATGATAGTTAAGCCAGGACCACTTCCGTCATTATTTTAAGATCCAATAAAGTAATATAATATCTAGTTGTTGGAAGTTTAAGGATTGTTAGGGACTCTGTAGTTTCCTTCAAATGATCTTAAAGTCAAGCCATTAGGGAGCCAATATCCACCATTATCAATCCATTAATTGAGATTGTTTGTAGGATTTCTTTGGGAACATCTATCGCTTTTTAAAATCTTTTTTGCAAAGTTTTATTCGTCATTTGTAAGATGTATAGATCCGTCCTCTAATTCTTCAACAAAAGTACCTGATGGAACATTTTGAATACATTCTTTTAACATCAAGCCAAAGGGAGTTTAGATATATTCTTCCCCTTCAATGATCTCAACATGGTGTTCAAAATTAAGTTCGCTTTCTGCTCTAAGGGAAACCAGAACAAGCGAAAGGCATAGTACCAGTGAAATTTTATTCATTTTTTTAATATTTTATCTTTATTTTAGTAATTTACTAATTATTAAAATTTATGACTAATAAGTATTCTTCGTTTAAAGTCCTCAAATGATATTATTAAAAGATATCTATTGAGCTTTAATATCTTAATTTTTGTAAAATTTTACTCATTAGATCTTTAGCTTTTAAAACACCATAAATTTACTTGAAATTTTATAAAAGAAATAAATCTTATTAATATTTTTCATTTCTTGTAATGAATAGATTTAATAAGATTTTACATTAAATCATAAAAAATTGTGTAGCAATATTCCTTTTGAAATTATTATTGTAGTATTAAAAACATAATTTTTATTAAACTTTACAGGAAAATTAAATTAAAATATTTTTTATTAAAATAAAATAAATAATTCTGTAAAATACCCTTGGTTTAATATACAAATATATTAATTTTGTTAAACATTTAAAGAAATATCGGATTAAGAGTGTCAAATTTTAGATATAGAATATCCAAAAATAAAATATCATATAAAATTGGATTTATTAGTTGTGGCTAATAAATACTTGAATTACCTAAACATATTCATACATATTATTTATAATTATTATAAGAGAAGTATTATGAGTTGTGATTTAATAGTATCTTCCAACTTATTTTTTTATAAGTATTGAAAAATAGCTTTATTACTACTTTATATTATTTTACAAATTATTCTGTTTAATTTTATATAAAAAATAAATTATTTTTTAATAGGATATTCAATATTATAAAACGTTACTTGTCATTATTATTTCATATTTAGACAAAAGAAAATTTTTATTTGTAGAATTCATATTTTTGAATTTGATGATTTTACTTTGAATTTTAATTTTTTGTTGGGTTTTTATCTTAAAAAATAGTGTAAATTTGGAAAACTCATGATATTGCTAAATTTAATTACTCACTTTCTGTAAACATCTTTTTTTTCTGAAGTAAATAGAAAATAAAATATCTAGATTCAATTAATTTAATAATTCTAATACTAAAAAAATATAACAAGAAAATTAGAAACTATTAAAAATTGTAATATTTCATTTAAAAATTTTAGAAATTTTATCATTTTTATTATAATTAATCATAATCAAAAAAATATTTTCAAGGAAATTATTTTTGTTCTTATTTTCTCTTTTTAAATAACTGAGTAAACTAAAAGATATGTTAAATTCTATCTTTATTTACCTTTATTGATAAAATATATCCTAAAAACATTAATAGAATATTATAGATTTGTGGATAAAAATATAATATTTATTCAATTCTAAAAAATAATTAAATTGTAAAAGACTACACGAAAATTAAATTAAAATATAATTTTTATGAAAAAAATCCAATATAAATTTGATATCAAAGTTAAAAAAAACATTTAATTTTATTTATATCAAATATATAATTAAGACTTTCAAAAAATCCACATTTTTATGAAGTCTTAATAAGCAAAAAAAATAATTTAAATTTAAATTAGACTGACATATTTTTGCATAATTAAATTTGATGACAGAATAAAATTATAATCTGTCTATCTATATTAATTAAAAATAATTTTTTTTTTGATATTGATTTCAAAGATATGTTTAAAATATTCTATTTTTTTGGATGAAATTTATCAAGCAAATTTTCTCTTTATTATTATTTTCATGAATAGAATAACATTTTTTAAACATTTTTAATTTTGTCAACATTTTTTTAAATATATTTTTGTTAGATTATTAAAAACTAAAAATTTAAATTATTGATAGTAAATATTAATTAATTAGAAAGAAAAGTATAAATAAAATAATAGCTCCATAACTATCAAAAATGATTAACATGAGCAGTTACTCCTCAATATGAGAAACCAAGAAGAAGGAGTTAATTTAAAGAAATGAAATTATTTGAATTCGATTAAACATAAGAAGAAACTCTAAAATTACTTGAAGAAGTTAGAAATCACAATGCTAAATAATTCGATTATATAATGGATGTAGGGAATAAAATATCAAAACATGCAAAAAATAAAGATTTAGAAGCTTTGTAAGAAGTAGTTAATAGGAATATAGACATTCTGCATCTCTTACGTATGCGTATTGAGGAAACTTTTGAATAAGTTTTACTATTTCGCTTTGATGATATTCTTGAATATTTTCTTGAAAATGGACTTAATATAAAAGATATAAATATGACCAGGGGTGTTAATAAATAAAATTTTGAATATGAGTATGAATATGAGTATGAATAATTATTTTTTTCTGCATATAAAAAATTTTACCTAATCAAAAAAATTTCAATAAATAATTATTAAATAAATCATAAAATAATAAAATTAATAGTTTTTAAAAAATATATTTGATAGAATAATTCATTCAAATAATGAAAAATATAATTTATTTATTTATCATTTAATGCTTTAGAAATATTTATTTACTTTTATATAAAATTATTTAATAAAGTTAACATAAAGCATTTATAATTATTGATTTAAAATTTTCACTTTTAATCTTAAGCAGGAAGATTATGTTGTATTTTGATTGTAGAAGGATTAATAATTGTAAGTTTTCCATTGCATTAAGATTAACCATAGTCATTACTCCAAGCAGGTTAAACTGTTTAACCATTTGATAGAACTACCTTCATATTTGTGTATTCTAAATAGTCAGTAGGGAAGTTAGTGCATGCAGAAATATTATAAACTTCTAAAGTAGCATCAATCCAATTAAAGTTTCTGTTATTTTAAGCAACTGATAAAACAGATGATTGACCAGCTTTATTTTTTGAGGTGATAGTAGCAACATTATTTTAAACAGTAACTGAGCCATAAATTGTATCATAGGGATTGACTCCATAAACAGGATTAGCATTTATAGCTTAACCTTGAGGGCAGCAGTTCCAAGATTAGAAGAACCAACCTTTATTGTATGTCAAAACAGGTTAGATGATAGTTAAACCAGGACCACTACCATCATTATTTTATGATCCAATAAAGTAATATAATATCTAGTTGTTGGTAGTTTATGGGTTATTAGGGACTCTGTAGTTTCCTTCAAATGATCTTAAAGTCAAGCCATTAGGGAGCCAATATCCACCATTATCTATCCATTAATTGAGATTCATGGTAGGATTTCTTTGGGAGCATCTTTCGCTTTTTAAAATCTTTTTTGCAAAGTTTTATTAGTCGTTTGTAAGATGTATGGATCCGTCCTCTAATTCTTCAACAAAAGTACCTGATGGAACATTTTGAATACATTCTTTTAACATCAAGCCAAAAGGAGTTTAGATATATTCTTCGCCTTCAATGATCTCAACAGTGTGTTCAAAAGTCAATTCACTTTCTGCTCTAAGGGAAATCAGAACAAGCGAAAGGCATAGTACCAGTGAAAATTTATTCATTTTTTTAATATTTTATATATATTTTAGTAATTTATTAATTATTAAATTTATGATTAATAAGTATTCATAATTTAAAGGCCTCAAATGGTATTATTAAAAGAAACCTATTGAGCTTTAATACTTCAATTTTTGTAAAATTTTTACTCATTAGATATTTATCTTTACAAACACCATAAATTTACTTGAAAGCTTGTAAAAGAAATAAATCTTATTAGCATACATTATTTTTTATAATGAATGGATTTAATAAGATTATTACATTAAATCTAAAAAATTGTGTAACAATATTTCTTTTTGAAATTATTATTGTATTATTTATAATATAATTTTTATTAAACTTTACTTTAAAATTAAATTAAAATATATTTTTAAATTAAAATAAATAGTTCAGTAAAACACCTTTGGTTTATTATAAAAATATATTATTTCTATTAAACATTAAAGATATTTTGGATTAAGAAAGTTAAATATTAGGTATAGAATATCTAAAAATAAAATTTATATAAAATAGGATATATTAGTTGTGGTTAATAAATACTTGAATCACCTAAAGATATTAATCTTAGTTATAATTATTGTAAGAGAAGTAGTATGAATAGTGATTTAATAGTATCTTCCTATTTATTATTTAATAAGTATTGAAAAATAGCTTTAATATTACTTTATATTATTTTATAAGTTATGCTATTTAATTTTATAGAAAATATAAATTATTTTTTAATAGAAGATTGAAATAGGTAAACCTATATTTGTCATTCATTATTATTTAATATTTATAGAAAATAAAAATTATTTACTATAGAATTTGTATTTTTGAATTTGATGATTTTACTTTGAATTTTAATTTTTTATAAGGTTTTTATCATAAAAAAACCATGCAAATTTGGAAAACTTATGATATTGCTAACTTTAATTACTTACTTTCTGTAAATATCTTTTTTATTAAGTAAATAGAAAACAAAATATCTAGATTTAATTTATTTAATAATTCTAATACTAAAAAAATATAATAGCAAAGTTAGAAGCTATAAAAATTGTAATATTTCATTTTAAAATTTAAGAAATTTAATTATTTTTCTAATAATTAATCATACTCAAAATAATTTTTACAAGGAAATTATTATTATTCTAATTTTCTCTTTTTAAATAACTAGATAAACTAAAAGATATTTTTAACTATATATTTAATTTCTTTTATTAATATAATATATCCTATAAACATAAATAGAATATTATAGATTTGTGAATAAAAATCTTATATTTACTCAATTCTAAATAGCAATTACATTATAAAAGAAAACCTGAAAAGGAAATTAAATAAAGATATAATTTAAATGAATAAAATACGATGTAAATTTGATATTGAAGTTTAGACAAACATCTTGTTTTATTTATATAAATATATAATTAAAATTTTTAACAAATCCACATTATTATGAAATCCTAATAAACAAAAAAACTCATTTAAATTAAATTAGATTGACATATTTTTACATAATTATATTAGGTCTCTTCAACATTCTAATTATACTAAGTATATAAAATTAAATGAAATTATAATTCTACCTTAATCAAAAATGATTATTATTTTTTATTTATTTTTAAGACAGGTTTAAATTAAAATATTCTATTCTTTTGGATGAAAATTAGAAAGTTAAAGTCTCTCTTTTTTATTATTTTCATGAATTGAATCATATTTTTTTTAAAGCATTTTTAATTAATTTTGTCAACATTTTTTTTAAATATATTTTTGTTAGATTATTAAAAACTATAAATTTAAATTATTGATAGATTTAAAAATTTTAAATATTAATTAATTAGAAAGAAAAGCATAAATAAAATAATAGATAGCCCCATAACTATCAAAAATGATTAGCATGAGCTCAGTTACTCCTCAATATGAGAAGCCAAGAAGAAGGAGATAGTTTAAAGAAATGAAATTATTTGAATTCGATTAAACATAAGAAGAAACTTTAAAATTACTTGAAGAAGTTAGAAATCACAGTGCTAAATAATTCGATTATATAATGGATGTAGGGAATGAAATATCAAAGCATGCGAAAAATGAAGATTTAGAAGCTTTGTAAGAAGTAGTTAATAGGAATATAGACATTCTGCATCTGTTACGTATGCATATTGAGGAAACTTTTGAATAAGTTTTACAATTTCGCTTTGATGATATTCTTGAATATTTTCTTGAAAATGGATTTAATATAAAAGATGATTTCTAAGATTGCCTTATAGATTTATGCATAACAAGCAGATTTTTTGCAAGTGATCCTCCTACAACAACTTTAAGATTATTAATTAAATATGGAGCAGATGTTGATGCATTAGAAAAAGATAGATATAGGACAGCCATGCATTATGCAGCAAAATACGGTATTCTTGAATTCGTCAAAGTCCTTCTTGAATATAAAGCTGAAGTTGATCCTATCGATTTTAAAAAGAGAACTCCTTTGAATTATGCAATGAAGAAAAAGAATTTAGGAAGCGAATATAAAAAAATATGTGAACTCTTAGAATAAAAAGGTGGAACAACTAAATGGAACTAATATGTTACTGATAATAATGTTTATTGAGTTTTTTTTGTGTGTTAAAAATCTTTTCAATTAGACAAAATAAAAGTAAAGTGATTGCCCATAAATAGGTGAGTAATAAATAATGATTAAATTGTAAATAATAATTAAAATATATATAAACAAACATATTATTAAATATTTTAGCAGATTGAAAAAAGTTAAATTTAAATAGAATTTTAATGAAAATAATATTTTATTTGTGTTTATTATTTGCATTATTTGTATAACTGTTATAATTAAGTTAGGAAGCAATAATTTAATTAATGCTCTTGGTAATTATAATGCATTTATTTTATATTATTAAATTTTAGATAAATAATTAATTATAATAGCGCAAGCATTAAAGTATCAAAATAGTTCGTAAGTTAGTCACCAAAAAAGTTATGAATCAAGAAGAGCAAGATAAGTTTACAAAGGTTATTTCAGACGCATATGAAGAGTTAATAAATTGCAGACCTGAAAAGCCACTTGACCATTTTATTTATTATATATTATCCACTCTACCTGCTGATTAAAGAAATAAAGATGCTGTAGTAAGAGCATTCTTTGATAAATATTGCGAAACATATTTAAAAAATGTTAAAAAAATTGCATGAAAGAATAATTTAATAAGTATCAAATTCTACATATTTCGTATCATGAATAACAAAAAGCGATAAGCTTTCTAAAACACTTGTTTGGCATTTACTTTTTAGCATTATTAGAAAAAGAAATATTGTTGTTTTAATAATAATTTACCTGTCTGCTTATTCATTCATTCTTAGATTCAGTTAAAGTTTATTTTTTTGATTGAATAGAAATTAGAGCATTAGTAAGATTGATAAAATGATGTATGTAATACTAATTTAAAATAAAATAATAAATGGAAATATAAAATACATAAATAAATTTATTATATTAATCAAATTTGTATTAATTATTCAATTACTTATTTCTTTTTTCATTATTAAAACAAATCTTATGAAAATATTTGCCTATTATAAATTAATTATCAATAATATTTGCAATCCTTGCAATCACTTTATTTTTAATATATTTCTAATCAATTTTAAGTGGCCTTAAGTGTATCTAAGTCTTTTTAAATCTAACTCAATGGAGTTGAAGCGGCGTAAAATGAAACTACTTCTCCTTTTGTGTTGATAAGAAATTTGGAAAAATCTTCAGTTATTTTTGCTCCATTTAATAATTTATAATTATAGAGAGAAGAATGTCTCTTCAAGAATTTGTAGAGAGGATGCATGTATGAACCATTTACCTCTACCTTCTAAAAAACTGGAAATTATACAAGGCTAGAATATGAATCTTTAATAGTTTTGAAGTTTGAAGGTTCATTATAGAACTAATTACAAGGGAATGCCAAAATTTCTAATTTATCTTTGTTTTCTTATTTAAACTAATTGAGCTCATTGATTTACTATTTAAAATTTGGATTTTGAGATCCAGTATTTACTACTATTGCATATTTATTAGCAGTCAAATCTCCTAAAAATACTTCTTCCTTATCTAAATTAATAACTTTAATATCGCTTAAGCTTCTGTAAGGAGATTCGACGATGTCTCCTGCAAACAAAAGCTTTCTCAGACCACTATTTCCCATATTTACTTTTTTGGCTTAATAAACTTATATAAAAATGAAGATAATATCAAATTTTGCTTTTCAATTATTATATCTTTAATTTAGATTTTTCCTAACCTTTCTTTTTGATATTTATTTTCATTAAGATATCAAAAAAAACATACATACATACATATTTATTTCAAGCTCTGTTTTTAAAAGCAAAAAAATAATAAAATCATTCACTAGCAAAATCAACAAATTCTAATATTTTAATAAAAAAATCAATTTATTTTTAAATTAATACAAATGTTTTGAATGAAATCAATTTCAAAGAATCAAATTTATGAAAATGTTTGAACATTCAATCAGTTTCAACAAATAAAAAATTAAGATATTTTATATTTTTTGTAATTCTGAAATTTAATAAAATCTAAATTCGATAAAATAGAATCCAAAAAAAAAAATGATCTTTAGATATTTTAAATTATTATGATTATTTACAATATTTTAATTCAGTTAGTTTTGAACAGATATATTTATAATTATATGGTTAAAAATAAACTAATAGATAGAGATTTAACATACTCGATTTTTTATTATGGCATTATTTTTTAGCAAAATAGTAAAATCGAAAAGGAAATTTTAAAGGATTTTCACAAAATTTATTAATTTTCTAAAAATAAAATGAATGATAGAATTTTTTTTATTATTATTTTTAGCTTTAATTTATGTTTAAAGAGAGTAGTTTTTATATTTAATTTTATTAAAAAATAGAAAACTTATTTAGTCTAAAAATTTTGCATTAAGGATTTTGTTTAAAGGAAGTATATATATTTGGTAGTATTCAGAAATAAATGGATTAACGAATATTTTAGACTTTTTCACCTTAGTTTATAATTAATTCCATATATTTATAAAATATTGAAATTTTTAATGATTTTAGTTAATATTTTTTGTTATTTTGCATCTAAATTTTCTAATAAATACGTGACTGATAAATAATACTCTTAAGAATTACTGAGCATCATTTGTTTTTGGCAACTAAAATATTCCTATTAAAATTAAATTAATAAACTGTTGTTATATAAGCATAGACGAATATTCAAAAACTTTTGCAGATTACTAAACACAAACACACATAATCATATAATTAGAGAATTTTGTTAAGTTAGCATTTTGAAGCTAGGGGATTGATCACTTTTAAATTATGAATTTATGAAAGGAGGAAGAAGCTAATCACTTGATACACTTAAATTGTAGTAGTTACATGCTTAGCAACAATTAAAAAATAATGATATTAAGCAATCGTATTTACAGATATAAGAAAATTTATAATAAAAGCTCATAAAATAGGGAGCTTTATAATCTTTAAGTCATTTCAATAATGCAGTTAGTGGTAACCACATGTCTATAAGCTCTAGCAAAAAAGTAAACATTATAAATGAAACTTTTTAAATAAATATTTGAAACATAATTTAGGATTTTAATGGAGATCCATAAGAAATAAAGTTGTTTGTTTAGCAACATAACTAGAATTTTAATAAACTAATGAGCGAAAAATTAGATTTAGAAGAAGAAATCAAATATCTAAAAGGGTAGAATGAGTAGCTGCTTAAATATCAGCAGCTTCTTTCTATTTCAAAATCTAAGCAAAACATGGAACTTACATCTACACCTTCAGGATAGACTTCATATGTTAGTTATTTTAATTTTATATTAAATTCAACATAATAAAAAGAGTTAAAAATGCTAAAATAAATAAATAATTCATAAAATTTTAAAACAATTCAAATTTTTCAAAAAAAAAGCATTGTATTTGGATTTTTCTAGCAATAGCATTTAAACTGGAAGTATTTAAATTATTTTATTATTAAATACAAATTAAAAGAAGGAATATAGCAACATTAAAGTGGATTTAATGAACTACTCAATCAGAAATAAAGAGTTGGAGAATGAGTTATTTTAATTACAACAATAGATGAGAATGTATAAAATGCAGTTAACAAATGACTCTCCTAAAAAATTTCTTTCAAACACAGACTATGATCCTCATCAATTCTCAAACAAAATAAGCGACTTAGGGAAAATAATAGCAGATCAAAAATCAGAAATTCAATGTTTGTAAATGGTACTCTTTAAATTATTTATTAGATTTTTAATTAGGGATATTTTATTTATTTTTTAAGAAAATAAAAGAAAAAGAAAGATAAATTGAAGTCTTAAGTGACAATGCAAAGCAGATGTAAACAAGCATTAACTTGTTGGAGAAAGAAAAATTTGTATTAGAAACAAGTTGCCAAAGTGAAATATAAAGGGTTAAAGATTCTTAGGCAATGGAACTCGAATCCCTGAGAAAATTGAATAAATAACTTGATGAATCAATTATGAAAGCATAAAATTCTTTAAATGAAAGTGAGTAAAATAAGCAAGAATAATTGAAAGCGAATAATAAACTAATTATTGAGTTATAGGAAGAGCTTAAAAATGTTACTAAGCAGAAAAATTAATTAGAGTAATAGCTTTCTTCCTAGTTAATGGATTTGAGAGGAGAAAAAGACTTGCAATTAATCCATTTTAATAACAAAATTAAGGAGCTAGAAAATTCAGTTAACTAATGGGAAATAAAATTCTATAAATAAAAGGTATTTTTCTTTTGATTTTAGATAGTAAAATAGCTTGATAAACATTATAGGTAGCTCAAGAGTAGGAAATAGATTAGTTAAAGGAGTTGCATGAACAACGAATATTATTAATGAAAAAAGAAATGGAAAGTAAGGAGAATTAGTAGTTAAAGAAATAAGAAAATTTTCAACAAAATTTAAGGGATGCTGAAAAAGATAAAAATAATAAATCAGAAGTTATAAAGTAGCTCAGAATTGAGTTAGAAGACATTAAAGCTAAGTTTAAACTAAGCAAAGACTCATATGAGATACAAATTGAAGATTTAAGATAGGAAATCAAGAGGTTTGGCTAATCAAAAATGGAGATGATGGCTTAGCTTGAAGAAAAAGAAAGAGAAAACAAGAAATTGTTTAGTTAAATCTAAAGCTGTAAAGCTGAAATTGAAGAATTAAAGTCAAATATAGAAGAAATGAACAACCAAGTAACAGAATTGCAAAAATAAAATTCTGAAGAATCTTTTTCACATATTCTTGACCAGAAAATGATGGATCTAGAAAAAGAGTTTCAAAGAAGGCAGAAAGAAGTAGAAGACGAAAGGATTTTAGAATTAAAAGCTTAGAGAGATAAATTCATTGGGGAAATTATTTAGCTAGAAATTAAACACAAACACGAAATTTAGAAATTCTAAGATCGCTTAGATGGCTATCAAATGAAAGATGCTTAATCAATGAAAAGCTTGGATTAGAGAATTTAAGATATCAAAGATAATTATGAAAGCTAGATCGAGCATTTAGCTAAATAAAGTTAAAGTGAATTAAATTAAACCAAATAAGATTATGAAAAGCAAATTGAAGGCATTAAGAAAGAATAAATACAGAAAGAAGAAAAAATGAAATAAGACTTTGAAAGTGCTTTGTAAACTTAAAAAATTGATTATGAGCTCAATTACTTAAAGCCTTTGAAAAAAGAATACAACGATTTATAAAAAGCTTCAAAAGAAAAGATAAGCGCTTTAGAATCTTCTTTGCAAATTATCAAACAGGAAATGGAAGGATAAGTACATTTCTAAAAAATCTAACTAGAAAATACTAAAAAAGCTTTTGAAATGAAGCTGTCATCTGATAAAAAGATAATAAAAGAATTAGAGGAATAAATAGAGTTATAAAAACAGTAAATTGAGGAGTAGAAAAATACAATTTCAGAACTTTAAGATTAAGTAAAGCAATTAAATGCATTGATAAATATTATCAAATGCGAAAAGTCAGAGCAGTGTAGCTTCCTAGAAGATGAAATCAGTAAAATTCACCAATCTTACTCTTCGAAAGAAGTAAAAAAATATTCATTATTTATAAAAAAGTTTTTTGATTGATAATTTTGCTGAACAATTATTTGCAATTTTTCTTTTAAATTTTATTAATTAATAAAAATAATTTTACATTTTATTTATTTATTTATTTATTTATTTATTAAAGAGTGATTTGATTTTGAAATACGAATAAGATTAGAAGAAATAAAATAAAGATAATCTAAAATTTATTTTGAAAGTGAGATAGTAATTTGAGGATTTACTTTTGATTGAACACTAGAAATATGAGAAAGTTTTAATGGAATATGAGGAGCTGCTAAGACTTTATGATGCAAAAGGATGCAGAGAAGAAGATGCTATCCTTATTCAAGCTCTTAAAGATGAATGCTTTAAAACATAAGAGGAACTTAAGTATCTTATTCTGGAAGTTGTAAATCGAGAGAAGATGTATAATAAAATATTTACTAATTACCAGGAAACGGAATTTATGTAGATTCTATTAAAGAAAGCAGAGAGAATAGAATAATTCAAAAATATGATTAATACCAATCAAATAAGCTAGCTTGAGAGCGAATAGAGTTAGCTTGATATTCCCTTAAACAGTGAAGAGTTACTGCTTCCTAATTTGAATATTTCAACAAGAAATAATAAAGAATTCCTGCCCATGGTCAATACTTCTAAATCATTCAAAGGATTTAAAAGTGATGAAACCCCTTCAACTAGTGCTAATTCTGGTGCTTTGAAGTTAACCTCTAAAATAGTGAATAGGGGCTTTGATCTATCTGGAAATGGAAATCAAATAAAAAACAAAGCAGAAAATATTCCTATCGCAAATAACTAGAAAAAACAAAGTATATCAATCTAGTAAAATAGTGTGATAAATTAAAGTTAGGTTATCACTAAGTAAATGCAACCTCATTATATGATCACTTAGCTTAACTAAACAAATAGTGTATTTAAAGGAAATATCGATTTGAACAAAAATTTATAAAATTCAAGCTCATCAAATAACTAAAGGCCTAAATATGAACAATTCTGTACCCTTGACAATATTTAAACAAGCTAACAATTTAAATCGAAGCTTAATTCAACAAAAAATTAATTCCATAAATAAAATAGCTCTGTACTAGGCAGTGATAATAATTTAGGAGACTTCTCCTCTTCAAAAAGAAAAGTAACAAATAGAGAAAGGAGATGTTTTTCATAGATGTCAGATTATTAAGAAGATGTCATGTAAAAGTAAAACGATAGGTAGCATACAGAATTTAATGTGCAAACTGAAGAACCGCTTCTCGTGGTTAATGCTTAAAGTGTGAATATTTAGAAAAATCCTTAAGGGCCATTTTTAACCCATGGAAACTAAAGAAGAAAATACCTTTAAAGCAATAAAAATAAAGCATAAATGCATTAAACTACAACTAATTCCTTTTAAACTTCACACTAATAGAGATTTTCAACAGGAAATATTAGCATAAATAGCCAAATTAATTTATAACAAGAGTTACTTCCTGCCTTTTAAAAAAGCCAAGAAGATTAAATAGATTAATATGAAAATATGCAACTTAAAATGCTCAATCACAAAAGTGTTGAGATTTCTAACCATCAAAATGAAACTCAATAAAATAATAATCTAAATATGAGTATGAGTTCTTAATAAAACTACGGTTCAGTACCTGCTGAGTCGAGAAAGACCTCATATGCATAAATTTATGCATAAATGTTTATGAACAAAGTGAGTAGAATAGTAAAAACTTCTGATGGGAGTTAAAATGTTCGTAAAAAAATAATTTGATTTAAAATATTCATTAATTAAATATTATTGTACATAAGCCAAAAAATATAATTAAACTTACAATTAACTTATTTATAAAAACTATTTTTAATGAGAGGATTTCCTTATTAGTTTAAATATCTTTATGAATTTAATTTATAATTTAAAAATGTTGTTTATTTTTAAAAATGAGAATTTATATAAATATAATAATATAATTATACTTTTTACAATATTTTTAATAATCAGATTTCTTAATTAGCTTTTATATCTTTAAAAATCTACTTAATAAATTAAAAAGCTATTTCAATTTTTAATAAATTTTATAAATTTTTAAGCTTAAATGCTTTAATAAGTAACTTCTTCATATAAAATAAAATTATTGATAAATTATTCTTTTAATAATTAGATTTCTTAATTAGCTTTTATATCTTTAAAAATCTTCTTAATATCAATTTTTAATATATTTTATCATTTTTAAAATCTAAATGCTTCAAAAAGTAACTTTTTCATATAAAATAAATTAGTATTAAAAATTATTTATAAATTTTTCTTTTAATAATCAGATTTCTTAATTAGCTTTTATATCTTTAAAAATCTTCTTAATAAATTAAAAAACTATTTTAATTTTTAAAATCTTAATGCTTCAAAAAATAACTTCTTCATATAAAATAAATTATTAATAGTATTAAATATTATAGATAAATTGTTCTTTTAATAATCAAATTTCTTAATTAGCTTTTATATCTTTAAAAATCTTCTTAATAAATTAAAAAACAATTTCAATTTTCAATAAATTTTATAAATTTTTAAGCTTAAATGCTTCAATAAGTAACTTCTTCTAATAAAATAAATTAGTATTAAAAATTATTGATAAATTATTCTTTATTAATAATTTAAGATAATTTAAAAAATAATTTTATAAATCAAATTTAAAACACATTTTAATCCTTTATTTAAAATTAATAAAAAATTTTTAATATTTAATTCATCAAATTGCTTGTGTTGTCTTCAAAATATAAAAAATATTTTTTTGATATTCCTGAGAATTTATTAATTCTTATTAAGATTTATATAAACATTCTTCTTAATTTAAAATAATACTTATTTTAATTTTAATATCTTAAAATTATTGTCATTTTAAGTAGAATTTGTTTTTATAATTAAAAAAATTTTCCATTTTTAAAAATAACAACAACTTTTTTTATGAATTAGTAATTTAGACTGAAAAAAATTCTAAAAAAAGTACTTTTGGATAAAATAAGCTTAAGTAACATATAATTTGATAAATAAGAATATATTTAAGATCAGACTCATTATTACTTATTTTTCTGATTTTATTCAATTTAAATAAAAACTAAGAAAATTTGATTTATAAACAATTAAGTACTCAGACAATTCTACTAAATTTAAATATTAAAAAAGATATTAAAAAGATACTTTAAAACTTTAGATAAATATGTAGCCAAAAAAATAGGTATTAATTTATTGGGAAAAGCAAGGTTTGGATTAGCTTTGCGGAGTGCATTGCATAAATTCTTTGCTCTAAGGTCCATTTTTCAATGAAGTAAAATACTTTTTTTTTTATTCTAATTTAACAATTAACCTTTGTACAAAGATTGAATTAGCATCTATTGCCAGAGAATTAGATGATTTGGAAAAACAATTAATGGCAGCATAAGGAATGGATTCAAAAGAATATTTATCTTATTTAGCAGTAAAATTAATTTTACATTTTGATAATTCTTCTTAAATGAATAATAAATACATATCTTTTCGAATTTTAAAGCAAGACTCATAAAATGTTGCTGATGATGGAAATTATTCAATTTAAGTATTGTAAGCAGCTCTTAAAAAGATGGGAAATTTAAATATAGAAAGTGTTGATTCCGAAATAAACAAGGGATAGGATCTTAGGTATTATTTTTAATGAAATTGGCTTCTTATAAAAAAAAATGTTGTTATTTAGCACTGAAATAGGATTTATTTGCAATTCTGATCATCACTGGTTTTCAATAAGATAAGTTGATGGTATCTGGTATAATTTGAACTCCACTAATAGAAGAGCTCCTGAAATTATTAGTGATTTTTATTTAAGGTAAAATTTAAACTAATTCCTGAAACTAGATAAATATATAGTTAAACTTATAATTTATTTAAAGTGCTTTTTTGATGTCAGTAAAAGAATCAGGATATAATATTTTTGTAGTAAGAGGAGAGTATCCTAGTAGCTCAAAAGAAGTAAATAGAAACTAATTTAGTTTAAGTAATAAAGAATTTACTCTAAATTTAAAATAAAAAATAGCTTTTCCCACAAGTTTAGAATTACTAAAAATGGCTCACTAAAGAAGAAGTTTTCTGTAAAAATATTTTAAATTAGTTTAAACAAATTTAGCAACTAACATTTATTTTTAATAAAGAAATTCACTAACAAGTTTCAAAAGACAAGAATTTTAAATTGAATATCGGGGGAACTGATTAAGAGATGATGGATAGAGCCCTGAAAGAATCATTAGATATGTATAATAAATAAAACTAAGGAAAAGGTAATATGGATGAAGAATATGGTGACGAAGACGAAGATGAAGAAGAGAGAAAAAAGAAGGAAGAGGAAGAAAAGAATAAATTTAAAGCATTTTAAGGTTAAGGTATAAGCATGCAATCAAATACTAATAACTAAGAACATGATTAACTTAATTAATACTTTTCACAGTTTGAAAATCACGAAGATCCTGAGTTAGTCTTCGCTATTATAATGTCGTTATCTACAGTAAATATCATTATAAAATTGAATAAGCTAACTAACCATTTTAATCTATAATAAGAAATTTGAAAGTAGACCAAGTCAAGGATTAGTTCTCTAATTTAGATTTCCTGATGGATCTAAAAAGGATTGGACTTTTGCTTCAACATAAACAATAAGAGTATTTTTATTTTTTAATTTATATGATCTCAAAAATTAACTAAAATCTTTTGTCAAATAGGATTTATATGATTTCTGCAAATCTATATAATAACCAAACAAAGAATATAAGTTTAAATTAAGCTAAAACTTCCCTAAAGTAGAGCTTAATAATTTAGATATAACCTTAGAATAAGCTTCTATAGCTAACATGACAGCTTTAATAGTTACTAAGATATGAAATTGTTTTTAATTTTATTAAATTAACTTAATTTTGTGAATTTATGCAATTTAAAAAGCTTTTGTAAATATTCATTTTACTTATGTTTGTTTTTGCTAATTTTAATATTTTATTTTTTGAGATATTCAAAAATTTTTAGTAAATCTATTAATTAATTACTTAGAATTTATTTTTGTTAAATAAACAAAAAAGGGATGATCTATTTATTTATTTTTTTATTTACCCTTAAATCTCCAATCATAAAACAAACAAACATTTCATAATCCCAAAATCTTAAAATCATTTTTTATTTATTGTAAATGGAAATGGCTTTTTATTCTATATTAAAAGGATATTTAAAATTACAGATAGTTAGATAGATAGATAGATAGATAAATTGATAAAGTTTGATTAGAAGAAAATTATACATGAAAAAAAAAAATTATTATTGATTTTATCAAAAAGTAGAAAATAAAAATAAATATTGTAAATTTTTAAATAATGTGTATTTATTTGTAAATAAATGTATTTCTTATAATAAAACAAGCTTGAAATGTTAGCAAGAATTTATTTTATCTTAAGAAAAGTAATATAGTATAATAATATATAGTGATTTAATAATTAGCATATCTTAATTCATATTCAAAAATAAATTTTAGATTATTTATTTTTATTCTGATAAAAAATCAATTAGGATTATTTTATTGTCTCCTTCTTCTTCTAGTTGAAGGCTAATCAACACTTTACTCGTTTCTAATATATTTAATAATTTACAATTGTAATGTTTTTAATTATTTGAAAATAAATTAGTTAATTATTTATTACATATTAGTTAAATTTGATAGAGGAATACGTAGATTCTACTGTACTTTATTATCATCTTTTTATTTTACTTGCATTAATCTATCTAGGAATTTTTATTTCGCTATTTATTTTGTTGCTGGATTTTCTCTCTCATAGTCCTTTTTAATCAGTAATTAATTAATTAATTTAATTATTAATGTATTTCTAATAATTTTATGAAATTTACAGTGTTAAATTTATCTTCAATTTAAAAATAAGATTATTCATTAGGAGGTGCATCTGCAACTTTAAATAGTTTTTAATTTATTTTTTGCATAGGTAAAACTGCATTTATTAAGCCAATTCCACAAGCAATAAACTGATAAATGCTATCAATTCCAAGATTATTATTACCAATTACAAAGATAGAAAAGAATATATTACCAGCCTAATTAATTTATTAATAAAAAATATTTTTAAATTAGATGAAATTTAATAGATTATTACACAAAATATTATAATTGCAAGTTCTAAAAGCTCAGTCATTTCTATAGTAATTTCATTACTAATATTATACTTCACTATTCTTCTATACACTAGCTCGTACTTTATTAATTTTAAGTAAAATAAACAGTCTTTTGATATTTTTAAATTATTTTACTTTATCTAAAATATAGTTGAGTAAAAGAGTTAATGCTACCCACGGCAAGCAAGCAGGTATGATTGGAGCATAGAAAGCCATTAAAAATATTGTTTTTAGCTGTCTGCTATACTTAAGAATGATATCAAACTCAGGATCTTCAAATATTCTAAAAAATAATTAAAATAAAATTCTATATTAAAAATTTGAATGAATGAATTAATTAATTACTAATTGAGTTATTATTGAGTCGAATAATTAGTTTGATTCTAACAAGAATTCTTTGCAAAATATCTTTTAATTGCTTTAAAAATTCCAGGAATGTTCAGAAACTGTAAGAAAGAGCCCATGATTGTGCTTGTGATAAACACATATTAAATATTATATACTAAACCACCTTTATCAAATATCTTTTAGAAATAGCTTCCACCATCTAAGTAAAACATCTAGTTTCCAAAAATAATCAATGCAGATACTGTAAATTAAGTCAAGGATATCTTTTAAATAGCACTTATGTAATATTCAGATCTTGTTTTTTATTTTTCCAAACTATTAAAGTATATTAAATAATAAATTTATTTAACTCTTTAATTTTGTTGTTTATTTAAAAAATATTCAATAAAAAACATTAAATTTAATAAAATTTAATTGATTTTTTATAAATATTCAATAAAAAACAGTAAATTTAAAAAAATTAATTGATTTTTCTAATAATTACTCTATATTATTGAATAATTAATTTAAAGAAAAGAGTTAAATTAAATTAAATTAAATTTAGAATTTAAGAATTTTAGTTAAATTTATTTCAATAATTTTTTAATTAAAATCAAAAAGTTATTTTTTATAAATTTATTTTTTTAGAATAATCAATCATAAGATAGTAAGTAGCTAATAGCTGAATAGATAACCATAAGATAGTAGCTGATAGTAGAATAGATTCCATATAAATAATAAGTAAGGTTTTATTTAAATAATTATTATCTCTAAATCTATTTCTAAGGATTAACAATAAGAAAATAGCTAACTGTTGAATGAATTTTTAATTTATTTGCAAATCATTTTAATGGCTTTAAAGATATAAATGAATGAAAATAATTACTTGGTAAATAAAATGCAGAGTTCTTTTAAGATCAAATTCATAACATTGATAATTACAGATATTACTATTCCAACTATTTGAAGAGTGACCTCAGTATCATAGACATAAACTGTTTTGTTGTTTTTAATAGTTTATTATTGTTTTAAAATTTAATTCACTACAAAGAAGCATCCAGTTAGTAAACCTACAAGAATTATATACATAAAAATCTATCTCAAATTTTGGCTGTGAATGTGAAGATTTTCCCAAAATACATCAGATGGGGCTGGTGGTTTTTGAATTTATAACTACTTTCCACCGTAATTCAATTTTTTAGAAAATCGCAAAATCCTATGAAAGGGTTTATAAAAATCTATTATTTAGTCTTTTTCTGTTATAAAATATATTTTTATAAAATTTAATTAAAAAATTTAAATTATAAATTAATTACCTTTAGCAGATTCAAGAGAAACGAATGCCCAGCCTGTAAATTTACTAGAGAATATTTCTGCATCATTTGAATCATAAAACTTTTTAGATAGGGAAGTTAGTTCGGATTCCATTACTTCTAACTCTTTATCAAGTTTATAAGCACTCTACCCAGTTTAATATTCACCATGAACGTATCTATATTTTACTGCTGCTTTTTTTTATTATATGATAGCATCCTTTTTTTTTTATATTGCCTTGAATTCAACCAAATTGTAAGAAAAGTTTATCTTTGATACTGAAGTATATGCATTTTCTATCAAATTTTGTTACAAAAATATTTTTAAATCTTCAAGGTAATTCCCACTTGTAGGATTTTAAATTACGGGAATTTCTTTCACTAGCATAGTATAGTCTTCTGCAGAAATATCAATTATATCAGTGACAGTATCAATTTTTCTGATGTAGTATCTGAAGTACTAAAAACATAACACAACAACACAGACAGTAGCCATATTCAGTATATCTTAAATTTACAATAAAGTAGTTTCATTTTTCTTATTTCCAACAGTCAAAATAGTTATCCAATTGCTTTGACAAGTGTATTTATAATCAACTGCTTATTTAGCTTAGTAACTATTCGAGCATTAGTCCCCATAATATATATTTGTAAATAAATTAAAGAAACCAGATGTTAAGAATAGCATTAAAGTGAGAAATATTGAGAATTTTGTAAAGCCAAAATAAAGAGGAAATCCTGCTCCTAAATAAGATAGCTAGGAATTATCACTGCTTAAACTTAATTTTGATCTATAAATAGTTTTTGTACAACAAGGACACAACCCTTCCTTTTCATCTTAAGAGCTCATTTATAATAAATCAATAGGACCAACTTTGCTTGCTTTCTATTTTAGTTTAAAAGTTTTTAAAAATTGAACATTTCTAAATTTATTTAATTTGTTTTAATTTATTTATTTTTTAAGTTATTTTGCCTTTAATTATTAGTAATCAATCACTTTTTTTGATGAAAAACTTATGATTAAATAAAACATACTTACTTATTTACTTACCTTATCATAAAATGAATGTTAAAATATATGAATTAATTACTTAGTGCTTCAGCGCAATATCTAAATTCGGTGGTATTTAATCTTTATCAAATTCATTTTATCCAGGCAAATTTACTTATGAAGATCGAGGAGGCAATAGCATAGATTTTATTTTTTCTGCAACTACTTTTTACTACTCTTCTATATCATCTTTTTTTGCTATCTAATTATAATTAGCTGATGTTAAATCATCACTTGACTTATTGCTATCGTTTTGTGCAATTAATTTATTATGCTCGCTCGTTAATGGCACTATAAAATTATTTTCATAATAAATTGAAAATTAATTATATTAAAATAAAAGAATGATTGATTACCAACTCTATTCTTTTTAATCATGCTTTTTACCAAAAAAAATAATTTAATTTTTATATTATTTAGATAAGTTTTGTTTATATAATAATTAGAGCAAACAAGAAAGTATTAATTAAATCTTTACAAAGTAGTCAGCAACAATATTGCGAGATCATAATAAAGTCTACTTGATTCATTTTAAAATTCATTTTAAATTTATCAAACAATGCAACATAAATAATGAACATAGAAATAATAATAAAGAATTTACAATTTATATTTAATTTATGAAATAATATCTATTTCTTCTATTATTTTTTAATATATGTGCCAGAATAAAAATTTTGTTTCTATTTTTTTTTCAGGCTAAAAATCAATTAAATTTTGTATTTATATGTTACTTATTAAAACTCTACCAACTTCTATTGCTTTTAGCTATCTTTTTCACTAAATAAACAAATTAAAAAAATATTTGTATGAATAGTTGAATTCAAAAAAATGTAATCCTATCTCTGTGCAATTAAGTTATTAATAATCTTCATCTTAAAATTCATTTTAACTGTTTGTTTCAAATTTAATAAAATCATTCAATTAATCAACTCATAATAAAAAATAATTTGCTTCTTATTTAAAGTAATTCAAACATCCTAATTTCATTTTTCTTCTTTCAGTATTCATTATTTTAATTGACCAAAATTTAAGAGTCAGTAAAGATTTTTAAAATAATGAACTTTTTTTATTTTTTTTTAAGATATTCTTTTGGTAATAACCACTAAATAAGCAAACATGTTTAGATATATATCAATGCAATTACAAAATATTGAAAATAATAATCAAAATTTTAATTAAATTTAAAAGTTAGTAATTTTTGTATATTAATAAAGGAACGAACAGAAACCTTTCATTAGATATTAGAAATTTATCTTTGATATTTTTGAATGAGTTCAAGTTCTGTTTTATTTGTGCTTATTGTATTCTATAATACCTAACTAGCCTTGTAGTTCTTTTGAGAATACTAATTTCTTTTGTAAGAATTAGATATTTAGTCACCAGTTTATTGTTAGTAATACTTTGAATTGGATTGTTTAGTTGAGTTTATAGCTGAATCTTATGAAATTCTATGTAGTTTTTATTGAAAGGAATCTATTTACTGGAAGAAAGTATTGCTTTAAATGAATTATTCACTCTAATAAAAAAAACTTTGCTATTAATTAAAAAATATATTTATTTTATTAGGTATTTGTTTGAAATTTTCATTTGAACAATTTTGATCAGTTCATTTATTTATTTATTAATATAATTTATTGGAATATAGATTTTTAATAAAATATAAATACAACCTTTTTATTTGATTTACAAATTTTAAATATTATACATATTTTGTTTGCTTGTTTGTTTGTTAATTGATTTTATGATAGTAATTTCAATTTTTAAAAAAATCTTCTGATTAAATCAAATTTTTATCAGATTTAAATTCACTAAACAATGCTGCATCTAATATTGATTCTGGCATAATGCAAGTTACAACTTTAAGCTTAGAAACGGTTTTGTATGTATAAAGATCGCTTGGCCCCAAAATGACAAAGATTTCTCCTTTTTTGGCTTACTTATTTGGTAGAGTCTTTCTTATTTATCCTCCACCAGCTTCAATTAGAGAAGTTAATTCTTCTTCGTTTGGTTCAGTTATACTTTTAGAAATGTAAAATGTGTAACCTTCAAATATTTAATTATCGTGGGAAATCTATTTTCTTTTTTATATAAAGAATTCTAAATCATTGTTGAATCTCTCCTTAAAATATTATGATTCTTCTGGCTAGTAATTCGAGTAATTAGACAACAATTTATTCTGTCTAATACTATCTGTTAGCCATTTTTCATGAACAATTGGTTTCTTTTTCATGACTGCCAACAATAACTTTATTGTTCTTTTTGTTTCTTTTACTACTAATATATCAAAATCCTGATTATCTTCTATAAGCGTAGATTTTAATTGCTTGATGCCTTTCTTTTATTCTGGTTTTAGCTTAAATCCACTTACTGATATCTTCATACTTTCTTTTATAGCATTTCCATCTATATCCTCAGCTACCATAGATTTATCTTGACTTTATCTTGTTAATCTACCCTTGCTTTAAGAATTTTATTCCTTACTAACGCTATCCTCAGATTTAGTCGAGTTTCTTGAGTTTTCATCTTACATTTTACCTGTTTTTTATTTGAGTAATTGAACCCAGCTTGACTAGACTTTTTATTTCTTCTTAGGATCTTCACCAAGGTCTTCTGATTGATCACCGTTACTATTATTTTTTTCTTCTTTTAGGTCATTCTATTTATTTTTTGATTATTAAGCTCCTCTTTTATTTCCAGATGAGAAAGCTTAATCATCACTGCTATTTACATCACTACTTTAAAATAATGTCTTTTAAGGAACAGTGCTGCTTGCTTTATTGAATGCCTTTTCCTCAAATTCCTCTACCACAGATGGCTAAGTTGAAGAAGCAATAGGAGATATAGATTTTTTCATGTCAGACATTGTAAGAGTACGTAAAGGAAATTTTTTATTCATAAGACCTATGTTTCTTTGCTAAGCTCCTTAAAATTATCCTGAAACTCCTTAGTTGCTATTTTCTACTCCTGATTGACTGTCTTCTCTTTTTAAGTTATTTCCGAATCCTGTTCTGCTGTTTTCTCTTGAAGAAAGCTGATGATTGGAATTAATTTTATTTTTGTTATTTTCTTCCTGTTCTTCTTCTTCATCGTTGCCAAATAAATCATCAAATTAATTCACTTTATCTAAATTAATATTTTTCGCCTTTTTTTAAGGATCATCTTACTTCTTTGAGTTATTATCGCTTAAAGTGGGAAGTACATTTATTACATAGTTTTATTCATTATTTAAAGAATTTAAATTTTATCTTAAATCGTTTGTTTCATTTTATGTCTTTTTTTTATCAGTTTAATTTTGTTAGGCCTTACCTTAGCTTTAAAGTTATTCTCTTAATTTCTTGAGTTCTTCTTCTTGCTGCTTTATCTTGTTAATTAATTCTTAGTTTTGTGTATCTTCTCTTTTTCCATTCTAACTCTCAGGGGAATCTATTAAAGTATTCTAAAGAGCAGCAGGTTTTTCGCTGGGAAGAGGAGAATTTATCTTGCTATTTGAGTCAGTTTGGTCTATAAGAGTGGCACCAAGCTCTTAATTAGAAGTTGACCTTGATTAAGCTGATTGCTGAGATAGTTTCCTTTGCTTTTCATTTTGAACAGACAAAAGATTCAAATTTACTTCTTCATCTAGAAATGTAGGACTTAAAGATATTGGGCTTTTATGTTTTTTATTAACTTTATTTTAACTACTTATTGATTAGTTAGCAGATTTTACACTAACTTAATCATCATCTACTAACGTAGGGCTAAGAGGAGATGTCTTTTTATTATACCTAAAAGACTGTGATTAATTTTGACTTTAAGGCGAGTCTAAGAGAGTTGCTACTAGATTCAAGTTAGTATTTCTCTATTATTGTGTTTTACTTCTTTCTTAAGTACTACTCTCGAACCATCCATCATCATGAAAGGAATCTTCATCTATTAATGTCTCCTAAAGCAATTCTTTCTGTATATTTTTAGATGAAGGTTATGGGCTCAAAGCTTTTTTAATTTCATTTTCTCTTCTTTTAATAACCTCTTTTTTTTGTTGCTTTTCCTCTTCAGATAAATCAGGAGTTTTATCGTTTTCAGGTATCATTTTTTTATCATCTTAAACTGATTTCTTATTGCTTTAGCTTTGGTTTTCAGCTATCATTTTTTTATTTTCCTGATTATTTTAACTTGACTCGCTAGGTTAACTAGCTTAATTTTAATATTTTTTATATAAATAATTGTTCTTTAATATCTCCATCCTTCTTTATTTTTCTGAAAGACCTTGAGAAGCTTAAATTGGCAAAGAGCTTTGAGTAGTCTAAATAGGTAACGAAGCATTAAAAGAAGCTTGATTAGGCTCTGTTTAATTAACAGATTTTTAAAATAATTTTGAATCTTCTTAATCATCTTTGTCTGAGAGTTCAAGGGTCTTTTCACATTCCATTTTATTATTATTTCTTCTATTTTGTTAGTTTTTGAATAAGCTATTCTCATTATCACTCTACTCTTTATCACTTAACTCAAGAGTTTTTTCAAACATTTATTGATTATTTTTCTTTTTTTAGCTTTGTATGTTTTTATTTTAAAATAAATTGTCATTATCTTCTTCTCCACTTTTGTCACTTAACTCTAATGTTTTATCATATTAATTGGCATCATTTTGCTTTTTTTATTAGCTTTTGTTTTTAAAAATATTTTATTCTTCGTCATCACTTTTATCACTAAGCTAAAGTGTTTTCTCACATTCCATTTATTTATTAGTATTTTTTTTACTGCTCTAAAAAAGATTCTAGTTATCTTCATCACTGTTTTTATCACTCAACTCTAGCGTTTTATCATAATTGTTAGCATCTGACTAAGCATTTTTATTTTTAGTTTATTTACTCCTAAATAAATTATTTTCCTCCTCTCTATCACCTTCATTGCTGGATAGTTCTAAAGTCTTGTCATACTCACTGCCTTTTTAATTACTTTGATTATTTTGATTAAAGATATTTCCCTCTTCTTGATCATCCGCATCACTCTTGATCTCCAAAGTTTTCTCATAATCTCCTGCAGATTATTTATTTGAATTTTAAAACAGCTGCTATTCTTCTTATTAGTTCTCTTAATCACTCAATTCAAGTGTTTTTTCATATAAATTAGATATATCTTTCTTTTTTTTAAAAAAATAAATATCAATTTAATTATTCTATTTTAAATAATCAATCAAGGATTTTCTTTCTTGCTTACTTGCTCATTCATATTATATTTTTTCTGGTCTACTTGATCTTAATCTGCAAAAATATTATTATTTTCAACATCATCTAAGTCTGTTTCATCCAATTCGATTGTCATATTATACTCTATTTTCAATTTGATTAAATATAATTCAGTTAAAAAATAAGTAATTAATTCATTCATTACTCTTTTAGCTTTAAGATTAGCTTATTTCATCTCTTTCCCTTTATCTCCTTTCTTCGCCCTTTTTATAATCCTCATCAAAGGCGACTACATAACATTTATATTTTCCAATATAAAACTCATGGTCAGGAATGATGCTGAATCTTTGATTTTGTTCAAGGCGAACTTTTTTATTAGGGTTAAATGATGCCTTTTTAAAGATACCTTGCTTACTGTTTAGATCTTAAATATATGCATCTCCATCATTAGTGATATAAATTTCTGCATGAAGAGGAGAAACACCTTCTGCTTCTATAACGACTTCTGATTTAGTTGAATCTGAGCCTATATTATTTTATCCCTCATAGAGGTAGTATTTAGATGGGACTAATTTCTTTAATGGGTTTTGAAAAACAGCCAAAATAGCCCATTTAACTCTATTTTATATATTTGCGATATTCATATCTCACTGATTGATCGGCTAAAGCAATATGAACAATTAATTTATTATTTAAAATTATTGAATTCGTTGCTATGAATCAATATATTAAGTATCTTCTTTTGTAAATTTTCTTATTGTAATTAAAACCTTTGCTAACTATAATTTTATTACCGCCGTTCTTATAAAAAATCAAAATAATAATTCAAATCTATCAGATTTAATTGACTGTAGCTTCGAAGTTTACTTTAAACCAGGTTTTTTAATTAAGCTGTTATCAATCATCTCCTATAATAATTTTATCAAACAGGATGTCAAAAATACCTTATCAAAAAAAATTTAAAACAATAACAAATTCTCAACATGCTTTTAAATGCTATTTAAATACTAAGATGACCTAATAGAAATTTACTATTTTCAATACAAATTTTGTTTCCTAAAAATAAATAATTAAATTAAAGCAAAATTATTTTAATTTAAAATGAATTAAATTTAATCAAAAGGTAAACAACCATTAATTAATTGATCATTTATTTTAAATAAACTAAACTAAAGTAAAAAGAAAAACAATTTTTAAATGAATATTCACTGTTCTAAAATTTCTTTGATCATTTTTGTAGTTTTTATGAAAAATTTGATTATTTATTTATTTATTTATTTATTTAAATACCTACTTTAATACTTGAAAAGCTATTATGAGAAATTAGTTAATTTTAAAGAATAATAATTATTATTAAAATTTGAAATTTTGATATAAATTAATTTTTTTAGCTGTACTTCTTGTAATTCTTGTAAGAGTTTAAAATGTTTAAATTTTTTTCTTCAGTAAAATTTTTATTTCATGTTTTTAATGGAGTAAAAATAAGTACAGTCAATCCTTAGTTTATGGTTACCACCTTAATAATATAAGTAATGCCTTATTTTTGGTAGATTTTTTTAAAGTATTAATAAAAAAAATATATTTATAATAAACCTTGACAATTTTGGTGTCTTGATCAAACATTTTAGTAAATATGAGGGTGAATTTTGAAAGATTTTATTGTATTTGAAATACTATCATTTAATATTTCTTTAATATATTTATTTATAGATTTCAAAACAAAATTAAGAAATGTTGATTGATACAAACAAATATTTTGGAAAAGGAAAAAATTAATTGAAAGGTATTTATTTATTACTTTCTTAAATTGAATTAAATTATTGATTGATATTTATACAAATTTAATTACACATGTTTGATATTAATTTTAAGATTTGAATAGATTTATTAATTTTTAGTTGCTTATTATTTTGCAGAAAGATATCAGCGATTGTAGTTAAGTATTCTTTAAAATTGTAATTATTTTTTGCTATTATCCCACACTGAATTAAATTGTGAGAATTCACTTGGTTTTATATTATTAATGTGCTAGTAAGGTTTCAGAGTGGTATTTGTTTAGTTTTAATTTAGACTACCAATACTTTAATTTGAGAATAAACCATTTTTTGGAAGTTTTGAATGAGTATCATTTGGTTCTTTATGGTCTTTTGAATGACTAATTTATCCAAAAAATAGATTGCTTAAGTACTAAGTATTTGACTACCTTTAAAAACCTCTTTACACAAAAGCCTCCATACTTTTTTATGGTTCAAATTTATTTATTTTATCTTTTATTTCATTTTTTTTATTTATTTGTCCAAGTGTATTGAAGATTGATAGACCTTTATTGTTAGAATTTTATTCTTCTTATTTAAGCTATTTAAACAATCTAAGCTAGGCACTTTTCTAAAATTTATTCTTCAAATTAAATATTTCTAGGTTTTTCTGTATTGGTTAATCAATACTTTGTTTATATTATTTTTGCATCATGGCTAACACGCCCATAGTCTTTTTTTAAAGGATTTATTACTTTTAGTTTTGATTACTTTCATTTTTAATTAAATTTTCATCCTTTTTCTAGTTATCTATTATATTTGAGATTGCATTTTTAGAAGGATTCTCATTTATTTATACTTAAGATATATTTGAAAGAGATTCCTCAGTGATGCTTTCATTTGTTTGAGGTATTGATTGTTGAAAAGCTGGCATTTATTGAAAAAGATTAATTTAATCACTCAACTATACTCCTACTTTTCTCTTTTTTAATCCACCAAAGTTATAGTTATTAGATCGAGAACCTGTTGGATCATTCTAAAATTATTTGAAGTAAAGAAATAAATTAATTAATTAATTAAATAAAGAAATAAAACAATTAAATTTCAAAATAAAAAATTAAAGTTCAATTTAACATCTAAATTTTAAAGAATTAAATTTACAATGTTATCATAGATTTATTACTATAAATCGGCTATTTTCTTCAAGTGCTGATTCAGTTCAATAGAGTCATCCATATTAACCTCATTCTCATTGATAAGACCTCTTTTCTTTAGCTTTTCAAATTTTTCTTGCTTTTATTTTTTCATGAGCTTTTTCTAAAATTCTTATTTGGCAAAGTTAGTTACTATTGAATTTGTATTTTTTTTATAAGTTTGCTAAGCGAATTTGCGTATTAAATTCATATCATCCATAGTTTCTTTCATCAACTAATGTGCTTTGATAGAATGGGATTCTAAATAATTCATTTCAACAAGTTTGTAAACATCAGCATATGATTTCATTGTATCTATGAATTACTTTTACTTCTTGTATTATTCTTATTCTTCTTTTTCTTTTTTTAGCAAGTTTCCTACTTCACCTTAAAGCTTCATATTTTCATTTATATTTTACTAAGTCTTTGACATACCTTCATCATTCTAGTTGTATTATTCCTTGATGATTGATAAGGTGCTATTATTTAATTTAGGTGTATTTCCTGGATTTATTTTTTGTTCTGAAATAGAACCGTTTTTTTCTCTTATGATCTAAATAAAGCTATTTTGATCTAGTGACGCTCGCTAATTCTATTTCTGCTAAAATTAACTCGCTTTAAGTACAGAACTTTACCTATTATTTTGTCTACTTTATAAATTAAAAATTAAAAGTTTAATTTAAATTATTTGCTACTATTTTTCTCTCATTACTATGAAGGATTCAAAATATATTTTCCAAGTAAAAAAATATTTAATGTAAAATTTCAAATATTATTTCAAAAAATATATAGTAAAACCTTTGTTTTTTACCACCTTAAAAAATAATCAATGCATACTAACGAGGTTAGATTATTGGTTGAAAGTTAAAAGAAGATAAGGTAAATATACTTTATAATATTAAAATATAAATTTCATGATATCTGTATTATAAAGTTTATGCAAAATGATATTTTATTTATGTTAAATTAAAATTTTAAATTGATTTTACTCGCTTTCTTTTGAATGAGCAGGAGAGTTGAGATTTTAATTATGTAGTTGACCTGTTGATTCACTTTTTCTGATTTTAAAAGCTTTTTTAGGAGAGACATCATCTTAGGTTTTATTTAATTAGCTCTTTTTAGGAGTTTCAATTCCTAATAATTTTAATCTTTAAAGCATTTAGTCGTTGCTTGATGAAATCCTTTTTTGATTGGACTCATCAGCTTTACTAAAGACTACACTTATAGGTAAAATTTTTAGTTTGTAGTAATCTTCAAGAGCTTTTTCATCTTCTTCACTGAGCTTCATTTTACCAGTCTAAGATTTAAAATTAGGATTTTATTAATTCAATTTTAGTTGGTACTATTGCTGATTTTTCTACTGATCCTATTTAAAGCCATTATTAAAGGGTGACAAAGAATACTTATTGAATTATTTAATTTTAGGTGATTTGTTTGAATCTTAATTCTAGTTCTCTTTTCTAGAGCTTTAAGGTGTGTAGTCTAGATTTAAAATTTTATTATGATCCAATTTTTATGGTTAATATTTGGTTTATTTTATGTCGTTTGCTTTTTTAATCTTTAATTATAACTTTTTGTAGTAGGAATCTGGATCAAAAAGTTTTTAAATTATTGATGAATTTTAGTTTTAGCTTTAATCATATTGCTCAATACATTTATTACTGCCATCATTAGCTTCATATTCATTATTTGGCTTTGCTGTAAACTAATTTATTGATTATTAATCTTCGTTATTATTATCTTCAGACGAAGAAGAAGATGTTTATGATCTATGAGATGCTTTAATTTATCTTTGAGATTACTATCGAGAAGAACTCTTTTGACCTATAGATTAACTATATGATCTAAACTTTGATGTTTCTTGAACTTAATCTTCTTCTGCTTATTTCGTGTACTCTCCTAAGGATTAAAAAGCATTTGTGAAGTTTAACTTAGCTGAGTACTAGTTTTGTATTGCCTTTAATTTCAAATTATTAGGTGATGCCCCTTATGATAAAGCTATTTTTCTTTATGAAGATGAGTGAATTGAAGTTAGTCTTGCATAATTAATTGTATTTGAATGCATCAGTTTTCTCTCCTTAAGGAACTTGTTGAAAAGTTCAGAAAATCTATCTAATTTCCATTCTCTTTTTTGAATAAGCGACTCTAGCAAATTAAAATAATTATCCTCCCTGTTATTGGTCAGATTTTTATAAACATTCTCTAAATCATAATGACTTATTCTGTACACCTAGCTATCTAAGGTACTTGCTTAAATCGAGAAGTCTCTTTTTTTTAAGCCCAACACGCTTTCCTCGCCTAATATTTCAAACTAATGGCAAACGCAAATCAAAAGGTTCTCCTTCATAGTAACTAATTTACTATGTTCTACATCTTAAACTTCACTTATTTTAGATTAGCATTATTTAGTAATTTTAAACTCTCCTATTTTAATCAGTTTATGTATGATTCAACAAAAAATTAAATTTAAATTATTGAAAAAGTTTTTTAAATATTAGATTTTGTAGAGAAATAAATTTCATAGGGTAATAAATAAATAAGTTAGGTATCAAACTTTCAAATATTTCAAAACAAATTAATTGTATTTTTTTTATAAAATTTGTAAAGGACAATCTTTATTTACATTATTTTAATATTTTTATAATGGGAAAAAAAGCGAAGCATAACTTTCAAATTGGCAATAAATTTGTTAAAAGTGAAAAATAAATATATAGATAAAATTATTTTTTTTGGAAATTACAAAAAAAGTGTCTTAAAAAATTAATAATCAAGACGATTTTGATGAGTATATCGAAAATCCATTTATTTTATTGATTTGTAAATTGTTGAATAAAATTAAGTAATAAATAAGCAATAGAAAATTTGAAGTATGTATGTATGTATTACCATGTTGTATCATATACAAATAGTTTGAATTATCTTCCTCCTTGTATAAAAATGAGCCTTTTGGCACTTGTTATAATTCGAGAGAGTAACTCAATATCCTTAGGTCTTTTTTATCCCAATTTTGAAAATAAGGAATATTTTATAGAAAATCTAGTTTTTCTTCGGCATCGCCTTATTGAAAGGGTGTAATAATTTCCATATAGTCATTTCTAGAGATGACAGCCAACTCACATTTTTCATCTGCAAAAACAGTTGTATTTCTTTAATTATTTTACTTTATTTGCATTGACATTTCTCCGAATGATTCACCTTTTCCAAGCTCTCTTACTATGTTATATTTATTACTTAATTCTTCTAGATAATCTTTAGGGTCATAACTTTCTTGATTTGTATTTTATAGAGAACTTCTTTGATCTAAGAGTAACTTACTTAGTCTCCTTTTTTAAATTGCGATAGAATTTTACTAGAACTCACTCATTTTAATAAATATTTGGGAAGATTTCTTTCCTCGAAAAGAATTACTTTAATTTAATATTTTCTAAAATGGCTCACTGATTGAATTTATTGATATTAATTAGCTATTCTTCTTTAACTAATTTTTTGGAGAGCTCATCATGCTCTACCTTTTTGGAGAAATTTGAGGATTCATAAAACTAGAAATCCTAGAAAGAGCCTATAAATTTGCTTAAGCATCTTAAATTTATTTCTTAGGAATGGTGACTTTAACCTTACCAGAAAGTATTATGTAAAATTTATCTCCTTTATCACCAATCTAAAATATTTTATCTCCTTTTTGAAAAGTTTCATATTTCATCACTTTAAAAACATTTTTTAAAGCTGAAAGACCATATCTACCTGATATTACTTTAAAGAAGTCTATTCTCTCGCCATAACAGTCTTATAAAAAATTTAAATCAGTTTCATCACGCTCTTTTTAGTCTTTTGCAAGAATTGTACGAATTTTTTTAATTATTTCTTCTTTATCAACAAAAGTCTAAGAAGGTTACTCACTAAATTGCTTGATAACTCCTTAATTCATGAGCTGCAATACTTTTGATCTATCTTTTTTTTAGTATTTAGAAGGTACATGATCAAAATCCTAACCATGAGAGTTATACATTTAATCTTAAAATAAATTCTCATCAAATACAGAGTCTTATCTTTAAAATGAGCTCTATCTATAAACTTATCCAAAAGAAATTTACTTTTGCTCCTTCTCTTGACTCAAATCTTCTTCTAATTTTAAAGTTCTTGCAGTCTATATAGTCATCGATTTAACTTTCTAACGAATCATCCTATTTAATCCTTCCTGGTCGTGAAGTAAATTAGAACTAGATTTATTATCACCATTTTAATTCAAAATATTATCTTGTGCATCTTTTTATTTATTTGAATCATCACTCGTCTAATTTAAATGAGGATGATCATTAATGTTCAAAGATTAGTTCTTATGCAACAATTTATTTCTTTAAACCTAAAGCTTGAAGATTTACTTTCTTAAATCCTATCCTTCCTCAATCATAGCATATTGGTTTTAAAATTAAGTAGAATTTAAGATTGTATTAAATATTTATTTGATCTATGAATTATTTAATGACAATTAATTAATTATTACTTGGAATTACTAATTGTAAATAAGATTTATACTTATAAATCTAATAAGCAAAGCAATATTCAATTACTAAATAAATTTACTAATTAAAATCTCTTTAATTCTTTAATTGGTTTGTTTTGTTTGAGTTAAGTCACAAAGCAAATAAAGAGAATCAATCAATCATAATTTAATTTTCTTTACTTTCTTTAAACTAAAAGGTTGTTTTTATTCATTATAATTTTTATTAATGTAAGTTGTTTTATTTAACATTAATTTTATTTATGTTAACTATAATAGTATGTGAATTAGACCTTAATTTTACAAAAAATAAGTAAAATAATTTTATATTTTTATCTCTAAATTCTTCATAATAAGTTAGTAATATTTTCTTTCTAATTAAAATTCATAAAAATAATAATTATTTTTTTTAATTTTTATATCTTTCTAAACATATATTTGCTATTAAAAGCTTATTTTTAATGATAAAGTTGTTAAATATTAAACATTTTTAACACAAAATAATATAAAATAAATGATTAGTTTTGGTAAAGTTTATTTATTTTTTAATAGTGATTTATTTAGTAAATTTAGAGAAAAATATTAATTATGAAGAATCTTTAGCATTTCAATTAGTAAATGAATGTTTATCATGAAATATCTTAAGAATACAAATTTATTTATGAAGATCCAGACTGCTATTCAATCCTCATTACAAACATTTTAGATTTTCTATAATAAGAATCAATAATATTTACTAAAAATTCATTAATTTTCTTTTTTAAATTTTACCTTACTTTATTAACATAAATTTTTTAAATAAATAATTTTATTTTAATGGTAAATTTATAAAAAGTTGAGGCTTATTATAATAAAATAAAATATATAAATAGTGTTTATTGTAAGTACATTTTTTTTATAAGTTTGGAATAATAAGATAAGAGAAATGTATATTTTTAAATGTCAGGAAATAAATATCTTTAGCATTTAAATTAATTAATGAAAATGCCTCTACAAATCATTTCTCAATTCAAAAAATTTTAGATTTTGCAAATACTTAATCAAAGTTAAAATATTCTGTTTAATAAAAATAAAAAAATCAGCTAAATATTCTTTTAATTGCTTTTTTTAAATTTTTATTTCATTATTAATAAATTTGAGATTGAAAAATAATTTTTAATGATGAAACAAACAGTGATAAATTAAGAATTTTTATAAACAAAATAAAATATATAAATAGTTTTTAGTATAAATTTATTTTTTTAATTAATAATTTAGTAATTTACGAGAAACAAGCTAAGGAAAATTATTATTTTTAAGATATTAATCAGGAAATATCTTTAACATTTAAATTAGTTAATGAAGATGCAGCTTGCAAATCATCTCTCATTGAGAAAAATAATTAATTTTTAACTATAGTGCTGTCTTTTTCAAAAAGAATTTCACACATATTATAAAATGCTCCAATAGAATATAGAACCATTTAAAAGTTTTGAACAAACAAATCTTTTGTTTGTATTGTGATGACGTATACCAACTATATAGAAATTTTAAAATGATTAGCTTTAAATTTAGATATTATTAAATATTTACAATAATTCCAAAAACCAAAGCCCAAGAACTTAATTTGAGAAGAATTAGGATATATATGCCAACAATGAATCCACTTAAAAAAGTAAAGAATGATAGGATTCCACTAACTGTATCAGCACCCCATATGACAAACAAAAAATAGAAAGGATCGTGCAAAATTTGTTTCAGTATATCTCTTGAACTTTCACAAAAGTTGTTTCCTGTTAAAGCAATCTATAAAAAAATATTTAAAAAGTAATTTATAAAAGTTAAATTAATTTACTCTAATCAAAGTCAAAGACGATATTAATTTTTCAAGAGGCTTTCTGCAGCGCTAAATCAATGAAGAAATGCAAATTAATCCAATATTTTAAAAAGATCTTTCTATACTTTTTATAATTTCTATCACATAGTGAAGCAAAATAATTAAAATAGTTTGAAAAGAGAAAGATCCTAGGTGATTGAAGCCTAGCTTTATGCATTCAACAACAGTTACTTAATTTGCTCTACCAAAAAACCACTAAGCACACATATACTATTTCATTAATTTAAAAATTAGTATATCTCAATTAAAAAATATGAAATATAAATAAATAATCTATATGTAGATTCTCTCATTTGCTTACCACTCATTAATTTATTATCTTAAAAAATTAAAAAACCATACTATTATTTTAATTTTGGTTTTAATGCTATTAAATATGTGGTCACATATGAAGAACTTACAGTAATTTTAAATCATTCTGAATATTATAAAATATTTACTGAGATGCAAAACTTATAAAATTGCATGGTTGTATTGCACAAAAAGAAGAAATTAAATGTCATTGTGTATAAGAGAGACTTGTATGTAGGATCAATATCAATAGTCTAATTTACAACAGTGTATTTAGATGCCAAGAATAGGATTGAAAATAAGTAAAAGACAAACCAAATAATAAAGATAAATAAAAAAGTTAAAGTTAAGCAGAATTATCCAGCCATTTCAACTGTAAATTTGTAAGACAACTGTTTTTTTATTTATTAACTCTTTATAAATTATTAATATAATTTAAATTTACTTTTGCAACTTTATCAAGAGCAGGTAATTTTTAGTAAAGTTTGTATGCATAAAATAAGTAGATAAGGAAGATGATTACAAAGACTACTCCAAAAAAGATTCTAAATTTCAAAAAGTAAGTTATAATTAATATTAGCTTAAATTGTTAATTACTATTTAGTTATAAATCCCATAATAGCTATTGCGATGAAGAGGATTAAGCAGAGACACAACAAAGACATTAAAATGCAATAAGTAAATCTCATCAAAATAATCTATAAAAGTAAGCTTTTTGTTTTTAAATATTAATTTTAAAAAAATTCTTTTATAATAAAAACTAAATAAATATTACCCAATTATGAAAGTAGTACCAAACGCAGCAGCAACAGCAGGCATACCATTAAAAAAATCAGAAATATTGAATGTTATTGATACTTTTATAGTAAAAAATATAAAATTATAATTTAATTATTAATTAATAATTCTTTGTTATTAATTAGCTTTCAAAAGTAAATAAATATCTCTCAAAAATATAATTTAATTAAATATTTTCTAATTAGGCAAATTTATTTAAATTAATTAAATTTTTTAAAATAAAAACTATTTTATTTAAAAATTTTAAAAGCTAAAAGCAAATTACCACGAGTACTGCCAGCTTTGTTATACTAATCAATCAAATCAAATGGTTTACACGTAGCAAATCCAACTATACCAATAGATAGAAAACATAAAAAATTTAAAACAAAGAAGACCAATGCCCATATATCTGTCATAGATCTCCCTGCGATAGGTCCTGCAAGTAATAATTTATTTGTTTTATCTTCGTTCGATAGATTATCAAAATTCTAAGGAACATTGTTGTCCTGGTATTTCATTTAATTATATGTTGATTATGTATTACTTAGAGTTGTTTGAGGTTGCCATGGGGTCTTCATTAAATCATATTAAAGAAGTTAAGTATTAACTGGAGGGTGATATTAATTTTATTATATATTTTGTTAAGGCGAATAAGCAGCATTTCTACTTGTAGATTAATCACTATTTATAAATTACGCTTAAAGAGGACTTTGTGATTGCTGTAAGGGAGATTAATTTACACCCATTCTGGAAGAAATCATTCGAGATTATGCTAGTTAAGGAGTTGCTGGTTGACTCATTTATGAAAATTGGTTAATTTAGAATTCTGTCATTTAGATGTCTGAAGGAGGAGGAAATTATTAAGTGAAAGGACTTGAATTATTTTATTATCTGTATTAAAGACTTTTTAAAGCTTTCTAATTTTATGTAAACTAGAGGTTTTATTAAGTAAAGCGCATTCTCTCTCACAATAAAAGTATGAATGTTTGTTATTTACTTAATTGTTTAAATGGTTGATTATATTTTCTTTTTTTGAGTTATTTTGTAATTTTGATTTGTTTTAAAATATTATCTATTGTTGGTTGTTTCTTTTTTTCTTTCTTACTCAAAATTTTGCAAAAAAGTATTTATTTACTATGAATTTTTATTTAATTATCTATTTTATTACCACTAACTAACAAATCATTGATTAGATTAAACTTTTATAAATCCATTAAAATTATTATGAATTAGTAAATCAATTAGTGAATAAATATAAATCTAAATGTCTTTTTCTTCACTCTCCTATTAAAAGTATTACATTAATACCCTTACTCATTTTTGTTAGGGTATCAAAATTAAAACAATCAATACACTAATAACTATTAGTCTTTGTTTGTTTGTTTATAAATTAATGTTTATTCATAAAAGATTTATAATATATTATAGAGTTAATCAACCAAATGTGTTCGAAATTGAATTTGACTATACGTAATTATTGTAATTTTTATTAACAGTGAAAAAAATAAATATTTTGATCTTTTCCCCCACACTGTTCATTCAATAGTATTACATATAAAGACTTAAATAAAATTGTTGCTAAAATAGTATTCATTAAATTTTTTAGTAATGTATAAGACTAAGTATTTAAAATATATAATTTTATTTATATATTTAAGCTGATACGATATCATTTTTATTTATTTTCACAGCTTTTAAGATAGTTTGTTTTTGTGTGGTTAAGCTGGAAGAAATTCAAAAAAAAATAATCGAATTTAAATTTTTATTTTTAGCTTTTATTTCATAAATAGTTAGATAGTTATCGAAATTAAAACTCGAATGATTCTTTTTATTATCTTGAGTTTTATTTTCATGCCTTTTTTAATGGATAGTAAGCCATTCTGTGCAGTTAAAAATATCATTTACTTTCAAATCTTTTTTGAATGAAGAATTAGTTAGCAATAGAATTAAAATTCTTCTCAAAATAAAAGCATGTAAATTATGAAAAAAATATATTTTCAGCTACAAGTTAAGATTTGTAAATTATTTTTAATTATTCCTCTACTTAAAAAAAATTATAATAGTATTTTTACTTTTTTTTAAATATTTAATTTTTGAAACATTCTTTTGATGGAATAAAATGAAGATTATGATGGCATTCTAAATTTACAAATAATGTTACAAACTACTTTGTAAGCTTTTTATAAATGAATTGATTCCATTTTATATTAATTTTAGGAAAGAATACATATAACAAGCATCTTTTTACTTTATCAATAGGAACAAATTTATAAATACCATTTTATTTTATTTTTTTGTAAAATGCTGTGAGATATTTTATCAAAGTATTGAAAAGACTAAATAAATATCAATTGCTCTGTTTGTTGTATTTTCTGATTTCGTTCATGAAAATATTACAAATTAATTTCGAGTAAAATCTAAATAACAAACTAATTATTATTTTTTTATTATTTATTAAATAGATCATTTTAAGGTTTTTTATGGTATATGTATACTTCTTTTTTCAATTATTTAGTTTACTTTTTTAGAAAATTATTAAATAAAACAATATTATTTCTAAATTTATCATATAAAGCATCCAAATAAACTAATTTTACTAGTATTAAATAAATTTAAGAATAAAACTATAAAAGTAAAAACAATTTAATGATAAAAAGCAGCGGCTTTTTACTTTAGAAAAAGTATTTATGTTTTTTAATTTAGCAAAATAATTTAAAAACGCTAATTAGCTATCCAAAATAAATAATAATTTATAAATTTTTTATTAGCAAACCAAAAAGAAATACATCTTGGCAGTATTTTTAAATAAAACTATAATTGATTATTAATTATATTTTAAATTTTTAGAATAAATAAATTGGTGTCTTATATATTTTTTAATTCTTTTAATAAAACTATTAATTTTTTATTGTTAATAAAAAAAGACTAATTTATTTTTTTTAATTATAAGAGTATAAAATTTATAATAATAATCAATTAATATTTATTTTCCTTACAAATTTTAATATTCTATTAAACTTATTAAACTATAAAAAGTAATATGATAATGTTGTTCAATTTTTTTTGAGTCTTCACAAAAAAAGACTAATTTTTTATTTTTTTGAATTATTAACTATAAGATTACAATTATTAAAATTTAAGTAAGATATTCAAATTATTTTTATTACCAATATTTAATTTTAAATATGACATTTTAAATTTATAAAATGTTATTTATAGCTTAAAAATAGATAGCCAGTGCTCCTAAAAACTCAAAAGGCCAAATCCCTTGGTAAACTACTAAAATATGTTTTTTGGCTTGGTATTAGGTGGGATATATATAGAATAGTTAGGCTAATTAAAATTTTTATTTTAAATTTAAATTTATTAATTAATTTTCTACTATTTAATGGAAGGAAAACTAAAAGAAGATACTTGGTCAATTTTTTTATATTAATTATTTTTAAGAGTCGTTTCAATCTTTATTTTTTTTGATAGATAGTAAATATATTTATTCTAATTTTTTAGGTGCTAAAATTTATTTTTCCAGATGTTTATCTGATCTGATTAATAAATTTAATTAATTTTATTTATTTTGGATAGATATCCATCCATAAGTTGAGAATAGATTAGAAGAAAGTTTAATTTTCTAAATTTTTATTGATAACAATTTTTTGAAGAACTTTCTTCTTATAATGTTCGAATATCTTTTGAAATCTTTTTTTATTCATTTCTGATTTCAAATATTTTTAATAGAATTTATAAATATTAAAATGAGACGTTTTTAAACTAAAATTTGCTAAAATAGTCAAATAAATCAGATTAGGTTTATATTTTTAAATAAAGTAAAATATAACTTTTATCTATGTTATTTTGTTGACTTAAAATAATATATTGTCTTTCTTTTTTAAACAAACATCTGCTTGTTTTTTTTCTAAATTTTTACAAAAATTCTTTAATTAATCTGGAAAAAATCATAAAATTAAAATTTTATTGAAATAAGAATAACAACAAAAAAAGTGATTTTTGATTATTGATTAATAGAACTTTCAGAGGATTTGTAATCTTAAAAATATAATTCTTATCATTTTATTTTTATAATTTTAACAATAAAAGACATGGCTACTTTAGGATATTGGGGTTTTAGAGGTTTAGCATAACCTATTCGTTTTTTATTAGCTTATTTGGGTGTACAATATACTGATAAACACTACACAAAAGGAGAAGATTGGTTTGAAAATGATAAAAAGAATTTAGGAATGGACTTTCCTAATATTCCTTATTTCATTGATAACGATATTAAAATTAGCGAATCATCTGCAATCCCTTTCTATATAATCAAGAAGTATAAAAAACCCGAACTATTAGGCTAGAATGCCGACGGATCTTTCAACGAAAAGGAAATTAAAGTTCAATAAGTGATCGGCGTTATTAAAGATATCAATAAAGAATTGATGGGACTTTGCTTCAATCCTGACTTTGCTAATGCCAAAGACAAGGTTTACAACGAAAAACTTTCAGTAGGTCTTAAAGTAAATATTCATGTTTATCTCAATTAAAAAACTATGTTTAAAATATTATATTTTTTAAATTCTTAAAAATAAATGCAAGCATGTTTGTAAAATAAATATATAAAAATATTTTAATTCTGTTTAATAGAAATTAAATGACTTCTTAGGCAACAAAGATTTCTTGCTTGGTACTCTAACATATGCAGATTTCTTATTCTATGAGACACTTTCTTACTTCAAACACATTTTCCCTTAAAGTATTACTCCTACCCTTGCAAATTACTTAAATAGATTCCAAAATCTTCCTGGAGTCAAGGAATATATTGCTAAACCTTCAGTAGATCTTAATGCCTTTTTACCTCCCTAAAGAGCTGCTTGGCATGGTCCTAAATGAGATAAATAACTTAGATTTACTAATATACACAAAATAATTTGAAAAAACAAATCAACTGTTTTATATTTTATGTCATCAATTGTTATAAATGTCTGTATTAAAATAAGAATAAATTTATTAACAATTTTCTTCTCTTAACATGATTACTTGTTAAACTTAGTAACTAACTAACTAATCAATTATATTATTTCAAACCATTTTATCAAAATACAAACAAATCTTTTAAAGTAAATTTAAGTTTTTCTTAAAATTTTGAAAAAAAAAAAAGCAATCTTCATAGAAAATATATTTCCAAGTAATATCAGAAAAATAAAAATTAAAGGAATGTTCTAAAATTCTTTAATTTTTCGATTGCTCTGATGTCAATTGCTTAACAAAAATTACATCATAAAAAAAAGTAATAATTCCTCAATTAATATTATAAAATCAATTACAATTCAAATTTTCTCAAGTTCAAACACTTCTTCTTTAAATTGATGATTAAATAATATATATTTGATTTATATATATATTCATCATCAGATTCAAATCTTTCATTCATTTGATAGTAAAATATGTATCCAAAAAGATATTTCTTTTTTATAAAATACTATTTATCATATTTAAAGTGTTCTTATCTTTAAAAAGCTAATAATGCAAGGAAAAATAAAGAAATTCTAGAAAATCTAAACAAAAATTCTGTTAAATTTTTATCTTAAATATATTTTTACATGTAATCTTTACACTTGAAGTCACATCAGAAACCTTCTTTTAATCTTCTATGATTTTTCTAGATGCTTAACTAATTTTTGGAAGTTATTGATTGAGTAATGTGTTATACTACTAATTAGGAGATGTGTTTATATATATATATATATCCACCAAAAAGATATAATTTTTAAAAACAATAATAAATAAATCATAAATAAAATAAAACATCTCTAAGAAATTTAATTCAATATAAATAAATGACAACTCTTGGTTACTGGGGCATCAGAGGTTTGGCTCAACCTATCCGTTTCTTACTTGCCTACTTAGGTGTCTAATACACTAATAAGGCCTACGCCAATCCTGAAGAATGGTTCGGAAAGGATAAGAATGAACTCGGCTTTGACTTCCCCAACATTCCCTACTTAATTGATGGTGATCTTAAACTTACTGAATCTTCTGCTATTCCTATTTATCTTATCAGAAAGCACAAAAGAAACGAGTTGTTAGGATCTTCTGCTGACGGTTCTTACAGTGAAAAGGAAGTTAGAGTCGCTTAAATTGTTGGTGTTATTAGAGATCTTTTTAAGGAACTCACAGGCTTATGTTTCAACCCTGACTTCAAAAACATTAAAGAAAAGCTCTACACTGAAAAGCTCGAACTCTTAATTAAGAGACTCGGTGCTTATCTTGGTGATAAGGAATTCATAGTTGGTACCTTGACTTATGCTGATTTTCTTTTCTATGAAGCCCTCAGCTATATTAGACATATTTATCCCCAAGCCATTTGTGCTACTCTTACTGCTTATATCAACAGATTTGAAAACCTCCCTGGTATTAAGGAATACATTGCTAGCCATGCCTAAGAACTTAAGGTTTTCTTACCTCCTCAAAGAGCTACCTGGTCTGGTCCTTAATGATTTAATTTAAATAAGAACATTAAATTTATTCTAAGTATTTTTTATATTTTCATATCTATCTTGCAAAAGAATTTAACATTCTTTTTAATTATCAAAAATCTTAATTTAATTTTGACCAAATTATATATATAACAATTAAGATAGATAACATTATTGAGAATCATTAAGAAAGTTTCTTTAATGTTTATATTTATTTATTTATTGATTGAATATATGGTTAATTGTTGTTATTAATCGTGAAAGTAAAAATTTTCATCAGAAATCTTTGTCAAAGAAAGAATTATTATTATTTTTGATTTTTATATAAAGAGGACAATTAATTAATTAAAGAATACAAATAATTTCAGTCAGATATAAATTCTACCCATTTAAAGATAAAAAATAATAGAAAGAGCAATGGATAAGTTATCAAATATAATAAATAAGTCACAAGCTTATGCTAATTCAGTTAAAGATATAGAGCAGTTATGCTTTGAAAAAATTAATGAAAAGTAAGAAAATTCAAATTAAGTTAACTAAATTATGACTATTTGGCATAGACCCAAAGAAGAGCACTTGTATGCTCTGAAAGAAAGAAAAAATCTAAGCGTAGTTATTACTTTATAATCATAGAGTGAGGATATAGAATTTATTTAAAATATTTGCAAAAGCCTGAAAATAGGCTGGATTAATATTTAACTACACCACAAGGGCAATTAAGATATTTTTGAAAAGAAAGATGTAGATTAAATTATATAAAATGGAATAGCTTCTCTTCGTAATATTTTAGACTAAAATAAAAATGAGGTAATACTTATTCATTGTTCAGCTGGCATACATAGATCAGGAGTATTTAGCTATGCTATTCTGAGGAGTCTTTCTTATGATAGAAATGAATCACTTCAAAAGATAAAATCTATTAGGAAAATGACTTTCAATGGATTAAAAGAATATAAATTAGACTATATTGATTAAAATATAATAAATATATGAAACAATGTAGAGATTAAAATAAAGATATATATATATACTTCTCCCTACTTTAAATTTTAAACTTAATTTTTTAGCTAAATATTTTATATTCTAAAAAATTGCTAGATGAGAAATTAATTTTGAATTAAATAAATATATTACATATTCATTTATCAATAGAGTTGTCTACAAATAAATCCAAATATTTAAGTAAAAAGAAATTTGACTCAGTCTAATCTATCCTAATAATTAGTTATAAAAAATTTATAAATAATATTTTATTAAATTTTAAATTTTTTATATCATTTGTATGTATTAGGGGCTTACTGCTTGGATTGTTTGCAAAGTCAGCTTTTCTTTTGAGAGATTTCTAATTCCAAATTTTATAATTAATTAAAAATTTTATTTATTAATTTCTGAAAAAGATTCAATCGAGAGCTATTTGAAATAAGACAGACACCAAATAGATTATCTAAAAATTAATTTAATTTAAATAAATTCCTAAAATAATATTTAAGTTTTTTATTTATTAGAATTCTTATTAATAATGTCAGATTTTATATTACCAATTACAATAGTTAAATTTTAATAATCTTTTTGATTTCAGAAATCAAAATTGATTCATTTTACAAAATCTTAGTTACTTAAATTTATAAATTAATAATTTAATTCAGATTACATTTAGCTAAACATGAAAGCAATATTTTAAAAAACTAATTATTATTCTAAGAAATTAATGAATTTTAATGTAAGATTTAATTTTTTAAGAAAAAAAAATAATAATAATAACTAAATTGATTATTTATTTATTTATTTATTTATTTATTTATATTTATTGAGAATTTAAAATAAAATAGATTTTACTTTTTTATTTATTATTTTAAAGATTGGTATAAAATTTATTTTTACTAAATAATTGATTGATTTTTTAATTAAATTTTTATTTATTTTTAATTTGATTTGATTTGTAATTTCTAATGAATTCTTATCAAACAATTAAATTTTTGATTTACAAAAAATCTTTGAAATTTCTAAATCATAAATCAAAATTGATTTATTTATTTTACAAAATCTTAGTTACTTAAATTTATAAATTAATAAATTAATTCATATTGCATTTAGATATTCATGAAAGCAATATTTTAAAACATGAATTATTATTCTAAGAAATGAATGAATTTTAAAGTAAGATTTAATTTATTAAGAAAAAAAAAATAATAATAATAACTACATTGATGATTTATTTATACTTATTAAGAATTTTAAAAAAAATAGATTTTACTTTTTATTTATTATTTTAAAGATTGATATGAAATTTTTACTAAGTATTTCATTGATTTTTTAATTAAATTTTTATTTATTTTTTATTTGATTTGTAATTACTAATTAATTCTTATCAAACCATTTAAATTTTTGATTAATAAAAAATATTGAAATTTTTAAATCTATTTACATTTTTATTTACTTAATTTTATAACCTTTTGCTGTGTCTTTAAAACTGATGATTTTTACAATAGTATAATTAATTATAAACTAAAAAAGATCAATACAAATATCAACAAAAAATAAAATTAAAAGAAATGATTACTCTTGGCTACTGGAATGCTAGAGGATTAGGATAGTCTATCCGTTTCTTACTTGCCTATTTAGGTGTAGAATATACTAATAAGGCATACAGCACACCAGAAGAATGGTTTGGTAAAGATAAAAATAACTTAGGTTTAGAATTTCCAAATCTTCCTTATATTATCGATGGGGAATTTAAGCTTACTGAATCTTAAGCAATTCCTATCTATCTACTCAAGAAATACAAAAGAGTCGATTTATTAGGTTTATCTAATGATGGAAGCAACAGTGAGAGAGAAGTTAGAGTTGCTTAGCTTACTGGAGTTATCAAAGATATATACAAAGAAACACTTCCAGTATGTTTCAGCCCTGATTTCGATAAAATAAAAGATTAAGCTTTTGCTAAGGGTGAAGTTTTACTTAAAAAACTTGTAAGTTTTCTAGGTGATAAAGAATTTTTGCTCACTACTTTGACTTATGCTGATTTTCTCTTATATGAAATACTATGCTATTATAAGTATATTTATCCTTAAGCTATAACTCCTACATTAACAGCTTATATGAATAGATTTGAGAATTTACCTGGTATTAAATAATACATAGCAAACCCAAACATAAATCTCAAAGCTTTTCTTCCTCCATTCGCTACTTGGTCAGGTCCTCAGTGAAAAAATAACGCTTTTGACATTAATTATCATAAAAAAGCTATTTTTTAAATATTAAGTTAGCAGTTTAAAGAAATAGAAATAATATTTTCTTTTAATGTATTTTTTTGTTAATACATTCATTCTCTGTTAATAGTATTTTAATATTCATTCTATTTCTATAAAATATTCCATCTAATACTCAACTTTTTAAATACATTGTAAGTTTTATATTTATACTTCTAATGCTGTATAAACAAACAATAATGATAAAAATATGAATGAATTAAAAAGATAAAGATTTTTTAGATATGACTTTTCTTAGCATTAAATAAACAAAAAAATAATAAAAAGTATTCAAAAAATAATCTTAAATTTATCTAAGATAATTTTTTTAAATATATATTAATTTTATTTGATTGTTTCATATTTATGGGTATGATTTTTTCTTACCTTGTTACATAATTTAGATGCAAAATATAGAGCTACAAAAGTTTAGACATTTTCATTAAAATTATCATGGATAAGATTTTATTTTTAAAATTTACTGAATTAATAAAAATTAAATTTAAAAAAGCTTTTTGAAGAATTTACAAAAATAACTCAAACAAAATTATTTCATATTCATGAATGCAAAACTAAAAAAATTTATTTTTGCTTGAAGATCCAAGAGTATGCTAATTATATTATTTAAGGTAACACTCAAAATTAATATAAATGATAAAAAATCATAATCAACCATAAATTATTTAAATTTTTATAAAAGTAACAAAATTTTTTTATTAATTTTCCTGGCGATTTCTGGGAACGGATTACTTGTAATAAATTTTAATTAGATAAATTGAAACTAAAAAGGATCTTTCTTTATTAAAGAATATTATTCGCTGATTTAATTATTTCTAAAATGGAAAACAATCTTATAAATTCTTAAATAATTACTAATTTAATTTAATTTAATTTTTAAGTTCTTTAATTTTTCTAATTCTTCACTTTAAATAGCAAATAGAAAATCTGTAGTTAGCTTTTTAATATAAAATATTGTAATTAATTTTCAAGATTTTTAAAAACTCAAAACAAGATAAAACTTAATATTAAAAGCTCAAGATTTATGATAACTCTAGGATATTGGGGAGTTAGAGGTTTAGGAGAATCTGTTAGATATTTACTTGCCTATTTAAATGTAGATTATAAACACTAAGCTTATTATAATCCTTAAGATTGGTTTGCTAAGGACAAGGCTTAACTTAAAATAGAGTTTTCAAATCTTCCCTATCTAATAGATGGAGAGTAGAAAATTACTGATTCCTATGCAATATCGATCTACATCATAAGAAAGTATCATAGAGAAGACTTATTAGGATATTCAGAAGACGGAAGCTACAATGAAAGAGAAGTTAAAATTGCTTAGCTAATCGGCGTTACAAGAGATATATTTTAATAAATAGTACATATCTGTTTCAGCCCTTAATTTGATAAGATAAAGGATTAGGCTTTCGAAAAAGGACAAATATTTCTCAATCAGCTAACTGATTTTCTTGGTGACAAACAATTTTTACTTGGTCATTTAAGTTTAGCAGATTTTCTGTTTTATGAAGCACTCACTTATTATTAAGTCCTTCATTCTTAATCTATTACCTAAAGGCATGAAGAGTATATGCATTAATTTGAAAGTCTTCCTGGTATTAAATAATATTTAAACTATGCTAGCAAAAACTTTAATTCGTTTTTGTTAAATTTAAAGTAATAGTAACAGTAATAACAATAAAAAATTTCTTTATGAAGATATTATAATAAATAAATAAATAATTATTAAATATATACTAAAAATGTATTCAAATCATACAAAAGATGTTGTTTGTTTTTAAATTAAAGCAGTTCTAAAGTTGATAGAATTTATTTTTCATTTTAAAAAATACTTGAAAATGTTGTTTGTTTTTCTATAATTTGTAAATTAATTTTATTTTTTAATCTAATTAAATGAAAAGAAATGTTTTTAATTTAAAAAAGATTTTAAACAATAAACAAATAATTTTTTAAACAGAAAAAATATTAAAAAAAAAAAAAAAATAAAATCATCAATAATTAAATAAAGATGCTTGGAATAAAGCAACCTATTCGCATTTGTGTTTAATGTATTTAATATTTATATCAGTTAAATTTTAATATTATTTCAGTTAAAAAAATGTTATTTTATCCTAAACCAAAATTCAAAATTTATGACAAAAAAAATTTTTAAAAATAAAAGTTAAAAAACATAATAAAAATTTAATGTGTTTAAATGAATTAAAATTAATAAGAATACTAATATAAAAATATTATTATTTTAAATGTTTTTATTCATGAAAAATAATATTAAAAAATAAAGGGCTTTATAAAATATAGTGATTTCTTATGATTAAATTTTAGAGCTATCAAAACACTAAAGCAATATTTTTAAAAATTAATTTTTATTCTCTTTAAAATGAATTTTATTTAATTTTTATTAAATAAAAAATAACAGTAACTAAATATATCATTTATATTTATTTAGAATTTTTGCTAAAATAGACAATACTTTTGTATTTATTATTTTAAAGATTGAGATGAAATTTTTACTAAGTATTTCCTTAGTTTTTTAATTAAATTTTTAATTATGTAATTTTTTAATTTGATTTGTGATTACTAATGAATTCTTATCAAACAATTAAAATTTTTGATTAATAAAAAATCTTTGAAATTTCTAAATCTATTTGAATTTCTATTTACTTAATTTTATGAGCTATAGCTGTGTCTTTAAAACTGATGATTTTTACAACAATCTAATTATAAATTATAAAAGATCAATACAAATATTAAAAAAAAAAAATTAAAAGAAATGATTACTCTTGGCTACTGGAATGTTAGAGGATTAGGATAGTCTATCCGTTTCTTACTTGCTTATTTGGGTGTAGAATATAATAGTAAGGTTTATAGCACAGCAGAAGAATGGTTTGGTAAAGATAAAAATAACTTAGGTTTAGAATTTCCAAATATTCCTTATATTATCGATGGGGAATTTAAGCTTACTGAATCTTCAGCCATTCCTATCTATTTACTCAGGAAATACAAAAGAGCTGATTTATTAGGTTTTTCTAATGATGGAAGCTACAGTGAGAGAGAAGTTAGAGTTGCTCAGCTTATTGGTGTTATAAAAGATATCTATAAAGAAACAATTCCAGTATGTTTCAGCCCTGATTTCGATAAAATAAAAGATTAAGCTTTTGCTAAGGGTGAAGTTTTACTTAAAAAACTTGTAAGTTTTCTTGGAGATAAAGAGTTTTTGCTTAGTACTTTGACTTATGCTGATTTTCTCTTATATGAAGTACTATGCTATTATAAGTATATTTATCCTTAAGCTATAACACCTACACTAACGGCTTATATGAACAGATTTGAGAATTTACCAGGAATTAAATAGTACATAGCAAACCCAAGCATAAATCTCAAAGCTTTCCTTCCTACATTCAAATCTACATGGTCAGGTCCTCAATGAAAAAATAATGCTTTTCATTTTCTCAAAATAGCTATATTTCTAATAATAAATTAGAAAGAAGTTTAACGAAATAGAAATGATATTTTCTTTTAATGTATTTTTATATTAATAGATAGATTCACTGTTGTTAGTTTTTTTAATACTCATTCTATTTCAATAAAATATACATATCCCATTTAATCTCAACTTTTCAATTACATCATTTATTTTATAATTATTCTTTTAATGCTTTATTTATAAATAACATAATAAAGAAGTATGAATCAATAAGATAAAAATTTTCTTAACAAAGATTTTTCTTATTTATTTATTTATTAAGGAGCAAAAAAAGAATAAAAAGTATGCAAAAAATAATAAATCAAAATATAAATAAAATAAGTTTATTTTTATAAAGCATTTATCAATTTTATTTGATTGTTTTTATTTTTTGATAATTATTTTTCCTTAATTAATTTTGTTAATAATTCAGTTATGCAATATATTGAGCTCTAAAATTTTAGATATTTTCATTAAAGCTGCCAAATATAAGATTTTATTTTTAAAATTTATGGAATTACAAAAAATTAAATTTAAAAAAGCTTATTGAAAATTTTGAAATCAAACAAAATTTCATACTTATGTAAAACTAAAAAACATTTTATCTTGAAGGTCGGAGATATTGTAGTCAAGGTATGGTATATTATTTTAACTAAGACTCAATTAATCATAATCAACTAAAAATTAATTAAATTTTTATAAAAGTAACAAAAATTTTTGATTAATTTTCCTGGCGATTTCTGGGAACGGATTACTTGTAGTAAATTTTAATTAGATAATCCTAAATTAAAAGAGATCTTTCTTTAATAAAAGATATTATTCACTGATGTAATTTATTTATTAAATACATAATAATCTTATAAATTCGTAAACAATTATTAATTAATATCTATATTTAAGTTTTTTAAAGTTTCTAAATTTTCACTTTAAATAACAAATAGAAAATCTGTTGTTAACTTTTAATGTAAAATAATGTAATTAATTTTAAAAATTTTTAAAAATTCAAAACAAGATAAAACTTAATATCAAAAGCTCAAGATTTATGATAACTCTAGGATATTAGGGAGTTAGAGGTTTAGGAGAATCTGTTAGATACTTACTTGCCTAATTAAATGTAGATTATAAACACTAAGCTTATTATAATCCTTAAGGTTGGTTTGTTAAAGACAAGGCTTAACTTAAAAAAGAGTTTTCAAATCGATGGAGAGTAGAAAATTACTGATTCCTATGCAATATCGATCTATATCATAAGGAAGTATCATAGAGAAGACTAATTAGGATATTCAGAAGACGGAAGCTACAATGAATGAGAAGTTAAAAGTGCTTAGCTTATTGGTGTTACAAGAGATATATTTTAATAAATAGTACATATCTGTTTCAGTCCTTAATTTCATTAGATAAAGCATTAAGCTTTCGAAAAAGGACAAATAATTTTGAATCAACTAACTGATTCTCTTGGTGAGAAACAATTTTTACTTGTTCTTTAAGTTTAGCATATTTTCTGTTTTATGAAGCACTCACTTATTATTAAATCCTTCATCTTTAATCTATTACCTAAAGGCATGAAGAGCATATGTATTAATTTGAAAATCTACCTGGTATTAAATAATATTTAAACTATGCTAGCAAAAACTTTAATTCGTTTTTGATAAATTTAAAGTAATTAATAGTAATAATAAAAAATATCTTTATGAAGATATTCTAATAAACAGTTATTAAATATGTACTAAAAATGTATTAAAATCATATAAAAGGTGTTATTTTTAATTTAAGCAGTTCTAAAATTAATAAAATTTATTTTTGTTTTTCAATAATACTAAAAAATTTTGTTTTCAATTAAGATTAATTTTTTTTCTTTCTATTAATTAATTGAAAAGTAGTGTTTTTAATTTATTTTGATTTTAAATTTTTAAAATATTTTTGTAAACAGAGAAAATAAAAATAAAATCAACAATAATTAAATTTATAATTTAAGTAATTACTTATTTTTTACAAAAAAAAAAAAAAATCAAATTTCATATAATTAAGCAAACAAATTTATATTTTAAAATTTATCACTTTATTCATTATTATTTTAAATTTCATCAAGCTTTTACAATCCTTTTGCTGAATCAAGTATTTTACACCCTAAATCATGGCATAAAGCAAGATATTTTCCACAAGGAGAGAAGGATAAATAATTGATTTTACCTTCATAGTTATATATTACATTTAAGAGTACAAAATCTTATTTAGTGTGATATACTTCACAGCAGTTAGTATCAAATCCAATAATTAAATATTTAGAGTCTAATGAAAATGCTGCACATAAAGGTAATGCTTTTTTATCTAAAAAAATAATTTTAAATATAAATTTTTATAAAACTATTTAATTTTACTTTGAATTGTTTTAATTAATTTAAAATTGTCTGATATATCGGAGATGTTACATCTTTTATCATACGAAACAGAGGCATAATACTTATTATCAGAGGAAAAAATAACTTAATAGATTTTACCTCCATGCCCATATTTAACATAAATTTCTTAAAATTCATTGTTAATATCCCACACCCTGCAAGTATTCTACTCTCCTATGCTAAAATATGCACTGTCTTTAGAGTATGTCATAGGACAATTATAAAATGTTGCTATATTAATTTTCCTAATATGTTCGAAATCCTTTTTAATTAAATATACATCTAACTATTTATGAGTTAGTATTGTTAGATACTTCCCATCAAATGAGAAAATTATATTTTGTACTGAAGAATTTTATTAGATTTATTTTATTTATTTAAAATCTTATTCTAAGTTCCATATTTAACAAGCATTTCCCTCCACACCAAGAGCTAAATATTTTCCATCTGGAGAAAAAGCAGCTGATTAAATTTTATAATCTTAACTCTTAAAAGTATTTTTAAGCTCAAATCCTTTATTGACAGTCCACACTCTGCAATCTTTATCATTTGCGTATGTAGCTAAATAAGTGTTTTAATTATAGAAATCTGCTTACTTTACAAAATTGTTATGGCTTTAGAGAATTTTAATACTTTCATAACTTTTTTCTATATTCCAAACCTGGAAAGTACCATGAATGCAAGTTGTAGCAAAATATTTGCTGTTTAACGGATTGAATACTGCTAATATAAGCGATTTGTCATGTATAATATTTATAATTTCAAAGTCTTTTTCAGAATCATAAATTATGCAACCCTCATATTCAGCCAGAGTTAATAAATATTTGCTATCCGGTGAAAAAGTTGTGGAAGATATACTAAATTTATGTTGAGATAACTATTTAATCAGATTGAATTCCTTATTTACTTTCCAAATTTTACAAATTTTATCATCAGAAACTGTGACCATGTATTTATTGTCTTTGGAAAAACATAAATCATTAATATGATTACTATGACCTTATATTTATTTTAACATATCAAAATCCTATTCTACATCAAATATAAAAAAATCTTTTTGTTTGTAAGCAGCTAAGTATTTGCTATTAGCAGAAAAACTCATTTTCATTGTCCATCCTCCATAATCCTCACTTTCATTTTCTTATTTTTTATTTATAAAAATTTATAAAACTTCAAATTACTCAAAATTCAGATTTATTTTATCAATTAAAATCATTACTCAAAAAAATAAATAAAGATATTCTAAAATATTCTATTCAAAATGTAATAAGAAAATATGACAAATGTTTTGAAATTAAAATAATTTGGGATTTCTGTTCAGAATAATCTTATTTATTTATTTATTTATTTATTTATTTATTTATTGTTTACATTATTGCCATTTTTTTAATTTATATTTGCTTGCTATTAATTAAAAATAATAAAGTATTCGATTAAGTTAAATTCTAAATGCTTATTTTTCTATTTATTTAAATGATAATTTTGAGAAACTTAAAACTTACTTTTCTATTATTTTTTTAATTAATATAAAACTTAAAATTAAGAGTTATTTGATTAATTAAATTAAATCAGTGATCTCAAATAAAACTAAAATATCCTATTTAAAAAATGAATTTAATATTTAGAATATATGATATATGTTTTCAAATAAAAATATTATGGGATTTACTGATCAAAATTATTCCTATTAATCTTATTTATATTTTAAATGCTTATTTTTCAATTTATTTAAATAATAATTTGTAAAATTCAAATTTTACCTTTAAGCTTGTCTATTATTTTTATTGAAGAAAAATTGTTGTTTGGATTCAGAATATTGAAGCTGTTATCATACAAACTTAAAACTAGGTACTTTTGATCTGGTGAAAAAGTTAAATGGATTATTTCTTAGTTTAGTTTTAAGGATTTTGTTAGCTCAAACTGTTTTGAGATATTCCATATTTTACAAAAGTTATCTATTGAGCAAGTAGCTAAATACGTACCATTTGGAGAAAAAGAGAGAGAATTAATTTTATCATCGTGTGCTTTAATTTTATGGAGTAAGCTATAAGATTTAGATGGATCCCATACTCTTAAATAAGAATCATCTGAACATGTTGCTAGATATTTACCATCAGAGGAGAATTAGATTTATCCAATTTTATTTGTGTGAGCAGAAATAAAATATTTAACTTAAAAATCATTTTAAATATCTAAGATTTAACAAACAAATAGCTATGAGCTAATGCTAAGATATTTAGAATCTCTAGAAAAATGGAAAGAGTTTATATTTTCATTGCGGTCAAGTTCGAATACTAATTCAAAATCATTTTCAACATTCCAAACTTTTGCATTATTTACCGTTAATATAACAAAGTATTTACTGTCATATGAAAATATAGAGTATTCAGGCAAAATAAAATTATCAGATTTATAATTGATCCTTTCCAACAAATCTTCATTATTAGATTTCTACCACACTTCAAATTAATTTTCATTTAAAGCAACATATAAAGTATCTTAATTATTTGAAATAATATTTTCAAAGCTAATGCTATCCAGCTTTTTCTTCAGCTAAAATGATTGAAGCTCAAATAAAAGCATATAATAATCTTAATATGAGATGATAAATTCTTTGACAAGATGATGGTTTTAACCTTCTAATTATATTTATTTGAATCCTTTAGAAATGTTTCCATAGAATGTTTATTTGTTTTCTAAATTTACTAAGTAGTTATTATTTTTATATTAAATATTTTTTATTATGTAAGGAAACTTGAAAGATTAGACGGTTTCTAAGTTAGAAGGATTTACTTCAAATAGAGACTATTAAGAATACAAAAAAAGATTATTTTCTTCAAGCACTATAGCTTTTATGCTTTAGCAACACACTTTCTTAGATCCAAGTAGAACTTGTTCTTAAATAGAAAAGCTATTAATATATCCAGATTTACTGACTGAAAATATTTTGTCTTAGTATAATATTTATCCATTAGATTGATAAACATCATCCATATCAAATTCTTTTTTGCAGGAATTTATCATGGCATTTTTTGTCAATGAGCTCTCAAAACTGCAGAGGTTTTAGTTTTCAAGATATGAATAATTAAAATTGCATTAATCGAAATTCATCCTAAAACTCTTTCGAGTTGGTAGGTAAGATTTTGAAAAAGAGCACTTTGCTATGCTCAATTCTTCAAAAGCAAATTTGCTAATGAATAGAGTAGATAGTAGATTAGAAGCTCCTCTATCTATTTCACTTACATCAGTTATTTTATTAATTGTTGATCTACGAAGATATTGAATGAATCTATTAGTTTTAGTGATATCTTTTTCACTGTAATTTTGTATGAAGGATTCGCTTTCTATTTCCTGTTTAATGAGTCTATAAAATTTAACTAAAACTTGCTACTCTGACTTATTTTTCTCTAAATTCATTACAATTTTCTTATTTATGTTAAATTAAATTAATTTTTGCATTTCCAAATTGTAAATTTCTTCTCCATGAATATCAAAATCGTATTTAAAAGCCCTAGCAACAAAGTATTCAAATAATGATTTGTGTTTAAACTCAATTATTTATGAGTATTTTCCCACTTGTTCTTCTTCACTATCATTATCCTTAACTTTAGTAATTATTTTAGAATTCACATAATTTACTATTTTTTGTTACAAGTTGCTTTAGTCTTCTTATTTGAGCATATTACAAATATTAGGCTATAAATGAAATACGATTTCCTCTTTAGTGAGCTGCAAAAAGTTAGCTTTGAAACCTTTATTGAGAAACATCTGCATGGCTACTGATTGAAAATACACAAAAAATGACTAAACTACTTCAGCTATTAACTACTTGTTTGCTTGGCTTTCTTATATTTGATCAATGAAATCAACAGCCTCTCTTTAAAACTGCTCTTAGAAAAATATTTCTTGAATTTAAATTTAGTCAGTTATGTTATGAATTATATCTGATAATTCTTCTTACTTTTTATTTATCACCATTCTTGTAAATAAGTAGAGATTAATAGGTAAGAATAGTAAGTTTTCTAGCTATTTATTATTCAAGCACATCTCCATCATACTCAAAAACTAATTTTCATTTATTTGAATTTATTGTTACTTAATGGTCTGCTTTTCAAAGAACTTCTTGCAGTACTAATCAACATCTTTTCTCATAAACTCTTACAACTTAACTATACAATAAGATGTTTCATCTCTTACCATTTAGCTATCATCTATACTAAAGTATAATTGTGCATCAGTTTCTGATAACTTTTCCATTCTTGAAGAAACAATTACCACTGTATTTTTCCATTCACTTAAATTCAGCTCATAATAAATTCTAAAATAATTTCCAGAATATTCATCATACCCATCTAGCAAGATAAGCTTGTTGTTTTTTGTCTACTTTAACAAATTTATCTACTGATTATCAAGTCCTTAACTTAAAAAATAATCATCCAGAGAGGGCTTCGAAGAATCTAAATTATTGCACTTAATCAAAAACGTAATATAATTGAGTTAACTACCCATTTTTGAGTTTTTTTCTTTCATCAGAAGAGTTTCTAGCCTTTTGAATAACATTGATTTGCCAGTTCCACCTTCAGCAAGAATACCTAAAATTTTACAGCCCTTACTAATATTTTATTTTTCTTCTATTTAATTCGATTTATTTTAGTGAGGAAGTAAGAATTAACTTATAATTAAATCTATTGCATTTTTTTTATATTTCCTTTAAACTCCATCAATATTTAAATCTTTTTGCTCAATTTTTGTGCCTTCAAATATGTTGCTACCACTCATATATGCTATATTTTAGTCTATATAGAGATCTTAAACTTCTAAAAGTATATCATCTTTTTAAGCTATGCCCTTTTCTAATCTTTATCTTGCATTCAATTCCCACTTTTCTATCATCCTGAGAGATATTTTTTCTAGAAAATCTGACTCATCTTTTATTGTTTCTTCAAGCTCATCTATTTCACTTTAGCTTATTTTATTATTTATCATTTGTTATTTTCTTATATTTTGATATTTCACTACTATACTAGCTAATCTACTAGGATTCTTCTTGACCTCTTCATTCACGGTAGATACAAAAGCTTGATTGCCTAAGAAAATTAATTTGATAGACTCATTCTTCTCAGTTAAGTACTAGTGAACAAGGTGAGTAAATAAATATTCATTTTATTGTGATCCTTTAGATGCTAAAATTTAGTAGAATAGCATTAGTATTTGATTAGAAAGAAATCTGTATGTGATATCAGTTACTGTAAATTTGAAAAAAAGCAAGAATCTCTCTGAAAAAGATTCTTATTGTTTTTCACTTTGCTATTATAAAGTCCTTAAAAATTGATTTAGCTTTTAATTAACTTCAAAGAGGTTGTTCAAGTCTATCATAAATTAACTATTGTTAATATTCTTGAGTAAAATACAGTGAATTTATATTAGCAAGTATATTATAATACGACTCGATGCTTAGATATTCTATTACTCAATAACCTGCTCAATAAAGAAAATAAGCTCATCCGATGCTTAAATTTATTGTTACTTGTAGAATCTTTAGGTTTTTAATTCTAATAATAAAGAAACTTGTTTTGCAATCGAGTATTTAGTGAAAGATCTTATTTTTTCGTGTGCTTTATCAACAACCTGCCAAACATTATCTAAATGTTCTTATTTATCTGCATCTATTAGAAAATTTTAATAGCTTTTTCCACTTTCTTAGTTTAATTAATGTTTTTCATTTATAAATAATGGGTGCTGATGTTATCCGCCATTAAGTAAACTTAATTTATAAAATTCAGCTATTATTGACACATTCTTGTAGCTTTAAGAGTTTTAATCAAATTCTAAATCGCATAAGTCATATAAAAATTAGTATAAAAACTCTAAATCCAAGCATGGAAATAGATTTATATTCTACTTAATATGACTCAAAAAGATATCAATTTTACTAATAATTTAATTTGAATCATCTTTATCGATATCAAATGCCCCACTAAAAACATATTGAAAACATAAATTAAACATTTCAATTATGAAAATTCTATACTAATTGGTTTAGACGGTAATCTATTCTTTTTTTTTATTCAAACATTTATCAAAAATGCTAATAATTTCAGTCGCATAATCCCTTTTATCCACAATTTCGCTTATGTGAAATTTGTTTGCAACATTTTTATCAAAAAATTTTTAAAATTAGATATCTATCTATAACTTTTTGTCTTCTTATTGATTTATGCTATTTTACTATTGAAAGTCCTTTAAACCTTAAGTTATATCTTGCCTACTACAGCATTAGCCTCCACCAATTATTCTCTATTTTGCCATGCTACCAAAAGAATTTTCCTTTTTACTTTCAATATATCTTATCAATTTCTTTTCGTCGTTTTTATTAAGCATATTAATCATTTTCTATCTTCTACACTATGAAAAACTAAAAATTTCAATTTTATTTTTTAAAGAAGATATAAATGATAAATCTTTTGAGACGTTATTGAACACATTTTTTTATTGTTGTTGTACAGATTGATAATTCTATTATTAAAGATTGTGAAGATTTTTTTTAGAAGGGATTAAATCTTTGACATGTTATTACTAAATAAATTTATCAATTAATGCATATAATTTGTCCTAAAATCTAAAATGAGTAATAAATTCCTTAGTTGAATGCTCTTTTTAGTTATATTTCTCAATATTTAATTTATGCTTCTGACCTTTTTTTAACAAAATTCATAGTATTAGCTATTGAATAGTTTAATATTTGTAAGCTAAAAAAAGATATATATAACAAATATTTATAATAATGATTTTTGAAATATAATTGTAAAATATATTCTAACATACTTAACATATGGCTACTCTTTTTTTAAAATATTTCGCTTATGCAGATTTAATTTTGTTAAAGATCAAGCTAAGAATGTATTATGCTATTAACAAAAGACTTAACTTCAAACTAAATATGTTATGAATGTTAGTTAAAATTCTATTAATATTTTTTTTGTTCTATAGTTTTATTATACAATTAAAAAACGGGATATTTGTTAAAAATTTAAATTAATAAAAACAATTGCATCAAATTGATTACTAAATTAAAAAATTAATAAAAAAGATATTTATTTGCGTTATTAAAAAAGATTCTATATTTTTACTACACAAAATTATGTTTATTTATTTATTTAATAATATTTTAATTGCAATAAATTAACATAAATAACAGGTGATGACAAAAATTGTAGATAAAGTAAAATCAATTAAATAAGCCATCAATCTTTTTAAAATTTATGACAATTATATTAATTATCTATCCTTAACACTTAAAGACAGACATATATAAATTAATATAGTTGGATTTTCAAATCCCATACCAATAATTTAATAAGAATTTGTTGATTTTTCAATTCATTTTTTATTTTTGCCGAAAGTAAATATGTAATTTTTAAATTTTCATTTTTAACCACTGGTTATTATTAATTTTATTGATGGAAGTTATTAATTGTAGTTTTTAAATAGTTTATATATTTTCGCTATGAATACCACACTAATGTATGCAAACCCAAGGATAATTAAATTAAAAATTGAATTATTTAATTATTTTTATAAAAAATTGTTCATTTAAAATTATTTTTTTATGATATCAAATTATTTGATTAAATAAAACTAGTTCTTATGAATAAAAATAAAATACTATTTCAGTATTGTTTACATTAACTATACTTAAGGACTTACCTTATTATTAATCGAATAAATAGGTGAAACTACTTTGAGAATTGAACTTTTTCATATAAAACTGGTAAGCAACAACAAATTAGTTTTTACATAAGTGTTAAGATTTAAAATATTAAAGGTATTTAAAGTATCTCATTTTATGAATTAGTCTTATTTAAATACTAGTCAAATACTTCCTTTTTAATTAATTTGATTTTTTAAATCTACGATTAAAAAGTGACAAACTTCAAAAAAAAATAAGAGTGATATTAAAAACAGAAAGGATAGTTATAAAAATTTATAAATAAGCAAATCAAGCTTACCTTAAAAAACCATTAAATTAATATTTTTTTAACAAATAAATATGACTAAATACGAGAGTGATTAGACGTTAGAAGAAACATCTGAGTAATGTGATTAATATACAAATAAATCTTATTAGTAGACATAGAATATAGAAGAAAGCAGAGAAGGTTTAGAATAAACATTAGATGCTGACTTGGTAAATTAAATAAATTAAGAAACTTCAGAAAATACTTATACTTAAGGCTATTCCTTTTTTTCAAGATTTCTATGGTTTCATTTATGGTAAATGGCAAAAAGGCTTTGGAATATAGAAAAGTTAGGAAGAAAAATTGAGATAGATGATATCCCTGAGTTAGAAGAACATGTAAAAGTAGAATCTAGTGTAAAAAAGATTAAAATGAGATTGAATAGTATGGATATTAAAAAAATTACATACTTGTAGTTCATCAAAATTATATGTTAAACATTTTGGAAGAACATACTTATAATAGATATTTATGCTTTCTTTGAGGTATTATCAAAGATGTTCAGTCCGTATTGTATAGCTAAAGTAATAATACTGGTAAAAGATGGTGATTAAAGTTAGGCTTATTTATGGATAGCTTTATTAATAATTACTCATTACTTTTCAATCACATTTGGTCAATAAAGTTGGACATAAACTTAAAGGACCAGTGTTTAAGTTAGGTTAGGGTTAATAAACTTACTATACGATAAGATTAGTAGTTTATCTACTTACTCTATCAAATAAGCTAATATTGGTAAGATTATTAATATGGTCTCATCAGATTTCGGAGCTATTGAATGGAGTGTTGCTTATTTATTTTAGTGTATGATTACTCCTCTGCTATTTCTGATATGTTCGTATATGCTAATTAGTAGTCTTAACTGGATAGGAATTATTGCTATCTTACTCTTAATAAGTATGATACCTTTATAATAGAAAATAGCCAAAGCAGCTGCAATTTATTCGAAAACTTAAACTTAAAAAAGAGATAAAAAAGTGAAGATTTTTGCTGAAATGATTGAAGGTAAGCAATTTTAATTTTTTCATTTATTTTAAATACTTTAAATTCATCAACATATAAAAAATAATCAATTAGTATAAATTTACTAAATTAAAAAGTTTTCAGTTTTTAAATTAAGAAAGATTTTTTATAAAACTAATAATGTATTAAATTCTTTGAAATTATACCTAATCCTCAATTTTATTTAATTTTTGTGCTTTTAAATTAATTTTGTTCATATGAAAGCACCATTTATTTTATCATACTTTTAGAAAAATTTTTATAATATAAAAAATAATACAAAAATTTGTTAATATTTTTAATTATTTTTTTTAAATACTAAAAATTTTTATGAAAAATAACCATAGGCATTAGAATAATTAAAATGTATGGATGGGAGCAAGCTTTCAATCAAGCCATTAATAAATTAAGAGAAAAAGAAGTCAAAAATACTTTATATGCATACATAATACAATATATTGAGTAAACTGTTTCATTGAATGGGACTGTATTTGTAGCTCTTATTTGTTTAATAATTTGTGAATATACCTAAAGTGTAGAAGTAAATACAGCATTAATATTTTATACTATCGAGCTTATTAATCTGATGTCTAGTATGATTATGAAATATATTGGTTAATTTATGAACTTTATTTAAGATTTTAAAATACTTTTTAGCCGCTTAATTAGTATTTTATCAATTGAAAATGTCCAAATGTAATGCATAGATATAAATTATACTAAAGATGAATTAAGCCAAAAATTAAAAGATAACACTGTCTTATTCATGGAAAAATTCACAGCTTATTGGCATTTTGAGGATTTAGATAATAAAACACCAGTTTTGAAAGACATAAATTTTGATGTGATTAAAGGAGAAACTATTTCTATTATTGGTTAGATAGGCAGTGGAAAAAGTTCTTTTTTATATGCTGTTATGAAAGAAATTCCTCGATACAAAGGTTTATTCTTTTCAACTAATAAAATTTCTTATGTTGAATAAGAACCATATATCTTTTAAGGAACAGTTAGAGATAATATTTTATTTGGCAAACCATTTAGATAGAACTTTTATAATGAAGTAATAAAAGCTTGTTGTTTATTAGACGATTTAAATATCTTAAGTAAAGGAGATTAAACACTAATAGGTATTTAAATTACATTAATTTAATGGAAGAAGATAATTTATTTTTTTATTTATAATAGGAGAAAAAGGTGCTAATTTAAGTGGTGGGCAGAGGGCAAGACTCTGTTTAGCTAGAGCAGTTTATGCTGATAATGACTTGTATTTGCTTGATGATCCTCTTTCTGCTGTAGACTCGAAAGTTGCTAAATAGATATTTAACAATATTATCAACGGTTTACTTAAGGATAAAGCTGTTATACTTGTTACTCATTAATTAAATTATGCATTAAGGTGCTAAAGGATAGCTGTTTTTGACTAAGGTACTATAATTTTATAAGGAAATCCAAATGAAATGAATTTCAAAGATAGTGTTTTAGCCTCATTTATCAAAGAATAACAATAAGATGAGGAAGAATAGGTATAAATTAGTAACGATTAAACTGATATGAATGTTAAAAAAATAAGTAGTGAAACAAATACTAACAATTCAACAAATGAAGTAGAAGACTAAAAAACAATTAACTAAATTTAAAAGTCTTAAAATGATAATTAAACTGCAGAAACATAATTATTAAAATCTTAATCTGTGCCTTTACAGAACTCTTTATTCACTGTTTGTTAGAATTAAAAAGATTAAGAATTTTAAGTCACTTTTGAATCATTTGTAAAGTTCCTAAAAGCAAGTCCATAAAGATGGTTTTTGATGGTTGTATTTTTAGCTTTTGGAGTTTAGGAAGCTTTGTTTACTATTTTTTATAAGTTCTTAGCTTTGTACGAAACTGGGATTTCACTTGAGTCATTTTATAGTTTAGCAATTCTTATTTACACTGCATTTTTTATCTTTAAATTTATACAAAATGCCATTTTATCTCATTTTATACTGAAGACAAATTAAAGCATTACTTAGAAAATGATAACAAGCATTTCATAAGCTAAGCCAATAATATTTGATGAAATGCCTTCTGGCATAATAATCAATAAATTCACAACAGATATAAATATCTTAGATAGGTAGCTTCCATCAGAAGCATATGTCACTATTGAAGGTATATTTCACTTTTCAGTCATCATGATAACTATTATCTTTACTAATTATGTAATTTTAATTCATATTTTAGCTTTCTATTTCTCATAATTTTTCTATAAAAATAGCTTGTTCTGATACCAATTATTTTAGAAATTTGGATATTTGTTAAAATTTTTAAGAGATTTAAATCTTTATTGATGAGAACGAAGTAATTAGATCTAGAGAACAAAGCACCAATCTTCTAATTCTTTTCTAGTTCGCTAAACGGAGTTTTAGTGATTAATGTCTACAATCAAAACAAAGTATTTAATTAAAGGATGACTACTTTAATGAATAATAGCATTAGAACCTACGATATTTTCTTTTTCATTTCTAGACTATTTAGCATTTTAATTTAATATGTTTGTCTCATTGGTTCTGGAATAGGAATAACTTTGGTATTAGCTTTTAATGACACTGACTTTGGCTTATTTGGATAAACTGTTACATTTTTTATAATTCTTCTAAATTTTTTCCATCTTACTTTGAGAGCTATTATTAATTTAGATACTTTTATGATAAGTAGTGAAAGAGCTTTTTCCGTTATTGATTTGGAATCAGAGAAAATCAACATAAATGATGAATAATTCCAACTAAATTAATTAAAAAATGAAGAAAGATAGAATAGAGTATAGAAATAAAAGATAAATAGTGTTATCGTAGGTGATAGTTAAACAACTATTTAAATTGAAGAGATGTAAGAATCTAATTCTTAAATCCAATTATCAGAAACCTAATAAGTATGGCCAAATAAAGGCGAGCTAATTTTTGATAAAGTTTATATGAAATACAAAGAAGATTTAGATCATGTGTTAAAGGGTGTTTGTTTCCATGCTTTACCTAAAGAAAGAGTCGCTATAGTTGGAAGAACAGGGGCAGGAAAATCTTCAATTATTTAATCCTTGTTTAGAATGTCTGAAATCGATACAAGCTCAAAAGAAGGACTCTCTCGTATTATTTATGATGAAAAAGATGTTAAAGATATTTCTTTATAGTAATTGAGAAGAAATATTGGAATAATTCCTTAAACTCCATTTGTTTTTAGTGGATCTATTTATCATAACATTGATCCTCTTGAAGAATACAGCGAGCAGGAAATTATTTAAGTCTTATAGAAGACAAGCTTATATGATGTTATAAGTAAGCTACCTAAAGGGATACATACTGATATGAGTGATTCATCATCTGTCTTTTCTATGGGTTAAAAATAATTAGTATGCCTAGCAAGAGTAATGCTCAGAAACAATAAGCTAATAGTTTTAGATGAAGCAACTGCTAATGTTGACATGAATACAGATTAAAAAATTTAATCGCTATTGAAGTCGATGTTTTCAAATACGACTATCATAACTATTGCTCATAGGCTCAATACAGTAGCAGACTATGATAAAATTATTGTGCTGGATAAAGGATAAGTAATTGAAGTAGGAACACCATTTGAGTTATTGGCTCTGTCTGAAAATGATTCAATTATAACTAAGAAAAATACTCTATTTTCCTAAATGGTTCTTCACACAGGGCCGAAAAATGCCGATAAGATCTTTTAAATTTCTAAATAAACTCATTTTAATAAAAAAAATAATTGATAAACTAATTAATAAAAAAATAAAAATATTTATTTTTAAATTTTTATTGTATGAAATTGTTAATTAGTATTTTATTGAATTAAATTTAAATTTATGTAATTAAGATAAAAACAATGAGGAGTAATTTGTCAGATTTTAATATATCTATAACTTACAAATCTTTCTAAAATTTTATTTTAAACATTTGCTTATTTAATGTTTTTAATAAAAGATAATAAATAATTCAAAAAATAAATAGATAAGAATTTTATAATAAATGGGTAAAGAGATAATAGCTCAAAAATATTTAACAATTTGTAATCAAATTTTAGATTAATTCATACTTTTTCTTTATATTTACTTTCTTTTTGTTTCTATTCACAAATGTAAAAAGCTTTAAGAGATTAGTCCCTTTTTAATTTACAAATATTTCGTAAAATATTCCTTTTTTTCTAAAGTTTTAGAAGTAAGTAAGATATTTCTAAAGCAAAAGAATGGTAAAAAGAAAGTGTTTGTTTTCTTATTTTTTATTGTTTAGTAATTTGATGTTATTCAGTTTTAATGCTTGAATTGAGTAAAGAATAATATTTTTTAAAGTTTGAGAAACATGCTTCAAAGAAAAGGCTTTTAATGCATCACTTAAGACATATAGTCAATATATTAATCAAAGGGTTTGATAATTAATTACTATATTATTCTTAGATGAATAAATCTGAATTTTATGGATATTTTTATTATTTAGATTATTTATTATTTTGGATGATCAAAATTTATTTAGTATAATTATTATATTTTTAAGGTTTATAAATTTTAGTTTCCAGAAATATATTTCTAAACTGTAAACAATAAAAAAGAAAATTAATTACTTTTTTGATAGAAGTTTTAATCTGAAGTTGCGACTAAATTATTACAATTTTAGGTTGACGCTTTTTAAAAATGAGTAGCACGAAAGCTAATTCTGAAAGAAATTCATTAGATATAGAGAATTCATTTTAAATTAGCCATGAAAAAGGAAGTAAGAATAGTTTTAAAAGTAGATTGCAATCTAACCTTTTAATGAATGACGATGACTAATTCTAAGATGATGAATAATATAATAGATAGAACACTTATTCTTAAGGATATTCTTTTCCAATGAGAGTGCTTTGGTTCCATTTTTATAGTATTTTAAAAAAGCTAAAATAAGTTGAAAGCTTTGGAAGGAAATTTTAAATTGATGATCTACCCTAATTAGAGAATCATGTCAAAGTAGAAACTACTAATAAACTTCTTAAAGGATAGATTGAACATTTAGATCCATAAAAAGTTAGCTAGTATAGCTTTTTATGGATTTTAGGAAAGACATTTAAGAAAGATGTGTTTGGTATATTAGGCTATGTCTTCTTAGAAGGGTTATCTAAAATATTTAGCCCTTTATGCACAGCTTAAATTATAACTTGTGTAAAGAATCAAGAAGTGTATCTTGCTTTGGTTTGGGTTTTATGTTTAGTCTTTGCGAATTTCTTTGGTACTACTTTTGGATAGAATAGTTGGACTAAGGCTTAGAGACTTAGTGTATAGCTAAGATTGGGTTTAGTCAATATACTCTATGACAAAGTTTCAAACCTTTCTGCTTATTCAGTTAAAAAAGCTAATGTGGGTAAAATAATAAATATGATATCATCTGATTTTAGTTCCTTTGAAAATAATGGAGTGTATATTTTCCACTGCATTTTGTCTCCCTTTTTACTTGTTTTAGCAAGCTGGATTCTCATATCTAGATTAGGATTTGCAGGGGTAATTTCAATTATTTTGTTAGTCCTACTCTTCCCTTTGCAAAAGACAATAGCATAAAGAGCATCGAATTACACAAAACTTTAAACTAAAGAGAGAGATTAGAAAGTAAAAATCTTTTCTGAAATGATACAAGGAATCAGAATAATAAAAATGTATGGATGGGAGAAAGCATTTAACTCTATAATAAATAGCTACCGCAATAAAGAAATTGTATTTACATAAATCAACTAATTGTATGTTTATTTGGAGTAGGTTATTTCTTTAAATGGTCCTCTTTTTGTAGCTTTATTCTGCTTCCTGCTTGTTGATATTTTCTCAGAAAACAAATTAGATACTGCTATTATATTTTCTACAATAGAGCTAATTAATTTAGTTTCTGTTAATATTATGAGAAATATAGGTTATGGATTGAACTTCATATTTGATTTCAAAGTTTTAGTATAGCGCTATATGAGCATTATGTCTATAGAAAATGTATAAATGAAATCAATAGATTCAAATTAAACCGCTAACTCTCATCCATCAGGTAATACTTTAGTTCTAATGAAAGACTTTTATGCTTATTGGGCAACTGAAAATTTGGATTCGAAACCACCTGTACTATCATAAATAAACTTTTAAATTACAAAAGGAGAAACAATATCTTTTATTGGTCAAATAGGTAGCGGAAAAACTTCTATTTTATATGCTATAATGAAGGAAATTCCTCGCTACAAAGGATAATTTTTTTCAACATCTAATTTAGCTTATGTAGAACAAGAACCTTATATTCTTTAAGGTACTGTACGTGATAATATTCTCTTTGGAAAAACTTACGATGAAGATTTTTATTAGTAAGTTGTTAGTGCATGCTGTCTCTAAGATGATTTCATTCAATTTGACAAAGGAGACTTAACAATTATTGGTAAATTATTACTTTGTATCTTTTGCTTACACTTTACACTTTACATTTGCTAATTATGAATATTTTTAATTAATCAAAAAGTTATTCAATCAAATTATTAATTTTTTAAAAGGTGAGAGAGGAGCAAATTTAAGTGGTGGGCAAAAAGCTAGAGTTTGCTTAGCTAGAGCTGTGTATGCAAATACAGATTTATATTTGCTTGATGATCCTCTATCTGCAGTAGATTCTAAAGTGGCAAAGAAGATATTCAGCAATGTAATTAATGGTTTGCTAAAAGACAAAGCTGTGATTTTAGTAACACACTAGCTTAATTATGCTTTGAAGTGTTAGAGAATAGCAGTTTTTGACAACGGATAAATTATTTTGCAAGGAAAACCTAAAGAAATAGATTTTACTAGCAGTGTCCTTTCTAAATTTATTGAATAGTCTCACAGTAAAGATGAAGAAACTGAAGATCCTAGTGAAGTATCTGCTAACTAAAGTGATGATCAAACAAAGGATTAAATTGACGAACTGATTGATACTGATAAAAATAAACATATTTAATAAAATTAAAATAAAGAAATAACAATCTAAGCTTCATAAAGTAAGGCAGAAAACTCAATTCTTAGTGATCAAAATAAAAAAGAAGAAGAATTCCCTGTGACTGTTAGTACATACATATAATTTATCAAAATGCATCCAAAATCGGCTTTGTTTTTCTTAGTTCTTACAATATTTATTTTGCATGAAGTCCTATTCACAACTTTCTACAAAATTTTATCAACCTACGACATTAACGAAAAAAGTTCATTTTATTTCATGGTATTTGCATGTCTCTTAACACTTATTACATTTAAATATCTTTAAAACTCTTCATCTTCTATTTTTATTTTGGGAACGACCAAAAATATGTCACAAAAAATGACCACTTCATTATGCTAAGCAAAGCCCATACTATTTGATGAAATTCCTTCTGGATCAATCATAAACAAATACTCTAATGATGTAAACATACTTGACAAATCACTACCAGATGCTGCTGCTTCAACGATGGATGGCGTTTTACACTTTATCAACCTTTTATTTTCTGTTATTTACTTCAATCACGTAATTCATTAATTATTAATTATTATTTGAAATCATATTATAATAAAAATTAAAATAAAAAAACTTAGTTCTTTGTTATTCCTGGTGTCATCGAAGTTTATTTATTCTATAAATGGTTTATGTACATCAAATCGGTTTTGATGAGAGCAAAGCAACTTGATTTAGAAAATAAAACACCTGTTTTCTAATTTTTCTAAAGCTCTTTAAGTGGTTTGCTCATTATAAATATTTATGGGTAAAAGGAGTCATTTAAAAATAGAATGGCTACCCTAATGAATAACAGTATTAGAACTTATGATGTATTTTGGTTTATATCTAGATTATTTAGTGTTTATATGCAATATACAGCTCTTTTAACATCAGCCTTAGGGATAGTGATAGTTCTTCTATGGTCAAATTAAACTTATGGGTAATTCAGTTAAACATTTGCATTTTTGATGCTTTTAACTAACTTTTTGCATTTAACTCTGCGTTCATTTATCAATATGGATACTTTTATGACTAGCAGCGAACGTGCATAGTCAATCATAAAGCTCCCAAAAGAAAAAATAGAAGTTAGCGAAGTAGAATGCTAATAATAATAAGAGTCCTCAAATTCAATAAAAAATTCATACTAAAATTATAATTTAGTTCAAACAAACATAGATCAAGATACGGTAATAATAGATATAAGCAAGTAAGGAAATATCAATAACAGTAATTTATGGCCATAAAAAGGAGAGGTAAAATTTGAAAAGGTATACATGAAATACAAACAAGAACTCAACCATGTTTTAAAGGGTGTTAGTTTTGAAGTTAATCCTCTCGAAAGAGTTGCTATAGTAGGAAGAACAGGAGCTGGAAAATCATCAATTATCTAGTCTCTTTTCCGTATGAGCGAAATTGATTACTCATCAAGCGAAGGTTAATCTAGAATATTATATGATAGTCAAGATATAAAAGACATTAGCTTACATTAGCTTAGAAAAAAAATTAGCATTATACCATAGACTCCTTTTGTTTTCAGTGGTTCGATTCGTCAAAATATAGATCCTTTAAATGAATTTAGTAATGAAGAAATAATATGTGTTTTGAAAGAGACAGGTTTATATGAATTAGTTTAAAAGCTTCCTAATAGTATTAATACTGATATGAGCGATGCTTCTTCAGTTTTTTCTATGGGCTAAAAACAATTAGTTTGCTTAGCAAGAGTAATGCTTAGGAAGAATAAATTAATGATATTAGATGAAGCTACATCTAGTGTGGATATGGAAACTGATTAAAAAATACAGTAATTACTCAAAGAAAAATTCTCTGATACATCAATCATTACTATTGCACATAGACTCAACACAATAGCAGATTATGATAAAGTTATTGTCTTAGAATAAGGAAAAGTAATATAAGTCGGGTCTTGCTTTGAGCTTTTAGCATTAAACGAAAACGATGAATAAATTACAAACAAAGAAAGTGCTTTTGCATAAATGGTACTCCATACAGGACCAAAGAATGCAGAATAAATATTTGAAATAAGCAAAACATCTTATTTAAACAAAAAGAAAAGTGTTTGATTAAATAAATAAATTATGCTTTTTAAAAATCATTAAATTATTTATTTATTCTTTTTAGTTTTTCATGATTTAAAAAAAGTTTGTTTGAATTTTAAAAAATTTTAAGAATTTTTTATTAGAGTTAAATTTTAAAAAATAAAAATTTTTATATTTAAGTGAAGATATATTTTAGTTTAATAATTTGTATTTAAGTGAAGATAAATTTTAGTTTAATCATTTATTTTTAATTAAGAAATAAAAATAAATTATTTTAAGAATTATGTCTAAAGTTAAAATATTTATTTTTTTTTATAGAACTAAACTTTGATAACTTTTTGAGATTAAATAAGAAAAAATCTTAGATCAATTCCAGAATAAATAAATATTGAAGGATACTATTTAATCTTTATTTAGAACTAATTTAGTTTTCTATTTATCAATTTTTACTTTCTTTAAGAAAGTATTCTTATCAATTTTGATGTTAAATTTATTGAATTGAATAATTAAGGTCAATTTTAATAAAATTCCTGTAATAAATTTTTTAATATCCTGATTAAATATTATTAGGAAATAGTAAAAAACAAAATCTAATCTGTGAAATAATATTAAATTTGATTTGATTTGACTTTCTCAAACTTTTTTTTCTAGAATATCATAATAAATAATTTTCATTTTTTCAAATATTTTTAATTATTTTTTTGTAATTTAAAAGCAAGACATTTTGATAGATAATATTTTTAAGTTAACAAACAAATTAAAAAAAAAATAATAATAAAATAAAATAAGATATGGCTACTCTTGGTTATTGGGATATTAGAGGTTTGGCTGAACCAATACGTCTTTTGCTTTCTTATTTGAAAGTCCCTTATACCGATAAATTGTACTAATTCGATAACAGTGAATGGGTTGAATAAGATAAACAAAATTTTGATCATAGCTTTCCTAACTTACCTTACTACATTGATGGAGATATTAAGATAGTTTAATCATCAGCTATACCTATATACATCATCAAAAAAAATAACAGATACGATTTAATTGGCTAAAATATTGACGGAACCTTTAATTAAAGAGAGATTAAAGTGATTGAAATGGTTGGGGTAGTTAATGATATTAGAACTTAAATTATTAGACTTTGCTTTAATCCTGAATTTAAAAAATTGAGAGAAAATTATTTTGCAACTAACATTTCGGGATTGTTGAATGTAATTTAGTAATTGACAATATTTTTTAATTAATTTTAATTTTATTAATAGAAAGTTGTAGAGTTTTTAGGACAAAAAGAATTCCTCCTTGACACCCTAACATATGCTGACTTTATTTTCTATGATACAATAATACTTCTTTCTTATCTATATCCTTAATCTTAATGCAAAGCATTAACTGACTACGCCAAAAGATTTGAAAACATCGACGGAATTAAGTAGTATGTAGAGACTCCTCACTCATATGATAAATTATTCTTTCACAAAACCTATGCAAGTTGGTCAGGTCCTAATTCTGATTAATTTTGATTTTTTTTACTTAATTTTATATGGCTTTTTTTATTTTTTATATTAGTAATAATATTATTTAGATTATAATTTAAAACCTTTAAATTTTAAATTTTTATTTTTATTTAACTGTTAATTTTAATATTAATTGATTTAGCTAATCAATGTTTTATTTTTTTCTATTTCTTTACAAATTATTCTTACACTGATAAATTAAGACTGTGCAAATATTGAAAGCAATCTTCTTTTTTATTAAATCTATTTCATTAAATTAATTTTACAATTTTTAAATAAATAAGTTTTAAAAGAAAACAAAATATATTTTTTTAATTTTTAAAAATGTTTAAAAAATAGAAATAATTTTTATTTGTTTTTAATATCTTTTTAAGCTTAAAAGTAAAATCTAATAATTGTTTTAACAAAAAAAAATTTATTTTAAATAAATGTCTATCATTTTATAAATAGAAGAAAAATTTTGTTAAAATATCAAAGTCAATTTTGAATTTCTTATTAAAAACAATTTATTCATAAATAGGATGAAAAACATTTAATTTAGAAATTTTATTCTTTTATTCAAATGTTTGTTAGATTTATTTAATTTTATGATTTATTTTTGTTTTAAAATTTTAATAAGTTAATAAAAAATTCAGAAGTTTCTGGATTTAATTAAATAAATGTTCAAATTCAAATTTTTACAAACAAAATTCTTAGTAAATTAATTAGTAATCTATATTTTTAAAAAATTTTTTTTGAAGTAGTAAAGTTGTTTTCTTGTAAACTTTCTAACAAAAGTTGATTTTTAAATTGATTTTAATCATATAATTAAGCGCATTTTGATTTATATTTCATGTTTCTTTAGATTGATTAACTATGTTTAAAAGCTAATGCTACTTTATTTGAATAATAATAAAACGTTTTAAATACTAGTTATCAAATAAATAAAAACTTACATTTTAACTTATTAGCTTTTTGTTTATTTGTTTATTAATTAAATTTACAGGAATATTTTTAAAAAATTCTTGCAATTTTCATGTGAACATTCAACCAGTCTTAATTAAAATGTAAATAAAAATATATCTGTCTCTTTCTGATATATTCTATAAAAAATTAAACTTTAAACCCTGGATATAGATAGATCTGATTGTAAGAAGACTCTCATTTTACAAAATCGACATATTTCTAAAATTCAGTTAATTTTAAATATTTTATATCGCTATTATCTTAAATGTTGTATTTAAACTTTAAATATTAATAATAACTATTAGAATTATATATCAAAGCAATTTAATATAAAATAATTTATTTTCTAACAAGCTAAATTGTATTCAAACTCAAAAATTTCTGTAAAATATTAAAGAAAATAGTTTTTTCATAATAGAAATATATTTTTTGATAATATTTATTTGCTAGAAACTCGAGTTGATAAGTTATAATTTTAAAACATATTTGAGATTTATTTAAAGTCTTCATAATAAAAATAAATTCTATTTTTGAAGTTTATTTGATTTTTTGATTTTAAATAATGTCGAGCTAGGTATCTATTTTTAAATTTAACCCTACACATCTGTGTTTATCAAGTTTTTTTGAACTCCAAAATGATATTTTAATCAGATTTAAAATACTTTCTTTCAATCAGATTTAGCTTTTAATATTTCCATTTATTTTTGATAGTATTTCACCTAATTAAAATTTTTGTGAATATTAATTGATAAAAAAATTTATTTTTAGGATAAAATTAAAATAGAACTTGAAAGTCGACCAACATTATTGAAAGGATTTTTAAAATTGATGAATAGAGGTATCATAATTATAGAAGAATAAAATATTATTAGAAAGTATCTAAATTCATTTTTAAAATGTTTGATTTTTTATTATATTAGATTGAATGTAATGCTCTACATATTTTTAGGGTTTTTAGAATATTAAAAGGTTCGCTTTATTTTGGTAATAAAATTAAAATATTCATAACAAAAGAGAAAATAAAATTAAAAGTTATTTCTAATTTAAATTGTTTTTTTTTATATGTAAATGAGAAATCTCTATAATTTTCTAATATATAATGAATAAAAGTGTTTACTTTCAGCTGCAAGTATAATTTTTGATAGATTTGCGAAAGCACAAAAGCCGTCTTTTGTCGCTCACAATTAATAAAAAGAGCATATTAAAAATAAATTTTTCTTATATTTTTCTTAGAATATTAGACACATTAGAAGATTAGAAAAAATAAAAAGTTTCTTTAATTATTCCTGTAATTTCTTTTACACTTTATAAATTACGACCACTTATTAGCTGAAAGTACTTTTTTTTTTAGTATAGAGAGCCAGATTACATAAAATTTGAAGTAGACGTGATTTAATTAGGAAAAAAATCAAGAAAACTTCTCAAAGTGGGAATTATATTTAAATTTTGAATGTATAGCCTTCTAAATTAATAATTTAATTAATCTGATAACAAACAAATAAAATAAGAAACAAAAGTAAATGGTTTCTTTAAATTTTAGATTCAAAAAATGAAATTGAAAATAAGATTTAAGCAAGATATCAGCTTTGTCAAATATTATTCATTCTAAAGATACAGCAATCAATGCAAATTTTAACAATGTTAAAACTATCTTAAACACTAATGCCAGCAGGATTTTCTTGATTTGCTTTTATATTATGTTAAAATAAAAAAAGGCTTATCTTGAATTATCATGCTAACTTTTTGCTAACTACAAAAAATCATATTTAATGCTTCATCTCTGTTAATAATCTCTTAAAATAATTTTGCTCGAAATGAAGATAATCAATTATTTATTACTATTCCTGACTCTAAGATTCTTTTCCATTAAGGCAAATTTATCTTATAAAATAAGGGAGTTAATAAATATACAAACACACTTTATAAAACATCTAAATGATATTCAGCGATAATAAATAGCTTTGCTCTTATCATCATATTGAAAAGAATTTACGTTCTATCAATATGAATTGTGTATGAATAGAAAAAAGAATAGCTGGAAGAATTAAAGTATATACATGGACTTTTGTATGCTATCTGTTCATTAAGATCTTTAGCAAATATAAAATTAATTTGGCTAAAGAACTACAAAAACCAATAAAATAAATAAGGCTCACAAATAATCAAACAACATAATATACAAAATCGTGTATCAAACTTAGTCTTCTAAAGCTTATTCGTTTCTATAAATTGCGCAAAAATTAAGATATTAGCTACAATTATTATTCAATGAATATAAAATAACTTTTATTTCAATAATAGTTCACACTATTTGTTAATAACCACCAACAAATCTATCAAATAATTAATCATATTCACATTCAAGTTATATAAAAACAATCTATTAAAAAATATATTTATAAAAACCTCAACTAACTAACTAATTAACTACTTAACTAATACTATATTAATTAATAAATTATTTATTTGTAAATACATTCATTTACTTTATGTACATATTTCAACTTAACAAATTTTTAAAATAATCATCAACTATATTTCACATTCATCTCAATACATTCATTCATTTATTCTTTCTTTCTTTTAAATTTCTTTTACTCTTTGTTTACGTGTTTTTTTGATTTTTTTACCTGTCTTTTAGCTCATCAGATGTAAGTAATATTGTTTGTTTTTAATTCCTTAAAAAATCTATGTAAACTTTTTAATTTTTTTACTAACTTCTGATGAATTACATTCTCTAAAAATTAAAATTTTCTTTTCAGATTCGCATGAGAAAATTAATTTGTTTGAATTTTATTTGGTAATGCGCTTTTTAAATCGATTTCTGTGTTTATATCTTAACACGAATAAATTAATATCCCCCTCAGTTAAAATCAAAATACATCTCACAAATTAATTAATAAATAAAATCAAAACACGTGAAATCATCTTGAAAGAAAAAAGTACAAAAAGTATTTAAATTTTTTGAATTCAGAATTGTCATCTTGGCATTCTCTCATTAACACGTATTAGCAGGAAATAACTAATTCTAAATACCATAAAAGAAAATGGAAAAAATAACATTTTGTGTGTATTTTGTCTGAGTGAAGAGAATAAATTTATTAGCTAACTTATTGAGAAATTAAAAAATGTAAATTGAATGTCAAATAAGTTTTTTTAATATAATGTTTGAATAATTAAACTGATAATCAAAGTAATTTCAAGAATTAAGTTTTTTAAAACTAAATACTAAGTATATTTAATTAATATTAACAATATCTGTTTTTAAAAATAATATTTGTCAATTAATAATTTTTATATCTTTAAATTAAAATCTAAATATTTTATAAAAAATAATTATTTTAAAATAAATTATTTAAAATGAATTATTAAATTTATTTCCTAATTATTATTTAATATTTTTTTTTCAATTAAATATTTCAAATTAATTTAATAAAAACGTTTTAAAAATTAATTTAATTTTGTTATTTTTCTTTTAAAATAATACAGTTTGAATAAATATAGTTTGAGACATATTTGACTTTATATTTTTATAATAAGAATTTTCTTTGGGAAAGAGTTAGTCATTTTATATTTCTTAATTTTTAGAGTTTATCAGAAAATTTTCTGATTTTAATCTTGATTTAGAGCGTATTTTGGTTAATTTTGAATTTAATTTTTTAAAAAATATTCGCTAAACAAATAAATTATTTATCTTGCTTATTAATATAAGATATTTTTGATTTAATTTAGTTTTAATTAGATAGATAGATAAGAGACAGGCAATACGTATTTCCTAAAAACAAAATATAATTCAAAAAATAAAAAAAGATTTAGATAAGTTATTTAGGTGAAAATGTAGGGCACTTTTGGATATTGGTGGGTTAGAGGAAGCGCACAACCAATTCGTTTCTTATTGGCATATTTAAAGATAGAACATAATTCTAAAATATACACTAACTTTGATGACTGGTTTGCTATAGATAAACAAAATCTTGGTCTAGATTTACCTAATATCCCTTTCTGGATAGACAAGGATGTTAAACTTACAGAGTCAGCAGCTATACCTGTTTATTTAATAAAAAAATGCAACAGACATGACCTTTTAGGCTAAAATAGAGATGGTTCTTTCAACTATAAAGAAGTATAAGTATAGCAACTTTTAGGTTATTTTAGAGACGTCAACAGAGAGTTTACTTCAAATATATGCCCAAATAAGGATTTTGAAAATATTAAAGACAAATTACTCAATGAAAAAATGCAAAACATGCTTGATGTATTTAAAGCTTTTTTTAAAAAAAATATAATAAATTATTTATTTATTTTAAAGAAAATAGTAAAGATCCGTGGAAATCAATAATACCTACTAGGAGAAATTACGTATGCTGATTTTGTATTTTATGAAATATTAAATTACTACAAATATATATATCCACAAACCATAAATAAATCATTATAAGACTATATTAATAATTTCGAAAGTTTACCAGGCATTAAAGAGTATTTGTTGCTTCCTGATATTGACCTAAAACAATTTTTACCTTCTCAATTTTACACTTGGTCAGGTCCCTAATGACGAATAATAAAACGAATATTTATTTGTTTATTTATAAAAATAGTTAATTTATTAAATTATTTTGTTTACTTTATAAAATCTACATGTTTTTTAAAATATTTAATTTATTTACTAAAACAATTTTGGTAAGTATTAAAATAAATATTCATAATATCTACTAAAATATAAATAATTTATTACAAAAATAAACATTTGGTTGTCTATTTATTTTGTCAAGCAAATTAATTTTACATATCTTTTACAATATTTAAGATTTGTGTTTTTATGAATGATATTAATCAAATTATCTTTTAATATAACAAACAAATCTTTTAAATTAAATTGAATATCTAATCAAAATATTATCAATCAAACTCAAAAAATCAAAGATCTAAAAAATGTCTGAAGATAAGTTGATATTAGGTTATTGGCCATTTAGGGGTGTTGCTTAAACAATTAGATACCTTCTTGAATACTTGGAAGTTCCATACGAACAAAAAAGTTATATGACTTATGAAGAGTGGTTTGGAAAAGACAAAAAAGAATTAGGTGCTGATTTTCCTAATTTGCCCTACATTAAATAAGGAGATTTTATTTTAACAGAATCTTACGCAATAATTATATATCTATGTAAGAAATATAATAGATTAGATTTGTTAGGTGCAGATAAAAATGACTTAATTAGAGAGACTAAAGTTCATTAAGTAGCATCAGCCATCAAAGACACTGGAAAAACTATTGGTGATTTGTGTTTTAATCCTAAGTTCCATAGCGTTAAAGATGAGGTTTACACTCAAAAACTTTCATAAATGTTAAAAGTAAAAATATTTATAATATTTATAAGTTAATTAACTGAATTTTAAAATAGAAAACCACTGATTTTTTGGGTGATAAACAATTTTTGTTAGGAGAATTAACTATCACTGATTTTATGTTTTATGAGTAGCTATAATACTTCAAAAATATCTTCCCTGAAAGTATAACTCCTTAGTTATAGTAATTCATTGAAAGAATAGAAAACATTCCTAAAATTAAAGAATTTTTAAATTCAGATAGAATTTTCAAAAAATAATTTCTTCCTCCTACCTTTGCAACTTGGTCAGGTATTGAGTGATTTAGTAAAAATAAATAAAAATTATAAGGTTATAATCATTAAATTTATGTTCGTAAGTTAATTAATATATTTACCACAAGTTTAGAAGCAATTTCTTAAATAAATCTTAATAATTATCATAATTTTTTGATATTTGATAAAAATCTTAAAATTTTTATTTTTAATAAGAATATCTTTTTTAAATATTTTTTTTCTTTGATTAAATAAATGATTTTAGGCTAATTATTTATCTGTAAAAAATTTACAGAAAAAATAAAACTATTTTCATTCAAGTTTAATTACAAAAGAGATATTAAAAATACTAAAATTTAATTTAAATTTTTTATTTATTAAAAATTACTAAAAAATAATTAAAATTTTCTATTTTTGAACAAAAATTCGAGACAAAATATTATTAGAATATTTAATTGATTTTGTGTACATTTTTATTGAAATTATAATTTCCTAAATATTACCTTTTTTCATAAGATTAATTTTTTAATATATTTTTATTCATTTTTTTACACAGCTCTTTTTTCAAATATTAATTTTGTTTTTTATAAAAGGATTTAAATTATTGATAAAAATTAACTATTTCTTTTTCAATATTTATCTTTATTTTGATATCAATTCAATTCATGTTTACTTTTTTAAGAAAAATAGCAGCTTTTTTTATTCTTTTTTCTAATATTTTTCATCTTTATATTTTTATAGAATGAAAATATTATCTTCTCTATCAACGATTTTATATTTTTTAGCAAATTTTTAAAAAACTTTTTCTAATAATTTTTTATTTATTAAAATCTTTCATAAATTTATTTTTCAATATTATATTTTAATTGAATTTGTTTTCTTAATTTTCAAAAGAATCTTAAATATTATTTTTAATTATTAGCTTTATATAAAATAGTAATCAAATAAACAATTGATAATGAAATTTTGAGTTTAAAAATTTATTATAAATTATTAAAAAGTATTCAATTGTAGAATTTGTATAATCATTTAAAATATTTGTAATTAATTTATTAAAGGATTTTAAGATCATAATAAAAAATGAATTAAATTTTTAAAATATTTATTTTTATTTTTGATTTAGCTATCCATACAAACAAACAAATATAAACGTTTTTGGTGATAAAGTGATTATTAAATTGGTTGGATGGCAAAAATTTCATTAAATTTATACAAGAATCGATATTCAAGCAAAAAATAAATAAATGATTAAGATTATTATAAAAATGAAAATATAAATTAAGGTATTTTGGTTTTTTATTAATAAGCAATTGAGCTCGTTAAGAAATTAGTAATTTAGTTGTTAGGAATCAATCAATCAATAAAGAATTAAGTAAAGAAAAATACAATTAATTTAATAAATTTTACACAAATACCTTTAATAATTAATTAATTTTATAATTATACTATATTGGATGATTGTAAGTTTGACTTAGATTTCATAAAAGATTATAATTAAATAATATTTTGTGTGAATTCAATTAATATATAACTATTAGCAGGTAGTTTAAATCAATAGAAGTAAGATAGATATATACTAAACTAAGTAAGGAATATCCAATAATTTATACTTAGTAGTTGAAGAAACTCTGGAAAGTATACTGTAATTATAATTGAGTTATGAAAGAAGCTGTAAAATTTCCAGAGATTAGTAGCAGAAAAAATTCATCAATAACTTCAACTCAATAATAATTTGCTGCTATTATTTAGTTACAGCAAAATCAAACTTAGCAATATTCTAACACTATTATAAATAGCAAATCTAGCAATATAGGGGAACAAAAAGAATAAATGAATACTTCAACTAATACCACAGTAGATCTCAAGTACGACTAATCATAAGTCTATTAATGGGAAGAAAATTAAAAAAAAAAGTCCTCTAATTTTCACAATATCAGCTATATCAAAAGTTATAATGACTCTGAGCCTGAAAGACCCAAGCAATTATTTGTGCAAAGAACTCATGTAGATGGAAAAGTTGTAGGAGAATAATTAATTTAACAGAAAGGTATAAAATATGTATTAAATTTAATTTAAATTCGTTTAAGTATTTGCGAATTCTATTAAAAAAACAGACAGTCATTTGATTGATGTTAAAAGATTAATTTTGTGTTGTAAAAATTAGGTGAAAATTATTAGGGCTAACAAGAAAATATGAATGAATAAAAGTATTAGAATAATAACAATAAACATTAATAAAATTAAGGAAACTCTTTCAAAAATTAGAATACTTTGTAATCTATTTCAGATAAATACAAGGTGATAAAAGAGGATGGAAGTGATTAGGAAAATCAAATCAACAGAATTACTCAAAGCAATATATAAATTAACTATAAAAACATACAAAATAATCCACTGTAGGCAATTAATAAAAACTAAGAAGAAAAATAAAAAATATCGCTAGTTCATAAAGGTAACAACAACCAATAGCAGTTAGTTGTAGAGAGTAGTTAAAATAAATAAAAAACAGTATCAAATGCAAATGGAAATTACATTATTTTAAATTAAGGAAATCAGAATTACAATATGCAATAAAATTATAATTAGAATAATCAAACTGATTTTTACAATCAAAATAATTAAGCATATGTGATTGATTAAGATTAATAAGAGGAAGATGAGGAGGGAGTAGAAGGAGAATAAGATGATGAGATATATGATGAAGATGAAAATGATGATGAGGAGAATGAGGATGGAGGTGATGATGATGACGATGAAGAAGGTGACGATGATGAAGATTATGATGACGAAAATGAGGATTAAGAATACCCTTTTTTAGTATTGAAAGACATTATAAATTTAAAAAGATAAATAAAGCCACAAAAAAAGATTATAATAGATTTATCTTTTACAAGATATGATGTAATCAGAGATGTGTGTGAAGAAGTTTTTTGTTGGCAAATATAAGCTAATGCTAATAATAGGACAGATTATAACATTTAATGGATTGATAGTTATATCCATGAAGATGATTTTAGGAGAATGCTACCATTTCAAAAAGTTAATCACTTTCCTGGCAGTTAATAACTTGGTAAAAAGAATCTGCTGGGTTAGAATCTTCTGAAGATGAGAAATATTTTCCCTTAAAATTATAATTTTTATCCAATCACTTGGGTTTTACCTTTATAATATGAAGATTTAAAAATGTATCACTACTAGAACATAAAAAGAAAACCTTATTATATTGTAAAACCAGAAGCTTCATGCTAAGGAAGAGGAATATATCTCACAAGCAGGATAGATTAGTTGTAGTCAACTGAACATTATGTAGTTTAGGAGTATATAAAAAATCCTTATTTGATTGATAACTTAAAATTCGACCTCAGACTCTATGTGCTAATTAAAAGCGTTTCTCCTCTGAAAATTTTCCTTTATTAAGATGGGTTAGCAAGGTTTGCCACTGTGCCTTATAAGCAGCCAAATAAACACAATATAACAAACTTAATGATGCACCTTACAAATTATGCTTTGAATAAGAAAAGTCCTGACTTCATATAAAATGAAGACAGTGAAGAAGACGATATAGGACACAAGAGGAGTTTTTCTTCTATTTTAAAAGTAATCATTGAAAATATTATTTTGTCAAATAATCTTTATATAATTCAAGATTGATATTGAATAACTTAAAAATAATTTTTGTTCAATTTTATTAGCATCTGCATGATTAAGGTCATGATGTCCAAACACTTTTAATGGAAATTCGATAAATTATAGTGAAAACAATAATCTCAGCCTAACCATAAATGAGTCACATTTATCGGACTTGCTAGCCAAAAAATGAGATGAATGAAATGTGTTTTGAAGTTTTAGGGTAAAATTTATATTTTTGGTTCATGTTCAATTTAAAAGTTTAAAAAAAAAAAAAGATTTGATATCATGCTAGATGAAGATTTAAAGCCTTATCTTATTGAAGTAAATCATACTCCTTCTTTTTGGACTGATTCTCCACTAGACTTGTAAGTGAAGAAAAACCTAATAATTGATACTCTAAACATAGTAAATGTAACAAATCAGACTAAGAGAAAGTATAAAATTATCAAAAATTTATCATGATCTTATTTTATTTTTAATTGGAAAATAAAAGGTATTTTGAAATGAGGGTTTAATAGCAAATAGCTTCACGATCACTGTTTAGAAAGAAATATGGACCTGCTTTGAACACAGGACAGGAAGAATTTGATGAAGAATTAATTTAATAAGAATTTTATGAGTGGGAGGAAGACAATATGGGAGCATATATGAGAATATATCCCTCAAGTGATGATCCATTAAATTACACTCAATTTTTATAAGCTTCTGGAAGTACTCTTTCTGATTAACTTTAAAGAAAGAAGAGATTTGGAAATAACACTGAAGTAGTAAATGGTAATGGGAATGTATTTTAAAATTAATAACAGAATTAACAAGCTTAATAGTAAATAAATATGATTTAATCTCAAAATAATAATGCAGTTTATCCTTATAACTATCAAAATACAATTGGCTCTTAAAGAAATCAGGGTGAATATCAGTAAGTTTATTCTCATGAGTAAATGCTAAATGAATAATCTCCTTAAAGACCTCTTAAATTGAAACCTGTTTAGGCTAACTCTCACCAAAAGACAAACCCCGGATAAGGGAATATTAATAATATAATGTAAGGGAATATTAATATAATGTAAGGTAATATTTCTACTGAATCGAGTAATTTTACACCTATCCATGTGTAGCAGCCTCATTAATAAGCTGGATTAGCTTTTTAGCAGCTTTAATAGTAATACCAAAATATGAATCAAAATGTATATTTACCAACAGGAAATTACCCTAATAACCAGTATAGAAATTTAAATGTACTACCATAGTGCACAAATGTAACTCCAGGTAAGCTAAGAGTTTCCCTAAAAGGGAATACAGTGAATGCTTCAGGAGTTTAAGCAAATAATATTTCAAACTACCAAATAACAGGAAGCGGATATTCAAACTTATCTGGTAAGAAATAGTTTAACAACAGAGCTGAAGCTTCACCTTTTCAGGCAAATAACTAAACTCAGTAAAATTAATAATAATTCACTTATCTTGATGAACTGGAAGGCATAACAAACTTTACTTATGCAGAACCAACAAAACCATTGATAATAAATATGGAAAGCCCCACTCAAATAGTAAAAGGAAAGAAATCTGAAACAGGACCTACTATTTTCTAACAGAAATCATTAATCATAAACTAATAACCTAAGAATATAAATGGCTTAAAGTTACTTCCAGTAGATTAGACTAAAAACGCAAATCAAAATTACAATAATAACTCTATGAATTAAGGCACCATAAAAAAGGAATCCTCAGATCCAAGGAAAAACAGGATTGCAAGTAGTTAAAGTTTTCATCAAAGCAGTGCTAATCACACATTAAGTAGCACAAATCAAAGCAATTCACATAACGCAAACAATTCAATGAGCACAGTTTAAAATGAAAAAGTTAATGAGTTTGATAAAAATAAAAAATCCCTAATTAATACATCTATTTTAGATATCTCTCAAATGAGCTAAATGACAACATCAGGTAAAACACCTTAAATAAATTCAACCCTCAAAAATTAAAACAGCAACACATCCTTCAAAAAAAGAGAGCAACAAGCTTAAACAAATTCTAGTAAAGATGAAGAACTAGACGATTATCAATATAAAAAATCTTTAAAAAAGTAAAACCTCTTTAAATAAATAAATAATTGTTTGTCTTATTTTAAAATTTTTTATTTTTTTTTCTTAAATGATTTTAAATGGTGTAATATTTATTTTTTAGGCAGACAGCCAAAGCATTTTATTTTATTCTTTTTTACGAATTTCTTAAATTTTAATTTACATTTTATATTATTTTATAGTTTATAGTAGCAGTAGTAAAGCTCAAGAGCAGGTTAGCTTAAATCTAACAATGATAATAAAAATCTTAACAATAGCTTTAATGTAATTAGTAATAGTTAGTAGATCAATGGAGGAACTCACCACAGAGCAATCAGTTTAGTATCTGAGAAGAATAATTAGCAGATCTAAAAGTAATTGCAAGAAGATATGTATCCTCATAATATAAATTAAAACCTAAAACGATTAAATTCCTCTCTTCAAAACTAAAATGGGGATTAAAAATAGAACGGTACTTAATAATACGTTGGAAAGGTAGAGGAGAATATTTATTTTCCGTTTGGTTCTCCTTAAACAACAAATAACAATAAAATCAGAAATAAATCTGGCGTAAACCCAGTTATGGTAGCTGCATATTCAAATACTCACAATACAAGCAATTAACATAACAATAGTTTTAAATAAAATAGCAACACTCACTAGCATAATACTGGTCCTACACCAGTAATTCTCCCAAATGTAGTAATTAATAATTAAAGTAATATAAATTAGTCTAAAAAGATAGAAGGAATTAACAACGTGATAGTCCCAAAATAAATAGAAGAAAATGATATAAAATTACCGAAATAGAAACCTAAGCATGAGTGAGATGAAATAATTTAGAGTTTTAAATAATAAATAAGCTTTATTTCTACTAACATTAACTGATAATTGAATTATAAAATAAAAATATTAACCATAATTTTTAAAAAACAAACTTAACTTACATTTACTTCTGATAATTTATAAGCAAGACTTATTTAATAAAATAGCTTTTATAAAAAATAATTTATTTCTTTTAATAAAGAAATATTTGTTATTTTACTGCAAATTTGTGTATTAATTTTCTGTATATTTTAGTTTTTCATCTCTCTTACTAATCGCACAGTATAAATTATATTAATGTCCATAACTATTTTAAATTCAAATCTGTTAATTTTAAGACTATAAAAATTAAAATCCTCTAGTCAGTTCTGTTTGTCTTTCTGTCTCTATAATTAGGTTTAAATAATTTTTAGTACTAATTATAAACTCAAAAAGCTTAATTAATTCTTCTATTTATGTCTAAGATCAAATTTATTAGGTAAAGAATCATTTTCTGATAAATTTAATAATTTTGTTTTTGATTACTCTTATTTGTCGTTATTATTATTAGTCTAAATTTATTTGGTTTTTTTTCATCGTTTTTCATCAGTTTCAATTAAATAAACAATTTTGTATTATGATTTTTCGCTTGAGTTATTTTTAAAAGAAGACTTGCTAGGTTAATTAAATTAAACAATAAATAATTGTTTATTTTTAGAGAATCTACCTATAATTAATCAAATAAAAAATATTTTGATGTATTAATATAAAGAAATAATCATAATAACATTTTAATAATAGATATTTTTTCATCTTTTAGGTTTATTTTTAGAATGATTATTTTGTTTTCTTGTTTGTGTTTATTTTTTTGTTCAGATCAAATTACTATTTGGTAAATATTAAAGGATAATAATATTCTTTATTGTCTTGCAAATAAATAGATTCCAAAATGAATTATAGTGCGTAACTCAAATTAAAATTTTAAATTATTGTTAGAATTTACTTTTCCTTTTATTAATCGATGGGTTCAATCGATGTATGACGTTTTGCAAATTCATCTATTCGTCACTCTATATTTTTAATATTTACTCTATTTTAAAATACAAATTTTTTATAAATTGCATCTCAATTACAAATTTTTGTTTTTAGATATTTTATTGTTCTTGTATTGAGTTTTTTAATTTTTCTAAAAATAGCTTTTTAAAATTTTAAGAATTGATATGAAAAATTAAAAACATATTAGAGAACTTATTTTTTTCGCATATTTCACATGATCGAAGATCTCTGAAAATTAGAATCTTTGATAAGTACTAGTCAAATATTAAAAAATTAAAAAGCTTTATTAATTTATATGAAAATTAATTATTTTCAAAATGTTAAATATATTATTATCTAAACTATTATTAACAAATAAGTAAATAAATAAATTTTCTTAACTCTTTTACTCACAAAATCAAAATGTATTTTGTTTATTTTTTTGTTAGTTCTATTTCATTTTCTTAGTGAATTAATAGTTTATATATGCTTGAAATTTCTTTTACTGTATAGAAAGTAGTAAGTATCTTCTTATATATATATTAAAACAGTATTACAATCTATTATAATAGATGCACTCAAATAAAATGAGAAAATTAAAAATAGAAACTATGTTAGTTAAATTTTGTAATAACCATCCAGTATTCTACGAAAAAATGAAAGAAAAATACAATCTCTTAAGTGTGTAATATATTTCAAATCCTATATTAAATCGACGTAATTTCAAAAGGCTGATTCTTTTTATATAAATGTTTCTAATGAAATCCCAAAATATTCATCAAGTTTTATCAAATACCCCTTTTACAACCATTCAAAGAAATTAATAAAAACAAAGATTGAAGGCATTTAAAAAAGGCCTCCCACTGAAAAAGAAATATAATAAGTAATTAAATAAATAAATAGTAATAGTTTTCAAAAAATCAAAAAAAATTAAGTACTTTCTTCGCAATAAGAATTATTAAAACACCGAATAATGAGTCAAATTAATCCATCTAACAATATAAAACCATTACTCTAGCCAACTATAATTTAATCAATAGTCCGCCTTGCTATTGACTAAAAAGGTAACAGAATAATCACATTAGCTCTTTATAATTAAATTTACTTAAAAACTCCATTATATGTCCTATCTTTATCATATTACAGCTTGCTTTCTTTTTCATATTTATTTCTTATATTTTATTGTCTATTCGCAGATATTAACTTAAAATTTCTTTTCAAAATATATCATAGCAATCAATCTAGCCAGTGGATTCCCTGACTGGGATACTCCTTAATTTGTGACTAAGAGTATCGCTAATGCTTCTACTAGCGGTGAAAATCAATACTGTTTACCTGGCGGACATCCAATTCTTCGTTAACAGATAGCAGCAACATATTCAAAAAGTCTTGGTATTGAAATTAATCCTGAAAAGAATGTAAAATTTAATTGATTTCATAGAAAATAATTAAAATTATTTAATAATTAATAAAATAAAATTTCTTATTTAAAAAGGTTTTTGTTGGTTAAGGAGCAAGTGGAGTTATTTTTGATATTTATACAGCACTTTTAAACCCTGGTGATGAAGTGATAATTTTTGATCCTCATTATGAATTCCTCTCAAAAGAAGCTAAGCTGGTTGGTGCTGTAGTAAGACACTGTTCACTCGAATAACCTAGAGATCTTGAAAATGGTGTCTGGACTATCAACTTTGATTAGTTTAAGAGTTTGTTTAATGAAAGAACAAAAATTGTATTGATCAATACCCCTCATAACCCCGTAATAAGAGACTCAATTAATAATTATTTATATTAAATATTAATTTTTTTTCTATTTCAAATTAAAACAGACTGGAAAAATCTTTACCAAAGAAGAGCTAAATCAAATTTCACAAATAATCTAAATGTATCCCTAAGTTGTTGTTATCGCAGATGAGGTCTATGAGCATTTGACTTTTGACAATAAAAGTCTTAATAGAGTTTGCTAAACTCCAGGGCTTACTGACAGAACACTATCTGTCTATTCTATGGGAAAGGTATTTGTTATTTAATTTTCTTGAAAACATATTTTTTAAAGTTTATTTTTCTATTTTAAATAATGAACAAATAATTCATTTAATAATATTCTATCTTAATTATTTAGATTAATAAAAATTCATTTTAAAAATTAAAAAATTCAATTAAAATAAATATTTTTTTTATCAAAATTTTTTAATTTTAATTCAATAAAAAAAATAATTTCTTTCTTTTAAATTTGGAAAATACAAAAATATTTAATTAAATCCTTCTAATTACTTTTTATTCATCTAATGATTAGACTTTTAGTTGTACTGGTTGGAGAGTTGGATTTGCAATAGGACCAGAAGAATTGATTAAATACGCCATAGCTGCTCACTCATATACTTGTTATTCTATTAATAGGCCTGCACAGGTATTATTATAAGATTTTAGAATTAATTTATTTATAACTATTTAATTTATTAATTTAGGTTGGAATCGCAAACTGTTTAAGAATAGCTGAAAATAATTATGAAGGTTTCTAAAATTATTATAGTTACTTCAGAAATATATTTGAAAATAACAGAAATAAATTGATTGAGAATTTCAATTTGTTAGAAAGCCTTGACCTCAAATTAAACAAACCTGAAGGTGGTTACTTTTTGATTGGGTCTTTCGAAAAGTTTGCTACTAAAATTCCTCTAAGATATTTTTATAAAGATTATATGAATGTAATAAATGGAGACTAAGAGATAGGTATTCAATATGAGAAACTTGATAATCCTGAAGTCAGTCTTGATGTAGCATTCAGCACATATATGGCTGTGGAGAAAAAAGTGGCTGTGATTCCTCTTTCATCATTCTATGGATAGGCTACAAACGACTTTAAAAGCTATCAAGGAAGATACTTATTCAGAATAGCTTTATGTAGAAAGGAGCAATCCTACCAAGATGCTATCAACAGATTGAAAGAATCATCTTGAATTGTCTTAAAGAGATTAATTAATCTTTTAAAAAAAAAATATTCTTACTAATAAATTCTCTTTCACCAAACTATATAAATCATCATAAATAATTATTAGAAAAATATATTTATTCTTACTATCATTCATTACAAATAATATGCTATATAATATATCACATTTAATTCTTTGTTTATATATTATTGTTGAATTTTCACATGAAATTCTTTGATTACTATTCTAATACTTTTATATATTTTTAAATTTCTATGCATTTACTAGTTTTTTTCTTTTATTTCGCAATATCTAGTGAATTATTCATCAAAAATAGCTTGAAAATACGCAGTTTTCTATTTATCATCTAAAAAATTTTTATAAATTAATTAATTAAGTTTGATATCATTAAGATTTTATAATAATAAATGATTGGTAATTTAGTAAAAAATTATAAAAATCTTAAAGCATTTAATCTATTAAAATAATTCATTCCAAAAGGATTTTCAACCTAAAAAAAGATGTCTTTAGATAGTTAAATAGATATACAACCATCAAAGTTTATGCAAAAGCTTATAAACCCCACAATTTTTGAATTGATAGTTCCTTTGTCACAAAAATATCAATGTATTACTTAACAAATAATTCAAAAATAATTGATAATTTTAATCATATTAAAATAAAGCAATTAACCTGGCTTCTGGTTTTCCTGACTGGGAAACCCCTGAGTTTTTATGCAACGCAGTCACAGAAGCTTTTAAACTGCCTGAACATCAATATGCCCCTGTTGGTGGTCATCCTGCTCTTATTTAAAAGCTTTGTGAAAGATATTCAAAATCATTAAATAGAAATATTCTTCCTCAAAATGTAAAACAAATTCTATGAAATTAAAGATAAAAAAGTTAATTATAAAAAGATATCTGTTGGTTTAGGTGGTAGCGGAGTTATTTATGATATCTATACTGCATTTTTGAATGAAGGAGATGAATTAATTGTTTTTGAGCCCTTTTTTGAGTACCATTCTAAAGAAGCTAAATTATTAGGTGTAAATGTTAAAGCTTGCAGTTTAATTGAACCTGAAGATTTTGAAAATGGAGAATGGCAAATTGATTTCAAGCAATTCGAGAGCTTGATAAATGACAAAACTAGAATGATAGTCTTAAATTCTCCTCACAACCCTGTAAAATTAACTGATATTTATTTTTAAATCAAAATAATATTCTAAATAGAATTTTATAATAATGTTAAAAAAAACATAAAAAAAATTGAAATAACGTATTTTTTTAAATAAAATAATAGACAGGCAAAGTTTTTACAAGAGAGGAGTACCAAAAAATAGCTGATATAGTCAAAAAATATCCTAAGGTCCTTGTTCTAGCTGACGATGTTTATGAAACTTTAATTTATGACAATAAAGAATTCCCAAGATTTGTAGATATTCCTGGGATGTTTGAAAGAACTTTATAAGTTTTCTCATTAGGAAAAGTATATTTTTCAACACTTATAAAAATTAATTAAAAAATATTCTAAAGTTATTTAGTTGCACTGGATGGAGAATTGGTTTTTGCATCGGACCTGAGTAATTCATAAAAATAGTTCGTGCTACTCATGCTATCATTTGCTATAGTGTTCACAGACCAGTTTAAGTAAATTTACTAGTCTTAAGGTAAGTGTTTTATAAAGCAATAAAAAATAGATTGGATTTGCAAAAGCATTAGATGAAGCTAAGTCTAAGTATATGGGAACAGATGATAATTATGAAGTAAATATTAGAAAAAGATTTGAAAAAAATAGAAATGTAATTTTAGAAGGATTCAAAAATTTAAATGCTAATTTGAAGTTAAATAAACCTTAAGGTGGATATTTTATAGTAGGTTCATTAAAAGATCATGTAGGCAAAATTCCTCGTAAATATTTTTTTAAAGACTTTGAAAATGTACCTGACGGTGATGCTTTACTTGGTGATACTCCTTTTGAAGAATTTGAATAAGCAGAAGTAACACCTGACGTTGCTTTCTTCAAGTATATGATTATAGAAAAAGGAGTTACAGTTATACCAATGTCTTCATTTTACATTTAAGATGACGAAAAAAATCTAAAAAATATTAAAGGGAGATATTTCTTTAGAATAGCACTTCCTCGTAAAGAAGAAACAATAAATTCTGCTTTTAAAAAGCTTAATCAAACATTAAAACAGAACTGACTCTAAAAATGATATTAAAAAAATTGTTATCTTTAATAATATTTATAAAAATTTATAAAAAAATGTTTATTCAATAATAAATTAATTTAATATTACAGAAATATTCTACAACAAATAAATTCTAAAATTTATTTAAAAAATTTTTATAAATCTTCTTCAGATTTTCTAAGTTTATAAAATTTAAAATAAAAACGATAAATTCGTTCTATTTTTTTAAAATTAATCATTCAATATTTGAAAAAAAATTTTTCGGATGTTAATATAAGAGAAACTATAATATTTTAAAAACATACTACACTAATTTTCATTTTTTTATCACTTTTAAATTTTGATTGAATTAAAAATTTTTTACCAAAAAAATAGCATTTTGGTGAAAAAATATTATGATGGATGAGATATTATGAGGATTTAGACAATTTAAATTTTATTTAAATCAAATAAAGATCAAGCATCAAGGAGTGTACTTACTTTTTAGGAAAAAGAGATGAAGATGGGAATATTTCAAACACAATTATAATATTAAAAATAGAATAGAGTACAGCTGGCTGGATTTTTGATTTAAATAGATTGAAAAAACCATTTCGTTATGATAAATCTATCAATTATAATTAATTATTAAATATTATAGTTATTTGTGGTTTTTAAAACGATGATTGCTATTTAAATGATAATCAATCCTTAATATAGAAAAGTAAAAATAAAAGGCCACAAATTTAAAAACAAAGATTATTAAAATTTATTGATAATTGGAAAACTGAATCAATTGGCTTATCTTAGCTCATAGATTTAATTGATTGAGCCAAAAAAAATAGTAACATTATAAAACTATTTTTTTAAAATATTTGTTTATTTTAAAATTGGTGAAACTTTAAATTATTTAATAAATTATAAAGATTTATATAAATATAAATTTATTCATCATCAACATAGCTATGAATAGTTTAGATTAAATAGAAGTAAACAAAATAAGATAAAATTAAAAAGTAATTTTCTGAAAATGGAAAATAAATTAAAGCTTCTTCTTTAAATAGTAATTATGAAATTCATAACAATAATTATGAAGAAATACCATTTTAATTGTTAAGAATTAATTAGAGAAACACAATTTTAATATTGTAAATTTTTTGCCGTTTACCCTTTAGTTAACCTGTTTTTCTTTAGATCTTTAATATTAAAAAAAATGCAGCTATTAAGAAGGTAAAATGAGTAATGAATTGGAAATTTAGTGAAAAAATTTTGATTTATACATCAAGAAATTGTTTGCTTTAGTTAAATACTTTATATCTTACATAATAATTTTATTTCAATTATTTTTGATGACGCACTAAAAATAAAGACTGTAAGAAGAAAAAGTTTTAATTAGATTTTCATATTTTTAGAGTTAATTATTGTTTTTGAGTGTAAATTGGAATTTTATTACTTATTTATAAGAGGAGTGTTTAAATTTCACAAAAAAAATAAGTAAGTAAAAAATTTAATTTATATTAGCCATAAAACTGATATTTCACTTTTTCTTTCTATAATTAAACCCTCCCAAATTATTTAATTCTTCATTAATGCGAAAATAGTTCTTTTTTAGGTGTTTTATTTCCCTCATCAATCAAATAAATTTGTTCTTTTGTTCTGTTTTGTAGTGTTTAAAAAATTATATCCAAAAATAATATCTTTGAAAAACACAATTTTTAATTTAATATCTAAAGAAAATTAGACATTCGTTTAACTTATTTACTCATAATTTTATTTTTAAAAACTAAAACAAAAAAATTAATTAAAATATTCATTCTCAAAGGATTCTCTACCTAAAAAAGATGTCTTTAGAAAGTTAAATAAATATATAACCATCTAAGTTTATGTAAAAGCTCATGGACCCTACAATTTTTTAAATGGTACTTCCTCTGACTCAAAAATATAAAGGTATTAATTTCCAAAAAACTCCAATTTCATTTGATAACTTTAATCTCTTTAAAATAAAGCAATTAACTTGGCTTCTGGTTTTCCTGATTGGGAAACACCTGAATTTTTATGTAATGCAGTTACTGAAGCTTTTAGACTACCTGAACATCAATATGCCCCTGTTGGTGGTCATCCTACTCTTATTTAAAAGCTTTGTGAAAGATATTCAAAGTCTTTAAATAGAGATATTATTCCTCAAAATGTAAAATAAATGATATTAAATTAATGATAAAAAATTAAATTATTAAAAGGTATCTATTGGTTTAGGTGCTAGTGGGGTTATTTTTGATATTTATTCTGCCTTTTTAAATGAAGGAGATGAATTAATTGTTTTTGAGCCATTTTTTGAGTAATATTCTAAAGCAGCTAAACTGTTAGGTGTAAATGTCAAAGCTTGCAGTTTGATTGAACCCGAAGATTTTGAAAACGGAGAATGGCAAATTGATTTTGATCAATTCGAAAATTTGATTGATTAGAAGACTAGAATAGTAATCTTAAATTCTCCCCATAACCCTGTAAGAATTTATCATATGAATAATATAAAAATTACTATAACATGATTAATAGAAATTACAACATTTGAGATCTTGTTTATTTTTATCTAAAATAACAGACAGGCAAAGTATTCACTAGAGAGGAGTATCAAAAGATAGCTAACATAGTTAAAAAATATCCTAAAGTGCTTGTTATTGCTGATGATATTTATGAAATTTTAGTTTATGATAAAAAAGAATTCCCTAGATTTGTAGATATTCCTGGCATGTTTGAAAGGACCTTATAAGTTTTCTCATTAGGAAAAGTATATTTTCAACATTTATAATAATTAATTATAAAAATATTCTAAAGTTATTTAGTTGCACTGGATGGAGAATTGGTTTTTGTATTGGACATGAGGAATTAATAAAAATAGTTCGTGCTACTCATTCTATAATTACTTATAATGTCCACAGACCTGTTTAAGTAAATTTTTATTTAAAAAATAAATAATTTATAAAACAATAAAATATAGATTGGATTTGCAAAAGCGTTAGATGAAGCTAAGTCTAAGTATATGGGAACTGATGATAATTATGAAGAAAATATGGTCAACTATATTTATTTCGACACCTATACTCTAAGTATTTAAATCGACACCTATTTTCTATCTACTTTAATCGACACCTCTTTCTATATTTTTAAATCGACACCTATACCTATAATTTTAATTCGACACCTTTAATTTTTAGCAATTATCTATAATTAGAATATTAAATTTATCAGCTAGCTTTAAACCAAATTTTTAATAGATTATTTTATAAATAAATCTGTTTATTTTGTTATGTAAAATTATTAACTTTTCTATTTTAATTTTTCATTAATTTATTCAAGATAGTTAAATAAGCAAGATATTTATTGTATAGTTGATTTATCAAAATAATGAGTTAAAATAAATTGCTTTACCTATTTTAAAAAATATTTGCCTGAAGTTTAATAATTACTAAAAATCATAAATTATTTTTATAAATAAAATTAAAAGAATTTGGTGAATGGCGTTTACTTGTTTCTACTTATTTAATTAAAAATAAAATTCCTAAACAATTTTTGGTAAAATTCTAAATTATAGAAAGTTTTATATTTATTCCTACTTACTAGTTAATAGAGCTTCTATTAATTATTATAAATGATTGATTTTTTAAGCAAATCTTAATCGAGCTGCAGCTCTAAACAAAAAAAGAAAGGATTTTTAAGCAACGATTATACGTTATACTCTGCAACAAATAGAATATAAAGCCCAATGTGCTTGAATACTCCTAAATCCACATTTTTAGGATAAGATACTTTAGATAAGTAGAAGTTAAGATCATCATCAAGATAAAATGAATAAACTTTAATTAAAAATATCTTTGATATTCCAAATAAGTGCTAATCCTCAAAATCATTTATAAATCCATCTTAGCATAAAGAATAGCAGCTTGATAAAACTATATTCTTGGCAGCTGAATAAGAAAATGATTAAAAAATAAAAATCTTTAAGCAACCATCTTCGAAGAGTCTTTCGATTTAAAAATATAAAGAATTAATTTCAAATGCATCTCATTCCACTATGCATCTACCTGCATTAAGGATAGGTTAGCAAAAAATATCTGAATTTTCTCATTAAAGTCTTGATAAAACAATTAAAGATGGATTCACTTCATTTAGTTAGATCAAAATACAAAATTAAGATTACTTAATTAATCTTCATCAAAAGAGGTAAAGCATAAACAATATTCTAGATATTTAGGATTTAGAAAACGAAAGATCGATTTAAAAGTAAAGATCGCTCCAAAAAAATAGAAGAGTAGATTACAAATAGTATGTATTCATTTTTGGAATAATTTTACTTGAAATTAAAATCTTTTAATAACTTATAGTGACAATATTGAATACGTTTAGCTTGAATTAGAGCATAATAAAGCAATGTAAAGTACTTTTATATCCAACAATGAGCAATCGCTGATAAAGAAAAACAAAGAGACTTTCTTAAATTTAATATAAAGAGAATAAAAAATATCAAAAATGCCCACAATCAGAAAGTATCCAATGCAGAGAAAGAAACAAATACAAAATATATAAAGTAAATAAATCTATTAAATTTTCTCCTTCATAAAAAATTACATTAACTTTGATAGATTAATAAGATTATAATAATGATGCACAGCACCAACAAGAATAAAAGAAATATCATCACGAAGGAATGAAGGATCAAGAATAAATTTATAAAATTTACATTTACACTATACCATAAAATGATTGGAAACCTAGTGTTAGAGAAGGAGCTACAATTGTTGCAGATAAAAATAAGGCATATCTTTTCGGAGGATTAGGTTAGGACATCTTTAACTAAGTGGAGGTTTTAGATCTAGGTAAAATATCTTTTTTGGTATGTAATAAAAAAAACAGATATTTCCATAACTTATAACAGAATAAAATTTAAAATGGCACACATTAGACCACAATTCTACTAAAAATAATACTCCAGTTGTAAGATTTGGACATTCCATGCATTATTATAAAGGTTCTCTAATTGTTTTTGGAGGAGAAACCCATTTTAATACAAATTTTAAGTAGAAGTAGTGTCTTTGTGATATATTTGCTCTTAGCATCGGTAAGTTTTATAATCAATCATTTAATGCCTAGTTTCAAAACTAAAATTTATATATTTAAAACAACTTGAAAACAAAAAGATTTATTAAATATTATAAGATTAAAAGAAATGGGCTTAGATAAATGTTACAGGAGATATTCCATAAGGTAGAAGAGGTCATGCCTCTTGTATAGTTGGTAGATGGTTGATTATACACGGTGGAAGTAATTTTAGAGATTTTACTCTTTCTGATGTATGGGCATTTGATTTAGGTATTTTAAATCTTTAATGGTTTTTAAAAATTATTTTGATTTGAAGATTATATTTAAGTTAATAAATATTAATTATTTTTATAATTAATATCTTTTAAAAAATTTAATCATTCATTTCGAGCAAATAAATACCATAAAATTTTATTCTATCAGCATTAATTATAGCAGAAAAAAAAAAATACTTTAATATATTTTAGGAAGAGGAGCAAAAATTTATGAGAAACAATAATTAATAAACTTAGAATTACAATATTTATTTTATTTTTGATCATTTTAATAATTTAAAATATTTTTTGTTTTTATTTAAGGCACATCTAGCTGGTAGGAAATCTCAACTATATGTTAAGATATAAGCAAAAATAAATATATAGCAACTGGACACTCTTGTTGCTCTGTGTTTTATACAACTAGATTAAATAAGATTAGCTTATTTAAATACATAGATCCTAAAATTCCTAAATGGATGGCTTAAGTAATTAGCTAACTATAGCATATATTCATTTATCATTTTTTTATTATCTACAAACAAAGATCCCGCACGAAGGAATATACTATTTTGGCGGAAGAGACGAAGATGGGAATATTTTGAACACAATTAGAATATTGAAAGTAGACTAGAATCCTATTGGGTGGATTTTTCCAGAAATAGATGGTAAGCCTCCATCTCCTAGATATGGTCACTCTATGAATTATAATTAGTTATTAAATATTATAGTTATTTATGGTGGTTAAAATGATGATTGCTATTTAAATGATATGCATATTCTTAATGTAGAGTTTTTAATGTGGTATAAAGTAGAAATAAAAGGCCAAAAATCTATAAGCAGAGCTAATCACTGTGCAGTAAGTTATGACTCAAAATTATTGATATTTGGAGGACTCAATGAAGAAGGCTACGTCAGCTCATAGATTTAAATGATAGAGCTAGGTAAAATATGCAATTATTTAAATATATTTCATTTATTAATATACATTTATTTATTATTTAATATAGATGAAACTTTAAGCCAGTAAATGTACGATAAAGACTTATAAAAATAAAAATTTATTCATGAACAGAGCTTTAAATAATAAAGACTAAACAATGAGTAAAGAAAATAAGATAAGGTAAAGTAGGAATTTTATGAAAAAAGAAAATCAATTGATGCTTCTGCTTTATATCGCTATTATGAAATTCATAACTATAATTATGATGAAATTCCATTTTCGACCAAACTTATCTAAGAGGAAAAAGATAATTTATCTGTTAAGAGTTAAGTAGAGAAATTAAACTTTAATAACTTTGTCAGTTTTATGCCTCTTCCAAATAAATCGAACGGGAACAAACTATCTCGTTTATTAAGCTATAAAAACATCAACTAAGCAAATAAATTGCAAAACAAAAACTCAAATAACTAATCTAGCTCATCATTAGAAAGTAGCCATTCAAAGTCACCATCTCGATAATTACTATAAAAAACTGTCAATACAATAATTTCTAATATGAAGCACTCATGAAACTACAAAATATTCTTAAGATGTATATGTATGTAATCATAAAATAGAAATTTATGTGAGTTAAAGTTTATGTATACTTAAATCGCACACATTTTTACGAGCCCAGCCATTTAATTCTTTAAGAAAAAATAAAAACATCAAATTGATTAAAAAATATTCTGAAATTATTCTATTAATCAAAAAAATAAAAAAGGGAGCTTGGCTTCTTTTTGATTGATTAAAATTTAAAATTAGGAAATTAAATTAATAGGAAGGTATTTATTTATTTACTTTCAAATTTTGGGAAAAATTATTATTTACATTTTTAGATATTTTTGTATTAGTCTTTAAATAATTATTTATTTTCATTCCCCCTATCTAAAGATTTAAATATATTTAAAATGTTAAAAATATGAAATAATGTTTAAAATACATTTATTCTTTTGATTTATGCGAAATTTAAGTATTTATTTATTACCTTTTATTCTTACATATTGAGTTTTGACTATGCTATAATAAATTTCAATAATAAATTGAATAAGTAAAGCATCTATTTTACCTATTGCTTACTTTTTTAATTAACTAAAGAACTTATTATCTCACAACGAATTAATACCTTTGGAATATTATTATTAGTTAATTCATTTAATAAAGAATTAAAATCCCTTAATTAGCCTTCGAAGTTTCTAATCTACCTATTCTTTTAATGTTACCTATAATTAATAATATTCTTTATTTTTAAACTATCAATATGGTATTTTAAGAATAAATTTTTTGCATCTTTATTATTAACTATAAAAGAAATTATACTTTGCAAACAAGTAATTTTTTTCAAAACAGGTTAAATTAATTTAATAATTAAAAATTTTAATCTTCATACAATATTATTTGACAATTTAATTGCATGCTATTAATATTTTAATATAATATTATTAAAATAAGATATTTAATATATGTAAATTGATAAATCCTACATAATCTTAAATGATTGATTGATTGATTTACAAATATTTAGGTTTAGTGTTTTATAATTAATTATTTATTTAACATTTATGTATCTTAATAAGATTTTTAAATGCATTTTTGTTATTTAAGGTTTTTGATAACAATTTTATTAGAAATTAAGGAGATATAGATTTTTCCAAAAAAGATATTTAATATTACATTGAGAGATTAGAATAAACAAAAATGAGTAATTAAATAGCAACAAAAAAAAAACAAGAGTCTAACTTTATAAGCAATTTTATAATGGGAGGACTATCTGCAGGCATTTCAAAAACAGTAGCAGCTCCACTAGAGAGAATTAAGATTATTTTTTAGACTTAAGATGTTCATCATATGGTTTAAAGTGGAAAAATGGAAAAGTATTTAGGCATAACAAATACTCTTAAACAGGTATATAAATAAGAAGGCTTATTATCATTATGGCGTGGAAATTTAATTAATGTTATAAGATACATTCCAACCTAAGCGTTGAATTTAGCTTTTGTTGACTTGAATAAAAGCTTGTTCAAATAATACGACAAAAATACACAAAAAGTAAAGTTTATGTTATCTCATATATTTGCAGGAGGCATGGCTGGAGCTTAATCTCAAGTATTTGTCTATCCCTTTGAATTTGCTAGAACAAGACTTGCTGCTGATTTAGGATCTAAGTAAGAAAGAGAATATAACTCTTTGAGCTAATTTTTCAAGAAAATCTACTAAACTAGTGGAATTTAAGGATTTTACAAAGGTTTTTGGATTTCAATAGTCTTTGCCTTCGTTTATAGAGGAGTCTATTTTGGACTTTATAATAGTGGTAAAGAAATGTTGTTTAACAAGTAATCAGTTTTTGTAAAATTCTTGGCAGCTCAAGCTATTACAGCACTAGCAGGAACTATAGTATATCCTATAGATACTGTAAGAAGAAGACTCATGATGCAGTCAGGTAGATCTGATATACTATATAACTCTTCCTTGGATTGCTTATAAAAAATATATTAGTAGGAAGGATACAAAGCACTCTACAAAGGAGGACTTTCTAATGTTTATAGAGGTCTTGGAGGAGCATTAGTTTTAGTCTTATACGATGAATTGCATGCCTTTTATGAAAATAAATTTTGAAGTAAAATCATTACAGAATATATAAGTTAAATTCAATTTCAACAAATCTAAAATAAATAAATAAATTAATTAATTAACTGAATTAACGAAAATTACTTTTAAAAAAATTTATTTAATAGAAGATTTATTATTTTAAATTATCATTATTGATGACAAATATTTTCAATTATTACTTAACTTATTTATGAAAAAATGATAATAAAGAAATAATTAATACCTAATTAGCAAAGTAATATTATGTAATAAATATATAAATAAATATAAACATATTTATTTTCATTTTTTTTTAAGTATCTTGAAAAATTTATTTGCTTGATAAATATTTTTGTTTATCTAACTAAGATGAGTTTAATCAATTTTATTATTTTGTTTGAAATACACATTTGTGGTAAAAAAAGGAGAGTTCTATATTAATTACTATGTAAATTATTATTTTTAAAGTTTATCAAAGTCGGATAACATTATTTGATTGAAACAAAAATCAGTAATCGTAAATATTTGTAATTTAATTTGAATAAATATTATACTTTGTATGAAAAGCATTAAAAATACTTTGATAAAAAACTACTTTTTTTCATATCCAAAATTTTTTAATTTCATCTTTTTAAATCTAAACGATATGCATATTTATATATTCCAGAAAAATTGAATTAGTCTTATTTAAATTTGTTTATTGCCATAAATAATATAGATAATATTTTTTTGTGTCAGTTTTCTATTAAATGTTTACTAAATTAGCTAATTTTTGCTTTCAATAAATGTATAAAATAAAAATAACTTAGAGGCTAAATATATATTAATTGTTGTTTTGTTTAATGAATGACATTTTTTCATTGATTAAATTACATATAATAGCAAAAAAATAATAATAGACAAAAATAAATAATTAATTGACTATTATAATAATTTAAAATGTTTGTCTGATTTCTCGAATCTTTTTGAGCTAAAAATAGAAAATTTAAAAGAAATTAACTATAATTATTTAAATGCTATTCAAGAATTTTTAAATATTTATATTCATATGTTGTACTTCTTTTTTTGTTGTTTTTTTTTTATATGAATAAAAAAATGTGGATTATCAAAAATTAAAACACAAAAAATTAGACATTTATTGATTTTAAATAAATAAAGTTAGTTTTAACTTGAAATGTTGGGGGTGAGCATTGCTCTATGCTCTGGAGAATTTAGTGATTTTAAATTCTAATCCAAGTTACTTTTTCCTTATTTTTAAATTAAAAGAAAAGCTGAGTAATAAATAAATAGAGAAATATAAAACTTCAAATAATTTATTAATTTTTTGGGAATTTATTCAGTTTGTAATTAGTCGTATTTTAATCTCTTAGTTGCGCTCTATTTTTATTAGTATATTTCCACTCTTTAATATTAAAAATAATCCTTTCTGAAGCGCAGAAATAATTAATTATAAAAAAAAAATTGAAAATTAATAAAAAAATAATAATCACCCCCTTAAATTAATATTAATAAATACTTTGAAACTTTTATTTCAAAAGACTTTAATTTACTTTTGATCTGTTTGATTGCTGAATAGCTAATACTCATCTCATAAACATTGAACTTTCTTAGAATTAATTAAAATGAGCTGCACGGTTGAGTTGCATTATATCCCTAGAGTTAATGTTAATGAAGAGATTAAAAGTCTCTAAGGTAAAACATATTTTTAGTTTTAATTTGCTTTTTGTATTTTATATTTGCTTTTAAATAATTGTAACCAAAATTTATAATTTTTACACTTCTCAATTTACTTTACTATTTCTTACTTTATCTTCAATAAATAGAATCAGATGTTTAACAACGTATCGAGTAAAATATTTAAATTGATTAAGCTGCGGAAAATGAAAAATAAAAAACCAATGCCTCTGAATAAAACAATGCAGAAATAAGAATTGAAATTGATCCTATTGAGAATCAACAAAACCAAGACTAGGTACTAGAATAGCCATAGCTTAAATAGGAAAAGTGCATTTCCATAGAAACTGAACCTTAGAATGTGGTGACTGAAATGGCTAGCTTACCTTTTTAAAACATAACTAAATAAACACAGAAAGAATTCGAGGATTTAGTTGATTATGATAAAAGCTCAAATGCTAAAAGCAAGTATTTAGTATTTCGTGAAATAAATATAAACACTTAGTAAATTCAAGAAACAAGCTCTAAGATAAAGAAGTCAAGCAACCTTTAAGGTTTGACTTTTTCTAATTTCAGTGATTTTAAACTCGCCCAAAAAAAGGCTATGCTGAAATCTGTTTTAGAAAGCATTGATACTACTTAAGTAGCTTAACCTGAGTAATTAAAGAGGGAGTTTGTTAATTCCGATTACTACAGAGCCATAGAAATTTTTTCAAACAAGTTTTAAAATCTATACAGATGGAATATCTTTTTGCTGATATTCCAAAATCTATTGATTCAAGCTGCATTTGTTATCGGATTTGTTAAATATTATAGCCGCGATAGCAGTAAAGATTAATTAATCGAACTTATTATTATTCTTTGTATTGCATTGAGCGTAGTTACTGAACTATTCTTAATTTACCGCAGTAAATATTTTTTATAGAAGGAGGGAAATGACTATCTATTTATAATAGCTGCACTTGTTTAAGCATTTGCAGGTATAGTAGCAGTATCATTTGAAATGAATGAATCTTCGGCCTAAATAGCAACTTTAGCTTATCTTCTTTATCTCTTATCTTATATGTTCTACATCCTTTTCTTAATTGTCAGAATTCTTCCAAGATTCGAATTTTTGAAAGATACCTTCTTTAATTTCATCTACACAGAACCATAACCTTAAAAAAGAAATTGAGAAGTATTTTTTAGAAAAAAAAGTGAGGAATTTTATTAATATCTGGTTTTTGCTTGAAGAGTGCTAAACTGTAAGAAGCCTTTTAAACAATTTACTCTTCTAGTAAATAAAAAGAAAAGCAAATTAATAAAAATAATAATCTGATCTTTAAATAATGAGTTTTCAACCATAGAAATTTAAATATCCATATTTAATGAGCATTTCTAGTAGTGTCATATTTTTATGAAGCTTGCAGAAATACATAGATATATACACAATAATAACCATCTTCATTTCTTAACACAAAAGTTGTACTTAAATAAAACAAAAACTAAAAAAAAAAAATAAGTCCATTAAAAAAATTATAATAAATATTCTAAATTATAAAAATCTTATACTTACATTTATATAAATCTATTATTTATTTTTATCATTTCACTATTACTGAGCATTTTTAAAATATACTTCACTTATCTATATTTTTTACATAAATTAATGAATGAATGCATTTTATTCATTTATCATTTTTAAAAATTCTTAAAAAGCTTAATTATTAAATTATCAATGTAACTTTTCTATCAAATTAAATCTAAAAAACTTTTAATAAAATTCAAAATAAGTCCTTGTGTTATATACTATATTCATTTTACCTTTCATCTCAAATAGTTAAGCTAAATAATTACTTAGTAATAGATTTACTTTAAGGTAAAATTACACTGTGGAGATTAAATTGAAAATTTATTCTTGAATTTATGTGCAAAAAATGCATAAAATATAATGGTACTAATTAATATATTTTCTATTCACAAATTTTACCTTAAATTAGATTTTTTATATTTTTAATTCCGATTTTATGGTAATACAAGAATTTAATCTACCCCTAAAGAATGTTAGCATAAATTAAAGTCTAATTTTTTTTTCCAGTAAACTAATATAAAAAGTAAATATATACTTTATTGAGTCTATTTCATTTTTCAGATTAAAAAAAAACCTCAATTTGTTTTAATCTATCACACAATTACACATAGTAAAAATTTTAAGAAATAGTACCAAATTACTGTAAATTAAAAAAAGGATTGCTACAATTTTAAAATACTAATGCGTATTTAAAAAGAAATAAATGAACTAAATAAATTATCACTCGTTTTTAAGATTTTTTATTTGACTATCAACTCAATCATGAAAATAGAACTCTTTAAAAGACTAAATACTCTTTATCATAATAAAGAAAGTTGTTTTTTTATTGTAAATGGTTTATAATTCCTCTACTTATTAAACTTTAAATTAGGTTTTGCTGTCTAAATTTAGGGTTTTTATAAATTTGGAAATGAATTCAGTTGTAATCACCTTAAAAAAATAATACTAATGAATTCTTATTTTCAATTCAAATTAAAAATATAAAAGAAAAATAGAAATTAAATTCATCTCTGATTTACAGATTAATTTATGCAGATAATATAATGAATTAATTTCTTTTTGTAGAATGTAAATTAAATTAAGTCTATCTTAATTTTAATATTGATTTCATTTTTATAAAAATGGTCAATTTTATCTTTTATTTTGTCTAATTTAATTAATTTATAGTTTTGTAATTACAAAAATAAACAAGAATTTAACTTTTAACATATTTTTTACTAACAAATGAATAAACGAATGAATTATTGAAGATTGAAATATTAAAAAATAGAGAGTTTTATAAAAATATCATTGAATTTATTTAATATTTATTTAAAATTATTTTTTTGTATTGATTTTATATATTTATTTTTATTTATTTATCTATATTATTGTTATTATTTTCACTGCTTTTAGGGTTATTGTCCAAGCATTTATCTGTCTTTTTCTGTCAGGAAAATGCCTGCAAGTGTATTGAAAAATCCACCTTTTTTTTAATCTTTGTCAATTAAGGTTTGAGATGAAACCTATGAGCTTGGCTGATTATCTGGTTTTTAACTTATTGGAGATCTAAGAATATCATTTACAAGATTAATTTCATGAATTTCCTCACTGCCACTCTTCTTAGCTGGTTTATCAACATTTTATTCACTTTTTTGTACAACCTGTCCTTAGTTTTGAATTTATATAGAAGACTATCTCTCAATTTGTGAACCAACTTGAGGAAGTGAAAGTTGCTTTTGCAATTGCTCATTTTAAATCTTTAAAGAATCTATTTCTTTTTACAACTAATTTAATCTCTCAAAGTTTTCGGATTCATTCATTTTTTCTAAAAGTTCATCAAAGTTCATCTTTAAGTGTCTTTTCTCATCCTTCAATCAATCATAAATAAAAATTAATAAAATTAAAGACTAATATTTTATAAATTACAGTGATGGATTCGATTTATTCTTCAGTTTCCTTTTGCAATGCTATGTATTTCTTTTATTCATTATCTAGTTTTATTAGCAATGAATCTATTTCTTTAGCGAAGTTTTCGTTTGTAGAATGTAGACCTTTGATTTGTCTTTCAATAACAGTGTTTGTGTTTTAGCTTGTCTACAAATCATTCTTTAACTTTATAATTTAGACTTCCAAAATATTAACTCTCTCTTTATAACTATCTAATTCTTATCTTGAATCTTAATTGTTTTAGCTTCCTAAATTACCTGAACGAACTTATCCTTCTGCTGAGTTTTCATTAAATTCATAATTTTCTTCTAATTTCTTATTTGAGTGGAGATCGGAATCTTCATTTATTTACTTCTCCCATTTTAATTGGCTTTACAACTCTTCGATTTATCCACGATATTCGCTTTCAAGTTGTTAGTATTTTTCTTTCACTAATTGTATTTGTTTATCTTTTTCACTTCTAATTTGTTCCATTTGATCATTCAAATCTGTATTCAATGATTCTAAAGTGATAATTTTATTTGCAAATTCGTTTGTCTGCTCATCATTTTAACGATTCAACTCATAAATTTCTTTACTTAAATTTTCTATTTTTTCTCTAAGTTCTTTTTCTTTTCTATCATATTCTTCCTTGTCTATCAACTTTTTTAAAAAAGAAATTATTTTAAAATATTTTTTTATCAATATTTACTTGATGGTTAGAAATTTTCTCTTCATATAGCTTATAGTTCTGTAATTCACTGTCTTTTTATTAGCACAAGAGATTGAGCTAAGAAACAGTTGAATTTAACTCTGCAATTTATTTTTCATATTCTGAGATAGTTGTATTATTAAACTCAAATGCTTATTGAAGTTCTTCCAGCTTTAACTTGTAAGAATTAATTAGCTCTTAATTGGAGAAAAGTGTTGTGGAAAGAGTATTTTTTTCTAAATTAAGATCTTCGATCAGTTAGTTTTACTCTTGTATTTATTTAGATAGCAAGTCAACTTAATTAAAGTTATTTTAATTTTGATAAATTAAGTTCTCGTTTTAGATCTGAAGTTCTTGATATTGATTTGAAAGCTACTGATTCAACTAATTACTTTCTTCAATTTAAGCTTCTTTTTGCTTAATATCGTTTTGCATTTACGAAATATAATCATGAATTTCTTACAATTCACTTACTTTAGTGTTATATTTTATATTATAATTATCTAAGCTCTCTTTTAATATCTTGATAGTCTCTTCTTTTTCATGTAAAACATCTATTTTTTCTTTAAGTTCTGAGTTCACCTCTTCTGTTGTTTTATTTATTTCTTATAATTTATTCTCTAATTCTAAGATTTAAGCCTCTTTTTCTTTAATTTGGTTTTCAAAATGTTAAAAGTCATTTTCTTTATTTTATTCTTTCTCCTAAAGTTCTCTTAATTATTAAGTTTTTTCTTCCAAAAGTTCACAAACTTGCTTCTTTTCAGCTAAGGCATTATCATAATTTTAAGCCATGATATTTTTCTCTTCAGCCAAGTTATCGCATTCTTAATAAAGCTGCTCAACAGTCATTTTTTCATTTTCTATATCTTAATTTAAATACTTCATTTCTTATTCTAAATGCTCCTTTTAACTTTATACTTCAACCATTTTTCTATATAAAAAAAATACTTTTAAATCAAAACCAAAAAAAAAAATCATCAAAAATTACTTGTTTAAAATCTCTATAAGTGATGTTAATTTTGGTTGTTGTAAGCTAGCGTGATGATCTTAATCACCAGAACTTCCTTTCTCTATTATTTATAAAACGATCTCTTCAAAAGCATCTATCTCTTTATCAAAAGCATCTTTCTATTATTCCATGCTAGTTTGTAAGCTTTCTATTTCCACTTATAAATTTTCCTTTTCTTAGATTAAAGTTTAATTATTTTGAATAAGATCTTCTTTTTCTTAAATTAAAACATCTCTTTCTTCGCTCAAAGATTATTTCTAGGTCTAAATCTAATCCAGCTATTCTTAAAGTTCGTCCTTTTGTAAATTGATTTCTTTTATTTCCTATTGAAAATAATTTTCATTTTTAGCATTTAATATATTTAAATAAAATAAATTACCAAAGTTAATTTTTCTATTTTTTCTTCCACTTCTTCCCTATAGTTGTTGTACTCTAATTATAGATTAACCAACTCTTCATTCATATTTTATTCTATTTGCTCGTAGTTCTCATTCTTTTCTTAAAGCTATGTTAAATCATTTATATGATGAGAAATTTCTTGCTTCTTAGCAATCAGCTCATCTTGTATTGCCACTAAAGTATCCTTAAGTCTCATAATGTCTTCATTTAAAAGACTTTCCTTCTTATTTAAATCGTTTATTTCTAGTTCTTTTTCTTCTAATATATTTTGCAATTCAGTTATCCTTTCTTCTTTTTCATAAGAAATATTCTGTAAATTTGTATTCTTTGCTTATAATTCATGGATAGCTCTATTTTTTTGTGTTATCTCTTGATGCAAAGTATCTATTAGCTATTATCTACTGTGAATCTACTCTGCTAACTGTTAATTAATTGTTGATATAGATTGCATATTCTAATGCTTAATTCCAAAAACTTTTGCAGCTTACTCCTAGCTTTGTTTGCTTAATTTTTACAACTATTAATTAATTTTCTGTAAATTTTCATTTTCTAGTTCCATATCTGTGTATTTCAGGAGTTTGTTCTCGAGTTAGTTTATTTTATCTACCATATTCTTGATTACTTCCATATTTTTATTGTCTTATTTACCCATCATGCATTGCTTTTTCATCAACTCAGTTTACAGTTGCTTGATCTTCTCAGATTGCTTACTGCAGAATTCTATTACACTACTGTCAATAGTGCTATTAAGAGTTTCATCTTCAATAAGATGTCTTTCTTAAGCAATACTTTAGTCCATTAAATCCATATAGTCATGAGTTAGTTGTCTAATTTATTCTTCATATGAATTTTGCATTCTACGTATAATCTTTGTGTTTAATTTATTCTGCTTAAAAATCTCCTCTTTTAGTTATTTAAAGATTTTTTCAGCATTAAGAGAAGCCTGTTCTTATATGCGAGACTCTATCTCTTCAAAATCAATAAACTCAGTTTCTTTTGCAATCTAATCTGGTAAGGATTTGATAATAAACTGTATCTAACTATTCAAGCTCTCCAAGATCTCAGAGATATTTACTTAGCTTACTTCTTGATTGTTAAATTGCAATCCTAGATTAGCATCGCTTGATAATTAATTATTTGATTCTATGTTTTAAATATTTTATTCAGTGCTATCGAAATTATTAGCTGTGCTATCATAATTGCTCATATTTTCCTCTACCTTTTACTATTACATGAAGTTAAAAGCTGCTGGACGAGGTTTTTATTTTTCTTTTTCTTTTGCTTTTGCTTTCAAATCTCTCGCATTTCTATAATTTACTGGTCTAGTAAGAGCTTATTTTGGATCATATGCCTAGCTGGGTGTTTGTGCGCCAGATCCTAAATTAGATACAGAATTATCAGCAGCGACACTATTATTTTAATCAGACTACTAAGCGTTTGCAGCTCCCTAATTAACTGGAATAATTGGAGGAGGTTCATCAAGAACACTATTTTCTTCTTGCCCTTCAAAAATCCATTGCTTTTTAATTGGACAGTATCTAAAATCATTAGAAACTCCTTCCAAATTAACTTAAGAAGCCCTGCTATCCTCTTTCTTGAATATATTTTTTATTTTACTTAAGAGCCCGCTTTAATTGGCAGCATCATTATTTTTACTTTCTTTTTTTTCAGTCTTTTTTGAAAAACCAACATCATCATCGTCATCATTTGTACTAATTGCACCCTGTGTTGAAGAGGTTTAGTTTTCTCCTTACTTTTCTTGTTGCTTATTCTTTTATTATGCTTCATTTTTATACTTTGCACTTTCAGAATCTGCTAAAGCTTAAATTTGCTCAGCTTTTTAATACAATGAAACATATTTTTTGAAGTGATCATCTATTTGATTTTATAATCTTATAAGATTATCTTCATTTATATTTCTTAATTAAAGCTTGGATTAAGAGAGTTAATTATCATACAAACTTCTTATTGAAATAATGTTCAATGAAGTATAATGGTTATTCTATTTTGCTAGCTCATCTATTTGACTAAAAGTGTTTTACAAACTTGATACTATTTCTTAAAAACATTTCTCATGTTATTATTGAATTTTTACTCTCCAATTATTTTCTATTTTACTATAAACTTGCTTTTAAATTGTGTCTTCAACTAATTTACAAACTTTATCTGATATAGCATTTATGTTTTTAAGTGTTCCTTCCTAAATTGTATTGCGATAATTTTTAAATATTTATTTATACTCATTTAAATAATTGATTTGCCCAGAAAGAGTTGCATTTATCTAATCAAATAGCCTCAAAAGCTCTTTATCTAATTATTCAGTCTTTCCAAGAATATTCTCTTATCTGCTATTCTAGTTTTTCTGCTTGCTAGTCATAATCCTTTAAAATTATTATTTATAAATTAATAAGCTTTTTCTTTTTGATGAAGGATTGATTGTAATTAATATTTTTGCTAAATAATTAATTTAATTGTTTGATATATAAACAAATAAATGTTTGTATTTTCAACTTATTTTTTAATAGTAAAATCTAAGGGTATTACCAGTCTTTTAAATACTAAGCAAAAACAAAATAAAGAGCTTTCTTCATAAAATTTAGCTAGCTCTTTGTAAAATAAAGAAAAACAAACACTCATTCTCCAAACTCAATATTTGATCAAAATTTATGTAAATTTTTTATTAATTAGCTTTTGAATTCTCTCTTTTTCAACACGTATAATTATTACATAAAATCAAATAAACACCCATTTCTTTTATCACAATTTGTAATATAATATTTCAATAATACATTAAAATAATGTTTAGAATTTTTTAAACACACCTTTATTTTACATCTTAATATTATTTTTTATTAGTTAATGTTTTATTTTTATGGTTACTTAATAATAATATAATTTAAATATCTTTTAATTTTAGTAAAAAAATTTGTTCATTTTATTATTCTAAATTCAAATATTTATATATTTAATTTTTTCACTATTATTGTAATAAATCTCAACTATTAATAAGCAAATTTTTATAAGAATTAAAAAAAACTAATACTATTTGATTATATATTATATAAATTTACAATATTATTATAAAATATTACTGATGAATTCCCAATAATATTTAATTTATTAGATATTTACAATCTTCACTTGTAATTTACAGATTTTATAATACCTATAGCAACCACTACTTTCATGTCTCTAATGATGAAACGACCAAGTGGAGCATTGTTGGCAAATGTTTCAACACAAACAGCCTTTCTAGGTTTGAGCTTTACTATTGCACACTCACCATTCTTGATGAAACTGGGATTCTCTTCAATGCTTGCTCCTGTTTTTCTATCTATCTTTTTCACGATCTCTTCGAATTCGCAAGAAACAGAGGCCTAGTGAACATTCACAACTGGACAATAACCTTTCTTAATACTTCCAGGGTGATTGATCACAATAACTTGAGCTTCGAAGCTTTCACACTCTCTTGGAGCTCTCTCACCAACATAACCACAAACTGCTCCTTTAGAGATATCCTTATATTCTAAGTTTTTTACATTGAAGCCGATGTTATCTCCTGGCATTCCTTCACTCAACTTTGTGTGGTGAGCTTCAATAGATCTAACTTCTAATTTAGTGTTTGCCTTTCCTTCATAGGGTGCAAAGCATATTGACTTGTTTGTTTGAAGAACTCCTGATTCAACTCTACCAGATACAACAATACCGATACCATCAACCTTGTAAATACCTTGAATAGGAATTCTGAGATCCTTTTCAACTGGTCTGGTGGGAGGAGTAACTGAGTCCAAAGCTTCAAGAACAGTGTTACCCTTATACCAAGGCATACTCTCGCTCTTCTCAGTAAGGTTGTGACCAATATATCCAGAGATAGGAATGAAAGAGACATTTTTGAGATTGAAACCTATCTTTTAGAGATAGAGAGAGACTTCAGATTTGATATTTTCAAATCTCTCCTCACTAAAGTTGACTAACTTGTCATCCATCTTATTGACACAAACTATGATTTGTCTAAGACCAAGAGTATAAGCGAGGAGGACATGCTCTTTTGTTTGACCTCCTTGACAGAAACCAGCTTCGAATCCTCCCTTTTCTGCTGTGACGATGAGGATACCAACATCAGCTTGAGCTGTACCAGTGATCATATTTTTAACAAAATCTTTGTGACCTGGAGTATCTATGATGGTGTAGTTATACTTGTTAGTGTTGAACTTAAGCATGGTAACATCGATAGTGATACCTCTGGATCTTTCGGCCTTTGTACGATCCATAACATAAGCAAATCCGAAAGATGACTTACCTTCCTTTTCAGCAAGAGCCTTGAGTTCATCAATTTTTCTTTAGTTGACTTCACCTAACTTGAAGACGAGGTGACCACAGGTGGTTGATTTACCAGAATCAACATCACCAAAAACAGCAACAGATAAATGCTACTTGGTAATCATTGTTTAAAATAGTAATTTTTTTTGCTAATTTTTATTTAGTAATTTATTATTAATTAAATTAATTACTTAAATAGAATGAAATGAAAAAATATTTTTAAAGAAGCTGAGATGTAATAAATCTATTTGATTTATGAATAACTTTAAGAATATTTTAAAATAGAATTGGATAAGCTGATGAATAATATAGTTTGAAATAATTTAAGGATATCTTTATAGAATAATTAAATAATTAAGAATACTAACAAAACCTGATGATCATTAATAAAAAAATTTAATCAATGAGAAAATTTGTCTATTTTTAGGTTAATAGAGTCTATATTTATTTAAAAAACTTAAATTTTTTCAAAGCTTGCTTAAACAATAATGAAAGTATTGAAAAAGTTTAAAGAACATATGAATATCTAAATTTTAAAAAATAGTAAAATAAATTTTATTTATTCATTTTTTAAAATGTAAGAAAAGTATTAGAATTATATTAAGGATAATTTTTTTAATAAAACAATTATTTAATAAATCTAATTATATCATTTTTTACTAGTCCATCTTGCATGTAATTTAGATGTAAACCATATTAATTTATTAAAATTTTTGATATCTTAAAAATATAAAAAGATTTCATTTTTACCCAAGCCTCACTATTTTTGACAGATAGCGAGTTATGAGGAATAACAGAGTATTATAAATTATGATTATAATAAAATTTAATTTTTTTAATATTAAAAAAGTTATTATCTTAATAATTGAATCATCATTTTTTATAAATTTAATTTAAACTTTTTTTAAGTGGCATTTTATTATGCTTTAACTTTAAATATTATGGTATAATTTTATTTAAAATTATAAAGAGAATCAGAAAAATTTTTAATTTTAGAATATAAATATTTATTTAATTTAAATATAAATGATAGCTTAAATATAAAAAATTTTTAATTCTAACAAAAATTATTATTTCTTTTGTAAATTACTATATTTTACAAAAACATATAACTATAAATAATAAAAACTATAAATATTATATTATTTATATATACTATTAATTTACTATTCACTTATAATTAACAGATTTGATGATACCTATAGCAACCACTACTTTCATGTCTCTAATGATGAAACGACCAAGTGGAGCATTGTTGGCAAATGTTTCAACACAAACAGCCTTTCTAGGTTTGAGCTTTACTATTGCACACTCACCATTCTTGATGAAACTGGGATTCTCTTCAATGCTTGCTCCTGTTTTTCTATCTATCTTTTTCACGATCTCTTCGAATTCGCAAGAAACAGAGGCCTAGTGAACATTCACAACTGGACAATAACCTTTCTTAATACTTCCAGGGTGATTGATAACAATAACTTGAGCTTCGAAGCTTTCACACTCTCTTGGAGCTCTCTCACCAACATAACCACAAACTGCTCCTTTAGAGATATCCTTATATTCTAAGTTTTTTACATTGAAGCCAATGTTATCTCCTGGCATTCCTTCACTCAACTTTGTGTGGTGAGCTTCAATAGATCTAACTTCTAATTTAGTGTTTGCCTTTCCTTCATAGGGTGCAAAGCATATTGACTTGTTTGTTTGAAGAACTCCTGATTCAACTCTTCCTGATACAACAATACCGATACCATCAACCTTGTAAATACCTTGAATAGGAATTCTGAGATCCTTTTCAACAGGTCTGGCGGGAGGAGTAACTGAGTCCAAAGCTTCAAGAACAGTGTTACCCTTATACCAAGGCATACTCTCGCTCTTCTCAGTAAGGTTGTGACCAATATATCCAGAGATAGGAATGAAAGAGACATTTTTGAGATTGAAACCTATCTTTTAGAGATAGAGAGAGACTTCAGACTTGATATTTTCAAATCTCTCCTCACTAAAGTTGACTAACTTGTCATCCATCTTATTGACACAAACTATGATTTGTCTAAGACCAAGAGTATAAGCGAGGAGGACATGCTCTTTTGTTTGACCTCCTTGACAGAAACCAGCTTCGAATCCTCCCTTTTCAGCTGTGACGATGAGGATACCAACATCAGCTTGAGCTGTACCAGTGATCATGTTTTTAACAAAATCTTTGTGTCCAGGTGTATCGATGATGGTGTAGTTGTACTTGTTAGTGTTGAACTTAAGCATGGTAACATCGATAGTGATACCTCTGGATCTTTCGGCCTTAGTACGATCCATGACATAAGCGAATCCGAAAGATGACTTACCTTCCTTTTCAGCAAGAGCCTTGAGTTCATCAATTTTTCTTTAGTTGACTTCACCTAACTTGAAGACGAGGTGACCACAGGTGGTTGATTTTCCAGAATCAACATCACCAAAAACAGCAACAGATAAATGCTACTTGGTAATCATTGTTTAAAATAGTTATTTTTATTTATTATTTTTATTTAATTATTAATTTAATTAATTACTTTGATTTAGTGAATAGAAAAATTATTTTTAAAGAAGCTGAAATGTAAAAAATCTATTTGATTTATGAATAACTCTAAGAATATTTTAAAATAGAATTGAATAAGCTGATTAAAAATAGTTTGAAATAATTTAAGGATATCTTGAAAGAATAATTAAATAAATAAGAAATACTAACAAAATCTGATAATAATTAATAAATCAAATTTAATCAATAAGAAAAATAGTCTAATTTGAAGTTGTAGAGTCTATATAATTAGGCAAAAACTTAAATTTTTTCAAAGCTTAAAAAAATTGCGAAATTAAAGATACTTAAATTTGTATATGTATATTAAAACTTTTCTTGAATTTTTTATTTGTTAAAAATAAGCATATTTTTAAACTAAAAATAGCAAGATAAAGTAAAAATCCAATATATTTTTGTTTAACAGATATAACTTTAATTAGGTTTATTTACAACATAGAGATTTTAACTAATATAAAAATATATGCCTTTTTTATTATAGAGATGAACTGTGGATTAATCTTTTTTTAAAATTAGTCTCAAGTACCTTGAAATTATGTTAGAGCGCTTAAATGAGAACATAATTTTTTATTTGTATAATTTACACCTTTCAATAAAAAGTGAAAAAATATTCCAAACCCAAAAGCCTAATTATAAGATTTTACCATTATTTAGTGAATATAGATAAGCTAAAGTATTGCTGTATTATATATAATTCATTTATTTTATTATTTTTTATTTAATAATTTAAATGATTGTATTTTGGTTCATTACTTTAGTAAGAAGTATATTGTATTTATGAAATGTTCTGCTAATTGCTAGTCAAATTATTCAACAGTATTCTGTTGAGATATAGCAAATTATATTTACATTTTTTAAAGTGGTTTAAATATGAACTTAAGCATATACTCACTATTTTCTTTCTAAATGAATGAAACTAACCCGCCAACTTTAAAATCACTTATTCCAGCAATATGCTCATCTTTTTCAAAAGGAGTTAGTTCAATCAATTATGGGAAATATTTCATAATACTAAAAGAATTTTTAAGTATATTGGTAGAGTACTAAAATTCTTAAGACTTAAATATATATTTTTATTGAATGAATTACCATTTCTATTTGAATATTGTTATATTTACATCTTTATAGACCATAAATTTGTTAATCATAGCAGGGAGAACTAGTTAGACTTGCTAATCTTTTCCATTTTGCCTAATAAATTTAAAATTATTTGAAACCAAAATGATTAACTTAAATTGCTTACGTTAATAATATCGATCCCTCTGGTAAATTAAATGGGATTTTTATAATTTGAATCAATAGGTCTACTTTAACTTTGTGTTCTGATGGTATATCACATTTAACAACAGTCGGATTCATTTTTACAACAACATCTAATTTGAAATTTAAATTAATTAATTGTTAATTTTTTTCAAAATATGGAGTTTATTATACCTTGATTTTCTATGTTGATGTATGATAAATGGGTGATTTCCTGCTTAGAAATATTTAAAAAATGCACTGTTATTTTTAAGAAATGTTTTTTTGTTTAGCTATAATGATGGGATGTTAGTGTTCCAACTTTCAAAATACTACTTTAAGAGATAACCCCTTTATCAGATAGGCATGATTTTCTGAATCTATCAAAAGAAGAGCTTTCTTTATTATCTTGCTCTAACAAGTTTGATAAAGAAGATTTTTAAAATTACTTCAAATAGTTTTATTGTATTAAATTATTAAATTTGAGAAGTTAGCCTTTAATATTGTTTGATTTATTTTTGTTGTTGTAGTAATCATCAGGTTTTTGAAATGGATAAATTAACTACTAAAAGAAGAAATCACATTTTTATCTTTCACTTGGAGTTATTGTAGAAGATTGCAAGTTTGTTGTTGTTGTAGCAAAGTTTTCAGTTTCATTTAAATTAAATGTTTGCTGGAAAGAATTAGGCTAAAGAGTGAGTATCATTCCACTATTGTTTATTTTTTGTAAATTTTATTTTGAAGAATTTTGAGATTGACTTCTTTTAGTTAAAAAGGTAGCTTAAATAGCATTTTATGTGTTGCTTAGATTGTTATTATTGGTAATTACATTAATATTTTAGTTGACTGAATTTTATTATTGAGGATTTATATTAAAGCTAGTATTGTTGTGAGTACTTAAATGATAATCATTATTTTCAATGTCAAGATAAAGTGTATTATCTTAAGAGTCCTTTTGTTCTGCAGAGAGGTTTAAAAAATCACTTGAAACTCTACTGTCACATCTACTATTATTCCTGCTTTCTTATCTGCTTCTTGACTGACCAAAACCATTACTACTACTTTAGAAGTTATTAGCTTAATTAGTGTTGTTAAATAATCCCATTGTATTAGAAAAGTATTGGCTGTGGCTTGTTGTTGAATTGCCAGAATGAATTGGTGTTTTGCTCCTCAAATAATCACTCAAATTTAAATAGTTCTAAGAATTATTTGAGTAATTATGCATATTACTTTTACTTCTTATTGTTGGCCTCTTCCTGTAAGTGTTATTACTTGACTCCTTTAAATTTATTTATTTTTGAATATTTTTAATAAATAAAATTTAGATTTTCATTTTAAATTATAATTTAAAGTTTAGAAAAAAAATATTGAATTACTTCTTCGATGGTGTTGAGACCTCTTTAATTTTTAACACTTTAAGGAATTTGCTATTATGCAATCATTTAATCAAGAGAAAATTTTCTACTTTATGGCGTTTAAGTAGTTGGTTCTGAATGGAGAACTTTTTATACTTGAATTTATCCAGAAGCATTAAAATCATTTTTAGTATTATTAAAAGAGGTATTAAGAGTATTATTTTAGTTTAAATAGCCTTAAGCTGCAAATAAATCTTACATAAGTTTGTGTTAATAATAATTAGATGCTTGAATTTAGTTTATTTGATCACTACTATTAGTGGTGATGTTAGAAAGCTTTAGCATTAAAGGGTTCAAATTTTGGGTTAAGCTGAGCTAATTCCTGGAAACAGAGATATTAGGCTATGTAGATTATTCTTCTGAGATAGAATCTCTTACATAGATAGGTGGTTTAGATGTAGGAGTTGCCTTTGTATCTATCTAAATTAATTGATTGTATTTATAAACAAATTAATTCATTTCTAGTAAATATTCTAAATTTTACTCTCATCATATCTTAACCATTATAGCTAGAAAACTATGTAGATTTTAATGTCTAATCAAATGTATGAATGACGTTCTAGTTTTCAGATGTTTGTATTTCCAGATGATCTCTTTTGCTATTTTCATTCATAAACCAAAATATTAACAAAATTAATAAATCATATCAGTTAATAAATAAATAAAGAAAAAAATAAATAAATAAATAAATGAGAAAGAATAAATTTTATGTTTTATACCTTTTTGGTCTTTAGTTTTCTGTTTAAATAGGCTAAAATGATTAAATAATTTTGTTTAGTTAGTCAATTTGCTGTTGTTGGAATTATAATTTTTCTTCTATTTCTACTTGTTAGGATTTATTTTCTCCTGTTTATGAGTTGTTAACAGACCTATAAGTTAATTTAGAATTTTTGTTTTCTTCGATTTCTCTTTTGAGAGCGTTTCTTTCATTTTAAAGCTCTTATATTTGAGACTTCAACAAATTTAATTCTTCTTAGTTAAATTATCTATCAGTTGACATTGATCGAGCAGACTTTTATTACTGTTACTATATACTATTTAAATCTCTAATCTTTATATTTTGCTGCTCAAGCTTGCTATTAAGTTATTTTGATTCTTCTTTTAAGTCTTAAATAAGATCATTTAGCTCAGCATTATTTTGATTCAATTAATCAATATATTCTTTTTTAGCAAGAAGATCCTTCTGCAATTTAATATTTTCCAATTCTATCTTTTCAATTTTTAAATTGAATTCTAATCTTTCATTTTAAAATTTCTGATCAACATTAATAGATTCCAATTCTAGTTGCTGATGTGAGACTGCTTTTGCTCTTTCATCGCTTAATTATTAAAGCAAATCTTAAACTTTATTTTTTAACTGATCTCTTTCTATCTAAACATTATTCAGCTAAGATTCTAGGTCTGATAAATATTCGTTTTGTCTCTTCATATCGTCCTTTAAGATGGTGATCTATTTAGAGAGTCTTTCATTGTCAGCTTCGTATTTCTCAATTATAGTTCTTTTACTCTGCAATTCTTACACCATGCTTTAAGTTTTTTTACTTTCAGACTACTTCTATTCATCAACAACTAGAGATATTCTTTTTGAGTGTTCAACATTTTCTTCTAATATCCTATTTTACTCTTCAATATCGTGAATCTAATTTTGTAAGTCTTTTATTTTTTCATTAAGCCTGAGCTTTTCTTTATCACTTTCATTTTCTTTTTAAGCTTTCTCCTTTTCACTCTCCTTATAAATGATAATATATTTAATAAGAAATAAATAAAAAATTGAATTTATCTTACTCTTATTCTTTGCAACATTTCATTTTCTCTTTTTTCATGAGAGTCCACCATTTCTTAATAATGATTTTTAAATTAATTCAATTCCTATCTAAGTTAAGAATTTTCAGACATAATCAGTTGATAATCAGTCATTTATTGTTAATTTTATATAGTTTTATTTGTCAATTATGAAATTTTTTCTAAAGCCTGTTCCAGCTTCTAATGTAAAATATCCTTCTCATCTATAATTAGATTTCTTTCTCTCTCTAAAACACTTATTTAATTTTCTAACTTTTCAATAGATATTTTTTACCTTTCACTTTCTCTCTTGTGCATCTAAATTAAAATTTATAAGACATTTATATTAACTTTGAATGAATTAAATTAATTACTTCTTTCTCATCTTTATTTATTTTCACTTCTTTTTCAATTAATTCCTTTTCTTTTTCTTTTGCACTTAAGAGATTATTTAATCTTTAAATTTCCATCTGCTTTTCTTCTAAATTTCTTTGACTTAAATTTGCGTCTTCTTAGTTTTCTCTAAAAGATTTCATTTATTCTTTATATTAAAAAACGAATTATTTACATTTTCTAATTTTAATTATTACATTAATTATTGCTATCTACCCTGAAGGCTGGAGTGTTATTTGATGAGGAGAAGTTACTGCTACTATTATTTTAGATAACACCCCGGCTGCTATTGTTTGTTGTATTAAATTAAGAACCAAATTTAGGTTAGATGTTATCTTCTTGCTTGTTCGATTATATAGCACTTGGATAATTGCCAAAACTATCTCTAGGATTTAAATTTTTACTGTTATCCTGCTTATTTAGATATACAACATTATCATATTAGATAATATTTTTAGATTCATCTTTAATATTTTCCTTTTTATCAACCATTTCTCCATAATCATTGTTATCGTCGTACCTTGTTGAAGATTTTCTCTCTTCTGATTACTATTTACTATATTTCTTTTCACTCGATTGATTATAATAATAAAGTCTAGGTGATTCTTCTTTTTATTTAGTTTTTTTATCTTTTGCAGAATTACTATCTTCAATAGTAAATCCACTACTTGAAATGTTTGATCTTTGCTTACTACTAATTTTTGAATCTCCATAATCAATTTCATCTATTTCTTCTATTTCTAAGTGGTGATTTGCTTGATTAGATTTAGAAGGCAAAGCAGTATTTTATTTTGTCTTTTTTTCTTGCTCTTCCTCCTCAAGTATTATTTATAAAAGTTCCTTATTGGTAGTTTCTAAAAATAAATTTCTTAATTTAATAAAATCAATATTTTTCTATCTGTAAGATTTGTATGATTTCTACACTGATATAGCCTTTATTTATAAATTAGATAAGTACTGTTTGTATTTCATTTCTAAATTTTTATATTAAGTATTAATCAGCTGTATAAATTCAAATGATTTATCAACAAACAAATCCACGACAGCAAACTAGCTTTCGAGTTCTATTAAATTTAAAAGATAAAAACATTATTTATAAAAACATAATAATAACTTTAAAAGACATTTTTATTATTTAAATCTAATTTACCTTGTTAATTAATATTTTAATCACTTTTTTCATTGCTAATATTGACTTCAATTTATAAAATGACACTGTTAAACTTACTTATCAAATCCTCTATTTCTTATGAGATGTCTCTTTAATTCCCTTTTTCATTGTTTTGTTATTTTTAATCCTATACTTATTCAGTTTATGGATTGGAAGACTATTGTTACATTTCTTTTAAAGCTTATTTAAAATAATTGATTTTTTCAGGAAATTTAACACCTAATTCTACAAGTGATTCATAATATTACAAATAAGAAGAGATTTCGCTAGGATTTTCTAAATTATTTTGATATAAATAAGACCAAAATAAGAAACACTCCAAACTTAACCTCACTAAGCTATTTCCAATAATTTACATTTGCTACTCTATTTGATGATTTATTTACATAATAAAATTATAATCTTATATAGATATTCTATAAAAAAAAACCTGCTTTTTCGCCATAATAAAGAGATCCTCTATCATCATTTTAGCTTTAGTAATCAAATTTTGCTATTTAAAACATTGAATCTAAAATTGTTTTGTGCTTATTTAGCTTATTAATCATATCGATATTCTTCGTATCCATTGACTCTTTTAAGAGCTATTACATAATAAAAAAAGCTATTCCAAAACTGAATATTTTCAAATTACTAAGTAAATTAAATGATTATTTTAAAAAATTATTGATATTTTACTCTCAAAGAGTTAAGAATAGCAATTGGCTTAACTGTTGAGTTGGTTAAACAATACTCAGTAGTTTACAAAACTAAATTTATTAATTCCCTAATTTTTTAAAAATGATTGACTATTATTTGTAAGAGTTGAATCTTCAAAATTATATTTTTTAATAAATCAAAATGATGCATTAACAAATTGTATTTACTGATCACCAGAGCTTATTGAAGATTTAATTTTTTTTATATTAGACTTATATGTTTCTAAATCGCTAAGAACATCATTTATAAGATCATTAACTTTTTTACTCATATTTTATACAGTATAACAATCCTAAATTCTCTTTTAAGCTTTTCTTGAAAAAAGAATAATTGATCCGTTTACTTTTGATTGTACAACTAATTGCAAATAAATTAAAATACATCAATTTTGAATGAAATGAATGTTTAGATTTTTTTGATTTGATTTAATTAATTTACAAATTTTTTTGAATTTTTGTTCTAATTTTGTTAAATACCAAAGAAATCAAACAAAAATCACCAATGATAAAATTAAATATATTAAAATGCCCAATAAAAAATTTATTTATTGATGCACTGCTATTAAAAACAATACCAAGAATAACAAACAATTTTAAAATATTTGTTTTGAACAGATAACATATTAAAAAATAAATTAAATTTTATCATATTAATCATTTAAATAATATTTAAAATGTTGAATAAAATAATATTTTTAAAGTTCAATCATATAAATTTCATTTAAAAATAAATATTAAAATACTGATTTTTAATTAAAAATAATTCATTTGTATTAATTTTATATTGCAACTATTAAATTGAAAGTTAATTTATATGTAGATATAAATATATTAAAATTTATGTTAGTAAAATTAATTTTAATTTTATTTAAAGATTTTTTACTTAAAAATAATTTTATATTAAAAAAAACTATCAATAATAAAAAATAAATGATTTCAATTACAATAAATAATCATTTCTATTTACCATTTATTTATTGAGTTGAGAAATACAAATATATATAGCCAATCATATCATACTAAAAAAATCAAAATTAATAAGAATACTAAAATTGAACTTTTATATGCAGCTATAATTTCAGAAGAATTGTTTGATGAATTTTAAACAAAGCAATTTATAAATTATTATACTTCTTATGAAACATTAGAGTAATATTCGTCTATAAGCTATTATTTAAGATTTATTTAACATTAAAAGTCTACTGCTTGGCAAGAATCTGACTCTATTTAATTCCATTTTTAGAAAAATTATTAATTGCTGTAAAGATTACTACATAATTTATTTTGAGAACATTAAATAAACTACAGCCATTATTAACCACAAGATTACATATATTAGTCATAGCTGCTACTCTAAAATAAGCAATTCATTACGCTTTAAAATAGCGTATTTTACATAGTTTTTCTGCTAACAATACTCTTATAATCTTTAAATTACTTCTACACCAATACCTTTTAATACTAGGCAAAATATGCATTACAAAGACTAAAACCAGATTGTAAGGTATTACACTAACTTAATTATAAGGAACATTATCCTGAAGCAGTACTTAATAAAGTCATATAATTAATATTTTAATCACAATTTACTATTGCTAACATTAATATTAAAATGAAAAAATATAATTTCCTCATTTTTTCTTAATTACTTCCCTACAAATAACTTTGATATGTAATTTGAGTATTATATATAATTTATCTTTCAATTCTTAAATCTAATAAATCTTATCAGGAAAATGAAATTATAGCCAATACTGAATTTCTTTTATAATATAATTAGTATTTTTCTACATAAATAAAGATAAAATGTTTCTACATTAAAAAATAAACATTTAAAGAAAATTTATTTTTATTATATTTTATAATTTTATTTTTTCTTAAAATGAAAATGAATATTGTTTGTTGAGTTTCTAAAAACATATATTTTTAAATTTATAATTTCCCTTTTTTGTAAATAAAGAATATGCCAAAATAGAAGATAACACTTTTCAATGATTTACTGTAATCTCAATAATTAAAAACACATTATATTAATAACACTCAAAAATGAAAATGTTTTTCTTTTTTTTTAATCACTTACCTATATTTAAAAATAAAAAGTCTGTGTTGATTTTTGATAGTTGAGAATAGGAAATCTCAACAAACCCATTAACCAATATCTTGATTATAAACTAATAAAATTTTTTCATCATTTTAAAATCAAATTTCAAATATATATTTATATATGTGTATGTGTCTGTATGGATTTAGCAATACAAGTTTTAATTTTTAATATCTGTAAAGAAACTTATCAAATTCAATTTATATTTTGAAAAAAATATATAATTATTTTTTTAATATTTAATAATAAATCACTACAAATAAATTATATTTACTAAATACTTATTGAGGTTATAATTTTTTATTATTTGAGAGTAAACCCCCTTACTTATTTTAGCTAGATAAGAAGCAGTGTACTAACTAGAAATAAAAACTTTTTTTTCATATCAATACTATAATATTTTAGAAGTATTCAAAAACTATGAATTAATTTAATAAACCAAAATTATACAATCAAAATAAATAAATAATAAGTTTATTAATATTAATTTTATTATTTTATAATTGAAATAATTGTAAAAGTTAAATAATATAAAAAAAATATTTGATTCTTAGATGATCAAATATCAAATAAATAAATAATTATAATAGATAGATTTAATTCATATTATTTAAAATGGTATCCTTGTACAGACTGCGATCCTTACAAAGTTGTAACTACAATCAAAAAATTAATTATTTAATATAAAATTTTTTTGTTATTAACTATTTTTTACCTCTTAAAAATTTACATTGATATCAAAAAACAAAAAATACATTAGCTAGTAATTTGAAAAGTCTGAATATATAATTTCGTAAAATTCTTTAGATAATATAGTTCTAATTTTAAAATCTTAAAAAAGTAGAAATGAAACACTAATTAAGTGAATGTTTTTAATGAATTTTTATCTGTATTTTCATAATGATCTTAATAATAATCAAATAAATAAAGAAGATTTGATTTTGTGTTTCATTTAGAATTTATTAGTAATTTTAATAATAACTAAAAATAGTATTTGTTTGTGAATATTATTTTATAAAAAATTTGTTTTTTTTTTGAAGATAATTAATTTTAATTAATAATAGGAAATAATATAAATAACTAACTAAAATAATTGTCCATAAAAATATATTTTTTATCTAACCAGTATTTAGCTTTATTTATGCAATTTTTAGAAAGAAGAATTATCTATCCTTCTTATTTGTGCAATTAGATACACTAATGTATTTAACCTGAAAATAAATAAAAAAAAATGAAAAAATTTGTTGTATTTAACTTAAACCAACAAACATAAAATTTATCAATAATTCATGATTGGATATACTGACATAAAAAATCTGAAATAAAAGCATGGTAAATTAATCAGGGTAAATATTAGATAAATAATGTACATTTATTTTAAATTTAACAACTTATATAAATGGCTATATTTTGTTCTTTGGTATTATATGATTAAAATGTTCGTTCATATGAAATAATGGGTAAGACTTCTTCTCCTCACGAAGTACTTTTTTATTTAAAATCATTGTTACAGTTAAAAAATTTAACATAAATTCATGAGTCAAAGTAGTCTATTTCTATATTTTATTAACAAAGTTTACAAAGTAACTACTCCTTAAATACAAAAATAGCTCAAAAAAAATGATTTAATTTTTGAAGAAACAGTTAAAACAAGCAACTTATTAAAAACTAATAATATTTTTTAATCATAGTATATTTATATATATGAATATAGCAATACAAGTTTAGATTTTTTGAACCCAGTAAAAATAGTAATCAAATACAATTTATTTGAGCAAAAAATCTAAAGAGCATTTTTATAAATTGTTATCATATACCAAGTGTAATATATAATATATTTGTGTAATTATTCAGTAAATTAAAATAACCTTCACTATTCTTTAAATAAAACATAAAATATAAAATATTTTTTCTCCTTGTTTTATCAAAATGTATTAATTGCACTATTTATTTTAATAAGATTCTATTGGAAATTTCAAAAAATGTATGTAATTAGATAAGTTAAAAGATATAATTTTAAAATCTATGATAAAAAATAGATTTAAAATGGCCAATTTTCATTTAAAGAAAATTAATGTATAAAATTCTATTTAATTGAATAAGCTAATTAAATCAAAATCATGATGAATCAGTTTTTTATTCATAAATTAATCTATATTTTTTTAATTTGCCAGAAATTAAATTTTTATTTTTGTAGTTAAAGGTTAAATTTTCGTTCATAATATGAAAAAATTCAAATTACTTATTTATCTATAATATATATCATTTTATTTTGAGATTTATATGGGAATACTTTAAAATATTTTAAGTTTTTACTACTTTCTACTTTCATAATACATATTATATTCTAGCTATTATTATTATTATTACTAAAAGCAACACATCATACTTATAAATGTAATAGATTTTTTTCCCACTATTTTAGGCGAAAAGTGATTAATAAGTAATATCACCAAAGTAATCAATCTACTCCACAAATAAATTGTTATAAAATTCAAAAATCATAAACATTACATTTAAAAATAATTTTAGTTAGTAAGTGGTGATCTAATTTTTATAGTAGACTTAACTTTAAATAAATATATCGCAATTTTTTCACCACAATCATAAAAAAATATGATTATTTTTACAATAATTAAATTCAAAAAATTTTAATTATTGAGGTATAATTTAGCTACATTTATAAGTAAATAGCCAAATAATTAAGTTTTATAATTAGACATGCAAATTAGTACTAAAATTTGATATTTTTTTATTTTTAAGATCATTTAATTTTTGAAATTCAATTTTTTAATGGTTTGATAATTAAAAATTGAATCTCAAAAAGTCAAATTTATAAATTCATTCAAATAGGTTTCTTTCTGTATGTTAATTAACCTAGCTTCTCTTTAAATACTAATTTTCTTAAATGAAAATATAAATAATAAATAAATAACTAAAAAAAATATAAAAAGTACTAAAAAATGAATTCAAAGTTTATAATTTTGAGTATTGCTTTACTTATGCCTCTTTACTTAGCTTAGAATGTTTCTATTGAATAACTCCTATCTTACAATAAGTGGTCAAGTTAAAATTTAAGAACTTTCTTGAACGATGAAGAAAAGCTATTTAGACAATTTGTCTTCTTTGAAAACTTTCAAAAGGTCAAAGAACACAACATTCAAGATAATCACACTTACTAACTTGACTTAAACTAATTTTCTGATATGATGGAAGAGGAGTTTGTTGAGAAAGTTCTTATGAAATCTGATTTAGTTGATCTTCACATTCAATAAGCTACCAGTAAAAACGCAACTTCTTCTACAACTGGAGGATCTGCTTCATCTAATTCTACAAATAGTACTGCAAAAGTTGCAATAGACTGGAGAAATAAAGGTGCTGTGACTTCAGTTAAAAATTAAGGTCAGTGTGGCTCTTGCTGGGCATTCTCTGCAGCTGGTTTAATGGAATCTTTTAATTTCATTAAGCATAAAAATTTAACAGATTTTTCTGAATAGTAGCTTGTTGATTGTGTGAACATTTCAAATGGTTTTTATTCTTATGGATGTCATGGAGGATGGCCTGAATAATGCTTAGAATATACCGCAAAGTTCGGTATCACTACCTTACAAAGCTATCCATATGTTGGTGTTTAAAAGAAGTGCAATGTTACTGGAACTAACAATGGTTTTAAACCTAAATCTTGGGAGCAAATTCCTAATACTTCTAAAGATTTATAGCACGCTTTAAATAAATCACCAGTTTCTGTTGTTGTTGATGCTTCTACTTGGAGTCACTATAGATCTGGTGTCTACAATGGCTGTGACTAAAACAAAATTAAGCTTAATCATGCTGTGTTAGCTGTTGGTTATGATTCCGTTGGTAATTGGATTGTTAAAAATTCTTGGAGTACTTATTGGGGTGAGCAAGGTTATATTAGACTTGCTCCTAATAATACTTGTGGTATTTTAAGCTATAATTACTAAATTACAGCTTGATTAAATAAAAATTTACATTAAATATTTGAATTATTTTAAACATAAGCTAAAGTAAAATACTTATAAACTATATATCATTTTAAAGTATTATTAAATTTTTTTTGATTAATGAATATAAAATATTATTAAATTATTTTTCAAGGTACGATAGTGTTAATTGCTATTGGTATTTTTTAATATTTTTTTGTTTGTGAATATTATTAAATAAAAATTTGTTTTTTTTTTGAACAAAATAATTTTAATTAATAAAAAGAAACAAAATAAATAATAGTTAAATAATTGTCCATGAAAATATTTTTTTTATTTTTTATCTAATTAGTGTTGAGCTTCATTTATGCAATTTTAAGAAAGAAGAATTATCCATCTTTTTTCTGCAGTTAGACACGCTAATTTATTTAATCTGAAAGTAAATAAGAGGTAAATGAGTTATCTAAATAATAAAAATATTAAGCCAACAAAGAAAAAATTAATCAATAACTCAAGATTGGATATACTCACATAAAAAAATCTGAAATAAAAGTATGGTAAATATTAGATAAATAATTTACATTTTTGTTTAAATTTAATAGCTTATATAAATGGCAAATATTTGTTCTTTGGTATTATATGATTAAAATGTTCGTTTGTATGAAATAAATGGATAAGACTTCCTCTCCTCACTAAATACTTTTTATTTAATCTCTTGTTACATCTTAAAAATATAACATAAATTCATGAGTCTAATTAGTCTATATTTTATTAACAAAATTTACAAGTACACTCCTTAAATACAAAAATAGCTTAAAAAAAATGATTCAATTTTTGAAGAAACGGTTAAAACGAGCAATTTCTAAAAAACTAATAAAATTATTTAAATCATTTTAAGTATATATATGTATGTATATTTATGAAGCAATACAAGTTTCAAGTTTTGTATTTTTGATCCCAGTAAATAAAGTAATTGATCAAAGAATCGAAAGAGTATTTTTATAAATTATTATCAGGTACCAAGTGTAATATATAATATATTTGTTTAATTATTCAGTAAAATAAAATAATCTTAGCAATATTCATTCTTTAAATAAAAAATAAAATATGATATATTTTTTCTCCTTGTTTTATCAAAATGTATTAATTGCACTATTTATTTAAATAAGATTCTATTGGAAATTTAAAAAAATGTATGTAATTAGATAATGTAAAAGATATAATCTAAAATATATGATCAAAAATAGATTTAAAATGACCAATTTTCATTTGAAGAAAATTAAAATATAAAATTCTATTTAATTGAATAAGGTAATTAAATTAAAATCATGATTAAGCAGTGTTTTACTCACAGATTAATCTATATTTTTTTAATTTGCTAGAAATTAAATTTTGATTTTTGTAGTTAAAGTTTAAATTTTTGTTCAGAATATGAAAAAATTCAAATTACTTATTTATCTATAGAATATTTCATTTTATTTTGAGATTTATATGGGAATACTTTAAAATATTTTAAGTTTTTACTACTTTCTACTTTCGTAGTATTTATGATTTTTTAGCTATTATTATAACTAAAACAGGACGGACATCTTATTTATAAATGAAATAGATTTTTTTACCATTATTTTAGGTGAAAAAGTGATTAAAAAGTAATATCACCAAAGTAATCAATCTACTCCATTAAAAATTGTTATAAAGTTTAAAAATCATAATCATTACATTTAAAAATAATTTTAGTAAGTGGTGATTCTTTTCATTTAATTTTAAAATAACCAAAACTTTAAATAAATATCTTACAATTTTTTCACCACAATCATAAAAAAATATGATTATTTTTACCTTAATTTAGGTTTAATTTAGATAGATTCATAAATAAATAACCAAAAAGCTAAGTCTTATAGATTAGACAGATAGATTAATACTAAAACTTGAAATCCTTATTTTTTAGATCAATTAATTTTTGAAATTCAATTTTTTAATGGTTGGATAATTAAAATATAGAATTTCAAAAAATCAAATTTGTAAATTAATTCAAATAGGTTTCTTTCTGTATGCTTATCAGTCTGGCTTCTTTTTAAATTACCAGTTTTCTTTCATGAAAATATAAATAATAAATAAATAGCTAAAAAAAAACATAAAAAAATATTAAAAGTGCTAAAAAATGAATTCTAAGTTTATCCTTTTGTGTATTGCTTTACTTATGCCTCTTTGCTTAGCTTAAGATGTCTCTATTGAAAAACTCCTAGCTTACAATAAGTGGTCAACCTAAAATTTAAGAACCTTCTTGAGTGATGAAGAAAAGCTATTTAGACAATTAGTCTTCTTTGAAAACTTACAAAAGGTCAAAGAACACAACATTCAAGATAATCACACTTACTAACTTGACTTAAACTAATTTTCTGATATGATGGAAGAGGAATTTGTTGAGAAAATTCTTATGAAATCTCATTTAGTTGATCATCACATGCAATAAGCTCCCAGTAATAACTCAACTTCTTCTACAACTGGAGGATCTACTTCATCTAATTCTACAAGTAATACTGCAAAAGTTACAGTAGACTGGAGGACTAAAGGTGCTGTGACTTCAGTTAAAAATTAAGGTCACTGTGGCTCTTGCTGGGCATTCTCTGCAGCTGGTTTAATGGAATCTTTTAATTTCATTAAGCATAAAAATTTAACAGATTTTTCTGAATAGTAACTTGTAGATTGTGTGAACTCTGCAAACGGTTACTATTCTAATGGATGTAATGGAGGATGGCCTGAGTCATGCTTAGATTATTCCTCAAAGTTCGGTATCACCACCTTATAAAGCTATCCATATGTTGGTGTTTAAAAGAAGTGTAATATTACAGGAGCTAATAATGGTTTTAAACCTAAATCTTGGAAGTAAATTCCTAATACTTCTAAGGATTTATAAAATGCTTTAAACAACTCACCAGTTTCTGTTGTTGTTGATGCTTCTACTTGGAGTCACTATAGATCTGGTGTCTACAATGGCTGCGACTAAACCAAAATTAGGCTTAATCATGCTGTATTAGCTGTTGGTTACGATTAATTTGGTAACTGGATTGTTAAAAATTCTTGGGGCACTGGTTGGGGTGAGCAAGGTTATATTAGACTTTCTCCTAATAATACTTGTGGTATTTTAAGCTATAATTACTAAATTACAGCTTGATTAAATAAAAATTTACATTAAATATTTGAATTATATTAAAGATATATTAAAGTCAAGTATATAAAAACTACATATCATTTTAAAGTATTCTTAAAAATGCTTTGATTAATAAAATAAATTTTGATTACTTTAAATAAAAAAATCTATCTCATTCAAAACTGAATGAAAAATCTAGCTTTATTTTTTGTTGATATTTTTACTTTAAAGTAATAATTTAATCAAAATTTAATTAAGAATATTAATAATAAATAATTTTCATAATATTTATGTAGTTTTATTTGAAGGAAACCTAAAAATGTTTAACTTTTAGAGTTTAGAATTTTAAAAGTAAATTTAATTTTTGAATTTTTTATTTTTTATTAATAATTTATTTTCTTACTAAAATATGAATTATATTTATAATATAAAAACAATAATAAAATCTATCTATCTATTTTTATTTTAGGTTAAAAAAACTTTTTCAAAATAATATTGAATAAAATATAATATATTCAATTATTCAAACATTTAATACTTATTCATCTTTTTTCACAAGCTATTTATCATTAGAATTATGTCCCAAAGACAACTAATCTTTTTGATTTAAGACACTTGCTTATAACTTTGAATGTTTGTGATTAATTCATTTAGCTAAGAATTTTATAGTAAATTTGTGTAAATTTTAAATAAATATCAAATAGAATAAGCTTTTAAATTAAAAATTATCTCTTAAATCAATAAATTAAATAAAATTAGTGGAATAAAAAGATAAAAAATAAATCAAATAAAAGCTATCAAATAACTTCAAAGAGCTTTTTTGTTTTATGTTCAGTTTTATAGTTTAAAATATGAAAAAATTAAGAAATAATATGAAATAATAAGATTAATTAATTATAAAAGCAAAAGTTGAAAATAAAATGATGAGTTAAATTAATAAAGAAAGAATAAAAAAAAGCAAGCACAATAAAAAGAAAAAGTAAAAAGAGCTTTATTGTTTTAAATTAGTTTTTATCATTAAAAATATAGCAATCCAAAATAAATAAACTGTTTTTACCAAAGCTTAAGTGTCAAATTTGAGAGATTAATGCAATTTGCTAAATCATAACCTAAGCCTGATGCATATTTGTCACAAATTTAATTGTCACTTTTTAAATATTGAAGAAAAAATATATCATTAAATAGTTAATTAGAAGGAAAAGGAAGAAATAATATGAAATAATAAGATTAATTAATAATAAAAGCAAAAGTTGAAAATAAAATGATGAGTTAAATTAATATAGAAAGAACAAAAAAAGTAAGCACAATAAAAAGAAAAAGTAAAAAGAGCTTTATTGTTTTAAATTAGTTTTTATAATTAAAAATATCACAATCAAAAATAAATAAACCATTTTTACCGAAGGTTAAGTGTCAAATTTGAGAGATTGATGCACTTTGATAAAGCAAAACCTAAGCTTGATGCACCTTCGTCACCAATTTTATTGTAACTTTTTAAATATTGAAGAAAAAATATATCATTAAATAGTTAATTAGAAGGAAAAAATGAAGAAAAAATATGAAATAATAAGATTAATTAATAATAAAAACTAAAGTTGAAAATAAAATGGTGAGTTAAATTAACAAAGAAAGAACAAAAAAAAAGCAAGCACAATAAAAAGAAAAAGTAAAAAGAGCTTTATTGTTTTAAATTAGTTTTTATAATTAAAAATATCACATTCCAAATCAAATAAATTGTTTTTACCGAAGGTTAAGTGTCAAATTTGAGAGATTAATGCACTTTGTTAAAACAAAACCTAAGCCTGATACACCTTTGTTACCAATTTAATTGAAACTTATTAAATATAGAAGTAAAAATATATCATAAAATAGTTAATTAGAAGGAAAAAATGAAGAAAAAATATGAAATAATAAGATTAATTAATAATAAAAGCAAAATTTGATAATTAAATGATGATTTAAATTAGCAAAGAAAGAATAAAAAAAGCAAGCACAATAAAAAGAAAAGGAAATAAGAGCTTTATTGTTTTAAATTAGTTTTTATAATTTAAAATATCACAATCCAAAAGAAATAAACTATTTTTACCGAAGTTTAACTGTCAAATATGAGAGATTAATGCAATTTGCTAAACCAGAGCCTAAGTCTGATGCTCCAATTGCATCAATTTTATTGCCACTTTTTAAATATTGATGAAAAAAAAATATCATTAAATATTATTAGAAGGAATAAAAGAAGAAAAAATATCAAATAATAAGATTAATTAATAATAAAAGCAAAAGTTAAAAATAAAATAATGAGTTAAAAAAACAAAGAAAAAACAAAAAAAACAAGCATAATAAAAAGAAAAAGAAAAAAGAGCTTTATTCTTTTAAATTAGTTTTTATAATTAAATATTTCACAATCCAAATCAAAAAAACTGTTTTTACCGAAGATTAAGTGCCAAATTTGAGAGATTAATGCAATTTGCTAAAGCATAACCTAAGCCTGATGCACCTTTGTCACCAATTTAATTGCCACTTTTTAAATATTAAAAAAAATATATATCATTAAATAGTTAATTGAATGTAAAAATGAAGAAAAAATATGAAATCATAAGATTAATTAATAATAAAAGTAAAAGTTGAAAATAAAATGATGAGTTAAATTAACAAAGAAAGCACAATAAAAAGAAAAAGAAAAAAGAGCTTTAAATTAAAAATATCTAAATCCAAATCAAATAAGCTATTGTTACTTAAGGTTAAGTGTCAAATTTGAGAGATTAATGCAATTTACTAAGGCAAAACCTAAGCCTGATGCACCTTTGTCACTAATTAAATTGCAACTTTTTAAATATTGAAGAAAAAATATATCATTAAATTGTTAATTAGAAGGAAGAAATGAAGAAAAAATAAGAAATAATAAGATTAATTAATAATAAAAGAAAAAGTTGAAAATAAAATGATGAGTTAAATTAGCAAAGAAAGAACAAAAAAAAGCAAGCACAATTAAAAGAAAAAGAAAAAAGAGCTTTATTGTTTTAAATTAGTTATTGTAATTAAAAATATCACAATCCAAAGCAAACAAACCATTTATGCCTAAGTTCAAGTGTCAAATTTAAGAGATTAATGCACTTTGCTAAACCAGAACCTAACCCTAATGCGCCTTCGTCACAAATTTTATTGTAACTTTTTAAATATTCAAGAAAAAATATATCAGTAAATAGTTAATTAGAAGGAAAAATGAAGAAAAAATATGAAAAGAACAAAAAACAAGCAAGCACAATAAAAAGAAAAAGAGCTTTATTGTTTTAAATTAGTTTTTATAATTAAAAATATCAATATCCAAAACAAATAAACAGTTTTTACCTAAGGTTAAGTGTCAAATTTGAGAGATTAATGCACTTTGCTAAACCAGAACCTAACCCTGATGCGCCTTCGTCACCAATTTAATTGTAACTTTTTAAATATTGAAGAAAAAATATATCATTAAATAGTTAATTAGAAGGAAAAATGAAGAAAAAAAAAAACAAAAAACAAGCAAGCACAATAAAAAGAAAAAAGAGATTTATTGTTTTAAATTAGTTTTTATAATTAAAAATATCACTATCCAAAATAAATAAACAGTTTTTACCTAAGGTTAAGTGTCAAATTTGAGAGATTAATGTAATTTGCTAAGGCAAAACCTAAGCCTGATGCACCTTTGTCACCAATTTAATTGTATCTTTTTAAATATTGAAGAAAAAATATATCATTAAATAGTTAATTGAAGGAAAAAATGAAGAAAAAATATGAAATAATAAGATTAATTAATAATAAAAGCAAAAATTGAAAATAAAATGATGAGTTAAATTAACAAAAAAAGAAGGGAAAAAAAAGTAAGCATAATAAAAAGAAAACGAAAAAAGAGCTTTATTGTTTTAAATTAGTTTTTATAATTAAAAATATCACAATCTAAATCAAATAGACTATTTTTACCTTAGATCAAGTGTCAAATTTGAGAGATTAATGCTTACTAAAGCATAACCTAAGCCTAATGCACCTTCGTCACCAATTTAATTGAAACTTTTTAAATATTGAAGAAAAATAATATCATTAAATAGTTAATTAAAAGGAAAAAATGATGAAAAAATATGAAATAATAAGATAAATTAATAATAAAAGCAAAAGTTTAAAATTAAATGACGAGTTAAATTAGTAAAGAAAGAACAAAAAAAAAGCAAGCGCAATAAAAAGAAAAAGAAAAAAGAGCTTTATTGTTTTAAATTAGTTTTTATAATTAAAAATATCACAATCCAAAACAAATAAACTGTTTTTTACCAAAGGTTAAGTGTCAAATTTGAGAGATTAATGCAATTTGCTAAAGCACAACCTAAGCCTGATACATCTTGGTCACAAATTTGATTGCCACTTTTTAAATATTGAAGAAAAAATATAACATTAAATAGTTAATTGAAGGAAAAAATTAAAGAAAAAAATATCAAATAATAAAAAATGAATAATAAATAATTAAAAATAGAATTGAAAATTAAGTTAAAATAGCTAAAAATTTTTAATAAAAATCAATGAATAATGATGATAATTTCTTTAACAAAAATTATTTATTTAAATAAAATGAAAGTTAAATATATAAAAATATTAATATTAATAAAAAAAATATATATAAATAAATTATACTTGAAATCAATATGGAGAATCTAGTGAGATAAAAGTGAAGAGCTTAAAAACTTTTTTTATTAATTTATATAAATTTAAAGGATATTAATAAAAATATTAATAATTACTTCTTATAATCCGTTGTAATGTTTAATCTATTATATTATCATTTATTTTTTTTTCAAAAATATTGAATAGCAATTTATGAAATTTAATTAATTATAAATGGATAAATAGAGCAAATAAAATATAATAATTAATTATTAAATATTAATTTATACATTTGGTTTTATGAAGAGATATCACATAAAAATTAATTTAACATTCATTACTTAATCTTAATATTTGTATTTAAAACGTATACTTAAAAATATAGTTGGAATTAAATATGACCAGTTAGTCATATTTGAAAAAATTCTTATAATTAATTAATGTTATTATATTATTAAAAATAATTTATTAAAATTTTTAATAAGAAAAAATAAATTTTAATTATCCACAATTTTTAATCTAACACTATACATTTTTTACTTTATTTCTCTTCTTTCAATTATTCAAATTCTAAATTTTCTAATCTAAAATTAGATTTATAACCCTTTTTATAATAAACATATTTAGTTTCATTATCTGTGAAATTATTTAAAAGTAAATAACTAATTCTAAAATATTTCTTAGAATTTTTCTAATCATCCAATAAAATTCGTTTTTTAATTATTCACTAATCTTATAAAATTTATATACAAACAAAATATTGATAGTAAAATATTGCGAATGATAAAAATTTTTGTTTCAATATTTCTAATTTTCCCATAGCTGAAATTTCGAATTTTGTGTTTTCTAAATTACAAAATTTCTTATTCTACAGATAAAATAACATAGAAATTTAGTTTATTTTTAAAGTTCTTTAAAGGATATAATAAAAAATGGTTAATTAATAAAATTGAAAATATTTATTTCAAAACCTCTAAAATTAATTAAAGAGGAGGAGATTAAGTATAAAAAAAATTACTAGAAGTAAAATATTTATATATTTGAGCAAATAATCAAATGATCCTTTATAAACTGTAATCAGATACTAAGTGAAACATCTAAAATATTTGTGTAATTTTTCAGTAAATCAAAATAACATTCGCTATGTTATTTAAATAAAATATAAAATATTTTATAATTTTTCTACTTGTTTTCAAATTGTATTAATTGTACTTTTTATTTGTATGGCTTATAAAGAAATATAGCATTTATAAAAAATGTTTACAATTAGATAATGTAAAGGATATATTTTTTAAATTTATTATCAAAAATAGTTAGAAGATGACCAATTTTCAATTAAACGAAATTAATTTTTTAAATTCTATTTAGTTGAATTTCAGCAATTTTTTTACTCAAAAATTAATCTATATTTTTTAAATTACTAGAAATTAAATTTTGATTTTTGTAGTTAGTGGTTAAATTTTATCATTAATATGAAACAATTTAATTGCATATTTATTTATCTATAATTTATTTCATTTCATTTTGAGATTTATATTGGAATACTTTAAAATATTGTAAGCTTTTGCTACTTTCAAAGTATTTATGATAAATGAATCATTTATTGTTATTACTAAAAGCAGCGCGCTTTAGTTATAAATGAAATAGATTCCATTATTTTAGGTGAAAAGTGATTAATAAGATATCACTAGAGTAATCAATCTATTCCAAAAATAGATTGTTATAAAAATACAAAAATTATAAAATTACATTTAAAAATAATGATTTAGTGAGTGATGTTTCTTTTCATCTAAATTTCATAATAGCCATAACTTTAAATACTTATATTGTAATATTTTCACCACAGTCATAAAAAAATATGGTTATTTTAACTGTAATTAAATTCAAAAAAATTTAATTATTGAGGTTTAATTTAGCTACGTTCATAAATGAATAGCCAAACAGTTAAATTTTATAGATTAGACAGATTAATTAATACTAAAATTTGAAGGCCTAGTTTTTTATTTTTAGATTAATTAATTTTTGAAATTCAATTTTTTATTGGTTGAGTAATTAAAAAATAGAAAATCAAAAAGTCAAATTGTAAATTTATTCAAGTAAGTATCTTTCTTTATGTTAATTAGCCTGAATTCTCTTTAAATTACCAGTTTTCTTTCATGAAAATAATAAATAATAAATAATTATCTAAAAAAACATAAAAAAATATTATAAGTACTAAAAAATGAATTCTAAGTATATTCTTTTGAGTATTGCTTTATTTATGAATCTTTACTTAGCTTAAAATGTTTCTATTGAAAAACTCCTAGCTTACAATAAGTGGTCAAGTTAAAATTTAAGAACCTTCTTGAACGATGAAGAAAAGCTATTTAGACAATTAGTCTTCTTTGAAAACTTACAAAAGGTCTAAGATCACAATAGCCAAGACAACCACACTTACTTCCTTGAGTTAAACTAATTTTCTGATATGACTCAATAGGAGTTTGTAGAGAAAGTTCTAATGAAATCTGATTTGGTCGATCTTCACATTTAATAAACTACCAGTAATAACTCAACTTCTTCTGCTACTGAAGTATCTAATTCTACAAGTAATAATGCAGCAGATAATGTAGACTGGAGAACTAAAGGTGCTGTAACTTCAGTTAAAAACTAAGGTTAATGTGGCTCTTGCTGGGCATTCTCTGCTGCTGGTTTAATGGAATCTTTTAATTTCATTAAGAATAAAAATTTAGTCAATTTTTCTGAATAGTAACTTGTCGATTGCATGAACTTTGAAAATGGTTACTCTTCTAATGGATGTAATGGAGGATGGCCTGAATCATGCTTAGATTATTCTTCAAAGTTCGGTATCACCACATTATAAAACTATCCATATGTGGGTGTTTAAAAGAAGTGTAACATTACTGGAACTAACAATGGTTTTAAACCTTAATCTTGGAAGAAAATTCCTAATACTTCTAAGGATTTATAAATTGCTTTAAATAGCTCACCAGTTTCTGTTCTTGTTGATGCTTCTACTTGGAGTCACTATAAATCTGGTGTCTACAATGGATGCGACTAAACCAAAATTTGGCTTAATCATGCTGTATTAGCTGTTGGTTACGATTCTGTTGGTAACTGGATTGTTAAAAACTCTTGGGGAACTAGTTGGGGTGAGGAAGGTTATATTAGAATTTCTCCTAATAATACTTGTGGTATTCTAAAGTTTAATTATCAAATTACAGCTTGATTAAATTAAAATTTACATTAAATATTTGAATTATATTAAACATAAACTAAAGTCAAGTGTTTAAATGCTTTATGTCATTTAAAGTATTCTTAAAATTTTTTAATTAGCGAATAAAAAATATTATTAAATTCTTTTTTAAGATATGATAGTGTTAATTACTTTTGGTATTTTTTAAATAAAAAATGGCTTATTAAAATTTTAAATGTTTTATAAAACTTTTACTTCCATTAAGTTAAATAGTTAAAAAATATAAAATATAAAAAATCCCTGTATTTTTGGTTGTAGGGTAGTTGTTATCCAAAAAAATAAAAAATTTAAATTAATTAAAAATCAAAATAAAAACAAAAGGCTTGGGTTAATTCATTTGAAACATATGCATTTACTATTTTTTACCTCTTAAAAATATATATTGATATTAAAAAACAAAAAATACAAAGCAATTTATTAGAAAAATCTACTTATATAATTTCTTAAAAATCTTTAGATAATATAATTCTAATTTTAAATAATTTTATAATCTTTATCTTAAAAAAGTTGAATTGAAACACAAATTAAGTGAGTTTTCTTGATGAAATTTTATCTGTATTTTCATAACAATCTATCTTTATAATAATGAAATTTATTAAGAAGGCTTTTTATCTCATTTAAAATTTATTAGTCATATTAATAACCATTTTAACTAAAAATAGTATTTTTTTGAGAATATTATTAAATAAAATATTTATTTTTTTTAAGATAAATAATTTTAATTTATAAAAAGAACTGAACAAATAATAGTTAAATGATTGTCCATAAAAATATTTTTTTATCTAACCAGTATTAAGTTTTATTTATGCACATTTTATAAAGAAGAATGGCCCCCTTTTATTTGTGCAATTAGACACACTAATATATTTATTTAGACAGTAAATAAGAATTAAATGAATTATCTAAGTAAAAATATTTAGTAATTACCTTGAATTAATAAAAATAAAATTAATTAATAGTTCAAGATTTGATATACTGACATAAAAAATATGAAATAAAAGCATGGTAATTTTAATCATGTAATATTAGATAAACAATGTCCATTTATGTTTAAATTTAATAGCATAATATAAATAGTTAATATTTGCTCTATGGTATTATATGATTAAAATATTTTTTGTATGAAATAAATGGAAAAGACTCCCTCTCCTCACCTATTACTTTTTTATTTAATATCTTTGTTAAAGTTAAAAAATATAACATCAATCCATGATTTAAATTAGTCTTTTTCTTTATTTTATTTAAATAATTTGCAAAGTAACTACTCCTTAAATACAAAAATAGCTACAAAAAATGATTTTATTTTTGAAGAAACAGTTAAAACAAATAATTTATAAAAAACTAATAAAATTTTAAAATTATTTTAAGTATTAATATATATGTATTTAGCAATACAAGTTTTAGATTTTTTGATCCCAGTAAATAAAGTCAGAAAATAAAATTTAAATTAAAAAAAAATAAAAAAATTATATTCCATTTTTTAAAATATTATTACAAATAGATTATATAGCCCTTCCTGGTTTTGAAATTCCGCTGATAATTTCATTTTTGTTGTAAATTATTAAAATTTAATTAAAGTATTCTAATTGAAAAATTGAAACAAACAAAAAGAATGTTTAAATTCACATTTAATTCTAATATATATGAACTGTAAACATTCTATTTTAGCTTAAATTGTTTTCGAAAATCTTTAAAAAAAATTTTTTTAAAAAGAGCATTTTTATAAATTATAATCAGATACCAAGTGTAATATATAAAATATTTGTGTTATATTAAGTAAATTAAATAACCTTCACTATATTCTTTAATTAAACATAAAATATTATATTTTTTTCACTTATTTCATTAAAATATATTAACTGAACTATTTCTTTAAATAAGATTCTATTTGAAATTAAAAAAAATGTATGTAATTAGATAAGATAAAAGATATGGTTTTAAAATTTATCATCTAAAATAGATTTAAAATGACCAATTTTTATTTGGAGAAAGTCATAATATAAAATTCTATTTAATTGAATAAGTTAATTAAATTAAAATCACGATTAAGTAATGTTTTTACTCATAAATTAATCTATATTTTTTTAAACTTGAAATTAAATTTTTATTTTTGTAGTCAAAGGTTAAATTTTTCTCCAGAATATGAAACAATCAATTCTAATTTCTTATGTATTTCATTTTATTTTAAGATTTATATCTGAATACTTAAAAATATTTTAAGTTTTTACTACTTTTTACTTTCGTAGTACTATGATATTCTAGCTATTTATTTTATTATTAAAAGGAGCACATCTTATTTATAAATGAAATAGATTTTTACCATTATTTTAGGTGAAAAGTGATTAATAAGTAACATCACAAAAAAATTTGATATAAACCACAAATACATTTTTTTAAAATTCAAAGATCATAAAAATACATTTAAATCTAATGTTTTAGTGATTCTTTTCATCTAATTTTCATAATAACCATCACTTTAAATAAATATTTTCACAAAAATCATAAAAAATACAATTATTTTTAAAATAATTAAATTCAAAAAATTTTAATCATTGAGTTTTAATTTAGCTACATTCATAAGTAAATTGCCATAAAGTTAAGTTTAAAAGATTAGACTGATTAATTAATACTAAAACTTGAAAGTCTATTTTTTTATTTTTTAGATCAACTAATTTTTGAAATTGAATTTTTTAATGGTTTGATAATTAAAAAATAGAATTTCAAAAAGTTAAATTTGTAAATTCATTAAATAAGTTACTTTCTGTATGTTAATTAGCCTGGCTTCTCTTTAAATTACCGGTTTTCTTTCATGAAAATATAAATAATAAATAAACTAATAAAAAATACATAAATAATATTATAAAAGTAAAAGATGAATTCTAAGTTTATCCTTTTGAGTATTGCTTTGCTTATGCCTCTTTACTTAGCTTAAAATGTTTTTATTGAAAAACTCATAGCTTACAATAAGTGGTCCAGTAAAAATTTAAGAACCTTTTTGAACAATGAAGAAAAGCTATTTAGACAATTAGTTTTCTTTGAAAACTTACAAAAGGTCAATTATCACAATGCCCAAGACCACCACACTTACTCACTTGCTTTAAACTAATTTTCTGATATGACAGAAGAGGAATTTGCTGAGAAAATTCTTATGTAATCTGATCTAGTTGATCTTCACATTCAATAAACTGCCAGTCATAACTCGACTTCTTCTACTACTGGAGGATCTACTTCATCTAATTCTACAAGTAATAATGCAACAGTTACTGTAGACTGGAGATCTAAAGGTGCTGTGACTCCAGTTAAATAATAAGGCTATTGTAGCTCTTGCTGGGCATTCTCTGCAGCTGGTTTAATGGAATCTTTTAATTTCATTAAGAATAAAAATTTAACAGATTTTTCTGAATAGTAACTTGTTGATTGTGTGAACTCTGCAAATGGCTACTCTTCTAAAGGATGTAGTGGAGGATGGCCTGCATCAGCTATAGATTATTCCTCAAAGTTCGGTATCACAACCTTACAAAACTATCCATATATTGGTGTTTAAAAGAAGTGTAATATTACTGGAACTAACAATGGTTTTAAACCTAAATCTTGGAAGCAAATTCCTAATACTTCTAAAGATTTATAAAATGCTTTAAATTATTCACCAGTTTCTATTGCTGTTGATGCTTCTACTTGGAGTCACTATAAATCTGGAGTCTACAACGGCTGCAACTAAACCGACATTAAGATTAATCATGGTGTGTTAGCTATTGGTTACGATTCTCTTGGTAACTGGATTGTTAAAAACTCTTGGGGTACTGGTTGGGGTGAGCAAGGTTACATTAGACTTGCTCCTAATAATACTTGTGGTATTTTAAGCTATAATTACTAAATTACAGCTTGATTATACAAAAATTTACATTAGATATTTGAATTATTTTAAAATAAACTAAAGTCAAGTATTATAAGCTATATTTCATTTATAAGTAAAATATTATTAAAATTATAAAGTATAAATAATTTTGAGCTTTATCAAGGTATTTTAGTGTTAATTACTATTGGTATTTTATGGCTTTTTAAAATTTTAAAAGTTAACTTTTATTTTTAAATATATTTATTAAAATTTAAAGAAAGCATTTTCAAAAATAATATTTATTAGGTATTCGTAATTGGAAATATTATTTTACTATTCTAAATATTTAATAATTGATTTTGATTAATAATCATATTAATTTTAAATCAATTAACATACATTCAATTATTATTAAAATTTTTTAATTATATTTTTCAAAAAATATTTTGCTACAGAAATTTCTTTAAATTTTGAAAATAATATTTATTATTTTACTAAATAAATATTTATTTCCTACTACATAAATAATAATTAGAGAATAGCAATTTGTAAAAATATTTATTGTTTTTTCAAATTTATACTTTATATATAATGACATTTATTTTATACCAATAAAATAATTAATATTATTATTACTTTATGTCAATTAATATATAGGTTTATTTCATAATATCATTAAATTTCTGTTTTATTTATTTCTTTACTTTAAATTAATTTTGCTAGCTAATTAATTAGGCTTATTTTTAAGGAAATTAAACTAAATTTTCAATAATCTGAAAATTTAACAGCATATAAGTATTTCCTTATTATGTAATAATAGATTTTTGATTCTCTAAAATGTTATTCCTCCTCATCTGTTCCTTAAAAAATATTAACATAGCTGAGCTGTATAAAATAAATTTTTCTAATTTTCTGATTAATACTTGACATCATTTTGATCAATTATTATTTTTCAAATGTTCCCTCATAACTAAATTCATTAAAATTAATTTTATATTAGTAAAAAGTTAAATTTTACATTCTAAGTGAAGCTAACCTAAAATTATTTTCACTAAACTAGATTTCTTTTTCTAGTAGTTATTATCTTTTTATATTTTCCTAAATTACATGTTTAGGATTTGATACATAAGGCCCATAGTTTCTCCAATACTAAAAATTTAAAAGCATCTTTTAAATAACTCCAAACTTATCATATTCAAATAGAAAATAGGTAGTTTCATCATCAAAAAATCCTGCAGTAGTTAATACTTCTAAGCTTTTAAATTTTTTTGCTTCATCTTTAATAATTTACAATTATTAATCAAATTCAGAATACCTAAAAATATAATTCATTAATTAAATTTCATTATTAATTCATAAATAAAAAGTAAAGTGGATAAATAAATAGAAATATAAGTACTTGAATGTAAAATCTAATTTTCTGAGCTTTTAAAGTTTCTGTTAAGAATTTTTAATTATTTTCTTCAAATAATTTTCATCAAGTTTAACATGACTAAATAAAATAAATAATTTCTTACTATCAATTAAAATTTTTTATTTTAATTTAATATAATTTTACTAACTAGAAATTTCTAGCTCTTCCAAGTTAGGAGCGTTTGATATGATCTCAAGATCATAATTAAAAGTTTCTAATCCCTACTTTTTCGCACTAAAAAAGTACATAATTATAATGAATATAATAAATTAGTTTTTGAAATCATATTTATTTACTATTATCCAAGTTTAAGCTATTTTAGCTAGTTATTTTGCGTGTCTTATTTTATGATAGAAACAAGTCGGTCTCCTTATTACATTTTATTAAGAGGCATTTTTATAGATATTTTTGATAAATTTGGCAAGTTTTATATTGATTTTGAAATTAAGTAAGCTTTCTAAACTTAAATGTTTGTTTCACTATTAAATTAAAATTTCAATGAAAAATTTAAAATGATGAAATAAAAGAAACATAACTTAGAACTAAAAATTTAACAAAATGAAAAATTCTATTATAAATATATAGCCCTAGAAAGTTATCTTTAAAAATAATTTATTGAAAAGATAAAGAGCTACATATAATTATTAAGAAAAATAAAATTTAAAGATTTTACCAAAATTCAATTTCAATAGACTTTAACTATTAACATTTTTATAGTTCTTCACAGAATTTAGTATCTATGATATTCTCAGTGAATCCACTAAAATTTAACAATTAAAAGAAATAAATTTTCAGTAGTTTGTTTGAATAAATAATTTACCTGAATATTAGTTAAAGCTATTCTAAATTTGGCTTTTAGGAAGAAAGATATTATAGCATATTCAATGGATAACTTAAGCATTTTATATTACTTGATCTTTGTTTATATTGAAATTAATCAATTATCAAAAAAAAAAATATTTTATATGTATTAAAAAAATTTTACTTAAAAAGTATTACAGTTAGAGCTTTTAACAGCAAAAAGTTATCAAGATCGATTAATAAATCGCTCAATTTGAAATATTGTATATTAACTAAAGAGGGGCAATTTCCATTATTTTAATTTACTTCTGCTCTATAACTTTATATCAAAATTTTATTTATTTATCTTATTGAGTTGAAATAATATTTTTGATTATATCCTAAGTAAACTAAGTCTTTTAATTCCATTTAGTCTTTCAAAACATAATTCGATGCGAAATTTTTAAAATCATTATAAAATGCTTCTAAAACTTCAAATTTAATTTATTTCTTTTTAGTAGTATAAATTTGAATTTATTTTTTGTTTTTTATCAATTATTATGGTAAATCAGGTAATGATTTCATATACTCTGCTTCTATATTTTCAAACTGATCTGATTCATTAAACACACAGTTAAATTGTTAGTTTGTAATTTTATTTTTGTTAATAGTAAATTTATATTATCCTTCAAATTTTGGTATTAATTAAATAATTTTAAATAAATTTCCAATTTCTACTCTATATGTTAAAATATTTAACAAAAAATCTTAACTCAAGAATTTGATTTTTTATCTTTCAATTTTATATAAATTTGATATGGATTAAATTATTTCTTAATTAATAAAAGCTATTTCAAGTGGTTTAGTTTTAAATTTGATTTCGATAGGTGTCAAATTATATGGTCCTTCTTGTTTAGAATTATTAGTAAGTTTATTTTTTGATAGCATGTTGTATTATTTTTTAGTATTTTATTTATTTAATTTATTATAAGAATAAGAATATACTTTCTTGGCTATTCAATTTATAATAGAATTTATTTGTTCTCATTATTTTATTTTTAAAATAATCCATATCTATTAGGATATTCTTAAAAATAATTAGTTTCATAAGTGTGTGTCTCTAAGAATTTATTAAGATAGAGTGTCTCTAACAATTTATTAAGATTGAGTGTCTATAACAATTTATTAAGATTGAGTGTCTCCAACAACTGATGAAATTTAATTTAAATTAGCTTCATAAGAGTCTCTAATAATAAATAAATTAATTTTTATATCGTAAAAAATGAATAATTATTTGTTCTCTTTCATGAAATGTTAATCATTATAAATCTATCAGATTAATTGATTATATTGATTGATTAAATAATCTCATGACTAATAGTATGTAAAGAAAATATTAATGTATACATTTTTATAATAAATATTGTTAATTTAGTAATTAAATAAAAAATCATATTACTTACTTCATTTTACTTAAAATGATAAACACTAATCAAATTAGATTTAAAAGTCTCTCTAACAATTAATTAAATTAAAATAATTAGTTAAGTTTCTCTAACAATTTATTAAGATAGAATTGTATCCAAAAACTGATTAAATTTAATTTAAATTAGCTTTATAAGTGTTTCTAATAACAAATAAATTAATTTTTATATCCTAAAGAATGAATAATTATTGATTCTCATTCATGGAATGTTAATTGAATTGGTTTTCAATATGAAAATAGTCTATAACTGTACTTTTTTTTTTGTTGAAAATAAGATATATTCAAAAACAAAAACTGAGGGCGTGATACTCTCAAGAGATTTTTCGAAAATCAATTTAAAATTTAATAGATTTCGAATTTTTTGTTTTTTTTGAATTTTTAGTATGTTTCTTATTATACAGCTGTATGATATAAAAATTAAATTTATTTTTAAAGTTCTTAAAAGGATATAATAAAAAATGGTTTTTAATAAAATTAAAAATATTTATTTCACAAAACAAACCTCTGCTCATTTGACTTTGCTATAATAAATTAATATTTTAACTCTAATAATTTTTTTTAGACTAAACCTCCAATTTAATAGATTTTAATTTTTATAAATTGTAATCAGATACTAAATGAAACATATAAAATATTTGTGTAATTTTTCAGTGAATCAAAATAACATTCGTTATGTTCTTTAAACAAAACATTAAATATTTTATATTTTTTCTACTTGTTTTAAATGTATTACTTGCACTGTTTATTTTTTATAACTTATAAAGAATGCAGAGGATTTATAAAAAATGTTTGTAGTTAGAAAATTTAAAAGATATATTTTAAAAATTTATTTTCAAAAATAGTTAGAAAATGACAAATTTTCAGTTAAAGAGAATCAATATTTTATATTCTATCTAGTTGGAAAGGTAATTAAATTAAATTCATAATTAAACAGTGTTTTTAATAACAAATTAATCTATATTTTTTTAATTTACTAGAAATTAAATTTTGATTTTTGTAGTTAATGGTTAAATTTTGTCATCAATATGAAACTATTCTAATTGCTTATTTATTTATCTTTTATATATTTCATTTTATTTTCCGATGAATATGGGAATACTTTAAAATATTTTAAGTTTTTGCTAATTTCGAAGTACTTATGATATTTGGGTTAAATTGTTATTACTAAAAGCCGCGCCTTTTACTTTAAATGAAATAGATTTCTTACCACTATTTTAGGTGAAAAGTGATTAATAAGAAATATAACCAAAGTAATCAATCTATTCCAAAAATAGATTTTTTCAAAATTCAAAAATCATAAAAATTACATTTGAAAATAATCATTTAGTTAGTGATATTTCTTTTCATCTCATTTTCATCATAGCCATAACTTTAAATAAATATATTGAAATATTTTCACCACAATCATAAAAAAATATGATTATTTATACTGTAATTAATTCAAAAATTTAATTATTGAAGTCTAATTTAGATAAATTCATAAATAAATAGTCTAAAAATTAAATCTTATAGATTAGACAAAGACAGATAAATTAATACTAAAATTTGAAATCCTAGTTTTTTATTTTTAGATTAATTAATTTTTGAAATTCAATTTTTTATCTGATGAATAATTAAAAAATAGAAAATCAAAAAGTCAAATTTGTAAATTTATTTATTGAATTAAGTATCTTTCTTTATGTTTATTAGCCTGACTTCATTTTAAATTATCAGTTTTCTTTGATGAAAATATAAAATAATAAATAAATAACTAAAAAAACATAAAAAAAAAATTATTAGTACTAATAAATGAATTCAAAGTTTATCCTTTTGAGTATTGCTTTGCTTATGCCTCTTTACTTAGCTTAAGATATCTCTATTGAAAAACTCTTAGCTTACAATAAGTGGTCAAGTTAAAATTTAAGAAACTTCTTGAATGATGAAGAGAAGCTATTTAGACAATTAGTCTTCTTTGAAAACTTACAAAAGGTTAAGGATCACAATAGCCAAGACAACCACACTTACTCACTTGAGTTAAACTAATTTTCTGATATGACTGAAGAGGAGTTTGTTGAGAAAGTTCTTATGAAATCTGATTTTGTTGATCTTCACATTTCATAAGCTACCAGTAATAACTCAACTACTTCTGCTATTGAAGAATCTACATCATCTAATTCTACAAGTGATAATACAGCTGTTACTGTAGATTGGAGAACTAAAGGTGCTGTGACTTCAGTTAAAAACTAAGGTTAATGTGGCTCTTGCTGGACATTCTCTGCAGCTGGTTTAATGGAATCTTTTAATTTCATTAAGAATAAAAATTTAACAAATTTTTCTGAATAGTAGCTTGTTGATTGTGTGAACTTTGCAAATGGTTACTCTTCTAATGGGTGTAATGGAGGAAACCCAACATAATGCTTAGATTATTCCTCAAAATTCGGTATCACAACCTTACAAAACTATCCATATGTTGGTTTTTAAAAGAAGTGCAATATTACTGGAACTAACAATGGTTTTAAACCTTAATCTTGGAAGAAAATTCTAAATACTTCTAAGGACTTATAAAATGCTTTAAATTTCTCACCAGTTTCTGTTGTTGTTGATGCTTCTACTTGGAGTCACTATAAATCTGGTGTCTACAATGGTTGCAACTAAACCAAAATTAGACTTAATCATGCTGTGTTAGCTGTTGGTTACGATTCTGTTGGTAACTGGATTGTTAAAAACTCTTGGGGTACTAGTTGGGGTGAGGAAGGTTATATTAGACTTTCTCCTAATAATACTTGTGGTATTTTAAGCTATAATTACTAAATTACAGCTTGATTAAACAAAAATTTACATTAAATATTTGAATTATATTAAACTTAAACTAAAGTCAAGTGTTTATAAGCTATATGTCATTTTATAGTATTCTTTAAGTTTTTTGATTAATGAATATAAAATATTATCAAATTCTTTTTTAAAGTATGATTGTTAATTACTATTGGTAAATAAAAAAGAGCTTATTAAAATTTTAAATGCTTGTATAAAATATAAGTTTAATATCTAAAAAATAATTATGTTTTGTATCTAATTTTGGAATGATTACTTGTTTGTGTACTTAAAAAAAGTGTGTGTTTGAAAAAAATTTTATTGAATACCATAACTCCTCATATATCCTTTTTAAAGTTTTTAAAAAAGTTGCCAAACTCTTTTCCAGTATATGTAAAATATTAATTTATTTGATCAAATAATAATTTTTATAAATTTTAATCTTTTACAGTAAATCAATATAGCCTTAGCTATATTATTTAAATAGAACATAAAATATTTTATATTTTTTCTATTTGTTTTATCAAAATGTATTATCGCACTATTTATTTATATAACTTATAAAGAAAGTATTAAATTAATATAAAAAATGTTTGTAATTTGATTAAGTAAAGGATATATTTTTAAAAATTTATCATTAAAAATAGAAGAAAATGACAAATTTTCATTTAAAGAAAATCAATGTATAAAATTATATTTAGTGAACAAAGCTAATTAAATTAAAGTCATTATCATACAAAATTTTTACTCCAAAATTAATCTATATTTTTTTAATATACTAGAAATTAGATTTTAATTTTCCTAGTTAATAGTTAAATTTTTGTCATGAATATGAAACTACTCCAATTATTTATTTAACTATAATATATTTCATTTTATTTTGAGATTTTTTTGGGATTACTTCAAAATATTTTAAGTTTTTGCTACTTTCCAAGTACTTATGATATTTTAACAATTATTTTTATTATTTCAAAACTAATTCATGTTATTTATAAAGGAAATAGATTTTTTTACCTTTATTTTAGGCGAAAAGTGATTAATAAGTAATATCACCAAAGTGATCAATCTATTCTAAATTTTGGTTCTTAAAAAAATTCAAAAATCATAAAAATTAAATTTAAAAGTAATGCTTAAGTTAGTGATGTTTCTTTTCATCAAATTTTCTAAATTGATATTTCTTTAAATAAATATATTGTAATGTCATCACTGTAATCATTAAAAAACATGGCTAATTTTGCTGTAATTAAATTCAAAAAAATTAAATTATTCATGTTTAATAAAGGTACATTCATATATATATATAAATAGC